GCGGTGGTCCTAAAGGCCCCGCCGGTCAAGGACCAGCGGGTTTGGCGACGACCCACAACGTGGGAGGAGGTCTGTTGAAGACCATGAAACGAGGAAGTGATGCGCGAAAAAAGGGGATCGAGGAAGGAGGGGCTGGTGGGTGCTGGTTGAGGAAGAAAGAAGTTCGATGGAAGGGGCGGGGGTGAGGGTTTATGTACTCGCGGCGCGCTCGTTTCGCGCTAAAGGCGGGCTGATCCGCGCCAGTTAATCAACAATTGTTCAGGCCTGAGGTTTGCTGATGGCGGGGCAGCGAGAGGTAGCGGGGCAGCTAGGCAACGGCGACTGCTCAGCTTGAGAGCCGGGAACCGGCGGATGAGGACACAGTCCATCCTCGCGCGACAATCGTTCCGAGGCGGCACCAGACAGACGAAGTGAATATTGCCAGCCACGGCTTGTGAGGCCGAGTGGATTTTCTTCGAGGGCGTTGAGATTAATCCAAGTACCCTCCGGTCGGCCAACGTACGCGCTGGAGCACATCAGCAAGAGACAACTCGCCGTGCTTCCTGACGGTTGGCCCCACAGACAAGGTTGCAACTTTCGCTGCTAAGCGGGCTGGTACAGGTGAGCATTCTAAAACGGCGGAAGGTGCAGACCTTGAGTATGCAGGCGAGCTGCTCGGGAAAGCGCTCAAAGTACAACGTTAGCAGTCGCTTCCACCCTTTCAATCGCAGAGGTTCGCTTGCATCCCCGGGGGCAAACGACTTCATGAACGCCAGCACCTTCGGCTCGACTCATTCGAAACTTCCACGCAACGTGGCAGATGAGGTAGGTCTTGCATCGCGCTGTTCAATTAGGAAGACATCTGGTGAGTGCTGGCACCGTATGCAAGCAATCGATATCACCTTGCAAGATTGTTCCGTGTGCGCATGCGCACTTGAAGACGCCTCACTTCAAGGCTCACTTACTAGTTCCATACATTTGGCCGGCTCAGTTTCAAGCTCAGGATGTGACAGTGCGCCACCAAATCAAGTATTACTGCCCAGGTCTTTCGTGCTGCAGCCGGTCATGGACCCAGAAGCAGTTATCTCCGCCAGTCGCATCGTGGTTCCGGGCTGTCGGCAGTCTCTCAAGAACGTTTGCTTCTTCGATCCAGATGGCCTTTCCCATTCTTCCAACAATACGAGCCTGTTCGCGACGACACATCCGCCATATCTACAATGCTTCCCGTCTCTTTTCGTAACGTTTTCTCGTTATTGCATGCGCGTCTGTCCGGGCGTGATCTTCAGGACACATCGTCAGTATTGCAGCGACCTAGTGGGTGAGAAACACGCCAGTGCGGATTACTGTCCTCGAGTGAGTGGCTTGAGGGCCGTGGATCGTGCATAGAGCGCAATGTGGGTGCAGACTTTAATGTGAGGGCGTGGCAGTTGGAGAGGTGAGGTGGAGGATCCAGACCGCGTCCCGGACGGAACCGAGGGCCACAGACAACCAAGACCAGCAGCCCATGCTTATGAAACATTTCCAACCACTTTCAGGCACCATTGCTTGGCTGCCTTGTGCAGGAGATGTTGCCGAAAGCACCGTGGACACTCGCAACGTGGCTGCGCGGCGTACATAGTGACGCAAAATGTCCATGAAGCGGTCTAAAGAAGTCCAGCTGATGGCCGGCTGCGCGACTCCGCCCCATCTCGGCCGTCTGGCGGCATGGCGTGCATGAAGGAATCGATACTATAGGTGGTACACACCCGTTCTCAGCCCCATTCCTCTGCTCTCTTTCCCCCGTACCCATGGCCTTATAATCTCACAGCCTGGGGAGAGTGTTGCACCCGCCAGCCTCCCGCACTTGTACAAGGAAGATGTGGCTTCTGGATGCCAGAACGAAACAGCTCGTCGAGTTCGAGGACGAGACTAAGATCTACGGCCGATATGCTATACTCTCACACGTCTGGGACGATACTGATGAAGAAGTTACGTTTCAAGATATTGAACAAGATGCACCAGGCTACAAGCAAAAGCGAGGCTACGCGAAAATTGAAAGCGGGTGCCGACAAGCGCTCTCCGAGAAGCTCGACTACTTCTGGATAGACACATGCTGCATCAACAAATTGTCCAGCGCTACGCTTTCCGAGGCCATTAATTCCATGTATCGATATTACTATGAGGCCAAAGTTTGTTATGCATATCTCTACGACTTTCCGCACAGGGCATTGAAAGACTCGAAATGGTTCACAAGAGGCTGGACTTTGCAGGAACTCATCGCACCGGGTTTCGTTGAGTTCTACGATGAGTCGTGGAAGCTAATTGGTACAAAACTCGACATGCTACACGAACTTGCCGATATCACGAAGATCGATGTCAAAGTCCTACGCGATCGAAACACTCTACAGTCGACCAGTGTGGCAGCTCGTCTCGCATGGGCAGCCGAACGCAAGACCGCCAAAATCGAAGACGAGGCCTACTCTCTCATGGGTCTCTTCGACGTCAACATGCCCATGATCTACGGCGAGGGCAACAAAGCATTCGCGCGTCTACAAGAAGAAATCATCAAAACGTACGAAGATCCTTCGATTCTCGCCTGGCAAGCCTGGAAGGAAGAACAAGCCAGTATGCTACTGTCCCCGTCAGCCAAAGGGTTCCGTAACGCGCACAACATCCTCAGTTGGTCCTACGATTGGCTCGATGACTCTTTCGCATTGCAGAACAAGGGTCTGCGCATCTACCTGCCAGTGGTAGAAGATAACTCCGATCCGATGCGCATCACCGCGATCCTCAACTGTCGGTATCAAGACGAATCTACCAAGCAAATAGCGCTTCTCCTCAAGAAACATCCTCCTGGCCTGGTCGTTCCAAGGAGAGAGCTCAAAAGCACAGTTTGCGAAATGGCGCCAAAGAATAACAGCAAAGGTGCCTTCACATCTCTCAAGAACCTCGATCGCAAATTCTTGCCTTCAGCTAAGTGGCAGAGTCTGATGATTCTCAAATCGCCCTCAAATCCAGAGAACATTGCACCCGTCTCAATTTGGGAACAGAAGATCAGGATTCAAAATTCAGTGCGTCAATTGAAGCTTACAAATGTATACCCAAAAGAGGCATACGATCCTCAAGACGATAGCGTCACGTTGGTCATCACTGGATCTGAAGAGACTGATCGCGGGTATATGACCTTTGACGAGAGCGATGGGCGAAAGAAGTACAGCATCGCATTCGCTCAGGAGATGAACTCAGGACGAACAGAGCCTCGCATCTGGTTGACCAAGCATAGTGCGCCACTCGACAGTGCTACTATATTCAAGGAGCTGAGCAAAGAGCAACCACAGCGAAGCGCCAGAGTCGAGTTCAAAAAGGGATTATGGGAGCTCGTGGTTGAAGTGGAAAGGCGGTCCTCAACAACTGGAGAGCTCGAATTCGTGATCAAAATGTCATTGGAGCACTATTCGCTCTCTTTTAGGAAATTTAATCACCTCATGCATAGCAATAAGGCACGCTGAGATCATGGAGATGGTTTCCCTTGCATCGCGCGCAGACAAGCGTCGTATGCCGCCTTCTTCACAAGTGCAGACTCCTTGTTCTGTCGGAGAAAGAGATTGGCAAAACCGAAGCCTGGAAACTTTTGGGGAACCCAGGAGGTATCATCGACCAGACCCCAACTGGAGAACAAAGATTAGCACCTGCTTGATCGAATCAGATTGGGTTCACCTACACTGTTATTCCGACGCACTTCTCGACGTGCATACACGCAGCCACCGTATTGTAGTAGTCTCTGGACTGCTGCTGCTGATCTTCCGCTGTCGGGGGCACTGGTGAACGCACGTCGAGTTCAGTTATCGCGACTTTGATATCCAGCTTCACGAAGTCTTGCAAGTTGCGCTCCTGCAGCTCTAGTGACGGCGTTGTCCCGGTGGCAAAATGAGACTGTAGGCCCACGCCATCAACTCGAATACCGCGATGTTTCAGCTGTTTCACTAGCATTTGCACCGCAGCGGACTTCGGGCTAGGCTCTTCGATGCCGTAGTCGTTATAGTAGAGCTTCACCTTGAGTTTGTCTTCGTCGATAACCTTTTGTGCAGCTTGAAAGGCCATGGCCACATATTCTGGGCCAATCACTCGGAACCATATGCTGCTTCTGTACTGGATGGTTCCATGAGCCTGCTGATCGTCTGACACCGCTTCATTGACCACGTCCCAGGAGTAGCAAGTATCGCCGAAATGTCGAACCAAGGTCTGGACGTGCTCCACGAGTACTGCGCTCAGAGTCTCATTCGTCCAAGGTATTTTCGGGTTCCCGATCCAATGTGGCAGGTCTCGATGCCAAACAACAGCGTGACTTTGATAATGTTAGCAAGAGGCAGAGGCAATTAATATAGGAAGTTGACTTACCAACGAATCTTCTTATCTTTCGCAACTTCCAAGAACTTATCAGCACGTGTGAAGTCGAACTTTCCCGGGCGACGTTCAGTAGCAGCGAACTTCATGCTGTTGGCCAGAGTAGCTTGGCCGAAGTCCTTCGAGCTGCGGAATACGCTCAGAAAGTGCTCATTATCCTCTTCCTGCCCCGGAATACTGATGGCTGCTCCGAACCACAACTTGCCAGCAGCTTGAGCAGCTTCGTTGAGCCCATGTGCGATGCCGGTCGAGGAGGCGAGCAACGTAGTCGACGGAGCAATCTTGGCCACCTCGAGAATATCTTTCTTGTCGCCCACGCAGTCGCCTTGAGCCAATGCCTGAGTGAAGGTTGCAAGAAGGCCGACAACGAGCAAACGCAGCAGACTCATCATTGCTGGATGGGGCCGGGTCGTCCTTCGAGTTCGTTCCCAGGCGTTGGCGGTCGCGAACTGTCCGCGTCTCTTTCTGTGTCGGGTTTCTGGTCGTCGTGTCTGTGCGTGCGGGCCTCGAGCCATAGACAAAGAACCGCAATCACGAAGAATGCGCCGACAACGATTAATGCCGTCCCGTAGTTTGGAATATGCATGGTATGCAAGCGGGCCAGATCAATTCGCCAAGGTGAATAGAATAGTGACTGGTGCGGTGGCCTTGTGATAGTGTCCAGCGCACATGCACAGTGCTGTGGTTCGAGTGAAACTGGTTAGAGGTGACGCAGTATGGGAGCAGGCGCCTACCACGAAAATGGTGGTGCTTTCATCAAGCAAGTGCAGAAGAACTGTGACTTGGTTATCGGGAAAGTGAAAGGCGGCAATCAGAGTGAGTACAGAAGCTGCAAGTCTTTGAGTGATACATTACTGTTGTACATTTGAAGCTCTTGAGAGCTGCAAAGAGCACCAGCACAACGCCAGACCGTATGTGCTTGATTGCGTGTATTGCGAAACTCCTGCGGAATTCCGAAGTGTACGCTTGCCTTGGAGCACTTCCGTTACACAAGCCTTCTTCGGAACCGCTGAGATTTGAGTTGAGTTGTTCCCTTGTCGTTCTGCTGGAACGCTGGTCTGGGGCGAACGGCGCGCCTCCGCAGCTCTTGCAGCGCCAGTCTTCCTGCCGTTCGCTCGATTGCCAGCAAAGGCGACAATCCCGGTGTTGCGCACTTTCCATCTGCTATGTCGCATGGTCCCACGTGGTATGTCGCATAGTGTAGAGCCCGTCCTTCCAGACCATAGCAGCTCATCTGTACTGTTATCTTGGCCCTCATCTTTCAGCTCACATAATCGGATCAGCCGCCCTATCATCCGACTCCATCCTCATGTACGAATCAATCGCAGCACTGAACGCCGCAAATCCCGCGCAACCCACAGCCATAGCCTGCGGACCACCTCCTTTCGCCAGAAACGCGCCTGTGATGCACCCAGCCGCGACTCCGTTACTCAGCTCATTCTTCGCCCTGAAACCCTCAATGACACACTCAGTCCCCGAGAACAGCGCACCAATATATCCGAAGTTCTTCGCCGAGCTCAACGAAGCTTTGCCCATATCTTTGAAACCGATTTTGAGCTGCTCTTTCAATGGTATCGAGGGAATGTTGCCGGTACCAACGCCGCCTGGCATGCCGGAGGAGAGTGGTGTGTCGTATCGCATCGAGGACATGAAGAGGCCGAAGACGCCGCCGAGTGCGAAACCCATGCCGCCAGCCATGACGGTCTTGCCAGGACAGGATTCCATGGTGTTTTGCATCTATGAGAAGAAAGTCAGTATGGAGCGGGAGGGCCGATGTTTCGGGCGTGATGTTGAGACGCACGAATTTGATCATTTGTTGCTGTTGAATCATCTCCGGATCCATGTTGCCAGCGCCGCCGCCCATCGGGCCTCCTGGAAATGCCATCGTGCAGATGGTATGGTCGATCGAGGATTTCTGGATGTTCGCAGAAGTGTCGAGGTGAAGGTGAATGTGAAAGTGAGCCGAAAGTTCAGCCAGGGTCCGGATCAAATGCCGAACTTCGTCCGCGCGGAGTTACGGGGAGATTAGGAGGCTGCTGCTGCAGTATTGGTCCAGGTTCATCCAATTTCGTCTCTATATACAAGTCTACGTGATAGAAATATTCTATTGAAGGAGAGGTCGCCGATTACGCCTCCCTCTTCTTCGCTCCAAGCGCGCGTGCCTCTGCGGCAGTGCCTATGTAATCATCTTGCCCAGTGAACTCTTCGCCGGGACTTGGAGTAAGCGATTTCTCCCACTCCTGCATCAGATGGCTGGCAGTCCTTCTCAACGACCCCGCCGACTTCTTAAGAGCCGGCCATGGGATCGGGTCGCGCTTCGTTGAGTCAACCTTTGTCGGCTCCAGTGGTTCAAAGGAGCTAATGCCGGTTGATCTCGGGCTTCCGGATACTGTTGAAGGCAGAGTATTGGTGTCTGAAGTCACGCTTGACGACGAACGAGACTGCTCAGGACTATCATCCCATGTGTCCCAACCGTCATTTGACATGCCAGAAAGCCTCTTCGCTGCTGCTTGCTTCTTCAAGGATGGCTGCCGCGCATGTTTTGATACTGTTGCCTTCTTTACTTGAGGTTGAGAAGGCTCTCCAGGTGGCGGTACACCGAATTGAGTCCAGAAAGATGGGTCAGCAAGGTCCGGAATCGCAGATGTAGACTGATTGCGCACTGCCGGAAGTCTTGTAGACTCTGCGGGCGCTCTGCCAGCTGTCGACGAGCCGCAGGAGCCTGGTCGCAGACTGCTCTTACTGCCCTGCTTCCTTATGGCGCTCAGAGTCTGTGTGGAGCTTTTCCTGCGTGGAGGGGGAATAGCGTGATGTTCCTCGCCGACTGTTGCTTGTTTCAGGTCTTCCCAAAAGGTCCACAGCCCGTCTCTGAATTCAGATGCTACCTTCTTACTGGTACGCAGGATCGCTTCCTGATCAATGCTGGCTCTTTGAGTCAGATCGATATTCGGGTCGGCAATCCTGTCCAGCTCGCCAACTAAGTCGCTGTTCTCGGATCCTCTGGCGACCAGCGGCGGCCGTGCGGTCGCAACAGCAGTATCAAGGCTCTGGCGCATAGGGTTCTTCAGACTGTCCCGGCGCAGTGGTGGTGACAGCTGCACTGGTACTCCGTTTCCACGTACGTTGTCTCTGTCCGGTGAGAGCAGCGAGAGTGTACGGGTGTGCCGCTGGCCTGGGATGACAGTGCGCCCTCCTTTGCTGTTGCTGCGCGAGAGCAGTGCTTTCCTGCGAGCCATCTCCTGCTGCATCCAGGCGCTCGAACCGTTGGCGTCCTCCTCCTGATCCGCAGCGGGCAGAGATGTCTGCAGCGGCTGCAGTTTTGTCAGACGTCTGGCATCTTCTCTCTTCTTCTGCGCCTCGTGTTTTGCCCACAGCCTTTTTAGCCTCTCCAGGTCTGCCTCTGCGCGTTGTACCTCCTCTTTCAACTCCAGCACACGCCGCTCCTGACAAGCGATAAGTGTCAGAAACGAGTTGCTGTCGGGCACAAAACTGCCGTTGAGAGCCGCATGCACATCCTGTGCGCCTTCTGTAGACTCGACACTCGGTGACGCGGGCCCTATGGGCATGCTCGATGTGGAGGGTTGAATGGGGAACTGCACGGAGAATCGATTCGCTCTAGGCTGATGTCGAGATTGGTCAGAGACCTTGGACCAGGTGCGGCCATGGCTGTGGAAACTTGTCCGTCCTGGCACGGATGTTGATGATGAGGGAGAGTGATTCGAGTTCGCCAGCGATCCCGTGGGGGAGGTTATTGTGTCGCCATGCTGGGCTTCAGTTGGGCCACCCCGAGTGCGTTCGATAGACATTAATCATGAAGACATTGACAGGTCGGCCGTGGTCACAGGAATGACAGGATGGGTTGGGAAGAATAGGCGGAGCGATAAACGTGCCCCTATGAGCGCGCTGGTCAAATGGTGCGTGTGCAGAAGGTTAAGTGAGGGTTACGCGTAGGGGGAGTCCGTGCCGAGCGTCTATGACCGACGCCAGCGTTTGAGGGAAAGTGCTGTCCCACCAGTCTGAGGCATAGCTGAACTGTGCAAGCTACACCATTTCACCTATTCCTGTCCTAATCTTCAAGCAGTAACGTTGACAGTCGACGCACTGTCGCCCAATCTCGACGACTACCGAAGAGATGCATTCTGCGACCGCCGGGCCAGCGACTTGCGAACCAGAGATTTGATGCAGGGATCTTGAATGTGGACTCCGCCGCCGCACCAGTCAACAAGAGTCCTTTCAGCGTCAGCACATATCGAGCGCACCTGTACGAAAAACATGTCACCAGCTGCAGCGATCCCGTGCGTCTGGCCTCACCGCAATGTGAACATTCTCCCCCTCCCTCGATCTGGCCCACGAGCAACCGGGTTCGCTCTGCTATCGCGTCCATACAGCTTCTGCCCGAAATCAGGTCGCGCTTCATGACATTCGAATGTAAGACTGTGTGACACTACAAGACAGGGTGCTACTGTCCTCTTCGAATAAGCTGGACATTCCGATATCGACTTCGTATTGTTGGCCGTTTGGTGCACGGGCCTCTATCAGCAACGTGGCTGCCGCGACTTACTGAAGAACTCGCGTTGAATTCTGTGTCCAGAGGTCTACGAATCGCCGTGAGCTTGCAGATACGTCCTGCCGCACCATCTTCGCCTCGCCTAAGCATACAAGGCCTTAGCCACGCCGCAGGTTCCGCGTTTCTTTCCAAGGAGCGTATTTACCAGCCAATAAGTGGCATGGTTGTCGGTGAGCACTTGGGTCAACAGATAGCAGAGATTTGCGTAGGGGCTGTGTGATTTACGAGCTGGGCGAGCAGGCTGCTTCAGTGACCACCAGAATACCGCGTCGACTCAATGTTGTCCTCTTGGCACGACTGCAAGCATGTTACATCGAATCCGGCCAACTTGCTGTTCATGATAATGGCACTTCTGCTGTACAAGTATCCCATACTTGCCATTCGAAGATGAATTCATGGCGCTAGGAGGTATCCTCGTTGTTATGGTGGGAAATGGTCACGCTGCCATCTAAAGCTCAGCGACACCGGCAGGATGTATGCTCACTTGGCGCTGGATCATTCCTACTATGCTCGTGACATAGTTTCTTTGCGCTTCGAAGTGACATTTAATACATGGCCAATATGATCTGCCAACTTCCCATATGCAAAGGGTTTTGATCGAGCGTCGCAGTGTCTATGGACGGTCGGAAAGCCGTGCGTCTCCACTCCCGCTCTCCACAAAACATCGGCTTCCCGAGGCTCTTCTCTGCCCACTGCCCACGCTGCAGACTCTGCAGCCCTGTACCCAATCTCTCTTATTTCTCCGTCTGTCACTCCGACACGTGGTGCAACGACGGATCATGCGGCCGGGACACATGTACAGCACCCAATTGCCCACGCGCTGACCAGCCGCCCAGCGAATCGCCGAGCTTGTGGCGTTGCGGGGGCGAGTTGGAGAACGCTGTGGAGAGCAACGGCTATAACATCGGCTCCAACTCTGATCGTTGAAACCTCGACCACACCCCGGGCTCCACTGCTGTTGCGCGGTCGACGACTAGAATATTATGTCTGCCACTGAGACGCAGCCTGTCACTGCTGGACCTGACGATTCCGGGGAGCCGGCTCAGAAGAGGGCCAGATCTTCAGATGGGGCCGCTTCAGCTGGAGAGCCGTCATCCACGAATGGAACCGGCGGCGCCAGCGATCCAGCAGGGCCGACCATCAATGGTATCCCGGCCAGCCAGAGGTTGTACAGTTGCGGCAAGTGCTCGAAGAGTTATGCACGACTAGACCATTTGTCTCGCCACGTGCGCATGCACACTCAAGAAAAGCCCTACCAATGTCAGATATGCACCAAGGCTTTTGCGCGAGCCGACTTGCTCAAACGACATACTCTCGGCCATTCGAAAGATGACCCGCAGTCGAAGCCATCCATCATCCAGCACAGCCGGGTATCGCAGGCCTGTGAGGCTTGTGCTGGACTACGTACGTGAAATCTGGTCGAGCAGGAGTTCGCAGGTGGCGATCAGATGACGATGATTGACTGACATGCAACAGATCTGAAATGTGAAGAAGAGAAGCCTTGCAAGCGTTGCACGAAAAAGGGCATCCATTGTAATTACACAGCGAACTTCCCTCCTGGGATGAACTCGCCCCAGGACAATGGCTTCGGAGCGGAACAGCAACAGTATGGCGAGCACATGCAACAGATGCAAAGCATGCCCCAGTCAAGCATGCAACAACATGATATGGCTTCCATGCAGCAGATGCAGCCAATCCAGACGCCGCCACTCCAACAGCACCATAGACATTCGTACTCACAGCCGAACATTCACATGCCTGCCATGCAGATGACCGAGCCACCTATACAGCACCAGCATTCCCAACAGCCACCAGCACCGATGGCAATAGACCCAGCGATGCTGCCGCCGCAGAATTCCGCACCGAACATGTTTGATTATCTTAGAGACAAGATGATGCCTCAAGGCATGCAGCACACCGGGGTACAGATGATGGACTATCAAACCGGTCCATGGACACCTCGCGAGCTGTTCGATTTTGGTGTGGACACAAACATGGAGCTCAATGATGTGGATCTCAGCTTCCTGGATTCTTACAACAACACCAATCCTTTCGACCTGCGGACCCCCAGCGCCGGCTTTCCCACCGGAACTTCAGACATCGTGCCTACCTTCACATCTGCGCCTACTTCTGTACCTATTGACACTAATGCGCTCCCGAAAGCTTCTGTGTGGCGATTTCGGCCCCTCGAGAAGGATTCGGGAAGCGCAGAGCAAGCGAACTTGTCACTGCCAACACCAACAAGTTTGGACATTGATCGACGTGTTACAGTTGAAGCATTGTCTCAGACCTCTCGCGACAGAATTTTGGCACTGGTCCTGAGCACTTGTAAGCCCAACAGTATACCTCGGGCAGTGGCCTGCTTCCCATCAGTGGGCCTACTGGACAGTCTATTCCAATTCTCCTTGACCAGCCCTGGCTCACACGCTAAGCACTGGATACATGCTCCGACCCTACTTGCCGATCAAACAAGGCCAGAAGTTCTGGCTGCCATCTGCTCTGCTGGGGCGGTGCTGACCCCGGATGGGTCAATACGCAAAGTCGGATATGCTATTCAAGAAGCAATCAGAACTGCAATACAAGTACATGTCGAGGATGATAATACTCTCATGAGAGATCTGCAAATAATGCAGGCGTCTCTGTTACAACTGAAGATCGGTCTGTGGAGCGGCAATTCACGCAAGATGGAACTCGCAGAAGGATTTCAACAGGTCCTCGTCACAATGGCACGCCGCAGCGGATTGTTTAGACGTGGCACATATGAGCGAATCGTGCCAAAAGCAGAAGATCATGGCGAGGTCCTAGAAAGCAAATGGAGACAATGGGTCAAGCAGGAGTCTCGAAAACGACTCGCACTGCATCTCTTCAGACACGACCTCGAGGCTTCTGTATCAGTATTGAGCAGTCCTCTGATCTCGTACGCAGAGCTCTACTTGCCACTTCCGGAGTCGGAGAGCCTCTGGCACTCGCCCACTGCGGAGTCCTGGAAGGCAACGTATATGCGCAACGCGGGGCCAACTTCAGATCGCCAACCCTCCCTGGTGGATTGCATACAAGATCTGGACATTCTTGCTGTGCGGGACATTTTTGTCGACCAGCGTCAAGCAAGCATGGCAGTCCTTGGAGCCGCGTGGCGTATGATCTGGGAGTATCGACAGCTCGACTCATCGCTCAAGAACAATGCCAATCAATGGTCGAACGGCAACATGCTTATGCAGAGTCGGCATAACGAGTTGACAAAGTTGCTTCAAAATTTCCGAATCAGCTCAATAGAGGATACGAAGATTACATTGATCGTCGAACTTCTGCTAATGCATTTGCACATGTCCTTAGAAGACGTGCAACTCTTCGCAGGAGTGGAAGGTGAAGAAGAATCACGGAGAGTCTACCCTTCTCTTGTGCAATGGACTCGCACAACAACTGCAAGACAAGCTCTATGGCACGCCGGACAAGTCTTACGAGCAGCTCGAGATCTCCGACCAGGTTTGGTATGCGACTTCGCAGCCATCGCAGTCTATCAAGCTAGTCTGGCATTCTGGTCCTACGGCATCATCACCAGAGCGACCGAACCCGGACCAGTCGCCAACAACACTCCGATTGCGTTCTTGGACGGGAGCGATGATAATGGTATCCAGAGATGGATCGTTCACGGAAAAGGCAATGCGGCAATCAGAGTGTGGACCAACAGTGGTGAAACACCAGTCATGCTTTCGAATCCAGACGAAGTTGTTGGCGCCGTGGTCGTCATCATGCGAGCGAATCATCACGATACTAGGAACCCTCCACTTGTGGATAATTTGATTAATATTATGGAAGGATTGCGAAAGGCTGCTAGAACATGAAAAAGAAAGAGATCTTGTGAAAGGGCTGGTTTGAGAACTGTGTATATTCTTTCTGCGTTGCAGCGTGTATTAGTGGTGGTGTAGATATTGTTCAGAAAGGTACATGCGAGCTATTCTGAAACATATTTCACAATTCGTCTCTTTTCTGTTTCGATGACTTCTCTTGGTTAAACATCTGCAACCACTTTCTCACTACACGAATCTCCCACTCGTGCGCCGCTCGAATAAACTGTGGCTCTGCAGATACGTCTTTGATTCCGTAGGAATCCCAATGATGCCCTGCACCGGTGATCAACAGTTGCGGATGTAAGTACGCATCTTCCGCATTCGTCGTCCTTCTCGGACCCGCATCAGCAGAATGATAACACAGATCTAGCCAGACATCTTGATCACCATCGATGTGTGCTAGGCGGTCAGCGATAACATTGTATCCGCCATATTTGTTGTATGGACGGAGATCTGGCGCCGAAGGGATATGATTATGCTCTCCGGGAGGAAAAGCCCAGTCGCACCATTGCTGAGTATAGTCGAGCTGCACGACCCTCGAGAGAAGGCTTGGTCCGGTGGGGTTCGCGACTTGATATGCGCCAGATTCGGTGCAGGTACTGTAGAGATAGGATCGAGAAGCAGAGTTCGTGGTGTCAGCATAGTAGGTTTTGTTCTGGGTGCCAAAGCAAGATGTGCTAGCGATATCGCCGCTGGTGCATGTAGATACGAGGTATTGTTTGATGTAGTTTGCATAGTTGCCGAGATTAGGCCAGGACTCGTTATTGGTGTAAGCAGAGAGTTCGTGGTCAATGGAGGTGATGTTTGAGGTAGCGTCGAGGTTGGTGACGTTGTTGCAGAAGTGGAAGAAGTCGTCGGAGCCGTTGTCGGCCCAGATGATTTCCTGCCAGGCTGAAAGAAGAATGTCAGCATGTCGCTGACTGAGTGCGGGATCAAGGACGGTCTGCCACTTACTATTCGTTGGATAATTCATTGGCCCGCCCAAAGGAAACGCGATCGCCATCGCGAAGTCTCTGTCATCCTTCAATGCCTCCAGACCGAATACGCTCTTCATGTGATCAACTTCAGACGCATTTCCATGCTCGAAAACATAATCGATCTTGTCAACGATAGCATTAATACTCCCCACACAGTCCTGAGGAGCGTACTTCTGAATAGGATCATACCACTGCGGGTAAGCCAACTTTGCCTTCGTCGTTCCCGAAGAAGCGATGCCTCCCCAGAGCACGTCCGGATATGTCTTCACCGAGAAGGCCGTTTGAGCACCAGCCAGTGAACCTCCGTACAGAATCCAGGGTGTATCTGGTGCGGTCAACGCCCCATTGACGCCAGGAAATGTGGCGTGCTGCGCGAAATATGCATTATCAGCGATAGTCTGCTCAGTAGTGAGGAATCGTAGCTCGTCCGTGGAGGATATGTTGAACGGGAAGCTCTCGCCATAGTAGCGATTCTCGAGAATGACTCCCAGACCGTTGGTTGCCTCCATCAGAATTTGGATGATGCCAGTTTCGAGGTTCGAGAATCTGTTTTGTCCGTTCGTCTCGCCGCCTATGTACAAGAAGACCGGACCACCTGGCTTGTAGTATGAGCTGTCGAAAAAGTAACGCTGTTTGAAAGTGGCATTGGTGTGCGGTGCGTATTTGGTCTCATTGTGGAAATGGTCGATCTAGAGTATGTTAGATGTGCGCACGCGAGGCGGACTTTGACTAACGGGCTGATCAATGGTGTAGGCTTGGTAAGTGGCCTTCGCCTGCCTACGAGCAACGTCTCTTGGTGACTGACGCAGCTGCCGTGGACCGCTCACGGCATCGACAGCACCTAATGTGCCCAAAATCAAAGTCAACAGCAGCATTGTTGGATTTGTTGTGAAGGAAGTGCAAATGCTGAAAGAGCGATCTTTGCCAGGTAGCTATATCACCCTGCATATCGCGCAATGCATCGTGTCGTAGCATTCATGTCTCATTCTAGGCTGCATTAGGCAGCTGTGAGGTCAACAGCCGGGCCGTGATACGACATTGACATTAGCCGCCAAGGATCACCAGTTCTCGGCGCAAGGCTTGTGATAGGATAATCTGGAGCCAAGTTCGACGTGCACGACACCAATTGCCAACGTGCTTTACTCTCTCATCTTTGCTGAGCGAAAGGACTCGCTGTTGATCGGTAGCTTGGAATCCATGGTTACAGGGCCGCGCTCCGCTGCTCCGGCCGCAGCATTGCCGATGAATGAACTTGCGGGCCATGCGAATCCGTGGCTTCCGGCGTCAGGCTCGGTGAGGTATTCCACAAGTGCCATACAGACGTACACACCGACAGCAGTAAGAATATGCCACCAGCCTAGATAAGCGAGCAACAACTTGTCAGCGTCCACCACGAAATGACTCTGCACGTTTGCACTGACCATGTAGCTCGAGGATGAAAGCCAGTGGCATGCCCACAGTGTGCCGTATCTCATTCAGTGTATCGCAGGCAAGGAAATCGAGATTCCAGAATCCATAGCCGCTCGCGAACGAGAGACTGCCGATCAAAGCCAGCTTGCCGAGTTGTCGCTTTTCAACGGGTTTGGCTCGCTCGTTGAGGACTCTTACAGTTTTGTACGCGACAACGACCACCATGATGCCAAAGAGAAGCGCGTGACCGTGTATCTCGTTGGTGATCATATGCCAGGTGGAGAACAGTATCAAGAATCCGAACACGGCTACAGCTGCCCATGTCTGTGTTCTCTCTGATTTGTCAAACGTCCAGATACGATGGAAGACTGCTCCGGCAGCAAAGAGCATTGATAAATCGTCACCTGTACCAGTCAGTCAATGCAACTATTCGCATAGCATAAACTTGTGCTTACCCATCTGAGAATGGTACTTCAGCAAGCAATGGAATATTGCTGAGGCTATACCAACAGTCGCCAGACCGTAGTATTGGAGCGATGCATGTCGTGAGTGAGGCACATGTCGAAGTCGTTGTAACCCTCGCGCGGCATAGTAGACTGCAATATGTTAGCGATGTCAATCTGCATTACGTTGTCCAAGGTATCGATACTGTAGGCTATATTGGACAGTGTGTTGATGAATTCACCAATGAACGAAGTCACAATATGATCCTGTTCATGTCAGAATCGAGCATGGCTGTGCTCACGACGTCAACAGCCGCACCTCTTCGCAGAAGCTGTATCTGCTGTCAGTACTACCAGTGGGCAGCCACGACAAATAGGGCAAAGCTCACTTGTGCCGTGAAGTTGGTGTTCCGAAGAATGGGACGAACGGCACCTCCGGATACGCTATACCGAGCATCGTGTCTGTCCGTGGCTTACGCTGCTTGAAGAGTTCCTTCTTTGTCGGCTTGTTTGCACAATGGAAGAGCTCAGCAGACGTGATAGGAGAGAGGAAATCTGGCCTACTTAACCTCTGCCGTCTGAGACGTTGTGTTGCCACGACGCGACTTATCACAACACAAATCCTGTCCCTGTGCACGTTCGTCGACTTTGGCGCTCGCTTACACTCCCAATTGGCCGCGAGAGCTACTGAAGTCGGCGTTTCTTACAGCGGTATACTGGTCTGCGTGGCCACGTCGAAGGAGGCATTGCGCAAGAAGGACCTTGGCACGGGCGAATTGTGACTCGTGATGCTTGCCAAACAGGGGACCAGAGAGCTTCATCTAGACCCCGAGACGTGAAAGCTTCAGGCATGATCCCGATGTGAAATGGCAAATGTGAAGGTTGGTGGAGGCGTGGAAGGCGAGGGACGCGACGCGCGCCATCTTTTGTGATTCGTTTTGCCACTTTGCCACGTTCGTCGGATGCCTGAGGCAGCGATTCTGCCCTGCATTTCTAGCGCAACTCTATTCAGCATCCCGGTCTTGAACTTTCTTTGTGCTGGCATTCACAACAATCAACAATACCTACTTTGCGATTTCTCGACCCGACACTCACCGCGAAGTTGTAGAACGAGGCCTCCGAAGAACAACGGAGATGGCTGGCCCGATAACTCCCGATGCGCAGCCCTGGACCAGCTTGCAGGGCAGACTAAACGATGGCCTCCTTCGCGGCTTGGCTGGAATGGGTTATGAGTGAGGCAAACGTCTGATCAAGGTCATCCGCTGTGGAAGTCATATGCTAATACCGGGTAGATATATGACGCCGGTCCAGCAGAAAGTCCTCACTGAGCTCCCATCATTCGACGCCGATTGTCTTGTTCAAGCCAAAACCGGAACTGGCAAGACCATTGCGTTCTTGCTTCCTGCATTGCACTCCCTTCTTGCAAACCCGACAGTCCCGCGGGGGCAGGTGGCAATTTTGATCTGTTCTCCTACCCGTGAGCTCGCGTTGCAGATCGCGAAAGAATGCAACTCAGTCACCGCTCAGCTGCGCCCTGGTCTGGAGTGCCACACGGCGTACGGAGGCACCTCCAAAGATCGGGATCTCAAGGCCTTCTTATCTGGTGATCCAAAGATTGTGGTTGCCACACCTGGACGGCTGAACGACTATCTGAATGACGAATATGTCGCGGAGAAGTTTGCGAACCTACGAACATTAGTTTTGGATGAAGCAGATCAAATGCTTGAGGCTGGATTTCTGGTCGCTATAAACGAAATTCTGCGCCGTCTACCGCCCAAAGACAAGCACCATTGGCAGGGAATGTGCTATTCTGCCACGATTCCCGAGAAAATCAAGAGCGTCCTACCCAAAATTTTGAGCAAACAGCACACACACCTGTCTACCGTGGACCCGAACGAGATACCGACGATCGACCTCGTGAAGCAGCATTCTGTCATTGTGCCATCGGTGGCAGACGTGTACCCTGCGTTATGGGCTCTCCTTCAGAAAGAGTACACTGCTACGAAGAGCGACTTCAAGGCCATCGTCTTCGGTTGTACAGCGAACGGCGTCGCTCTCATGCATGCACTCTTCTCGAGTCTTCTGCGGGACAATAACAACATCAAAGTGTTCCAGCTTCAGTCACGCCTTACTCAAGCGAACAGAACGAGAACCACGAATGAGTTCAAGGATGCTAAGGCTGGGATTATGTTTGCTTCCGATGTTATTGGTCGTGGCATGGACTTCCCCAATGTCTCGCATGTCGTGCAGGTTGGCTTGCCCTCCAACGGAGATCAATACGTGCACCGTGTGGGTCGCACAGCCCGAGCAGGCAACGAAGGACGCGCCATAATTCTGCTCACCCAGCGTGAAAGCTTCTTCCTGAAGGTGAACAAGAAGTTGCCAATCACACCGTATCCTGAGGATCTCACTGGTGCAGCGATCGAACAACCAGCCGCAGAAATTGGAGCAGCCTTCGTCAACGTCGATGAAGTCACTAAAGCGAAGGCTTACCAAGCATGGCTTGGCTTCAACAAAGTCTTCACGAAACAGCTTCAGCTTACGAACGACGGACTTGTGGAGCAAGCCAACGAATATGCTTCTGCAATGGGCTGCCCTGAGCCTCCCATGATCGACAAGCGTGTGGTAGGCAAGATGGGTCTGAAGGGTGTTCGCGGCTTGAACGTCGGCCTTGTGGAGCACAACACGTCCGGAGGTCGTGGCGGTCGACAGGGTGGTGGCGGTAATCGGAACGGCGGTGGCCATAGTGGAGAGAGTAGTGGCAGGATCGAGAAGAGTAATGGTGGCTCTAATCGTGGTGGCGGTGGCAGAAGAGGCAGAGGGCGCGGCAGAGGCGGACGCGGAGGACAGTCTTGAAAAGATCATGGTGTTCGGCAGTAAGGCAAGAGAGATACCCCTTGTTGAGCACTTGCATATGTGCTTCATGATAATAAAGATAGAATAGAGAGAAAATTCGAGGGACTGCAAGCTGAATGGTTACATAGATAATCTTACGGTTTTCCTTCCCAGCCCTGTTTGAGGAACGCTTCCGCTTGCGTGAACTGCATATCAGGTAACAGCTCATTCCATTCAGCAGACACATTTAATCTCCAGCACGAATACCTAACACCATGCCGCTCAAGAGCTTTTCTGCCAGAGCCCGGGCTTGCTCCGGTGTGAAAGCTGGATGATCAATCACTGGAAGCCATGAGCTTGTGATATTTCCAGCTTCCAGATCAGATATTTGCAGATATTCGACATCGAAGGGTCGACCTTGGAGGACGCGTCAGTCTTACTTGCACAATGGCATCTCTCGCTGGGACTTTATGTCGCCGGAGTGTACAGGGACTTCACATCTGCACTCACCTCTCACCCTCTCGCCAATCTTGATCAATTCTCCGATACTGATCTCCGTGCCTTTGATACCCCCTGTGACAGGCCACTCGCCACCGTAGTCGACTGCGTGCACTACGACTTTGACAAGATCTTCGAGTGTGGTCAAGGTCAGTCTATCGTTTTCTCCATCCGGCGAGAGAACAAGTGCTCGACAGTTCGCGAAATCAATGTGCGTTTCAAATGGGTTGAAGTGGGGCGAGGAAGAATGCTTATGAGGATAGAGAAAGTAATTTGGGAAGAGGCCTGGTTGGAAGAGTGTGTAAGATAGACGCTATTGGAGAGTCAATACTACAACTCAATGGAATTTACCAGAGAAGTGCGTCTTGCCTTTTCAGTCTGGTTGATTGACTCCAAATAGACTCGGATATCGTCTTTGCCTGAGTACCAAGGCATATGAGTGTTGTGTGCCCTACAAAAGGACTCTTGACATCAGCATTGAGCTTCCAAGAGGAGCGATTGTCTGGTGAGTTCTTACGTCGCCCACTCGCTCGGTGCAAAGCGTTTCACACCCGCTAGGATAGAAGCATCAATGAGAGCTCGTTGAGTTGCATTGTCGGGATCGGATTGTGTTGTGATGAAAGAGAGCACAGTATGTGTCTTCTTGAAAGCCTCTGCAAGCTGTGCTGCGTCTGTATAGCTCGTCTGTAGCCAGCGGCAGCCGGATCTGCTCTCGATTTTGGGAGGCTCCTGCGGCATTTTGAGCTATCAATCGGTAGAATGTCATGAGTAGTACGACTCACATTTCTCGAAAGCAACAAGATTTCGTGCTTGCCGGTGGCTACGAGCCCATCGATGACTTCTTGTGCTACGCCTAAGCTTGCTCAGTCACGACACCACCGTATGTGGCTGGCGAGGGGTGGACTCACTTCCAGAAGCGCCTGCAATGGCAATTGCGACCATACTGGACTAGTCTTTGCGCAGTGTGATGGTGGAAGCTGTTGCGCGAATTAGGGAGACTTGACGACGGTTGCCTTGTCGAGATCATGCGCGAAGGATCGCTGAACACTATATATGCCGAGAGCTTGGGGCAAGCTCATGCTGCACTCTGCCACTCCCGTCTGTGACCTAAAGCCTGCTTTCGATATCAGCATATACGAAATATTTGACTGGTGAAATCTGTAGAAAGTGTGCAGAGAAGAGTACATGTGCATTGTTCGCTTCTTCACAGCGGTCATCTGTATCGCATAAACACAAGGAAGTGGGTATCATTTGCTCAAGAGCAGCACGTCAATCTGTCGCCACGCCACAATACGTGGGAAGAGATCATCAAAATTCTCTATTCTTGCCATCTCCGGGTCCCAAAGCCCCGGCACCCCAGACGCCAACCAGACCCCAAAAGCCAATTCGCCATCCTCGAACGAGTCCAGCTGCACCTTGCCCTCGTCGTGTACGTAGCATGCCATTTGTGGCCTTCGTTGTGGTCTCGCCCTCGCTGTACATGATGCCGTAGACGGTGCCCCACACGCCGCTGTATGGAGCGGGCTCGACGATGAGTGTCGTGTCCGGATCCGTTTGCCTGAGCTGCGTCACCTGCGCTCTTCGAACGACGGTCTCAAATGGCAGGCGGACAAAGAGCTCGGTGAGGGTGGTCGTGAAAGCAGCGAGCGACCACAAAGATGGCGTAAGCTCGGGTGTTAGACCTAACTGGCGTCGAAGGAACAACGGCGCTGCAGCAGAAAACACATTGGGTATTGAGTGGTACAGTGCAGTAGGTGTCCAGAGGTTGGACGGAACGACCAAGGAAGGAAGTCGCTTCAAGTTTGAAACTAGGCCTCGCTTGCCCTCGGAGATGGGCGTGACAATCAATTTCGTCCGAACCAGGTCCAGTGGAGCCAGTAGCAGGCCCGTCAAGCAGCTTGCGAGGCCAATGACGAACAGTGATCCGATAGGATTCGGAGAATCGCCGAGATCGATGCCGCTGAATCCAACACCTCCTGATAAGTTCAGACCGGGCCCAAGTCCTCCCTGATCAGGACCAGCAATGTCGGGCAGACCGAGTATCGCAAGCAATAGACTTCGAATGAAGGAATCTGTCGTTCGGAGCAATATTGAATACAAAAACGTAGTGTTATTTGCCCGCCACAATCCAACGGCTCCCGATGTGTTGTACAGAGCAGAGATGGCCTGCATCACGCTTTCCGGCTTCTTCACTCGTATTACCACATCTTCTGCTGCGCCTGGTTGGGTTCTGTTTCTCGGCCGTGGGGTAGGCGATAGATCCTCACTCGGTGGGGTCCTCTTTCGTCTTCGGGGTGACCGACTGCGCGGTGCTGTAGCTGAGAAGTAGTCTGGGATATCATCGCTCCTGTCGCTGTCCTCGCCCTCGTCCGTCTCCGTTTCGTAGGGGTTTCCTCCTCTGCCTCTACTGCTGCGAGCATAGCCTGTGCTCTGTGCTGTGCGCTTTTTCTGTGAAGTCACTACTTCTTGTGATTGTGGGAGAGATACTTGGAGGATGGTCTTGGCGACATCGAAGGGTTGAGCCAGCAGGACGGATGTGTAGCGCCAGGCGAGGGTGTCGAACAAGCTGCGCGTATGTGACCAGGCCTCGCTCGTGGTGGACGAGATGTCGAGGTCTGGAAATAAGTCGCGGGCTGATGAGAACGAGGCATCGGGCCGTGATGCTGTTGTAGTGCCAGGCCGGGTCGCGTTCGCGGCTTGTGATGTTGATACTGATGGACCGGGGCCTATCGAGGGCGGGATGTAGTATGGACGCAGCGGGTTCGGCTCTCGCGACGACGCCATGGAGAAGCGGTCTTTGTGGTCCATGTCTGCTGGCGTGCCCGTGCCAACTTATCGGTCGCAGGAAGAGAGGTGTTGATGGCTGCTCAGATGACGATGCAAGCAAGCAAGCAAGCAAGCAAGCCACAGAGCGGAGCGGAGGTCCGATCCGCCGCCGCCACCGAGAGGCCACAATACCTCCCCCACTCTGACTCGGACTCTGACTGCTCTGGACATCGTTTATTCCACTTCCAGCCCACCGCAACCCTCACCGGCGTCGAAGCCACCCTTCAGTCTTACACCATAGCAGCACAGTCGGGTATTACACCGACATCGTGTCAGGATGGTGTTGCAAGACCTCGGCCGCCGCATCAACGCCGCGGTCAACGATATCACCCGCGCCCCGACGCTCGATGAGAAAGCCTTCGATGGCATGATCAAGGAGATCTCCACCGCCCTCGTCGAAGCTGATGTCAACGTGAAACTGGTCTCCAATCTCCGCAAGACCATCAAGTCTGCAGTCAAGTTTAACGAGCTACCTGCGCACGCGAACAAGAAGCGCATTATTCAGAAAGCTGTCTTCGATGCGCTGGTCGACATTGTCAACCCACATGGCAAACCTTACGAGCCAAAGAAAGGCAAGAGCAATGTTATCATGTTCGTCGGTCTCCAAGGTGCGGGTAAAACGACTACATGTACGAAATTGGCACGCTGGTACCAGGCGAGAGGGTTCAAGACGTGCTTGGTTTGCGCCGATACATTCCGTGCTGGTGCTTTTGACCAGCTGAAGCAGAATGCTACCAAGGCCAAGATCCCATACTATGGCTCCCTCACTCAGACCGACCCTGTCGTCGTGGCGAGGGATGGTGTGGAGAAGTTCAAGAAGGAGAAATTCGAGATCATCATCGTGGACACTTCGGGTAGACATCACCAGGAAGATGCGCTCTTCGCTGAGATGGTGGAGATTCAGCAAGCTGTCACGCCGAACCAGACCATCATGGTCCTCGATGCTTCAATCGGTCAAGCAGCTGAGGCACAGTCACGAGCGTTCAAGGAGACTGCCGACTTCGGGTCTATCATCATCACGAAAACCGATGGTGCCGCGGCAGGTGGTGGTGCCATTTCTGCTGTGGCGGCGACTCATACACCCATTGTCTATATTGGTACGGGTGAGCACCTTTTGGATCTCGAGAAGTTCAATCCTCAATCCTTCGTCTCGAAGTTGCTCGGCATGGGTGACATGCAGGGCCTGGTCGAGCATGTGCAGAGTCTCAAGCTTGATCAAAAGGAGACCATGAAGAACATCACTGAAGGTCGCTTCACTGTTCGCGATCTTCGAGATCAGATTCAGAACATCTCCAAGATGGGACCCCTGAGCAAGATGGCAGGCATGATCCCTGGTCTGTCCGGCATGATGGGAGGTATGGACGATGCAGAGGGCGGTGACAAGCTCAAGCGCATGATCATCATCTGCGATTCCATGACACAAAAGGAGCTCGATTCGGATGGCAAGATCTTCGTCGATCAGCCATCGCGAATTACCAGAGTCGCTCGTGGCTCAGGCTCTTCTGTTCGCGAGGTTGAGGAGCTGCTCTCGCAACAGAAGATGATGGCAGGCATGGCGAAGAAGATGAAGGGCGGTATGGCCAACATGCAAAAAGCACAGGGTGCTATGGGTGGTGCCAATCAAAAATCTCAAATGGCGGCTATGCAGAAGAGAATGCAGGCTATGGGTGGTGCAGGTCGTGGTGGAGGCATGCCAGATATGAATTCTCTCATGAAGATGATGGGAGGAGGTGGAGGTGGCGGTATGCCCGACCTGTCTGGAATGGACATGAGTAGCATGATGTCCATGATGGGTAATATGATGGGAGGCGGCGGAGCTGGCCGTGGCCGTGGTCGTTGAATACCTCACCACTTTTGACGACAGCTCGATCATCAAGGACGACCCCTATGCACTTAATTGGATACTCCACAATACCGACGTCTTGACTATTCATTTTGGAAAGTTGAGCAGCGATCACATCTTTATAGAGCTACACCGGCTTCAGCAACTCGGCAGTCATCTGCACCCCAAGATTGTCCAGTGCACGCCAGAGGATGAAGTTCACATGCCAACCTGGGACGTGTTCTTCACCGGTGTCACAAGCAAGGGAGGCACGTCTGCCTGCTCGATGCCTGATCTGGTACCACAAGAAGGTCCCACATTAGGGACTTATAATTGCGAGATCACACTTTCCCTATCCTTTGATCGCAACTCAGAGCAGCTGCACATGCTTCCAGACTATGGCATCCAAAATTCAAAAATGCATCAAACTATTGGCAACCATGGACATCCTCGAGGTCGAATGCATCAAGCAGATGTCAGAATCGCACGCTTCCGCGCTAGCTGGAAGAGAAGACAAGAAGAACGTGTTGTTTTGTCTTCCACAAGAGCTCAGAGACGAGATCTATTCTCTGGTTGGCATCATAGAGTCGCAACGAGACACCGAGTATCTGAAGCCTCCACTGTGGCATCCATTGCAACTGGTCAGTCGGCAGACCCGAGCTGAGTACCTGGAGTGCATGAGCACGCAAATTCTCGTGGGCTATTACTACGATGATGAAGCTGAGCCAAGTGTGTGGAAGAAATTACCACCTTCCGCCATTCGACACATCATCATCGAAGGTCCAGATCCTGGTTGTTGCAACTTCAAGTCCCGAGGAATTCAATGCTTTGATCAGACGGCGGAAGAAGCTCGCGCACATGCCCCCAACTATCCCAGGCATCCAAACGTGTGCCGGGGTTATCTCCAGCTGAAGAAGCTGCTGCCCATGATACCAGATGTTGAATGCCATGCGGTTCGTCATAGATGTTCTTGGTGGACGGAGGATGGGCTGTGCTGGGCACAAATACTGAAAAGGATGGATTGCGCGGAGCTGGCTTTTGATCGGACTATGTTGCTGGACTCTGGGACCGACTATTGTGAACAAGATTCGGATTTCATGGGGAACATCAGTTGGAGACCAAATATGATTCAAGGCAGCATCTCGAAGGAAGTCATCAATACCGACATTCTTGCCCCAAGACAACCGATTCATCCCTTACAGGAATGCTAGCAGAACAAACACAAAATCATAGCAGAACAAACACAAAATCAGGCATCTCCATAGCACACGATAGTCCACAGCCGCCATTCCAATGCGTTCCGTATATCGGCGAGCCGCTGTCGATCTTTGACGCCCCGCAACTCGCATGGCTGAACGCCGGACTGAGCGCGAGGCTCTCGAGACAGCGTCGATTGCATGCATCGGCAATTGAAGGCACGAGATAATCAGGCAATGGCTGATCAGGACCTCCACATAGCGGCCACACATACCCCAGAAATACCCCACAAGACGACATGTCTTGGCGCCAGCCCTCGATACATATATAACCCGAGCGTCGTGACCACAGTAGCGATATCGCAGCCGACCGTCTTGCTTTCAGTAATCCAATCATGGGCTTTCAGCGCGCCAAAGAAGATCGTCCTACGCCGTCAGAGGTCTACAATTGGAGAATCTATGCCTTTGCGATCATTGTGTCCTTTGGAGTCCTTGCATATGGATATGACTCGTCATTTATCGGAACGACGATTGCGCAGCCTGCGTTCAAGCGCGACTTTGGGATGCTCAATATGAGCAAAGCAGAACAGGATGCTGTTAGCAGTAATTTGACCAGTATTTGTTCGTAGCGTCTTATCACTATTCTATTCAACCAAACATCTGATACTGATCATATTATTGTAGACTCGGCCGGAGGCTTCTTCGGAGCGCTCTTCATGTTTTTTGCCCTTGAGCTGCTAGGCAGATGGTGGACGATCGTCATCTCGAACGGCATATTCACCGTCGGCGCAGTTCTCTGTACAGTTCCAACAACTCAACTTGGCCTGGTATATGCTGGGAGACTTCTCACCGGGCTCGGTGTTGGAGGCATCGCGGCCGTGTGTCCCATATATGTCGCCGAATTATCACCACCCGCAATTCGAGGCCGGCTCACTGGATTCTTCGAGTCAGCGTATCAAATCGGCGCCGTCATTGGCTTCTGGGTTAATTACGGAATCGTCCATACCATCGGTACGGAGTCGTCCACAGCTTGGCGCATACCGATGGGTGTACAGCTCGTGCCGGCTGGGATGCTCGCCATCGGAATACCCTTCCTCAGAGAATCTCCAGTGTGGTTGATCAAGCAGGGCAGAGTAGAGGATGCCAGAAAGGCGTACAGCTACTTCAGATGCTTACCTGCCGATCATGTCTACATCACGGAAGACATCGATTTTGTCCATGCTGAGCTTGAGAACCAGCGAGGCGCGAACAAGAGCTTTACCAACTTCCTCAGCGATGCCGCAAGAGAGGCTATCAGCAAGGGCATCTGGAATCGCTTCGTGCTTGTCTTTGTCATGTTCATGTGGCAAGGCTGGTCAGGCGCTGCGGCTATCAATTACTATTCGCCTACCGTCTTCAGCAGCATCGGACTCACCGACACAACTCTCTGGACTGGAGTGTACGGTCTGATCAAGGCTGGAGGGTCAATCATTTTCTTCACCTTCTTCATTGACAGTGTCGGTCGCCAAAAGCCATGGATCGTGTCCTGTCTCGCTTGCGCCGCATGTCAATATTACCTGGCAGGCTACATCGCCGTCGGTAAACCACAAGCTGGAGCGACTGATCTCAGTGCAAGCACAATCGCTGGAGGCAAAGCTGCCACAGCTGCCATTATGATTTTTGGTGCGACCTGGTCTTTTGGTGCAAACGGTCTGCCATGGATCATATCGGCCGAGATCTTTCCTGCTTCTCTCAGGAGTATCAGTGGACCATGGGCGGGAATGAGTGTTTGGCTTTGGACGTTCGTCGTCACGAAAGCACTGCCCAGCATGTATACAAGCATGGGATATGGAGTGTACATTTTCTTTGCATCGATGCTGGTCTTGTCCTCTATCTACGCTGTGTTCTTCATCCACGAGACGAAGGGGCTGAGGCCCGACCAGATGGATGCCTTGTTCGGTAGAGCCAGCGATGCGCGACCTTCTGGGCCACGCGATGATGCGTCCACGCACACCAAAGAGGATCAGGGCAAGCAGTTTACCACGCGAGTGGAGGTTGTGTAGTTGCACGCATCGAGATTCAGGCAGGAAGGTGCTTGTAGCCGTGATCAGAACTGACTGGTCCGCTCAAATTCAGATGGAGTTCCGAGCAAAAGGCTTCTTGCTGCACAACCCCATCGCCCAAGAGTCACTCTCGCTCGTCGTCGTCAATACTGAGCGTTGTAGCACGCATTCGTTGCGTAGACGGGCTCGATTCTTGGCCCCGGAGCCCGAAACTGATTTTCCGACAGCGTAGTGCGAGGCCTCCGTGCTTCACTTCACAGCAGCAGCCAATTCTGGCTCTGTCTTCCCTCGCTCCAATGCCCTGCATTGTTCCCAATTGTCCCGAAGCCAGTCGTCCACAGCAGCTGAATTTCTGAGAGCGTCGCCATCCAGCCAGAATCGCAACTGCGATTCTTCATCGCTATGTTTGTGTGCCAAAATCTTTGGTTGGCCACCGTCAAAGCCCACCCATCGACGAATGGCTTTGACAATTTCAGCGACCTTTTTCTCGCCTCCGTCGTAGTGTTTTGCCACCATCGGCTTGATCAGATAATCGGCAGTCTGGTTTGCGATAGAAATGGCAAGGTCGTCTCGAAGCTTGTCAACTTCTTCCCGCTTATCGAAGAACGAAACAGCCTCCTCGCGCCATTCCTGCCTTCGCCTTGCAAGATCGTCTTTCCAGGTTGCCGAATCATCGAGGTCGCTAACCTCTAGCTCCATATGCAATGGCAGATAATCTTTGAAGAAGCTTGTGATCATTGATCGTTTGTGCTCCTTTTGACGCTGATTCGATGTGTCTTTGCGCTTGTACTGCAAGTTACCCACATAATCTGGAGTGAGCAGCCTGCATGTTGCGAGCCAGGCGTAGAATTCGTCCACAGAGTCGAAGGTGGAGTGATATTGCGCAACATTGAGGCCGAGGAATTGCATGACATGGTCTGGATCATTCGAAAGAAATAACAAGCCCTGCCGATCTGTGACGCGCAAGTGAAATTCGCTTGCCTTTGCTTTCGCATCTTCGAGCTCTTTGAGACGAAGGAATAGACCTCTATCGCTCACCGTGAACCCTAGATTGTGGACAATCTGCCCAAGCAAGCCCGACAAGTCGCCATATGAAGCATAAAAAGCATGCCAGTCGAATAAAGCTGGCTCAATCAAGTCGATGTCAATCTGCGCATACTCCAACTCGCTCTGTATCGGTGACGCCTGTCGACCCTTGTTTGAGTGGACGTTAGTGTACCTTATTGGCGGTTCGGTGTGTTTCTCGCCGTCGAGGGCTACAGCCAGCATATGTAGACCACCGTACGACAAGAAGCCAGCTGCTCCAAGAGCAGTCGCAAGTTGAGTGGCATCCAGCGGGCCATCCGAGGCGACAATGAAATCGATATCGCCATAATCAGCTTTGCCTGGAGCCTCTCGCAGTTGAGTGACACGGCAATTTGGAAAGAACTCCGCCAAGCGCTGTAGGTAGATGGTCTTTAAGCGTTCATATGTCTCTGGTGTCATCCGCGGAGTTCGCAGTGTCGGTTGTCCTTGTGCCACCGCATGAGCAAATGCTGCGCCGCCCATGACGAGGCACTGATTGTCGATCGTCTGAGTTCAGCAGGTAGTAGAGTCAAAGTGGACGTAGACGCAGTAGCGCCGCGAGTCTTTCTGTGCTTCTGGAGCATGCAGTGGAAAGCGAGTGAAGTTGTGGATAGCAAGCCCTGTCAGATCAATGATGATTCAAGTGCAATGTGGGAGGACATTGATTCAGAAATACTTATGAGATCTGTGCTCGTCCGAGGCGATTCGAAAGTGAATGTATATCACGCGAATGAGCATGTCACGCCGCGTGAATGCGAGTCAATGACTCTACTCTTCCGCAAGCGCGATCCTCTGTGTGACTGATGCGGTTCAGTGCGGCGAGCTCGATGGAGAAGAACTACGCCAAATTTGTCTGGGACGGCTCACAGAGCTTTCTCAATGTGATGAGAGCGTGAGTCGATGAAGTTGTGTTCAGGCCAGGCGTCCATTGGAATGTGGACGTGTATCTGAAGCGAGCAACGGACCGCGCGCCGAAAGCTTCCATACTTGCTGAGCGTCATCACCAACACAACTTCAGGTTCTTCCACTAACGAACATGTCTACAGCGCGATGGTTGCTCAGACTTCCTAGAGTAGCGAGCACAGAATCTGCTCAGACTCAAGGTAGGGTGAGATGCGGTCAACTACAGCAAAGGAGATGGAAAGGTAGTCGAACTCCACGCAAACCGCCACCGCGAGCCCGACCATGGGCAAGCATACCGAAGAAAGATGGAAATGAGCACAGTACCAATTTGAGTCGCGAAAAACAGGATCGCAGCCTGGAGGAGAGAACGGCGAACATATCGAGGCAGCAACATGAAGCCCCGCAGGAAGAGGCCCAGCAGCCCACCCAAGCGCCCGACCAGACAACAGCAGGACGAAACACCCAGCTCGCCGCTACCCTCGCCGAAGCAGACACATCCGACCTGGTGACAGAAGTTCGTATCCCAGACGATCCTTATGGCGTTCTTCCGCCAGATCACCCGGCCCTTGCGATCCTGTCGAATAGCTCGCTGGTCATTCAACGCCAGCTAGAGATGATGAACGTCATGCTTGGTTTTGAACAAGCAAATCGTTACATCGTCATGGATGGACAGGGACAGACAATAGGGTATATCGCAGAACAAGATCATGGCATGGGCAGCATGTTCAAGAGGCAGATGTTCTCGACACATCGAAGTTTCACGACACACATATTCGATAAACATGAGCGGGAAGTGCTGAGGATACATCGCCCATTTGCTTGGATCAATAGTCGCATCAGGATATACGATCCCGTTCCTCCGGGCGGCTATGAAGAGCGAGAAACGTCAACGAGCACGGCTTTGCAAGGCACGAGCGCGAGCTCTGTCGTGGACCAGACTGCTGTTGCGCAGATCTCGCCACTGAAGCTCGAGGAGATGCGTGTCATCGGCGAGACGAGACAAATATGGGCTCCACTGAGAAGGAAATATGCGATGGCGACCTATCGACCTAGCGAAGACCCGTCAGATCCCTACAGCGCACCGCGCATTGAATCTGGCGAGCGTCCAACCTCCGACACCAAAGACGTGACAGTCACAGAAGCAAAGACCGGAGACAGTGCGATCGAAGCGGGAATGAGACAATTCGCTCACGTTGACGAACCATTCCTATCCTGGGACTTTACGCTACGCAATGAATCAGAAGAGACAATTGGTAGCGTGAATCGCAACTTCGTTGGCTTTGCACGAGAAATATTCACCGATACTGGTGTCTATGCTTTGCGTATGGACAGCGCTGCTCAACAGGCTCAGCTTCAGGATCCGGACGGGAAAGCGGTAGCTGAATATCAACGCGAAGGCACAGCTATGACTCTTGACCAAAGAGCTACAATGCTCGCCACGGCGGTTTGCATAGACTTCGACTACTTTTCGAGGCACTCGGGCGGTTCCGGCATGATGCCCATGTGGCTACCGTTTGGCATGGGTGGCGGAACCGCTGCGGAGGGTGGAGCTGCAGCCGGTGCTGCTGGGGCTGCCGGAGCTGCAGAAGGCGCTGGCGCCGTCGAAGGTGCCGCTGCAGGCGCTGTTGGAGCAGCAGGTCGTGCTGGCGGCGCGATTGGGGCCGGCGAAGGCGCCATAGCAGGTGCAGGATCCATGGCAGGATATGAAGCCATGCAACGTGGCATGCACGGCCCTCGAGGAGGCGATGATGCCAGTCCGACTGCGAACGAGCCTTTTGCCGGGGACGGGCAGTATCCGCCGCAGGACAATGCACCCAGCAGCAGCAATGATACATGGGGAGAGAATGACGACCCCTGGGGAAGAGGAGGACCAGGAGATGGACCACCCCCACCAAGTGCTGGTGGAGAAGGTGGCGGCGATGGCGGAAGTTGGACAGATGCCATTGGGGACTTTTTCGATGTTTGATATCGAGAGGGGTTGGGAACAGTTTTGACTACTCCACTCACATCGTGTGCAATGCATGGCGAGGCTGAGGGCATTCAGCATGGCCAATATTCGAGGCCTACAGAACCGGATAGAGTGTATGAATAATGACGAGCAGAAACCTTCTTCACTTCCGCCAGGATCAAAAGGCTGATGAAACTTCAAGACTTCTCCACTCGCTTTCATACATCAGCAAAAGCTCAAAAGTCATGCTGGTCATAACACTGATGGGTATCTCAAAGCCAAACGCCGTGAAGCAGTCTCCCTCCCCAGCATCCAGCCTGCTTCCTGGTATAGAGTCTTCGTCGTTCACTAATCAATCTCGTATGGACCCAACCTTATCCTAACGTCATAAACATTCCATATTCCATTCCAACTCAGCCTCCACGTTGTCCTCATCGTTGCGATTGTCGCTGCATACGTCGCATCGTATGCTCCGATCTAATGTTGTGGTGGAGGTCCTTGTGGTGCTATTGTGCCATAACCTCGGACGCCGCCCGTCTGTACGTTGTCGCTGTAGACTCCAGGCGCAGGTCGTTCGCTGTAGTAGCCTTGCTCTGCTTGCTCTTTGCGAGAGTAGTAGACGTATTCGATGTAGAACCTATAATCGAAGGCGGGAAGGTTAGTTTGAGTTTTCGTGTATTGTTTGGGTACAGGGAAGAGCTGCGACTTACGCGTGAATGTGACCTGGCAAGTAGCCTAGAAGAGTCAGGCAGATGTTGATGAAGAGGTCTGCGCCGCAGCCTGCGACGAGGAAGACGCCGACTGGTGGCAGGAAGATGGTGATTATCACGAGGATGATTGCGGAGATCATGGTGAGGACGGAATCTGGTGAGTTTGTTGATGAGTCGTGTGGTCAACTACCTTGGTATTCTGTTCGGAGCGTGTTGTCTTGAACAAGCGCGTAGCTCTACATATGTGCTTGCGAACTGAGCTGGAGCAGGTGACGCGCAACGACGAAGCGCGCTTAGGAAAGTGTGGCTCAGGCAGCTGCGCCACAGGAACCGGAATCTTTCTATCACCGGTTGCCGAGCCGTCTGACAGGCACCAGGCACGATGAGGACTTCATTCCTCTTTCTCGACGACATCTCGTCTTTGCAAGCGACATGTGTCCGTCAGGAAAGCGCGCTGCCCTTTTGGGACGGCCGCTCTTGGAACAACATGTACCTGCAAGATACGAACCATCGCTCTCCAAGCCAAGAAACGGTTCTAGGCCACGCGTCGAACCAAAAAACGGAACTGCCCGCTACAGCTCTGGAACGACGAACATCGAAACAGAACGTCGGGAAAGCGACGTCTGCGCGCTGTTTCGACGGGGATCTGGGTTTTGCAATTGCGCAAAAGTGTCGGAATCCCAAATGTCCAGGTATGGCGTTAGGTGTACGCAGTTCGTAGACTCCTAGATTGCGACGATCGGCGAGCTACCCCGTCTTTTTTTATCCTCAGGAATTGGCTTCCGTACAGTGGACCGGAGCACAGTGGCTTAGGAGATGTGCCAAGGCCACTCAAAGCAAGCGTGCAACTCCTCACAGCAAGGCAGCGACCCATCACCCTTCTCATCCCTTGCAAAGACTCCGTTTGGAGCCCGATGCGATCGCTTTCTCGACGGCCGATGGCAGCATAGCAATCAGCCAAGTGCGCAAGTTGCATGACAACCCACTCCCGGCCCCGTTCAACATGCTGGCCAGCGTAGCCGTTCAGCCTTCAGGGAGGGCATGGCGCCTTCTATTGCTGGCCAGTGTATTGCTGCCCGCAATCGTTATATATACCGTATGGTATGGCATGAATTCTGACAAGGACGATATACCAGCCATCCTTACCCAACTCATACCCGCGGGACACGCCACATGTCAGCAAGCCACCCTGTTTCAGTGCCAGTCTTGTCTGGAGCAACAATATGCGGTCAACGAAAGCGACCACTCAACCTGGAATTATCAGTATTGGCGAGATTCTCGAGACGACGGACTGAGTGAGCAACAGTGCAATGCAGCCTTTCCTGGCCTCTACGAAGACATTCTCCAGGGTACACAGTACTGGCAGCAGAAACGCCAGACGAAAATCACAGCTGCGATGCTTGATCATATCGACATGAAGAATGGAATGACGAGAGCGATGATCTATGAAGGCGACTTGTACGTCCTTCAGACCAAGTCCACCGGCGAGGATCACCGAAGAAAAGTTGTTGCTATCCTGAGTTCATTACACCGAGCAGTAGCTGGGATTGCCGACCGCAGAAGTCTACCAAATGTCGAATTCATCTTTTCGGTCGAGGACAAGGCCTCCGATGTGACAGGTCGCCGGACTGAACCACTTTGGGTCGTTGCGCGAAAAGCCCACGAGCAGTCCTTCTTCCTCGTGCCCGATTTTGGCTTCTGGGCTTGGGACAACATCATCAAGGGGAAGAACAATGAGGTCGGTCCATATGACGAGGTCATCCGAAAGGCGGTCGTTATCGAAGAAGGAATGAACTTCGTCGATAAGAACCCTCAGCTTGTATGGCGCGGCAAATTGAGCTTCACACCCAAGTTAAGGCGGGGACTTCTGGATGCCGCACGAGGAAAGGAATGGAGCGATGTCAAGGAGATTAACTGGGACGTCAAGCAGAACTTCCTATCGCTTGATGAGCACTGCAAGTACATGTTCATCGCACATGTCGAAGGCCGCTCTTACTCAGCTTCATTGAAGTATCGACAGGCATGTCGATCGGTCATTGTTGCTCACAAGTTACAGTACATCCAACACTTTCACTATCTCCTCGTTGCCGATGGTCCGCAGCAAAACTTCGTTCAGGTCGAGCGCGATTTCTCGGATCTGGCGCCAAAGATTGAGGAACTCATCGCCAACCCACTCAAGGCGAAAGAGATTGCAGACAACAGCGTTCGCACTTTTCGAGAGCGATACCTGACACCCGCTGCCGAAGCTTGCTACTGGCGCGCGCTGGTTCGTGCGTACGGTACTGTCAGTGAAGAGGCGAATATATGGCAAGATCCCGGTACAGGGAAAGTAAAACGTGGTTTGAGGTACGAGACATTCCTTCTGCTCTCCAGCGAGGAGATGTTAGATTTCGCTGCAGTCGAGCAATGAGGAGAATGGCATATCGGAGAAATTTCCAAGGATCGCATCCGGCGCAAAGTCGTGCATACGGCATCTAATTTATTGCGATCACTAATCATACCAGTCGTTGAGCGCGGCATCGCTTGCGAGAGTCGCACAAATACAACCGGAGAAGACACTCTTTCTGTACAGTGCGTCGAAACAAGTCGGTAGCAGGGAAGCCTGGGCACGAAAGCAGTTGCAGCGTGCAAGGCGGCGCAGTCGAAAGCTCCAGCAGAGCAGAAAGAACCGCGAGGCACCAGCCAGTGATGAGAACGGTATACATATTGTACAGACAAACAAATGTTCAGCTGCATACTCGAGTGATAGCTACACACTAGCATTATTTGACTTTTGACTTTCGCTTTTCCCAAACTCAATTCTTACCATGAAGTCTTGCCATCAATCATACACGGCAGTCACGACTGGGAACAAGAATCCTGCTGCACTACAATAACACACCCCACGCGCATAGATTACTCCGATTGTGCAGTTGCCTTCAAAATCTCAATCCATCATCGGATCATATCCCATGATGTCGAAATCCCATCGGACTCATATCCCCATCCAGCTCACCCGCCGAAAAGCGGCTCTGACCCGATCGGCACATCACCTCCATACAGCATCTACTCCTCAAAACCAACAACACATACATACCATGATCCTCCCTTCCATCCCATGCACAACCCAAACTAGGCAATACGACCAACAAAGCTCGTCGCGGCAGCCATTCCGATACGAGTCGCCGTATACAGTTCCGGCGCCAACAAAAATCCAACCTTGCGGACCTGCGCTGCTTGCATCATTTTTCGGCCTTGCTGGCTTACGGCTGGCGCCCATTCTTCCAGAATGTTACCTTCCTTGGCCACGTGTCCGCGTCGAGAGACGAGTGATTGGATTCGTGAGGTGCGGGAGCTAAGGGGTGTAGAGCTGTACGGCGACGATTGCTGTTATGAGTAAGTCGGTGGAAGGCTTCGAGAAGGAAGTTCTTTCTTTCTCTGGTCATGACCATAATGGGCGAAGCTGGAAAGAGGGGCCGCGCCGCTGGGGAGAGAAAAGGATGAATTCCGGATAGGAACATGCTCGGACTCTGGATCGCGGGAATAGATGGCAAGTGAAAGTCGGCGTGACGTGAGGTTAGTATTTCCCAAGGTGCTGTGAAGTGGAAGAGAGAGAGGGCATGTTGGAAACAACTTCTTCGCATAGAGTACATGCATATGCCTGGCCTATGCTTCTCACCCGCTCTCTAGAATTTCTTTGACCGGTAGTCTGCAAGACAGAAGACGCAAGCGCGCCCAAGTGAACGACGCTTCAAAGCAACGCTGCGCTGTCCGTCTGCCTACCAGCTATGCCTTCTGAGCTACTGAAAGCACAGAATGGCTCGATGCACGCGCTAAAGACCCGCTCGCAAGAACAAAATTTGAAAATGACCCTCTTTGAAGCCCACAAGTCATCTATCGTCGCAATTATGAGTCTACTGCACGACTCCAAACCTTTTCCGACCTTGAACCTTCGATCGCTCGCTCGCTCGCTGAATTGTAGCGCTTCGTAGCTGTACACCCGTACCCCAAGCAGTCATGAATCTCGTGGTTTGCATCCCTTCATCGAATGTTGAGGCTTTCGTAACGTCCCCAGTTCTGGCGATTACGGTTGGGGTGCTCCAGTCCCAGATGATCTTCAGGTCCGAGCTTGTCAGAGAGGATGTCATCTGTGAATATGTTAGCTTTTGAAACATACGAGATTGAGTTTCAGGGAAGACTTACCGTCTGCGATCCACACAGGTCTGCTGTAGACTTGGCCGCCTTTGATCACAGCGAACTTGACCTTCTCTAGGTTCTTGCCCTTCAGACCTGTTCGCTTCGAGATTCGCTCTTTGGTCTCCTTGAAAATTTCGCCTGCCTTCATGAGGAATATGAACGGCACTCCATGCGCTTTGGATGGCTCCTTCTCGAAGTGAAAGCAATACATCAATCGGTCACCGTTGTCTGGATCCGCCTGTGACTCCTCTTCCGGAATTCGCTCAGCATACACGCTCATGAACTCGTTTAGTGCAATGACACCATGTGAAGGAGGTAGAACCTTGTACACCTTGTTACTGTGAACTTCGTAGAAGCGGATCTGGTCCACGATCTCGTCGGGAAGACTTGCGCGTTGCTGTAGGGCTCCAGACACATCACTGAAGTTGGCCTGTTTGTGGAGCAGCAGATCGAATGGCTCTTCTTTCTGGATGCCTTCAGTGAGCCAGATGATACGCACGTTTTTGCGTTGTTCCAGGTCTGTCAAACTCATTTCCAGTACTTCGTAATAGAGATGATCTGGAGCCTGCGTCGCTGTATAGCCGTAGCTGCCGTAGCCATTGTTGCCCATGAGGATATGATTGACCGTGGTGTTCTGCTGTCTCTTCACCACAGCACGTGGCTTACCAGACTGAACATTGGTCGTGGTGAATCGCAGATGTGAGGGCTCGATCGTGGTTTCATTCTTGGAGGAAAGATAATCGGCAACCTTGTGCGCGAGTGCATCGTACGTATCTTTCTTGGAGAGTGCGAGCTGGAATTGCGCATCCTCCTCGTTGCGCAGCTGCAGGTTCACAAATGACTTCGGCGTGAAGTTGACGAAAAGTCGGTTCAACAGGAAGTCGTAGAAGGTGGGTGCAGTAAGGCATGCAGTTGGGTTGGTCTGGCGAATCGCGCTCTGTTCGGCCTCCGACAGGCTCCGCTGGAAACAGATAATGTCGCCATCTTGAATCTCCGAGGCGACCAGAGTATTCTTGGGCTTCATAGGCTCGATGTAGTTTTGCTTGATCTCCTCAAAGAGCTCGAGACTCACCTCCCCAGGCTGCCAGCCCATCATGGCCATGATGGGGCCTGCCAGATCTTGCGCTCGGTCGGACGGGTTCATGTAGATGTGGCCAACACCGTGTAACTCCTGCCTATCCACATCGAAGTGTTTCAAGAACAAGATGATAGGTTTTGTCGAAGATTGGACGCCGTTGGCACCAGGCGAGGAAAGTGACTCGTCGTCCAGCTGCCAGATTGGCTTTCCATCTTCGTCTCGTTCTGTCTGCTCCATGAAGACTCTGAAGCCAGACGTTCGCGTGCTGAACTTATCGGCGGCCTCTTGTAGCGTCATATCGGCCCACATTAGCGGGTGATCAGGGCGTACAGTCCCATTTTGTCGATTGACCATTATCCAGGGTCTGATCAGGTCGGCATCGACTCCTTTTTGTTCAGCGACAAATTTGGTGAAATCTCGAACGGTCATGCTTCTCAGAAGGCGATGGATAGACGGTGCGGCAGGATTGGTTGCATCGTCCGTCCAGGGTATCAAATCCTGGCCGTCGTGCAGTTTGAAGTTTTCAACAGTTGCAACGAACACGTTCATGTAGAGATGGGCTTCTTCTTTTTCCTTGCGGCGGCGCTCGGCCTGTAAGCGTTCCTCCTTCAATTTGATCGGGAGATGCTCCGGGGGGCTGACTTGGTCTTCGGGTAGGAGTATCTGATCAAGACGGCTCTCGCGGATGTAGACCAACATGTATGCGTTGTTGGATCGCTTCGTGGACCACTGTCGAGTGTACGGGTTCTGTCCTTTCTGCACACCGTTCACGCTTTGGTAGTCACCACCAAAGTTATCATCAATGGCTTCGCGCTTGGTTGCACGAGTGACTCGATCATCGTCGAATCGGAAGAACTGCCCGTTCTTCTCTGGCTTGAGGAAAGCGTAATAGTGGCCAGCATTGAGATCACCAGAGTGGACGAGGACGCCATGAAGGTGATATACGTATGGCTCTGACTTGTCTGCCGCCTCATCCAGGTACGGTGATGCATCGAAGACTTCCGGGAATTCGTATCGGTCGTTAACTTTCATCATGGCATCTCGTTGGAAGTCGTACTCGAAGCGTTTCAGCTGCAAGTGAAGGACATTGGGGAAGCTCTCAAATATGACGCCTTTCTTTGCGTCTTGAAGTCCAAAGCCTTCAGCAGCATACTTGTTGTCGCCCTCTAAAGTCTCAACCTGAATGTAGTCCTTGAAACTATCATGCAAGCCTTTGCAGCCGGATACATTCAGTTGCAAATCCCAGAAGTCCTCGATTCGGCTGGACTCGTACTCGACGTTGATGCACCGGAGGTAGGTCTTCATCTTACCCACAAACATTTGCTCGAGTGCGTTCTCAGCCTCAGTGCCCTTCATGCGTGCTTCCAGTTTCTCCATGAGAATGCGGGACAATTCCTGGACGTCTTGCTGCTCAAATATCTGCCTGCTTTCCCAACCAAAAGATCGCGTGAGTTCGTTAGTCGACACGGCAACTTGGTCGGCCTGTAAGCTGTAGAATAACCGCTGCAGCATGTATGCCGAATTCGAGGATTCTCGCTCCTGTGGGGTTTCTGTTGGTATCTGGTATACTGCCTTGCGGAAGGCTCCGGTCAAATAGAGCGACTGCAGCAGCGAGTTCAAGTAGCAGGTGGCTCCTTGATTGCGGAGGCCAACCATTCCAGTCTCCTTCTTGCTGTCGTAATTGATGAAGTTGTGCCACAACACTCCAGTGGGATCCTTGAGCACTCGCACATAGGCAGTCATCCTGGCGCATCCATTTTCAACGAGCGGTCGTTCACGGCCATCGAACTTGGGCGCAAATATCCGGTTCTTATCCGCAAATCTTGTGAAGCCCCAGTCGCCCTCGTCTGCTGTGAATCGATGATTGGCTTCATGGTGGATGTAGATGGATGGGTCGTTGGGGTTGGATAGCACCAGCATGAACTGTGCACATGCATACCAACCCTCGGGTGGCTTCTGTCCATTGTCCTCCTCAAAGCCTTGCTCGAGATAGAACGACACGCTCTCTGACGCTGAATTGCCGGCAGGAAAGAACAGCACTCGCCACGGATGCCCGCCACAGGTAAATGTGGGCCCATGCGCTCGCTTTGGTTGTTTGACCCAATCTACAATATCCCAACTGTGCCATGCCTCTGCTTCAGTCTCTTGATCGGGCAGCGGGGGCATCCAACGAGCCAACATCGCTTCGTGGTCATCGGCAAGCGGCTCGGCCGGCAGTGAGGCCGGGTCGGGATCGTCGACCATACTGTCGGCGTCGTCGGGTGATATGATGGCGACGTTGTCAATGTCGTCGGTAGGGGTGAGGTGTTTCTCGTCGTAGTCGGAGTCCAGCAGCATGTCGCTACCCAGCTGTCACACGTCCTTACGTCAGCGTTGTGCACTCGTGTTAGAATGGCGCCGGAGCACAGGAAGAATGCTCGTTCCACAGGCAGATGGGGGTTGGCGAAGTGTACGTACGTTGTCCATGATGGCGAACAGCTAGCAGTGGGCGATGCCTGCAGCCTGCGCAAGCTGCGAGCAACGAGAAACTTTCGATGTGTGCAAGCAAGCAACAGGCACAGTTTGCTGCTGGGAATGACAAATGGCACGTGCGGCAAGACAAAGCCGATGCGCCAGCGCAGGCGTGTCGGTGGTGAATGGGGGGAGGGGAGGGGGTGGACGGGGCGGTGGATGGGTGAATGCGCGGTGGCCTGGGTGCTCGAGATGAAGAGACGACGTCTGGAAGGCAGGCCAGCCAGCAGCAACAGCAGCAGCAACGCCCGACAAGCAGCTCGCAGCAGTGTTTGGCGGAGACAGAGCAAAGCCGCAGCGCGAATACGTCACGGATCGTAGCGGACTGTCACGGCGGGAGGGAAAGGGCAGGTCTGCTGCTCCGTCGCGCCTTTTCACATGTCAGCCGCGATGCATTCACTTCGCCGTCGTGCAGTCCTGCTCTGTTTGTCAGCCGGCCTTGTGCGTCCTGTTGTCAGTCGCTTCAGCAGCTTCAAGCAAGGAACCTCCATTTCAGGCATTCGTGGCTCCGTGAGGCTTAAAATTGCCCCACCTTGTGCTCCATCTCACGTTGCTGCGATCTGCTCGCCATCTGCGCCATGTCACTTGCCCTGTTGCTCAATTCGCCTGAAAGCACTGTCAGGTGCATCGAGAAACATCGCCGTATAGTTTGGTCAAGTTGAGAACACCATCGAACAAACGGCTTGCACGTCTGATTCTGTCTCCCGCGGACATTCCGTGACAGATTTCGTGTCGATGCAGCGACTTTTGTCTTTCGCCTCGCGTGTTCCAGAACGCGGTGAGCGCTCTCAGTAGCTCTCAAACCTCGACTCGCACCACATCTCGAGCACGCTGTGTCTGGAGCATGGCAGTGGCCATTACGAGACTGGGTCTTGTACGTCCGTATCGCTGTGCCAGATTGTACACCACTGCAGCCACCCCATTGGCAAAATTCTCGCCGCCCGGCACAGTTCCACCTCCATGGCGCCCCTCGAATGTCCTCGATGAATGGGTCTCCCGCGAGGCAAGACCCATCAGCTTGCGCCAACTGAGCTTTTTTGGACGCACTTTGACAGAAGAACGGCTGCTGAGCTCGGCCAACTACGTTCGTCTGGAGCTGCCCACAAGACTCGCCCACAGATTGCGGAACATGCAAACTCTGCCGTATTCGGCCGTGACGAACCAGCATATCAGTCATGTCTACGAACTGTACTACGACGCCTTCGAGAAGATCCGGAAGGTGCCTCCCATTCGCACTTTAGATGAGAACGACGACTTCTGTGAGGTCATCACCTCCACGCTCAAGGACCATTTGTCTGTCATTCCTCAATTGGCCATGGGAATTCTAGAGATACAGAACGCAGTCAGTAGTGAGGAATGTGATCGCTTCATGAGAACGCTGCTACGCTCTAGAATCAGTCGCCGAGTCATTGCCGAGCAACATCTGGCGTTGACTGAGACCTTCCACTCGCCATGGCACTTTCCAAACGCGAAAAAGCCCCTCACTTCCCCAGAAGACGAGTTTGTCGGTGAGATATTTCTTAAATGCAAAGCAAAGGAGGTGGTAGAAAAGTGTGCTTCAACCGCCAGAGAGCTTGTTCGCAAGGCCTATGGCCCTCAAGTTGCGATTCCAGAGGTGGTAATCCAAGGTCATCTGGATACCACTTTCCCGTACATCCCCTCACATCTGGAATACATTGTCGGTGAGCTGCTCAGAAACAGCATCCAGGCAGTTGTCGAACAGAAAGGACTTGACAATCCGCCGCCAATTGAAGTTCTCATCTGCGAAGCTGCCCAGCATGTCATCATTCGCATCTCTGATCAAGGTGGTGGCGTCGATCGCGAGGTGTTGCCGTACCTCTGGTCATTTGCGAAGGGTCCACGTCGCACGAACAGATTGCAGAATCTTGGACAAGTTCCACGTCTTGCGGCAACGATGCAAGAGCTGAAGACGCCAGAAGAAGTCGACAGAAAGGGCAAGCATCCTGGTGAAAGATTTGGGAACTCATTGGCGACACTATCCGTCAGACCACCTGAGCTGAAGCTCGGCATGGGCCTCCCCATGAGCAAGATCTATGCGGAGTACTGGGCGGGCAGCCTCCAGGTCCACAGCTTGGAAGGCTGGGGCTGTGATGCGTTCCTGCAAATTAGCAGACTGGGCAACAAGAATGAGAAGCTCAGCACAAGAGCAGCCATGGATGCAGTCTGAATCTGAAGGAGAGAACTGTGCAGTGAGGGAAGGAGCTGTGCAGTGAGGGAAGGGTCGAAGTGGCTGTGTCTCTCTGGCAACCGACACCCATCCCAGCCAACCTGCATCAATATCCGCACCACGCAGAGATTTTTCGCACGGCAGAGTCATCAATATCTTCAGTATGGATACCCACGTGGACGGCGCGCACTTTGATAGTGTGGTGGAGTTCCTCAGCAATCACCTCGATATCCACCCTTCCGGCGCCATTGGCCCGTCGCGAAACTCGCCCGTTGACTGCTACATGCCTGTGCATAGCTCCTATACTCGGAGTCAAGGCTATCCACGAGCCCAGGAAGGTCGAGGCCAAGCGGGGAATACCCTTCTCCGAGGGGAGCGCCGTACCGAGGAAAAGGCGCTTATATTCGACAGAGACATCATCAATACGTGGAGGTTCTCCGATTTGTCGGCTGCCAAGGAGGTGTTTCTCTGCGAACAGGCGTTTCAGCGTGCCATTGCTCAAGAAACGGCATTCATTGTCGTCGAGGCATTCCTTGAGAAGGAAGTCGAGAAGCTTTGTACGTACAGTTTTGCTGGCTTCTAATCTTGCGCTAATACTGCGCAGCACAACAACACAACGCCGACTCGCTCTTGGCACGATTTGATACCTTCCTGCGCGATCTCGGAACGCTCCCTGTTACCATCACGATTTCTAGCATCGTGACTGACATTATCGAGGAGCTCGGAAGCTCGACTGGATTCAGAAGCATCAGCCCCGCCAGCGTAACGGACTTTGTGCTGTCACGTGATTGCTGGCGATATGAGCGAGGCAGGCTGCCGAGCCTGGAAGTGACGTTCGAGGTGCGAGGAAGCTGGTTTTTCGGGTCTAGCATCAAGCTGCACTGCCATTATGCCTGGTTTCCGCCAATGGTGACGTTCCATAATCTGCAGAACGTGGTTGCAGAGTACAGCACCTTCTCGCTCAAGCCTTCGATGGCCTGGAACCGACCTTTTTCGGCGATGACGAACGTGGAAATCGCATATTTTGTTGGCCAAAATGGACAAAATGACCATCAATGGCTCCGGTAGGATTTGGACCAAAGATGCTTCCGAGGAATAATTCCCGGTGTATTGGCCTCGCAAGTCGGAGCTCGACGGCTTGATGTCTACACCATGTCTTTGGATATAGTGGCCTTGGTCACACAATTCTACCCTGGCGGCACTAGGTACGAGACAACAATACGTTGTGCAGTCCCCATTACTGTCAGGCGCCGCCCCGATATCTGTGCGAGTCTTCCGAGCTTTGACCAGCTTCCGTCGCCTGTGAAGCAGATTCTGGCCAGAAGTCCCTTCGAAGCGCGTCACTCGTCCCCATGCACTCCCCTGGAAGTGCGCATGGTATCGGAAGTACCTCTCGATGTCGACTTTGGCTCCACGCACGTCAATCAAAAGGGAGATCTTGCATCCGACTCAGAGGATGGAAGTCCTTTGAAAAGCCCAGCTCCAGTAGACATATTCCTGTCGCCAGAGAAAAGGAACCTGGCGTCGAACAAGACGCCATACCTGCGTCGTTGGAACGCTTCGCCTACGCCTGGACCACAAAAGCGATCGGAGGAGAATGGCGGTCCGCCAATTCGGTCTGGAGCGTCTACAGCAGCGAGCATGTCTGCAACGTCGACATGGACTGCGGCATCGAGGATGCAAATTAGTAGACTTGTGGAGGCTGAGCACAGAACGAGAGAGAACGCATCGGATATCTCTGCAACATCGACATGGACTGCGGCATCTAGGGTGCAAACGAGTAGACCTGCGGAGCCTGAGCTGAGGAAGCGAGAGAAAGCATCGCGTTTCGGGGATCCATTCGGGGACTAATCCCGCTACAGAGCGACTGATCGGGACATGGGGATCCAGCCGTAGATAGCTTCTTGCCCGCTCCTCTCTGCAGGTACCCGAGCATAATCGAAGACCACATTTCACAAGAAAGAACAACGTATCACTGCAATCATCCACTTTTCCACCCCTCTGCTAGGTACTCTAGGTCAAAGGAACGACAAGTCGGCCAATCATGGTCTTGGAAGCCGGCTACCCCAACACGACGGGTTTCCGCAAAGTCACCAAAGTCACCATACTTGTGAAGAAGAAACCGGGCATGAGCGACGAGGATTTCATCGAGCATTATAATCACAAACATGCACAAATGGCTGCGGATGTTTTGATTAAGCATAAGATCATAACGTATAGTCTTGTATGTCCGCGCCCCACTTCCGAAGCGCTTCACCTGCGATGATTTGTTGTTCATTCATTTGTTTTCTAGACGTACTGCTTATCGCGCGACCGAAAAATTATGGCGGACATGCTACATGGAAAAGCTGCCATGGCGGATTACGATGCGATTTGCACGTTTGTGTTTCGGGATTTTAAGGATTGGGCCAAGTTCATGTATGATCCTGCGAGTAAGGCGTTGAGTCCGGATCATGAGAATTTTATGGTAGAAGGGGAGATGAGGATGTTGGTGGGGGACGAGTATATGGTTATTGAGGATGGGAAGAAGGTGGACAAGGAGTGAAGAAATGGAGGCTGTGAAAGGGTCGATTTGTTTTTGGAACTTTTTTGATTATATTCAAATGTCTGCTTGTCTTGTCTCGTCTCGTCCTGGTTTATGGCATGACAATCTACAGCGACCAGCGCAATGGCATATCTTTGACTCGTCCCTCAAACGTATCCTTTTCGGCCGCCTGTGAAGAACATCTTCACGATGAAGACTTGTAGACCTGCCATGGCGATCATGAAGGCTGTCTCCATGATGTTCATGTTGAATATTCTCTTTTCAGTGCTTCGGACTGTGCTGAAGTTGCGGTTCTCGCGCGTGCGGAAGTACTTTTGTTGCCTTGTGAGTGTTGACACTTGGCCGGAGAGTTTGAGGATGGTCTCTTCGACGCCGCTGAGCTGATCCGGGGATGCACCAGCTTTTTGTGGGAGGTTTGCTCGAGGCTCGTTCTCGACCTGATCGCATGTTGTTAGTCTTGCGAAGCTGCCGGACTGCGCTGGATTTGAACATACCGCAATCTCGAAGTCTACCACCTTGTCGGAGAAAGTGGAAATGGAGTTGTCGAAGCAGAAGCGGTATTCGCCAGTCTCCGTGGCCGTGAATACGTAGTCGCCTTGTCGCTCTTTCTGTCCATCGAGCACTATCTTTTCCCGGCCTGGCTGCTTGTCTGGTCCGAACACAGTGTAGTCGACTATTGCCCAATATTAGCCCTCCAGCGCTTATCTGCCCAAGTCTTTCGCATGCTACGCACTGTCGAAGTCTCCACCACTCTGAACCGCGAAATAGAAAGCGACCTTTGCATTCTGCTGGTCGACGTATGTGTAGAAGCACTCCTTCTCGTTGGGTGTGAGTTTGTACGTGAGGGCCGTTGCGGATGCGTAGGAGGCGAGCAGGCCCACGAGGACGGTGGTGCTGAACAACATCGCGGTGACGAAGAATCGAGAAGCAAGGATCGAAGTGGTGGTGGTCGGTCGGTCGTCAGGTTCACCAGTTGTCTCGATCGTCAATGCTGGCCCCTGCCAGATTTCCACACGCGATCAGCTGCGATCAGGGGTCCTGCTCCACGCTAATTTTGACTGGTCGCGCACACAGCCAAGCTAGTTCATGTTCGTGCATCAAACAGCGCACGGACTCCAGACCCAGTGAACATAATCAGTGTGCATCAATTAAGACTCCATTCGTAGGTTCAGTTTCATTGCTTCCGTTCCGCCAAAATCTGACGAATATGTCTCCAAATGCGTATATACTGGCTACAGTTCACTGACTGTTCCTAGCTCATCACTAACAAAAGCCCTTGTTCGTGCTGCTCAAGCAACTGACGGGATATGCATAAGATATACCTAGAATGATCTGAAAACTTGCAGCCAACTGATGCTGTTCTACTGCGATTTGTACTCGAAGACTCCACATCCCCACTGGTCTTAGCAAGCCGGGGTGGAAGCCAGTCATCGGCCATCGACTTGACAATTAAGCAACGGCATTTTCTACGAGCTGTACAGTAGTGATCGCATCATTCCAGTGGGATGAAACGCAATCGTAGCGTGAGCGTGAGGTTGTATTGAATGAACGCATAATCGACGCGAAGCTGAGGTGTTCTGGCAGTCCACCTGGGCTGTTGACTCAGCTACGATGGCTCAGGAGTGCAGAGTATGCATCGCGTTAGTGTTCACAAAGTCTTTCACCTACTGATAGTTGGTTGCGCAGCTCGACAGATGCTGTCATGTGGGAAGTGTCCACTTAGCATTTGGCGTTCGGACGGGTTGTTCGTGGGCTATGTGCGGTGCTTTGAATCTGATGTAGCTGTCGCAGCAGAATCTTATGCATTCGAGCGCCAGTTTACGGGCCTGCTTGTCGTGCCCAGTGCCACTCGTTGCGCCTCGCAGCCTGCTCTTCCCCATGAACACATCTTCCTATGTTGTCGTGGAAGTCACTCCACCCGATTGAACGCCAGTTCCATGCAGCGAAGCACTATACATTTGCCGAATATCCTCGCATTGCCCTCTTTAGTGGTGTCCTTCTCCGTGTCCATCGCCATGCCCGCGTGATGTTGTCATGAACATCTGCTCGTATACCAGATAGCCTGCAAATGCTACTGTCGCGATTCCGAGGCCAGGAAATGAGCCCTTGAAGCGGTTCCCTCGTGTGAAAGGTCCAGTATATCTCCATGCCTCACTGCGCATCCGTTAGTATGCCGTCCAGCCCTCCTTCTTACAACCTCGTCGCCAACGTACGCTCGTGCCCACGGGTCGTTCTTTGGCTGCCCGGCAGCTGCGGCGAACTTTGCCGGGTCAAAGCCCGTGAGATTTGGCTTGGGTGCCATTGCTGCTGTGTTTGAAAGGTGGATTGCAGGCGCGCTGGGAGGTCAATGGGTGGTGGTCGTGATCGTCGGCGGGATCTGGCGTCGAGCTGCTCGGAAGTGCCAAGCCGCGACATGAACCTTGTTCCATCTGGGCAGTCGCGACAGCTGCGTCTTCCGCACGCGAGTGCTGCAGCTCTGTCTCGACTCCAACAACACATAACCGCCGACAACATGGCTCCTCCTGTCGGCCGGATGCACATATCGCAGCCATCGAATCCCTTCGTCAACCTCAACCAGCAGCATCAACACTATCAATCGCAGTCGCAGTCGGCACATATCCCCAATTACCAGTCCTTCGGCAACAGCGCACTGAACGGCGGCATCTCGCCCTTTAATCCCAGCTCACCATATGGCACGCTCGGCGCATCAGCATTCAGTGCTTCGGCTGGGACAGCGACTTTCAATGGCGGCATTCTGGGTGGGCCAGGGCAAGGCCTAGGATCAGCTGCTGCACAAGCAGGCTTCGCTCGAGGCGCTGCCATGCAAGAAGGGAATCAGGTGGAAGGAATGGGGCTACCAAAAACCGGTCAGGCGGCGCGAATCCGCGAGGTCTGGAGACACAACCTGGACACGGAGATGCACATGCTTCGACAGCTGATCCAGAGGTACCCGTACGTCGCTATGGACGCCGAATTTCCAGGTATCGTAGCGAGGCCGATAGGGAACTTTGCAGGTAGCAAGGCCGAATATCATTACCAGACGCTCAGGTGTAACGTGGACATCCTGAAGCCTATACAGATTGGCATCACGCTATATACCGAAGATGGGCAATTACCGCCCCAACAGGACTCGAGCTTGTCCCAGCAGACGGGCAAGTTTCAAGGCTACAATCACCCGCTCGCGAACCAGAACATCCCTTGCACATGGGTCTTCAACTTCGCTTTCAACCTGGAGGAAGACATGTACGCTGAATCATCCATCTCGCTGTTACAGCAAGCAGGTGTCAACTTCGCACTACATGCCTCGCAAGGAATCAACCACGAAGCTTTTGGTGCACTCTTGACAACCTCTGGTTTATGCTTCAACGAAGATGTTCACTGGCTCAGTTTTCACTCCGGATACGACTTTGGCTATCTCATCAAGCTACTGTCAAACGACGCTCTTCCTGTCGACCAGACCGAATTCTTCGATCTCGTGAAGACCTTCTTTCCAAAACTTTGGGACATCAAGTTCCTATTGCGACATGCGCAAAGGAAGCGCGCCAGTGGGCTGCTGTCGGAGTCAGGGCAACAGATCGTTGACCGTTTGGGTAGCAAGTCTGGGCTCAACGATCTCGCCGATGAGCTCGCATGCCAAAGAGTCGGCGTTGCTCATACTGCAGGAAGCGACGCCTGGCTGACTGGATCAGTCTTCTGGGCTTTACGCTCCAAAGTCTTTGGCGGCGAGTTGGAAGACGATTTGTCGGATCAGATCTATGGTTTGCACGGCGTCCCTGCCCCTGCATCACAACAAATCCGCGAAGATTTTCTTGCCGCGCACAACACGCCTGGGCAGACGAATGGTACAGGAGGTGGCCTCTCTGGTCTTGGCGGCAACGCGCCCAACTTCACACCTTCCGGCAATCCAAGCACGCCGACCACAGGACACGCGGCAATTAATGCACAGACTCCCGGCCAGCAGCCGAACCCATATGCATACCAGGGTTACAATCAGCGCTAGTACATGATTAATGAGACACCTGGTGTGATTTCGCCTCTCTTGTACCGTTCCCACAGGCTCTCTGAGGAGGAACAGAACCTGGTGATGAGACGTAGAAATCGGGCAGGTACACGCTCGGACGACGTGCCGCGCAACTGGCCGATGCGAGGATGATGATCATGGGTTTGATTCATAAGCGTGGCGTTGGAGGTGTACTTCTGGTTGATTGGTTTTATTTCTGTAGCATTGGCTATAGGGCCGGAAAACAAAACTCGAACTGATGATAAAATTACTTGACAAGCCGAAGGCAATTGTACACTTGTCATGCGCTCTCTGAGTTGTATCCATTCCGGCATTTGCCGACTGCTTCTGTATTCACCGGGTCTATGAGTTCCACGAGAATCATCTCAAACATCCCCCGCATGGTCATCAATATTTCTTCACAAACTTCATGCGAAAGCCTTTCGCATAAGCGCTCACTGCTCTCCCTTCCTCATCAACCTCAAAAACAAAATCTAACAGCCCCAAACTCCCGTACGACGGAGTTCCGACACTCAACCAACTGGCACAAGTATTTGCAGCGAAGACTTTGGTGTTTTTGTCAGTGTAAATAGTCGACACAGCAGCTGTGAATCCGACGTGTTTGCCATCATTGTAGAGATCACTGGGAAAAAGTCTCCAATCGAGTTTCGCTTTGGGTGAATCTTGAGTTGTGGTTTGTTCGATTCCGCCGATCATGATGGAGGAGATTTTGAGGCCGGAGTGGGAGTCTGTTGTGAAGATTGCTGTTGCTGGAGGGGTGGTGGAGTTTGTTGGAGAGATAGCTTCGTAAGTCCCAGCAAAATGTTTATTCGCTTCTTCGCGAGCTGCTTGTTCGAGAGCAGGGAGGATAGTTTCGTACATGAGTGTGTTGAGCCCTTCACGTACTCCAGTGCTCTTTGTCCCTGCGGTGAGGATCGTCCAGCCGACGTTGTAATCTGGAATCAGGACCAAACTGGCGTGGTAGGCGCCCACGTCGCCGTCTTTGGTGTAGAGATCTACGACCCGCTCATGGTCTCGAAAGCGGATGATCTCCCAGGGCGCCCCGACTGCGTCGAATGCTGGAGATGCGGCTGTGGTGAATGTGCGAGGCTTCAACCAGCGTCGCGTAAGGCTTGGTGATAAGATTGAGGAATTGAGAATCGAACGGCCGATTGTGGCGAAGTCGTAGGTGGAGGTGTAGTAGTTGCCAGATCTGGTTCGTAGTCAGCTTCTGATTGACATGATTTTCCTTCCGCTGTCAATGACTTACGGGGCAACTGGTCCTATGTCGAGAGACCACATAGCAACTGTATCATTGACTGGAATGACAGCCCGAGTCGTCGAATTGGGCGCGTAGTAACTCGTGCTATTCAGACCCAGCTGCTCGATGAGACTGTGCTGCATGAGCTCTGGAAACGACTTGCCCGTGATACGTTCCAGCACCAGAGCGAGTAGGAAAAAGCCAGCATTGCTATAAGTCGGTGTATGCGCTGGATTCCATTCGGCTGGCACTGTGGCGAATCGATCCAGATACTCCTTAACAGAGCATGGAAATGCCTTCTGATCTGAGTGATCGCATAGAGCGACTTCGCCAGCTGGTAACGGAGGGACGCCAGGTACTTCATCGTTGTCGTTCAGTCCCACTGCGTGTCAATATCAGTTGTTTGTTCCCGACTTCACAACAGCGAGTCAACTTACAATCCCTCGTTATGCCCCCAAGCTGACTCGCCAGATCCCCGACCGTAACATCAGTCCAATTCACCAATCTTCCGTTGTCGGACATCAAGTCGCCTTTTGCAATCTCAGCAAGCTCAGGAATATATCTAGCAACCGACTCTCCATCTCTTGTAAACCCTTCATGAATCAAAAAAGTGTACACAGTCAACAACTTGGACACACTTCCAATGCGATAGATCGAATTCGCATCCACTGTGTGAAGCCCTTCTTGGCTGTTGGCCACTTCTGAGGAAGTGTAGTGGAACTCATGGAGGAGAGTATCAGGTTGAGCGGTGCTGAAGATGCTCAAAGAGAAAGTCCCATTGGAAAGTGGACCACTCATCGCATATTCAGAAAAGAAAGAAGCATTCTGCAGGGCTTGATTGATCAAGTCATCAAGCTTTCTAGTGCCGTTTTGGAAAGCTTGACTGGTGCTCAAGCGCTGTGGAGTGGGATATGGAGGCCCGAGGATGGGACAGGGTGATGCCCAGGAGAAAGATAGGAGAGGCAATGATGCTAGGAAGGTCTGTGTAGTCTTCATGCTGACGGTAAGACTTTGTCCGAATTTTCGGAGAAGATGTCGAAGACGGAGCGTCTAGCTCCTACCTATCTTTATACCCCTACCATTGCGCGCCGCAGTCAACATACTGATTCGTCAGATCGGGCTATGCAAGTCTATGGCGTCGAATGAGCATTATAAGTGCAGATTGAATCTGTGGCGCATTATGGTCGAATGTTGATCTCGTATCCCTTCAAGTCTATTGAAATCTCGTGTCGTACGACGCAATCGGAGCCTTGTCTGATGAGCAGTACGCACTCGAGCTGGTTCTAAGGATCGGAGTGTAAGTGGTATTGCAGAACGCCCTACTCATAGTTCCTCGTGATTGGCTGATGAGCGAGCAGGAATCGAGCTTATTTGGATCCAGTGGCATTGCTGTGATGGCGAAGGAAAGGAAGCACGCACGTGGCGCACGCTACCTTTGATCGTTCCAGGGCGTCCACGTGTGTAGATTAGTTAGAACCGGACACCAGGTAGGCTCGCACTCATGAATCTCTCCATGCAAGATTCAGGCACTCCGAAGCGCTTCGAAGGTTTGATTCCTTCACTTACAAACCAAAGCGGAACGTGGACATGCGTCTCTGTACAGAGACAGTCGAAGCAAAGGAAGTAGGAACAGGTCTGATATTGCAAATGCCGGATTCCGTTCTGCCTTGTGGCGAAAGCGCAATCTAGCCCACGTGGCAAAAGCAATGCTCGCGAAGCGAATGACTATGTACATGCTGAGTAGTAGCAGGGCTCGCAGTTCTGCCCGTGATTGTCGTTTCCGGCTACTCTTGTTGCCGAGATTCTGGTTGGTGATCTGTCGTTGAAGTCTTAGAAGAACTTTCCCTGAACAGCGACGCCTCCCTTGCTACCGTCGATAGTGGTAGTTCCGTAGTCGGTGCGATGAATGCTGTCACGGTCGGAAGGATCGAACGCCGCATCAGGGGCAGCCGGGCGGTCAAGTCCTGTGAAGCGATGTCCTCTGGATTGTGCCAAAGCATACTGCACACTGAGTCTGAGTATGCAAGCGGCGATCGCGAAAAGCAGACCGCCGACAGGAGCTGCGACGAAAACGCCGAAGACCGACCAGTCACTAGCATAGAGGCCTTCGCTGAGGATCAGGAGGTTGCCAGCGCGCGAAGCGTCGCCATCGTAGAAGACCAGACCAAATAGGAAAACGGCGAGGATGCCGCCAACACCACCAACGACGACTTCAAATCCACGCCAAAAGTAGGCCTTGGAACTCAAGCCGATGACCAAGCATGGAATGACCGCAGCAGAAATGATATCGGAGATGAGATAGATCTGGAGGACGCTAGGACTCCGGAGCGCAACGACCACAGTCGGCACGATCAGGACAACCACAATGGCGCGGACCCACCAAATGTTGAGCTTGTTGCGGAAGAAGTCGTTGGATCCAGTGGAGACCAGGGCGGACTGCAGAGAGTCGAATGCGGCTGTGGAAAGAGTGACAACCATGACCAGGATGAAGCCGACGACCCAAGCCGGAAGAGTGCCCAGCAAGGTGAACAATTCAATGCCTGTGGCCACTGGTGGATTGCCAAGCACTCCAGACCAACCTGCGATGAGACCAGAGACGCCGACGAGAGTCGCAATGATAGTCACAGCGACAGCGGCGATGCTCACACCAATGTAGAGATCCTTATCCGTCTTGGCAGCGAATGCGCGCAGCCAGAAGGCAGACAGGAAGAAGTCGTTGGTCAGGATAGCAACTGGCAGAATGTAAAGAAGCTGCCAACCCAGCAGATTCGGCTCGAGGTACTGCGAGACAGGGATCAAAGATCTGTCGATATCGACAGTAGCTCCAATCGTGATTGTGCCGACAATGAGGAACAGCAGCACCATGGCTCCTTGGATATTGTCTGTCACAAAGGACACGCGGAAGCCTCCCATGGCGGTGTATGTTGTGGTGATTGCGCACTGTACAATGACGGCGGGCAAGCCGTTCATACCAGTGAGGAGATTGACGACTTGCTGAAGGGCCGAGAGCTCAGCGACCATGTAGAGCCAGATGGTGGCGCAGCTGGGTGGACGTTAGTGACGAGCAGGCGTGACGATTGGTGATTGACTGACGTGAAGAAGCTCAGGTAGATTGCCGTGATGGTGCCATATCGTTCACGCGTCCATTGCGTAAGGACAAAGCCATCTGGACACTTTCTCCTGATGATCGGTCCGAGAGCCGCAAAGATGAGCAGAGGCAGACCTGAAGAAAGGGCATAGACCAACAAGCCATGGAGTCCTGCGAGTGCTGCGATATTGGGATAAGTGAATAGGATACCGGATCCCAGAGCTGAGTGTGAAGTCAGTATGTTAGTTCACAGGAGAGGAATGGGGGTAGAAGTGGCAGCCCTTGGTCCCGCAAGCATTAACTTGATCGACTCATAGCGGTAACATCTCAGCTTCCTGCATTCATCCACCACCCGACCTCAGCGTGTCTCTTCCGCAGGGTGTGCAGAAGTTGGACACGTGATGATGGGGTGATGGACTAGCATTCGGCGCCCGCAGTGCTGCACACCATACTCTCGACGAGTTCTGCTCATCACAGTAGAGCTCGCCGAAAGCATGGCGCCGTCAAATGTATGCTTACGAACCTTAAGTAGATGGTCGTGACAAGAGTCTCGGACTCTCTTTGCGATCATGTCTTGCCGCTTCGCAATGGCGTGGTAGCCTGATAGCCACACTCACCAGACGCGATGAAGTTCAAGGCCAAAGGGAGGGCTAGGACATGAGTCAGTGCGTTCCTTTCAGATGAAGTCAAATACTGAAGTGCGAAATTGCTCGTGTATACCCTTCTGAGTGCGATTGGCAGAGAGCCATTCTCCCGCCGACTGCCCACGCAGTCTCCAGGCGATGAAGAGGCCGAAGGCGCTGCAGACCAGGTCAGTGGCGACACAACGTCAGGTGGGGCGGTGCGTGTGGTACAGGAAGGCTGCATATGTGCAGTAGATGAGCGCGTTGCTCGCGGGGTTCGACGGCTGGCCCATGGCGGTGCTATCTCGAGCAAACTTGGTCGTGTGAGCAGGACGAGCAGAAGTCGGATGGCGATGAGAGAGAGGAACAGCTCTTCTCCACCGTCATCACGTGTTGGCGTGATTGCAGAAATCGATTTTTGACGCTAATCATCGCCATTTTCTCGCTTCGTCGTTGGCCGAGCTGCCACGCCCGCAGCTCCAGACGTGCGCCATCTCTCCACGATTCGCTGGAGCTTGGACAGCTGCGCGTGTTGCGGCTGCACAGAACGGCGTGTCGCTGTCACTCGTACACGCTGCCACAGCCATGTCGCTCAGTAACAGTAACGACTCGTCGTCAGTTGCGCAAACTCGGAGCACAGGAAGCAGGAGGCCGAGGCGGTGACTTCACACTTTGACGTCGCTGCCGTCCGAGCTCAATTCAGGGTCCATGCTTGGAAAGACAAAAAATGTTGAGCGACATTTCAAACCATTCCTCCTCCCAAACTCTTCTACATACCTCCTACTACAATAACTTATCCAATTGGTTACACAACTCACCATGGCCGAAAACGAAGAAATCTCCCAAGTCACCTACGAGGAGCTCGCCTCCATCGAGAGCGAGTTCGAAGAAATCGACAATGAAATCAGTATGCGCCCAACTTACCTTCCCTCCCTTCACCCAGCTAACAGAAGCTCTCTAGTGAAAAAGCAATACGAACTCAGCAAAGCCGCCTACAGCAAACGCGCCACCGCAATCACCAAAATCCCCAACTTCTGGCCCCTCGTAATCGAAGCCTCCCCACCCGAAATCGACGGCTTCGTCCACCCTCAAGACTCCAAAATCTTCGCCGAAAGCCTCACCAACATCTCCGTCTCCCGTCACGAACTCGACTCCACTCCACAAGGCCACCCACGTTCCGTCACTATCACTTTCGAATTCAAAGAAAACGACGCATTCGAGAACAAAGTCCTAGAGAAGAAATTCTGGTATCGTCGCGCAAGTGACGGCTGGGTAGGACTCGTTTCCGAACCCGTAAAAATCACCTGGAAAAAAGGTCAAGATTTGACTGAAGGGTTGACGGATGCTGCTGTCGCATTATTCGAAGCGAGGAAGAAGACGGGGGATTTGACGAATAAGGGATTGCCCGAGTATACTGCTTTGAAGAAGAAATTGGAGCATTCGAATGGACAGAATACTTCTTTTTTCAGCTGGTTTGGATTTGTGAGTAGTCGACGATGGGTCAGCGCTGAGGAGGCGGAGAAAGCGGAGAAAGAGCATCAGGCGAGATTGGAGAAGAGGAAGAAGGGGGAGAAGGTTGAGATGCCTGAGGAAGAAGAGGATGATGATGAGGAGGAGATGTATGGTGATCAGGCTGTGGAGGTGTTTGATAATGGGGATGATTTGGCTACGACTTTGGCGGAGGAGATTTGGCCTAATGCGATCAAGTATTTCACGCAGGCGCAAGAGATGGATGATGCGGAGTTGTCTGAGATGGATTTTGAGGATATGGATGAGGACGATGAGGAGGGGGATGATCAGCCTGTGGATATCAGAGCGCTTGTTGGGGATAAGGGTGGTAAGGGTAAGCGACAGAGCGATGTTGGTCCTCCGGCCAAGAAACAAAAGAAGTAAACGAGAAGTTGCCCAGGTTCAGCAGGAAGGTAGATCGAAGGAAAGCTGTCAGGCGAAGTCAGGATAGATAGCTTATTAGCGAAGGAGAAAGCTCCAGCTATGCTTCCTCGACAGGAGTGGAGATCTGGAGCGTGCAATGAGAATAGCATACTGTGCATACCCACTCCTATTGTAACGTGACGCGACTTCTATCTTGAACAACGAAAATATTTCCTCTCCTGTTGGCCTTCAATATTAATACCTCAACCCAGCTAACATATCTACATCTCCTCAAACAGGAAGGAGCAAGAACTCCAGAGAGAGGAGAGAGGAGTTCTCCACAAATACCCCACAGAAGGTCTTCACCAGACCGTCCCCTCCCTCCGTCCCTCCCGACGAGGAAGAAACCAACTACCAAGCTAAGAATAAAGTACAGTGCAGTGCAGTGCAGACGAGAGATAGCATAGGATCTACGGCCCGTGTCAACCGGATCAGACGCCAATCCGATCAGATAAGCAGGATGATGATGAGAACGTCTGGGTTCTTGGGTCCACCGAAGGTACGGGAGAAGAAGGGGACAAAGATACATACAAGGAACTAGGTACTAGGTTCCTTCTCGGGTCCCAGGAAAACAGGACCTCACACGTACTGCTACTGATAACGAATAAACCGGGAAAGAACAACCGCTGCACGATGCAAGTCATCCTCTCTACGTGTCAGCCGAGTCGCATGCGGTGAAAGATAGGTACCGTATAAGGAAGGGAGAAGAGATAGGTAGATACGTTATCTATCCCCTCACATGGAAGAACACGTTGACTAAAAGAAGCTGGGCTTGGTATGATTGAATGAATTGATTCGATCGGCCTCACACCGCTCGCGAAGGACCATCTTCCCTCCAAGACAGGCAGAACTCCGTCCCGATGCTACATACTACAGTACTCTGGCACGTAGCACGTAATCTCACTAACACTATGGAACGCCCACCGACCCCCAATTCCTTCCGCCCTCTTTTGACAACTTTTGTTTACCGAATTTCCCGTCCGTCCGTGTCCCATCGTTGACCGTTTCCCAACGACGGTGCCGATTTTTTTCGTTCATGAACTCCGTGCGATAACACCCGCAGCTCGCCGAAGAGTGGAGATATGCATATCAGAAATGGCCTTCCACGCTACCAGACATGCAGCGTGGTGGTGGAGAAAAGCAATGATGACCCACAAAGTCGTGGTTGAAGAATAAAGGTGAAATCGCACGGGATCTTTAGCAGCTTCCCACAAAGAAGCCTCTGTGCAGTCCTTCCGGGTGTGATTTGGGTGTATAAGCTCCAGAGACGTGAAGTGGAGTGACGGCATTCGCTGGTGTCATTGGTCGTGATCGAGGAAAGTCGATAGGATCGCCGTTGCTCTCCCCGGGAGTGCTGACACCGGTCACACTCATACCGTCTTCTTCCATCCATCGCAGTCCGTTGGCGTATTCTTCGATGGGGAAGACTTCTCGCGCGTACTCTTCGATGCCTCTGTAGCCTTCCCATATACTTCGGCCTTCTTTGGGGTATTCCAGGTCAGGACCGAAGTAAGGTGCTCGCTTGTAGCCGAGGGTTTCCTGAAGAATCTCAAGCTGCTCCCGATAGCCACTAGGTATGTTGACAGCGATCTTGATATCGCCGTGAACATAGTTGACTGGCCGCCCCACTCCTCGTGAGAAGCGAGCACAGGCTTGCAAAGGCGTCAGTTTCTCGAAAGCCAATGTGACACTATTTCTCGTTAGTGACTTGGTCGTACACCAGTAATGCAACGTCGATCTTACCGCTGGCCTTTCCAATGATTGGCGCCCATCTTGAAAATCTGGAGAAGTGCTGGCCCCACATCATGTTCCGCATCGAGCCAAGGAAGAGGATCGTCCGGGTGGAAAGGTGCCTGCCAGACGAAGCTGCCGTCGTCTTGAAGCTCCATTTGAAACAGTGGATACTGAGATGGGTCAATATAGAAGTTCACACAGAGGGCGAGGCAGTGAACTTTGACTTACTGGCAACGATGTGAAGTTGTTGTTGTATATGCCAGTGTAGACAAAGGTGGCAGGGATGCCAATCTGTCTCACGTAGTTTTCGATGGCGAACTTGGTCGCCCACATTGGCAACGCCCTCCAGTCCTCACCATAGGCGCTATGATCTGGCATGCTGGAGTAGACGTAGTGTGCAATGCCCGCTTTCTTGGCTGCGTCGGCACACGCCTTTCCGATAGCGACCTCATCGCCCCAGTGTGTGGTGTTGATGAAGGCGATCTTCGCACCGGTGAACAATCGGTTCAGGATGCTCGCGCGTGCCGGTCCGGTCAAGTCGCCTTCGATGAGTTCGACATTGGGTAATTCTGCTAGCTCTTCGGCGACGAGGCCATCGCAGCTGCGAATTTGAGCGCGTACATGCCAGCCAACAGCGGCAGCAGCGCGAATGAACGAAGCGGCTTGCCTCCCAGTGGAGTTGATGGTCGCGACTACCTTCGGTGTCATTACAACATGCACATGGACACGGTGCAAGAGCGTGGAAGGCTGGTCGAGGTTTGCCGGATGGTGCGGGCAGGAATGTCGACCGGAGTAGCCGTGAAGTCAACTGGAGGTTTTTTCAGTAGCAGTGTGTGGGGTAGTGCAATGACTAGTCTGCGACGCTGTGATGTGCGCGGGTGATCGATGGTCCAAGGGCCGAGCCTCTGGTGCAGCGGTAATGTATGCTCCGGTAGAGGCGAATGATGTCGGGCAGGGTAGCACGACACACAGAGGTCACAGCGGGAGGCAAAGGCTGGAGTTGGCTATGCGGTCCCTGCTGCAGGAACAAGCGCGAGCGGTAGGCAAGAGCAGATCCCCAGCGGCGTCGGCTGTGGTCCGGTGTGCGTGCGGCAAGGCTGGCAAACGGCGGTGGTTCAGTAGGCAGTCGGGAAGCTTAGGCGGGCTGTCAAGGACGAGAAGGTGAGTCGGGGCTGGGACTGGAAGCAGTGCGAGGGAGCACAGCAGCAGGCAGACGCAGGCGCTGTCGTCGTTGCAGTGCGAAAATTAGGAATTAGCCTCGTTCCAAACCCATGTCCTTGGTGCTGTACGGATGATGGCGAGCAGGAGGGAGGGTCCGGGTGGCAGACAGACGATCGCAGCGGCGGTGCGTCGGCAGCGTCTGGCGCGAACAGCCCTGAGATTGCGGCAGTGGTTGAGGCGGTGGGTTCTGGTGTCGAGCAGCGGACGCGTTGGGGTCGGTGAGGGCGGGATGTCATTACGTTATAACGATGGCTAGCACGTCAGAGGTTTTGACCTCGATGGCCATGGTGGTTCAGCGAGCGAGTTGGAGGCAAACGCGCTGCTGTGCCACCCACCGCGACTGCGACTGCGAGCACGTTGGGCGCGCAGGGCTGGCGAGAGGCGAGATCTCACGTGGGCGCGCTGGTGGAGGATGGCAGCTGGGCCGACAAGCGATGCAGCGTCATGGTGTTCCTCAGCGAGCAGCGGGAGCATCATCAGCATCACCGCCGATGTTCAGTTTTGCTGCAGAAGATTGCGGGGGAGCAGCGAACGTGGCCGGCGTGCCCTAACTTACAGGGTGCTGCCATTGGGCGGCACGGCACACGTGACGAGGGCGGCGGCGGCGGAAAGTCCGAGTTGGCCGCGGGCAACGGCATTATGTAAGCGGTAGGATGCAGCCATGTGGACTCCCTGCAAACTCCCATCGGCCAATAGCCTGGCACATGCGGCTGCAAAAACCTTCTCACCAACGCACACAGCCGCCTCGGCCTTAGCTGGAAGCAACAGCAAAAGTACGAGCCAGCACATCAACCGTCGTGTCCGAGTCCGTGACTTGTCCGAGCAGCAGCGCCTGCGTGCCGCAATTTCTCAATCGGCAAGGATACAGTGCCTCCTTCCTCCGCCCGCTCACCTCTTGCTTCGAGCATCTCCGGCATCTCCTGCGCCTGCTTCTGTTTCTCGCACTTTCGTCCACACTGGATGCTGTCGAGATAAAGTTTCTTTCCTCCGATCACCCCTCCCGCCCCTGGTCCTCTTCGCGCCCGCTCTATGGACACAGCGACCTCTTGGCTCTATGCACTATCCACATCCTTCTCCACGCGTGCACTCATGATTCATTTCTTCACCTGCACACATCGCGATGACGAGACAGCGACGCGGGATTGCGCGCAAAGTTCTGCTCATTGCATCTTCGCCTACCTCTTGCGGCCACTTGGGCCTTTCGCCGAAGAAACCCGCTCGAAGTTGAAAGGAACGTGAACGACGAGCAAAACCAGGTCAAGAGCGATATCGGACATCTCTCCGACTCATGGAAATTTTACCCTTTACTTCCCGTCACCTCCGCAATTCCTGGGTAGCACCAACCGTAAGAGGGCAATAGACTGACATCGCAGCTGCAAGTCCTACAAATCATTTGCAAGGTTCATGAAATCCATTACACTGCATACCTCATATGGAGAGGCCTTGCATCTACGATCGAAACTTCGAGCAACAGTGTCCAGTCTTTCCACAAGCAGTAGCGTATCAGCTGATGAACAGATGCAGCATTTGACGGACACGAGCTAGTCTGACATCGTTGCAAAATATAGTAGCCAGCTTGCGCAATGCATGCTACGGCTTGAGACGGTAGAAGATCCGGCATTAGTTTCCAGGCTACTATACGGGCGCTATTGTAGCAGGATGCCTGTGAAAGCATGGAATGTGTGGGATGAGGGGAGATCAACAGTTGTCAGAACTGTTGACTGCAGTTCTTGGACTGTGATGGCAGTCAGTCATGAAGCAGGCAAAGCCAAGGTTCCCAAGCCGTGATCAAGCAAGACCAAGCTCTTCGGAGATGGCAAAGAAACATGTCTTCAACAGACACTCAAACCAGACAGGTGAAAAAAGACCAAACAGAAATAGATGTAAGAAAGGCACAAGACATTGATTGGAACACCTCAAGATTTTTCATATTTCGTGCTCTGCTAAATTCTACTTTTGCCTGTCCGGTTTTTCCCCCAAGAGGTGTCCTCTGTTCCCATTCCCATCATCAGTAGTCAATCAAGACCTACTGGAATTTGTCGCGTACTGTACAGGTTGACAGCCAGCACAACCTGTTTGCGCCAAGGTTTCATCATCAAGATACAAAAATGCTTGCGAGTAGTATGATGCAGAGTGATAAGTATGTCCTTTTCCCAATCCTTCCTTCTATCCCATGTATGTGAGTGTTGCAGCCAGCGTAACAAGGTTGTGTACTTGCGGTGGAGGTCTGTGTGTGTCGTGGTTGCGCAGTATTGTGAGATGCAATGGCAGATGATGTTGATGTGATGATGCTGATGTCGGTCTGGTTCCGTTGTGGTGTCGTGAGTTGATTTGAGGAGGTTGGCCGGACGAGGTGTCTGCTGAGCGAGGAGGAGTTGTGGACGGCGGGATGAGTGGTAGTACTCATGAGAGAAAGCGATGCAGTGAAGGTGAAGGTGAGTGTTGGATCAGAAAGTTTGGCGGAGGCAGAGTTATTCGTGCATTACAACCAGAACATGATGTCGTTCATCGCCGGGTGCCACGGGTTTGAGCTGGAGTTCGGCTTCCAGTTAGGATCCTGCGTGATTTCTTGCGCGATTCGAGTGCGGAATGCCAGGATAGCTGCATTCTTGCCTTGCTGAGTCTGGATTTGCTCCTCAGCAGCGTTCATTGCCCAGTCACCACCAACATTGTATGCGCGCATGTAGAGCTTCAGGAATCTGTGAATGCGGTCGCAAAGTCGGTCAGCGTGTAGGCTGGGGCGCAATAGGAGACGCCCTTGGTAGCACGGGCGTAGTTGTAGCAGAAAGCGTGGGTGATGTTGTGAATAGCGGACATGGTCAAGTTGCACTTCTTGTCGTTGCGGATGACAATGTAGTGAGCCGACTTGGCTGTGCCGCGGATTGCGGCGTGAGATTGTAAGAAGAAATCCTGGAACCCATCCTGAGTGGCAGGTTGTGTAATGATCTTGTCGACAAGAAGGCCTGGCTTGGCGTTTCCGTTGACTCCTCTCCTCTCGGTGTACGATGCGCTTGGATCAGCACAGAAGAAACGTGTGTGATGTCTCTTTCCGACAACAATGGCGGTGATCGCAACCTCTGGAAGCACTTTCTGAATGATGTCGACTTCCTCTGAAAGCACTTGATAATATTGATCCTCGCTCACTCCATCGCGGTAGTAGAGAACTCGCTTGGGAGCTTTGTTGTCCTTCTTCTTGAAAGCTGCAAGACGCTCCTCGAAGAGCTCTTGCATATTGGATCGCGTCAGGATCTCGGCACGTCCTGGTTGCAGTCGGATCGAGCCGCAGAAGTTGGCGAAGTGGGAGTCTACAGTGCCGACCATGGCCGCAATCGACGGCGTGTCGCCACCTGGGTGGACCACATCAACACCGATGACCATGGTGTCAGTATTGTTTGGATCAGGCGGTGGCGCCTTTTGACCGGGCATCTTCATGCCTACCGCAGGTGCGGCGCAGTGCAACAGCGAAAACGCAGACACATTGCCAGAATCCACAGCATGGTTTTGACCACCGCACTTGATATTGAACTTGAGTGCAAGGTTGGACATGAGACCAAGGAGCTGATTGTTGTTGCCTGCTACAAGCTGGCTGGTCGGTGGTCCTCTCTCTTGTTGCACCGTGTCGACTGGAACTTTGTTGTTGGTGCATATCACGGTCTTGAAGCCTGCATGACGATCCGCAACAAGCTTGATAGCGGCATAGAGATCTGCATCGTTTTGGTCGATCAAGACCAGCACGAATGCAGGACTGCCTGCCTTCGTCCATGCAGTGGTGATTTCCTTGCAGAAAGCCTTCCAGTGCTCAGGCGTTGGGGAGAACGGCTTTGGCCCTGGATTTAACGGCAATGGATCTGGTGTGATAAAACGGATGCTGTTCCGATCAGGTCTGGTTCTCAGCATCCCGTGATCAAAGCAACGGTTCAACAATGCAAGTCCAATGGGACCGGACTTAGGCCCGTGCCGCTGTCGTAAGTCGAGAACACCGAGTGGAAGCGCGTTCTGCAATGCCGGTGTTGTTCGGAGGAACTTGTCGCGTGCAACGTCCCAAGATGCAATGGTAATGTTCGGCTTCTTAGTGCTAAGGTATCTGATAACTGGAGCGTTCAGAAATTGAGCGGGAATTCGAATGAGCTGATGTCCGATTTCGAAGTTGTAGGTTTTGTAAAGAGCATTCTGAGTCTGTGCATTGCCCACACCCAGAAATCCAAGTCCTTCTTCGACGATAGCTGCTTGGTTGGACGCTGGAGACTTCAGTGCAGTGGCAAGCATGTCCCTCATGTGGTCCGCGTTGAGCATGTTGCCGAAAGTCTGGTAAGGTTCGATTTCGAGATATTCGGAAGGTATCCACAAAGCGCCCGTGCCTCCTGGTCGAGCTCCAGCGGAGAGACCAACATTGACACATGGTTGCTTGGGCTCGTTAATGGTCAGGCCTTGGCTCTCGAACCACTCCTTCACCGTCCACATGCGAGTTCCGTCGTTGAATTGCTGTAGGCGCGGTACCTTGCCAAATCCAGCGATTTGCTTCTTGCGGTTGGGCTCGAGATCATGATCGACGTTGTTGTTGGTGCCGCGCTCATACATTATGCGGACTGTGCGGCCTTTGAGGATCTTCTGCGCGTCTCCATATCTCGGAGTCATGTCGTCCAAGAACTTCGATACCACAATTGGTCGGAGAAATGTGCCATACATGACGTTGACATTCAGTAAGGGAGCATTCTGACCCGGTCTGACAGACGTGAAGTAGCCGCGATTGATGAGTAGCGAGTTTTGCAGGACCCTTGAGCCACTCTTCATGTAGAAGCTGTTGGCACTAGCCTCGAACAGATCGTTCTGCGGGCGTTCTGTGATGCATTTGGTCACCATGCCGTTCAAAGCCTTGATGAGCAAGTTGGGGTTGCGCTGCGGTGTTGCTCGCCCAACCAGATCTAATGAGCCTTGGTTGAAGTTCAGACTGCGAATGAAAAAAAGAGTGACCGATGGCACTGTTGCCGTTTGGCCGCTCTGCTTGGAGTACTGCACTGAAACATTGGCCAACTGTGCTTGATTCAGCTGCCGGCAGGACCACAAAGTATCGTAGTCTGTGAAGTAGTCTTCGTGCCCACTGAGCACAGGCAGATGGCGCAAAGCATTGAAGACGCGCTTGCGCTCGCTTCTCTGTGTCATCTGAGGGTTTTGTCGTGGTGGTGTTGTTGGAGGTGGGACGATGTCGATGCGATACTCGTACACAATTTCTGGTCTCTTGGGCAACTTGACGTAATTGGTAATGACGGATGGACCATTGTGGCCATTCAGCAAGCTCTGGTCTGCGGATTTGCGGCCGTATATGGCATCTCCGCAATCAGGTGCTCTACGGGCTTGAGCATTGCCGTTGCCATGGATGATGGCCACTTTGGGTGACTTAGCCACAGTGGACTTCCCGACATGGTTGGTACCGCAGATAGTAGCACGCTGAATAGCGGTCAAAGGATTGTCCTTGTTAGGCTTGTGTGGGTGAAGCCAAGTGGGCTCTGCATGCTCGCAGCCTTTCACTTGGCACTCAACTTGTCGGGGATCGGAGAGTTTTGGACAGTTGCCGCCTGTGTGCCCGGTGCGGAAACAATGATCGCAATAGAGTTTGTCAACCTTGTACGGACAAACATTTGGCTGATGCCCATGGCGTAGACAATGTCCGCAAGCCCGGCAGTCCTTTTGATGGTGATCACCAGCTACGTAGCAGCGACCGCAAGCAGGTAGCCCATGGTGTGCTAACGCCTTGCCTTGGTTGCTGGCCATGAGTGGCGAAGACTTGATTGGCGATCAAGTACGGACGGATTGAGTCGATACCTGGGTGAGTTGGAGAGAGTGATCGGGGGGAGGAGTGTCGGGAAGTCAAAGAATTGTGCAGAAGGCTGCTGTTCTTGAGGTTCCAAACGATGGGGTCGCGGTGCGATGAAGAGGAGCAGAGTACAGGAGGAGAAGCCAGCTTATATGGTTCCAGGCCTCATCAAGCCAGTCTCAGCAAATCGAGCCCGCTTGTTTTGAGCAAACGAAGTAAGACCTCCTCTCATTTGAGGAGCAAATATCGGTGGAAAGGCTTGAAACAAGAGTTTCGTTGTCCAGAAAGTGCTTTCAGACCGTCACAACGTTTGACAGCGTTTGCCTGCAGTATGACTGAAAGTGGATGTGCTCGCCTGCCTGGAAGTGGGTTTGTGCTTTCGCATCGGATAGGCTGTGATGTGAATCAGTATTGCATTAGCAACTGCGCTTGTATCGAACTTCTTTCATGCATGTTTCGGGAGTCAATGGATAGGCAACATTATTAGCGTGTTTGTTCAATCTCATGCTAGATGTGCATGCGCGTTGCGACCTCCCTGTAGCAAGCCTCTAAGCCGAGCTGTCTTTGCTGCAGGTAGCCGTGCCGCTTGGACCTGGTTAGTTGCTTATTGATACTGGCTAGGCGCTTCCAGAAACTCACCGATGCAGTGTCAGTCCGTAATGCGAAGCTCGCCGTAGCTTACGTCACAGCCTCTTTGGCCGTTTGAGCATTGTGCGGACAGCATGTCAGTAAAAGTTGAGGGACAGCTTCCCGGCATGGGCATTGCCAAATGCTGTCATCCCATCATCACTTGATCGACCATCATCATGGGCATCTCCATCGTAGCGAAACCATGTGTCGGCTTCCCTCAATCCTTCTCCCCAATGCCAAACTCCTCCATCACGATCTTCTGTCTCACGCCTCTACCCTCAGCCACTAAGCCCATGAGCCCCAACCCAATGTCCTTGGTCTCGTTGTACCTGTGAAGAGCCGTAATGTGTTCTTTGATGATTCCGTTGGCAGTAGCGAGAGCTTGCTTGGCACGTTGCTCCTCATTCCAGTCCTTCGGCATGGCAAGATCTGAAGGAAGAGTGGCTTTCTCGATGTAAGCTGTGCGTTGAGCTTGGAGGTCGGCTAGCTTGCTCTGAAGAGCGGCCTGTCTGGCTTGCAGAGCCGTGACCCGAGAACTTGGTGCTTGGATTGGCTTTGGCTCCTGCGAGGTGGCGGGAAGTGCACTGTTTGACTGAGCTTGGGCCTGACCTGTGCTGGCGGGAGTAGGTGAGCTCGGGAGAGGCGCGTCGGAAGAGATTAGTGCGGACTGCTGCTGCGAAGGTAGTTCTTGGGAAGACATGACGCCGTTCAATGAGCGTGAGCAATTGGGTTCGCGTGTATCGCGTAGATAGACGGTATGCAGCAGAGTTATGTTCGCGTCAGGATGGAGAAGAAGACGCGACGTGCATGTGGGTGATGTTCACAAGCTTCAGGGTCTGATCGTCGATGTCTTGGCGGGTCCGGCTGGGACGCTAATCGCTTTCAATAGCGCAGCAGTAAGGAGCCTTGCGGTGGTCAGCCATCACTTCCTGCTGTCGGACAACTTCTCACGCCATCCGGAAGGGGCTCTCATATCGAACAAACAGCATCGACGAGCTGAAATGCGAGCATAGAGAGACAATACACCCACTGCGAGCATCCGGTCCATCTCCCAGTCCGCCACCCCTCCCTGCCGACCCTCGACGAGACTAGACGATAGACGACATGGCCACCTTCCGCACGAGACCCGTCGCTATGAGCCTCCTGCCCTTCGTCTTCCTCCTCCTCAGCGGCACAGTCAATGCCCATGGTGGCCACGACGAAGTCCCCGAGGGCGAAGCCATCTCTCCCGAACCCATCGACAGCACACTATGGGTACATATCCTCGTCCAAGCCTTCGCATGGGGCATCCTGTTCCCCACGGGCATGGTCCTTGGCCAGGTTCGATCTCGCTGGCACGTTCCAGTACAAATAGCAGCCACCGCGATCGCCGTGCCTGGATACTTCCTCGGACACGCGCATAAAGGACGACAATTCGGGCCCAATGCGCATGCAAAGTTCGCGAACTTGCTCATGCTGATCCTGATAGTCCAAGTGGGATTAGGGATATACCTCAAGATGCATATTGAGCGAGGGTTCTTGGGGACAATTCGCAAAGGATTGGTGAAGGCCCACGGGATATTGGGTGGCCTGCTTCCAGTGGTCACCTGGGTTCAATTCCTGTTCGGAGGCATCGCTGCGCAAGGTTTCTGTCAAGGAGACCATCTGGGACAATGTCTGGCGCATTTCATCATGGGCTCAGCATTCATCGCGTATGGAATTGTCATGGTGATTCTGCTGCTGAACGGTCAGCCATTCCTCGCAAGGACAGGCAGAAGCCAAGAGTTCTGGGACAGCTTGATCATTGCGCTTTGGGGATGCGTGAACACATTCACGGAACACAGATGGGGAGGCCCATGGGTCGCGAACGATCTGCAACACACCTCGATGGGCATCATCTGGTGGGCTGCCGGTCTTGTCGGTATTTGGCTTTCGCGAGACAGGCAGGGTCGGCCAAAGAGGAACCTCATTCCTGGGATTGTCATCTTCATGACTGGTTGGGGAATGTCTGGACACCCTCAGAATCTGGCGCTGAGCACCCACGTTCATTCCGTCTTTGGATATACCCTCATGGCCGCTGGACTCACCAGGATCATCGAGATCTCCTTTGTGCTCAAAGACAAGAATACTCTGGTCGGTCCAGAAGGAGGCGATGTTGATCTCGAGATCAACAGCTTCCAGTATTTGCCGCCATTCTTGCTCTTCGCTGCTGGCTTCATGTTCATGGGTGCCACAGAGGAGCAGATGGCTCTGCTGGCAAGCAACAACGTCACCCATGTGTCGTACATCCTGATCCTGTACAGCATCGCATTCCTGTTATTTTTGTGTAAGTCCCCGGATCCGGAATAATTGTTTCGTCCTGCTCCCGTGTATTATGCTGACTTCTCAATAGTTGTAAACATGCTCATCAGCCTATACTCCGCATATAAAGACCCGAATGCCTCCACGGCGATCAAGCTTGATGATGAGGAACGACCTCGAGCGAATGGCCATGCCAGAATTCCAAATGCTGCAGATCGACAGGCTGCAGACGCTGAAGAATTCGAGCTCGAAGGTCTAATGAGCGATGATGATGATGATCATTCCAAGTTGAACGGGAAGCCCAGAGCCGCACAGACATAGAAGTATTATATATCCCCTTTCCAGCGTACGTATAGCATCGAACGAGAGAGAGACTCTTTTCACGCCCTTTCCAGTTGATTTGAGAGCAAGAAAATTCGCTGAGCAAGAAGAAGGAATATTGCAAGGAATCCTGAGATATCGACCCGGACGTATAATCAATCGACACACAAGGAAAAGGAATCAAGGGAAGTATGGCAGTCTCTAACATCCCTTCTCTTGGGCCGTAAAATGGGAGTATACGTATAACAGCCTTCGGAAAGTACTTACCAAGTACGCCAGCAGCACCATCGGATGCGGAATCTTGCAGACTTGCAGTATATGGTCTTCCAGCTAAGAAAGCAAGCGAACTTGTTGATGACTACGGCATCTGGATTGTGATGCGAGCTGTCAGTTGCGACTCTCCAACTTATGGATGCACCAGCTGAGGCAAATCTTCGAGCAGAATCTGCCCGTGCTAATGGCCGCAGCGACCAAGCAAGGGTATCTTCCAGCTGCGCAAGCCTATCACTTGGGTTCTGGTATGGCCCCTTACCGGTTTTCAGACCTTATTCCTTGCTGGGCATGGCCTCCAATGTTACGGTTCCATCTCTTGCTCCTAGCATCGGCATTGCACTGGTCGGTCGGAATGCCGTCGTGGCATCCCGCTGGCTGTGTCATCCATTGTCTGAGCGGATACTGAACAAAGAGTCGAGGCGTTCACGGGCTTCGGAGGATCAAGCGATGCGCTGAACAAAGGGAGGTATTGAGCCTGTCACTTTGCTCTCGCGCGGAATCTTGGATCTAGAAATGTGTCAGTCGGCGCGACCGGCCCTTCGCATACCACTCAATCTCGGAAACACTGGCTTCCGCAAGATGTCTAGGGTAGGCCCACGCGGTGGCTCGCTGTCAGGACAATGGGCTCGAGTCTGACGTGTCGCTCGTGGTATCGGGCACCACCATCAAAGTATGTCAAGCTCCCCTGTTGACATAGATAAAGCACGCGATCAAGACCAGGTGTTTCCATTCAACAGCTTACTTATTCCATTCGCCCCGGTTCTTCCTTGCTGCCGGAGCTGGCTATTCGTTGCCGTGGTCTGGCCGTTCGTGGAGGGAATTGGTCTCGAATTCGCCTCACGGACGAAGGGGACGGCGGCCTTCATCGAGTGCTAGATTGGCACATCAGCGACATTCCATCGCGTTGTCCCAGTGTCTCGCCATACCATGCGTGTATGTGTTGGCGCAGCCGCCGGTTTCCTCGAACGAGATACCACCTCTTCCTGGGCCTTTCCGCCATGGTCGCCGGGGTGGAGGGCATTCATTCGTGTGCGGCCGGTCAGTCGTGATGCGTAGTGAGGTAGGCTACGATCGGTAGTAGGATGAGGACCACCAGAATTCCGAACCAGATAATGAAGGGACGGTATTGTGGGTGGTGAGGATGTTTGAAAAACTCCTTGCACACTGCCCAGGTTATCCTGTACTCTCGAGCGGCGCTATCACTGCTCGTTGTCGCAGCGGCATTGTTCGTCTCGGTGTTGGTGGGGGCGGTGCCGGTGGTCTGGGTATTGCGGCGGGATGTGTATGGTGGAGGAGGAGGGCCGTCTTCGAGGTCAAGACTTTCGAACCTGGGCGGATTTGAGTACTTTGCATAGTCAGCGCCGGCCATCGAACGGTCATAAGGAGGCTGGCATACCCGGTCACCGCCTTCTCGAGACGCCATCGCGGTTCTTGGATGTCTCGTTGATCGTGGATGGTCCCGATGGACAAGCGCGAGTTTGTAGGAGCGCGGCGAGGGACACTGGGCTCGCCGGTCTCGACGTAGCGCAATTGCAACAACGAGTACACGAGCGCTTTCAGGAGATGACCGCGAATCTGCGAAGGAATTGGAAAAGGTGTTCCAGTGGACGGTGCTGCTGGCGCTGGTGAACAAGGCAAAGACCCAAGCCTAGGCCGGCGCGGGACTGACTACTTGCTTGGCTCCAGACTTTACAAAAGCGGAAATTCTGGGCTTCACAACACGCAATTGAGCCGTATGGTCTCTACAGACCACAGTGCTGCATCTCAGCATACGTCCTAGGCCCTGGAACGAGCTGCACCGTGTGTGGGACTTATGCGACCCTGCTAACCATGCTGGTGGTCTTGCTGGGCTCCCCTGGAGCAGTGACGGGCGGATGGTGAATCGCTATGCTAGGCACGTGTTGCTACTGCGCTCGGAGAGTGACCTCGCGCGCCGCTCAAGACAGCTTTGTTTTCTCACCCTCACCCTCACCCACACACCACTATCGACACAACCATCACCATCACGACCACCCCCTGAATACGACCGACAGCTCGCCGTCGTCCTCAGTAGCACGAGCACTTCGCAAACACGCCGGCGAGATGACCGCTACGAACTTTTACTCGCGCTTCACGAGCTTCCGCCCACCCAGAGGCACCCCTTTGACGCTCGACCTCTGCGTCGCCCTCGACGACCTCGAGCTGAGCGCGCCAGTTGACTCCGCGGAAGCTGATGAACAGGACCAAGGTAAGCCATCGCCCCTGAAGGTCGCCGCCGGCACCTCCATGACTGACTGCTGACCATTGCAACCAACAGAGACCACCGCGTTGCTCACCTGGGGCACGCGCCTTCCAAATAGATACTCTGATGCCTTTGAGAGCGCCTGGCCAGAGATGTCTGTCGCCGCCCATGCAGATCAATTCAAGATCGATCTTCGCAGCTTGGACTTTGACCTGCACTGCAATGATCAGATCTACAACGGAGACGACGCCCTCCGCCGCGCGCATCAGATGATCTCCAACTACAAAGTCATGAACAAGTCCTTTGGAGACAAGCAGCCCTCTTTTGCGTACGCGACACTCATAACCAACGCGAGCTACCTGCCCGGAGTTATCTGCCTACTTCACTCACTTCGCAAGTCTGGCGGCAAGTTCCCTCTCGTTGTGCTCTACACCAAGAACCTCACAGCCTATGCTGTCGCCGCACTCCAGATCGAAGAGAAAGATCCCAGCAACTTTCTTGAGCTCTACTGCATTGATCCACTCTTACCTCCAGGCCATCACAACCTCAATGTCGCCGATGCACGCTTCGCCGATACTTGGACCAAGCTCCGCGTCTTCCAGCTCTACAAGCGCTTTACCACCGTTGCCTACCTCGATGCCGACATGATCATGAGCGAAAACGACAACATTGATTACATCTTCGAGTATGCTCGCTTCCTTCCAAAGAATACCATCGCCGCCGTCCACGACTGCGTCTGTAGCCAGCCAGAATACGGCCCCAAGAAGTGCCTCTTCAGTCAGCAACAGCACATCACTGCCGACTACGCCCATATCACTGCCAGACAAGGCGACACTGGCCCAGAGACACTGTTCAACAGCGGCATGTTTCTCTTTCACCCAACCAAGAAGCTGTGGGACGCTCTCATCTACTACTTCAACAACTCCACCAGACTTGGCGAGTTCCGCTTCCCAGACCAAGACTTTCTCGTCACCTTCTTCAAATACCGCTTCACCGGCATCCCGTGGCAGTGGAACGCCGTCAAGACCATGGCCCAGCGCCACTCCAACGTCTTCGACACAGACCGGGTGTGCCTCACCCACTTCATCGTCGACAAGCCATGGGCCAAGCGCGTCGACGCCGACTCTCCGGGCACCCACAGCCCCCTCCACGCTACCTGGTGGGCCGTTTACGACGATTGGAGGACGAAGAAGGAACAGAAGCGCGAGCGCAAGATGTGGGAGCTCGTCAACATCGTCGCCAAGCACACAGGCGACCGGAACGGAGTGAGGCCGATCGACGGTGTGCCGAAGCATGTCTGGGAGGGGAAGCTGCCTCTCGACATGTTCACCGTCGTCGGTCTCGACGACTTGACTCCGTTCCGTGGCTACGGGCCAACCTATTGGCCCGTAGTTGTTGGCGAGCTCCTGGCGGAGGTGGAGGAGATGGAGGAGGAGGATGAGGAGGCCCTCAAGAAGTTTTAGGCGTTTTTTGGCTGTAAATAAATCGGAATTAATTCACTTGCCGGGCGGATGGGCTGGTCTCTCCGCCCTCGCTGGCTATGACAACGGCGTTTGGGGTGCCTTTGGGGCGGAATTTACAAATTTTCATTCTCAGAGACGTGCACATCTTTCGTTGATTTTTCACTATGTCCCTAGGCTTGGCGCTCATCGCTCTAAAATTCTGAGCTGTACAGTGCGACTAGATGGGTATACGAGTCGAAATGGGTCTGAGTTGACTTATTGGAAACGATCCACGACTCCCTTTCCGCGACTATGTCGGAAGGCTTGGCGCTCGTCTCTCTGCAAACTGGGCTGATACAATGGCACCACGGGTAGATATGGGTCAGGTCAGGCTTGCTTCGGTTATCCAGAGAGTGCTCACTATCTGAAATCTCACGACTATGTCAAAAGGCTTGGTGGCGGTCACTCTGAAATTTCGACCCAGACAGTGCAACTGGGAGTGGACATGGGCCGTGTTGAGTAAAGATCCAGTTCGCAGAAACAAATCACTGCTGGCTGTTCACGACTATGTCCAAAAGCTTGTCGACTATTGCTCTGGAATCATGGTCAATGCAGTGCCGCTCAAGGGAAACCTAGGCTTGGTCATTCGTAACTCATTCCTTCAGAGATGATCTACTTATTTGTCTTTTGCGACTATGTCCGGAGTCTTGACGCCTGTTGCTCTGTGGGAATGAAACGTACGGTGGTACCAGGGGTGGAGATGGGTCCGATCAAGCTTATCTTGATCATCCAGAAACGTTTGCTGCTCCATCTCTCACGACTATGTCAGAAAGCTTGGCGCCCATTTCTCTGGAATTTTGAACCTCTCGAGGGCGCCAGGTGTGGAAATGGCCAGGGTGGGCTGCAATTCGATACTTCAGAAGCGATTCATTTCTCTCAGCAATTTTGGCTATGTCCAACGTCTTGATGTTTGTTTCTCCAAAATTTGCGTTGCTTCAATGCTACTCGGTGCAGATATGGGCCCGAGTGCAGTTGAATCCATATTTTGGAAGCAAATTTATCCCATTCGCTGATTTCGACTATGCTGAAAGGCTTGACGCCAGTCTCTCTGATCAGTCGATACACTCAACGGCGCCAGGCATAGATATGTGCCAGTTCAACGCTGACTTGATGCCTCAGGAGTAGTCTATCTCCTACGTCCAAATTGGCTATGTCCGGCTGTCGGGCGCCTTTGTCTCTGGAATCCGGAACTGTTCGACAGCACCAGGGGTAGAGCTCAGTCAAGCTGCATTTGTAACAATATCACGGAAGCTGTGCTCCTCATTCATTGATTTCCAAATGCTTGGCACTTGTTACTCCAATACATGGACCTCTTCAAAGGTCCCAGATGGGTATACGGCCCAGATCATACATAGCTCAACGCTTCAGAGAAATGTGCTCCCTGATCTGGGCTTCACTATGTCAAAAGACCAAGCACCTATTTCTCTGAGCTCTCCACACTTTCGAAGGGACCAGATGTGATAATCAGCCAGGCCACGGTCGCCTCGAGGTTTCAGAAGCGATCTATCACTTCATTAGATACGACTAGGTCGAAATGCTTGGCGCGAATCTCTTTGGGATTGTGATCTCTGCTGAGCTGCTAGGTGCGGGTCCGACTTGAGTCTCTACCAGGCCTCAATTGTCCGAGAAGTCCTTTCGACCCAGAGATCAGTCGAGATCTTACCCGTGTTGTAGTCGGTATGACTGCTGGCAGACAGTATGAAGGCGGATGCGTCTGTTTCGGATCGGCCAAGAAGTTGTGGTATGCATGTGGCTTCGAAGACGGTTACTTCAGCTGTACTTGACGTTGTACTTAACCCTCTCCAGTGAAGTCACTGTCTTCTGTAGACTCTCCCTCGATGTGCATGCAGCGACAGTTGCGCAAGGCATGACTTTGAGCAGGGCAGGCTTCACTGTAGCATAAGCTTCACTTTCGCGAGCGGCGGAGTTGTCTTCCACCAGCACCAGCTTGGCGCAATTGTGCTCGTGCGACTCTCCGTCTTCATTCGTCGCACGCACTTTAACAAGCTTTGCGTAGGTTCTCAGGCGATGCAGACCTGCCGAGGTGTTCTCCAGCTCCGATGGCACAGATGGCGGCGAGTTCTGACAAAGTACCAAGAGCTCCGTCACGGTATCCCAAGCACCAGACGATACCCAATTGCCCCAATAGAGGAGCCAGAAGATATGAGCAGTAGCAAGAGCCATGTAGATGCACACAACACCCAGTGCTAGGTAGTCGGTCGTTTTCGAGGCGTGAAAGGCCCACCCAACGGCATAAATTGATAGCCATTGCGAGGGAAACTCTTTGTACGTCTTTGGTCGATCTGCGAATAGCAGAGAAGAGTTAAATGTCGATGGTATTCGTGTTGACCAGTATCGCAAATCTTGGTCGGTATTGTCGAACGCACGATGGCTGCCGAAACGAGAGACGCCATCGGCGACGACTGAGGCAAGAATGAGCTGGACATACTCTCGAGCACCATTGCCACAATCATCTGCGTTCCAGAGCTGGGTATCTGTCTCGCCCGAGCTCTCTCTCATGCCATACACGCAGCGCTTTATCTTTCCGTCCCAGTAGATGGATGGCTGAGTGCGCATAGTTGACACGACTCCAGCGATACCTACTTCTGTAAAAATGCTCTCCAGCGTATTCAAAGAGGATTCCTCGCCACCAGATCGCACGGGTAGCTTTGGCGTCAGAAGTTTGAGCCAGCTGTGGTCAAGCGTGAAAGGTCGATTCGTCAGCAGAGAATCTGAAGAGTCGACCAATCCAGGATAGTTCCAAGACCATTCCATACCAGTGATGAGAGCACTGTAGGCATTGTAGTTGGCACTTCGATCGGATGTTACTGTGTTATTGTGCCACGACGTTGCAATTGCGCATCCAAATGCCACGCGAGTTTCGTTGTTAGTCCATGGCAACTCCACCAGCAGTCCCGCTGTGGTCAGTCCTGCCTCAACATCTCCAAATTCCTCTGCTGGAAGAGACACCCACTGCGTCCGTAAGTGGCCAGAGATATTATGATCGAGTGCCGCAATGTTCACGAATCTGTAGTCCTTCGCTTTGAATGTCGTGTCAGTTTTACCACTCCTGTGCAAGTACGGAAACCCGGTCTCGGTCGCATTAGCAGTCAGATTCCTGCCTACTGTGCATCGTACCCTTGCCCACGGATTGGTCGCAGAACCGGAAGTAGTGAGATCGTATGACCATTTGTAGTCCCTCCACAGATTCGGGCTGCCCTTATCCACTCGTTCTGTATATTCTTGCACCAGGCGCCTTGTTGCTATAACGGTCGCTGCATGAGGCTGCGTGACCACAGTCTGTACTTTCGGTACCGAATCTCCCATCATCAAAATGCTTGAAAGAACAGCGGGTATGAGGTTGTGTGGGCTTGTTACCATCATGTTCTTCCACATACGCCATCCAACGACGCCCTTTGCCTGGCACTCTGGTATCCACTGCTGGCCTGTACGTTGGCCATGATTGTTTCCACACATGTTTGTGTGGTTTCGCACAGATGTCTTGAAGTTATGCAATAGAGACTCGTAGCCACCGCTGGGACAAACAGCATAAGATGTCGCATTTGGTAGATTGCAGATTGCGAGCTCCGATTCTGAGCTGACAACATGCGGAAAGACTTCTTCCATAGCTCCATTGAGGTAGAAACTCGCCCGCGCAGTCGGAAGGTTCTGCTGTCTCGGCAGCATGAGCACTGCTGAAGCTGGCCCAATGACAGCGGCGAGCCCTCCAGCAATGATAAGTAGCAGGTAAAAGCGGCATCGATGAATGTTTTTGAAACTCCAAGGGATTGCGGCGAGGAAAGATGGCGACCAGAATGAGCTTGGGGAAGCGAACCAGATGCCAGCACCTAGTAAGCCAATTGGAATCCCATCACCTAACAACTCTCGTCTAAGGGCCTGAAGCACGATAGCGGCTAGGCTTGCTACGCAAAGGAGTTCCTGCGCTTTTGCCGCAACCTGAATAGCAGCAACGAAGACTTCGTCATCCTGTCCTGACGCCTGAAATGATGGGCCGATGTAGAGAGTCGTGTAATTGATGTATATCAGTATCGCGAAGACGGACAAAGGAAGTATGTGTACGGCCGAGCGGCTCAATGCAATCCAGAAGGACTTGTGAAGTACCACTTTGGGTTTCTCTGCTTTGCGAAATCCTGAGGCGTGTCGGCAAAAGGTGTTGACAATCTCCAAACCCACGGCTCGCAGAATGTATGCGATGGGCGAAACAGCCATTGATAGTGCGTCGAATCACTCAAAAGTCACAAAAATGATGCTGCCGTACCGTGGACAGGATTTAAGGCTCCATTTTCAAGGTGTCACAATTCGGCTTGGCTGGGCGGCCTCGCGCTGACCGTGTTCGATGGACTTGGCAAGATCTGTCGCCCATGACTGGCAAGAGAGATGGAGGACAGGAGACAGAAACAGGAGAGTGAATTGCAGAAAGACATGCGGTGGGTTGTGGGTCCCCAGTTGTGCCGAGGGACGTCACTTCACAAAACAATTCTGGCATCGGCGACCTCATCTTTGCACTCGCTCTTTGTGCCATCTGCAAAACTATTGTGGACGAAAGAAATGTCCTCATCACCTCGAGGAGTCCAAACACGCGAGCTGCCAATGATGCAGCTCCTATCTCCACGCTTGCTGACGCCCCGGACCACAATACGTTACAAGCTCTCGTGCCTTCGTAAAGGCACAATTTACGGAAGTGCTCCCCAGAGCTTCCGCCGCGCGCGTTATACTCGAGATCAAGTCTGACGATGGCAGCGACGCGCCGGCAACGACAACAAGCCACAAAGTTACTGGCGTCCAGATCTCGGGCGGCGAGCTCATGCAAGATGCCCTCAGCCCCACTCAGACAAGGCTGTGCGACAACGAGTTGAACCTTCCCGCACACAACTCTCGATTTCCAGATGCCACCTCGTCGAGCTCAGACAAGATCCCAATAGTTGGAAGTCCAGATGCAAAAGAGTCCACATCTCCTCGCCGGCACGGAAATCTATCGTCCACTATGCACAGAGCTGCAACAGATTCGTCTGCTGACGATACTTCCTGGTTCCGGAGATGAAGAACTGCGTTGCCATCTAAGCACTGCCAGCCTACACCACGAACTGCGACCATTTTACGAGACCATTTCCTATGCTTGGGGTGATCGCGACCTTCGCGCGAACGTCGTCGTCAACAATTCTGCTCTGAACGTGCCGCGAGGCACAAAAGACGCAATTCGTTGCATGCGGCTAGCAGATGACGAGCGCGTAGTCTGGATCGATGCTATTTGTATCAATCAGAACGATATCTTGGAGCGCGGAGCGCAGGTTTCGATGATGGGAACTATCTACATGAACGGTGCGAAGAACCTGGTATTCTTGGGCAACGATGAAGAGAATGTGGCAGAGACTGCAATTGCCACCCTGAACCGGACACATCGCCACGTTGAACGACTTACTGGGGATTTGAGCAGCGAGCATCAGACGGAGCTGGGGGATGGAACTCTACCTCGCAACTTAAGACTAGATTTGAGACTTACAGAACGGGCGATCGAATTGTATGAAGTGCTGTATGGCCTACCCTGGTTCAGGTATGAGTGCAATATGACCAGATGAGTACAGTCGTTCCTTATCGCTAATATGTGTCGCAGACGCCTATGGGTTGTTCAAGAAGCAGCGTTCGCTTCCAGAAGTACATGCTACTGGGGCTCGACACGATTCCCGCTTTCCAGAGCCTTGCTCGTAGGGTCTGTCATGCCCAACATTCTCACTGAAGCAGTCCGACCACTTCCTATAAGAGATGGTTATCGAGCCCAAAAGATGAGAATACTCGAGAGTTTCACGCGGCAAGCATTGCGTCCCAAGGCTCACTTCGGATATTTTACAGGATACTTGGAAGGGTTCTCGACTTCTGAGCTTCGCGATCGAGTTTTTGCTGCTGTGCAGCTCTATCTCAAATGGAACGATATGCCGCAGGTGCCTTTCCTACTTGTGTCGGATTACAGTAAATCGGTTCCGGAAGTGTACAGAGACGCTACGCGGTTCATCCTCAGGGACGAAGGCTCATACCATAGGACACAGTTCGAACAGGTGCGGCATCGGTCCTCACAGGATCTCGCGGTTGAGAGGAATGGTTCCACTTCGCGGACCATCAGATTCGATCGTACGTTTGACTTTAATTTCGATCCCTTAAAGTTCAGAAACGAGTTCAATGCGGGCTACAAGGACAACACCACATACGATGATGTGTTTCCCGATTTCCTCGACAATCCGGACCCGAACCTGCTAATCATCAAGGCATTACTGATTGACAACGTCACCACTACCACAGAATCCTTTGCCTGGCAAGAAGAGGATGACTACGCTCAAACGAAATGCATTTTAGAAACCTTGCGGGGCTGGGCAAAAGGGGACACGATTGCACAAGTGTTGACTGGCAGTTGCTGGGAGGAATTTGGTTTCCAATCGAACGACTCTTCCGAGAGATTGGAAAGCTATCATTTCTTTTGCCAATATGTTTTCGCTTCAGATAGCTTGCCACCTCGCACATGGCACCTACACAAGAGTTCCACACGAAAAGAACGTTACGCTGCGTGGTTCCACGAATCTTTCAGAAACTTGACGTCGAATCGACGCTTGTTTCTAACTAGGGATAGGCGGATAGGCTGTGGGCCTAAGCTGATGCAAGAGGGAGATGTAGTGTTTGTGGCGAAGGGGGCGGCCCATGCTTGCATCTTGAGACCTGTTGAGGGAAAAGACTATTGGCTATACGTTGGAGAGGCGTATGTGCATGGGTTGATGCATGGAGAGATTTTTGATCAAGACGAAATTAATTGGGAGTGGGTGAAATTGAGGTGATTGGAAAATTTGACAGCCGAAGGACTTGAATGAGCATCGCATTGATGCGAAGCAATGTGAAGGGTTGGAATTTAGTTGGAAGCATATTGATTCGAGTCAGTCGAAAACTGTAACGAGTGCAAAAGGCGTGCTTCGATTGACCTGAAATTGTTCATTCAATTGCTCAACAGAATTCGCTGCCATGCAGGAGGCTACAATGCTATGTCTGATATGCAAAACTGTGATCGCTCACTTTCATGCTCTTCTCAACGCTAAATGCCAACGCTCATGCTAATGCTCGCTACGCGGGTATCACTTCTCTCCAAACAATGCATTGCAATGCCATGCAATTCATTCAATAGAGAAACGCCATCATTCATAAACCGAACGAGAAGCCTGCTCGTCCTTTCTCACAACAAAAAGCATCTCATAACTCATCAATCATACCTCGGCCCCTCCCCAGCACTCTGCCCATTGTTCGAATAAACCCAAACCCCTCCAATCTCAAAATACGCATCCTCAAAAACCTCCGGATTCTTCTCCACATACTCATTACAAGTCTCATACCCCGTCTTCTCCTTCGCTCCCGAACTCTCCCAAACTTTGCCCGCCCAGTCACCACAAAACGTGATATTAATGATGAGTTGCATTTTCTTAAAAGCTTGATCGAAATTACATCCGGAGCCTTTGAAGCGGGCGAGAGGAGTTTGAGTCCAAGTTGAAGGATCGGGTTTGGTGTCGAGGAGATCGGCTGGGAGGTTGTTGCGTGGGAAAGACCAGATTGTGATTCCGTCGGGTTGCCAGTCGTGGACGTAGACGCTGCCGCCTTGGGTGTTGAAGTCGGGGCCGGCGGTGGAGAAGGTTGCGGTGTTGGAGTCGCGTTTGCTGACGAGGGGGATTGTGTTTTGGTTGTAGGCTTTGACGCTGCAGCCTGTGGCGCCTTTGCCGGTGTTGCAGTCGGAAGTGGTCAGGAGGCCTTGCTGTTGCATTGAGCCTGCTTGCTTCTCGTTCTTGGCGCCGTAGCTTGAGCTGTTGCTGGGAGCAGCAGATGTGGTGATGTTATCCACGACACATCCTGAGCTTGTGTGCAGTGTCATAGCGTTGAAGTCATCCTTGGAGACGTACTCCAAGATATCACTCTCGCCGTTCGCAGGCCAGTCTTGCTCTCCAGTTCCCAACATCCAAATTGCTGGCCAAGCACCGTATTGGCTCGGTGCGTGTCGCACATCGATGACGACCATGCTACCAGCGTCGAAAGTTTCCTTGCTGGTTATGCGGACACTTTTGCGTCCCTCGGGAGCAACGTTCTTGGAATCAACTCCAAGGTAGGCTGTTCGTTCACCGGAAGTGGCGTTGTAGATATAACCAACGAGATTCTGTTCGGCGGCGGATTGGAGAGTTTGGTATTGCACGTGACCATTCGTAGGGTCTGGACCAGAGAAGGCCGTGAAATGGTCGAAGAAAGAGGTATTGGTGTACTCCGAAATGAGTGTGTAAGGCTGTCCAGAGGATGGGGTGCTGGAGGAGGGAGTGTCGTTGGCATGTCGCGGGAGAAGCGCTGCAGCCGACGAGCCTTTGATGGTGGCGACCAGCGCCAACAAGAGAGTGTGGGAAAGCATTGTGACCAAAGGCTTTGGTTGTGTGGTTGGAATTGTCGTCGTTCAGTCGTTCGAATGATCGTTCGTTTCTGTGTCAAACAGTTTTCTTGATAGCTCTGCTTCGTTAAAAAGGGTCGTGATCGTGAACTTGAACGCAATTCAACGAAGGAAGTGGAAGGAGCGAATGCAAGAATATAAAATGGCCTCACAATAGAGCTATTCACAATGCCAAAGCTGACAATAGTGAACAGCTCAAAGAAAGAATGAAAGGATGCATACAATAAGAGAGAGAGGCAGAAAGGAAGAGCAGAGGGAAACGACAATGAATGAGCACCATTCACGGTTTTCATTGTCGTCCACTCGCATTGTTCAATTCACGCGATGCGAAAGTGGATCTGAAGTTCGAGCGTGTGGCGCTAGTGAACGTTGATTGGACCTGGCGCTTAGCCAGGTGCAAAACAGGCAAAGCTTGGCGTGTCAGGTACACTAAGTTTCAAGTCAGCGCGAAGTACTCAGTGGTATTGGTAGTACTCACCGTCTCCGCTGCGAGACGTCGCAGAAACGCCACGCGACGGACGGAGACGATCCCAAGAAATGAGGGAAAACAGCATGAGAGGCGAACAAATGCAAGTGCAGAACGTACAGTACAGTATTTCTTTTGGAGGTGCCTGCCAGAGTCAACGAGTCTCTCGCAGAATAGATCCTATTACCGACATTTCTTCTTTTCCATCCCTCGTTTCGCATGCGAAGAAAGCGTGAAAGAAGCAAACTCCTCTACCGCGCCATGCAGACTCCAAATTTTCCGTTGCCGTTTCCCTCATCATTAGTAGTCCGTAGTAACACAACGCTAGAAGTAGTTGAGCTCCACGGCACTCCAAATCGCACTCTAACAGCAGAATGCCCCTGCGTACACACCTGACGATGACCCAATGCGGCGGATCACTCTTGCAGACGAACTCTCGATCGCGCTTCTTCACTGCCCAGTCACTCGTCGTCTAGACCAGTGGTTGGCGCCGGTAGATGGGACTCAGCCTCATCGCGTAGGGTGACGTCGCACGCCAGCAAGATGCTCGAATTGCACGCGAACTGTTCTACAGTCGGCCTTCTTGCTGCGCCTGCTGCACCTGTTCAAAGACCTGAGAGAAAGATGTCAGTAATGTCGCACAGAAACGAATGTGGGTCTACACACCTTGAGAAGCTTCGTGCGTGCACCCTTGGCCGCAACACCCTTCTTCTCCAGACCCTCCTCATCCAACTTCACCAGATCCTGCCAGTTCATATCCTTAAGGTTATCAGTATACTTGTGGAGTCGGAGTGTGCGAAGCCAGTTTGGAATGTCGCGCAGCAGTGCAAGATCGGTGGGATCCTCCGGTGGCTTCGAGCTACCACGTCGACCTCGCGGAGATCGTCCTCGGTTGATCTCGCTGGCATCAGACAGATAGCCTTCATTGCCAAAATTGCCCATGGCAAAGTTACCCAGGTTCATGCCAGCCATGTTGGCGTTAAGCTGGCCCATGCCGTTATCGTAAGCTGCAAGGAAGCCGTTGCTCTGCAAGCCAGCCATGTTCATGCCCGCGTTGGCTCCGTGTGGGCCAGTAATGGCGATGCCAGGAGACGATGGGCGCGAGCGCTGGTTCTGCAGGATAGTGTTGATCTGGTGTTGTTGCAAAGCAGCAGCCTGTTGTGGAGTCAGAGACTGGCCCATGTCGCTGCTCATCATGATCGATGCAGGCACTTGGCCCCCTTGGAGACCAGGCGACAGTGGCATCTGTCCATTCTGTCCCTCGGAAGACCTGGCGCGGCGGTACTTGCGCGGATCATCAAGCTGCAGGCGGTTGTTGACAGTAGACAAGGCGGCAAGCTTCATAGCAGTGGCGTTGGCGACCATGTCGGCTTGGTTCGCACTTTGCTGATGGCTAAAGTTGGAAACCATAGGAGTGTTGGTCATGGACGCCCAGCTTGCGCCAGGGGCATATGGCGAGAGAATTGGCATACCATCGGCAGTGTGTCCGAGCTGGCTAGCAGTCTGAGACTGAATGTTGTTATCACCAGAGATGGGGAACGCCCTACCAGAACGCAGACCTGCGGATGGTGGTGGCGCTTGGCTCACTCCAAACTGTCCCATTGGGGTCTGACCACTTTGCTGTGGCTGCTGCTGTTGGCTCGAGGAGGACTTCGGCCTACCGATAGGAGGCTGATTCTCGCCTTGCGAGCCACTTGTGTTTCTCCACGGACCTGATGGAATGCCTGATGTGCCGTTCTTCTTGCTCTCCTCTTCTGGCGCTGAGATGGTTGGCATATACTGAGAAGATCGGTCTCCGACCGCACTGTTCCTGTTGCTCTTTGGGGCACTGCCCGTCGTCTTCTGGAATTCTGCCTTCTGGTCCTCAATAGCATTCGCAGCATCCGGAAACATAGACTTGATCGTGTTAGGATCAAGGCCAGACATGCGCTTAGCGCCTGGCGAAGGAGGTGGCTTGCTGCCAAATCCGAAAGATCCGCGTGAACCCTCAACATTAAGCTTATTCATAGCATCGTTCATCCTCGACGACATTGGATCCTTCTCGTTGAATGCGGCAGGCGACAGGACGCCGGACATAGGATGACTCTTGGCCATCTGCTGCAAGACCTGGATGAAAAAGCGGATCTGCACCTGTGTAGTTTGTTGGAGCAAGGCATATAGAGCTGCCGTGCGCTCAGGCTCGCTAAGCACACGGAACCACTGCTCGATAGCACTCAGCTCGTCCTTGAAGTCTTGATCGAGGGTGGCAGCAGCCATCTCCTCGAGCGTTGTCTCATACTGATCGATATCTGCAATCCACTGCTGAGCCGCTTTTTCAGCAACTTCGTCTGGGTTGGCGGAGCTGCCGCCCTGGTTGAACTGGTTGTAATATACTTCCGAGGCAGGCCGGATGCCTCTGGTAGCGAGTGGCGATGTCGCGGAGAAGGCGCCCATGTCGGCGGAGGCACGCAGGTGGTGTCCTGCGGTCTGGAGAGTGCGTGGTGGGCGAAGGGTAGAGCCGCCGAGGGAGGAGGACGAGGTCTCGGGAGTGCTGTTGCGGTTGCCGATGATGTTCGACATGGTGGAAGTGGTACACGGATAAGATGTATATATGGTGGTGGTGCGTCGCGGACGGGCCGTATCGGTGTGCGATGGTAAATTTGATGGTGGCCGGGCTTTGTTTTCTTCACCGCGGATGAAGCTGCTGCTTTAGAGAGTCGAAGTGACCTGCTGTCCTGCAGACCTCAAAGGTATTCGACGAGCACACTATTGCACGAGCAGCGCGTGGAGCAGCATATGCGGTGGAGCGAGAGGCAGCGCTGGAGGTGGAGTCTGCTGGCCTGCCGAGTAAAGGGCGTCGGGAGTATGGTTGGGCACTCTTTGCGCGTCAGCAGTTCTGCCAGAGACGGGGGTGCGAGTTCGTGTTGGCGGCTGATCCTGGCTCGGCCGTGTGGGTGCGTAGAGTGCTGCTCAAACAAAATATGGCGGCGGAGTCGGGGGGCATGCGACGGCGACCGAACGAATGCAGGCGCAGGAGAACAGACAAGCGGAGCGCAAGCAGAAGGAGGGAGCGAGAGCAGCAAAGGACACCACAGCACGGCGTGGGAGGGTACAGGACAGTAGTCAACGCGCGAGAGAGACAGAGCTGACCAGACGAAGACGGATGCGGGACACAAAGCGGAATCACGCCAAGCATCGCCGGGACCCTTTGTGGCCGCACTCTCACTCGCCCAATCGCCGCTGCGAGCGGGCCTGGGACATGAGACCACCAGCGCGCCATCGGCCTGCGTCAGCAACTCCTGAACAACACAGGCCTCATTCTTCCCAGCCTCAGGCCCGTCGCTGCAAGTCAAAGACAACATCAGCACCTTGTTTGCACGCAGGAACAGCTTTTGCTCGCCGCACGCGCTTGTGGCTCCTCTCATCGCGTGTCCTAGGCGCCGTTCCGTGGTGTCCCCCAAAGCTTGGTGTCCACTGCTGATGATCGCCCTTCCCAGGGATCATCTCAACGGACAAGGACTCCGTGATGGACAGTTGTCAACGTTCAAAACCTCGACATGGGGAGTTTTTCCGCCCGCTGCAACCATGAGGCCACTTACGGTAGTCGCCAAGCAACGTTGGACAGAGCCTCGCTTTCCGCGCATCATCGCAATGTTGAGTGATCATGGAAGTGAAAGAGGCATTGTCCCACAGTATTGAAGATTGTCCGAGGCATAACATGGAGCAGAGGCTCGAGGTCTTGCATATGAGCCAATTTATTCGCGACAAGAAGGATGCATAAGCTTCACCTGCATATGCGCAGCACTTGGATGTTTGACGTTTCATCAGTTAGCGAGCAATGCCGAGCAATCCGGATCTCTGTGAACATTCGATCAAGTCTGAGCATCAACGAAAGCAGTCATATCTCATCATACTATCAAGTGAATAGCACAAGCCACCAACACCTCGCTCAAATACCAGCGAACGTCAAAGCAGAACACAACCTCCCCACCGAGCAGGAGAAGCATCTCACATCCCACCCTCTACCCCTTCAATTGCCTTCCCTTCCTCACCCCCTCCAACTTCCTCAACAGACTCTCCTCCACCTTTCTACATTCTCTCCACTTCTCCGCCCCCTTCTTCATCCTCACGCCCGCCAGCACCATGCAGGCCACACTCTTCAGACTTCTCTTCTTCTCCCGGAAACTCATATCTGGTGTAACACCAATTTCCTCCAAAAGTCGCAGATCCTCGCGATTGCATGCGTTGTACATCTGTACCTGAAGCAAAAAGTAATTCTTCGTATGAATCAGATCGCTCCGGAACTGATTCTCGCGGTTGAGAGAAAAGCGCAGGAACTGAATCTGCTTGACGAGACCCTTGAGTTCGGATTCGTGGCGCTTGGTCAGGGCAAGAGTGTCGACCGGTTGTCGAGCCACCAGATCTTGCGAGTTCTCGGCGGAACGCTGCTGCAATTGCTTGACAGAGGCTTTCGCTGACTTCAATTTGAACTTCAGGTCTTCCTCACGCTTCATTGAGGCGGATAGCTTAGCGGCACGGTCTTGCAGTTGTGACTGCAGAGCACGAATTTCTACTTCAGCGTCCTCGAGCTCGCTTTGGAAGCCCTGTGCCTGTAGGGTGACGGTCTCCTCTGCTCGAGCACGTTGCAGGCGCTCGCGAAGTTGTCGCTCCTTCGCTGCGGCAGTCTGCAGTCCAGCGTCCCGATCCTGGACATCCATTTGCAGGCGATCGACATCTGCTTGAGCATCTCGCAACTGAGCGCGCAATTCTGCCTCGCGGCGAGCATGACCTGACGATGACCCGTTACGATCTTGAAGTTGCAATTGAAGCTCCTCCAATTCCTGCTTCAGGCGTTTAAGCTCCTTGGCCTGGTTCCGGTGTTCACGTTCCTTTGTCGTCTGTGCTTGCGTGCGGTTCTCCAGATCTGCAATTTGAACTTGCAAGTCGTCGATCTCTGCTTGTGCGTCCTGGAGTTGTGCCTGAAGCTCAGCTTCGCGACGTTGCTGGCTCTTGTCCGCCTTCTCGCGCTTCGTAAGCTCAATTTGCAGTTCCTCTGCTTCGATCTTCGACTTCTTGAGGAGGTCATGAAGATCACCACGCTCTTCGGCCAGTGTCTTCTCCTGCTCGGCATACTGGAGCTCTGCCTCCAGCGTCTCGACCTGTTGCTCCAGTCTGGCAACCTTTTCATTGGCTACGGCGAGCTCTTGTCTCAAGCTCTCGCGATCTCGGACGGGAGATAAATTGACCTTTGCAGACTCAGCGGTCTGGAGATCGATGCGCAGCTTCTTCACGGTAGTCTCGAGGGTGTTACGCTCAGCCTCTACCTTGCGCAGCTGCGTACGCAACTCGTTGCGCTCACGAGCCGGACTGCCATCTGCCTTCGTAAGCTGAGCACGACTGACTTCAGCCTCGAGATCCTTGATACGGGCATTGAGACGCGCCTTCTCCGCTTCCACTTCGACGAAGTGCGTGTCCATTAACTCGATCTCTGCGTCAAGGGCGTCCTTCTCCTCTTCAAACTCGGCTTGCATCTCCTTCTTGATGGCAGCAAATCGGCGCTCAGCCTCTTCGACGCCGCCCTTGCTGTTTGAACGGGCGGTCTCGAGCTCGCGCTCCAGCTGTCGGACATCTTTCTGTCGCTGCTCGATGACTTGTTGAAGTCGGTCGCGCAGCTGGTCCAGTTCCTGCTCCAGCCGACGGATCTGCTCATTCTTCTCGTTCAACTCAGAGCTCTGATGGCCAAGCATACTTTGATCGCGATCGGCAGTTTCGGTACGCTTACGAAGAGAAGCAAGTTGTTGCTCGAAGTCCTTATTGCCATCCTCGATGGTTTGACAATGTTGGTCGAGCTCGTCCAGCTCAGCTTCTTTGTCCTGCTCTAGCTTTTGCAAAGCCTGCTCGAGAGATCGGATCTGGTCAGCCTGTTGCTTGAGTAGGCTGTCCTTCTTCGATGGGGTCTCCATTGCTCCGACTCGCGCTTTGAGGCTTGTAAGCTGCTGCTGCTGGTCCTTGATCTCGCGCTCTTTTGACTTGATATCAGACTCTAGGCGTCGGATCTGCTCGTCTTTTCGTCGCACCTCAGAGCTGTCACCAGTCTGAAGAGACGCAATGCGGCTTTGAAGGGTTTGCACCTCCTTTTCACGAGCCTGTATGAGTCCATCCTTCTCGTCAAGCTTAGCCTGGGCGGTAGAAGAGGCAATCCGCAGCTGTTCTTGAAGCTCGCTGACTTGGCTGTCGACCTCGCTCTGTCGACCTCGCTGCTTGCGGAGTGCATCATCTCGAGCTGATTCGGCGGCTCGCATGCGCTTCTCGAGATCTACGAGCTCGTCGTCGCGCTCCTCAATCACCCGCGACTTGTCTCGTAGTTGGCTTTCCTTCTCTTGAATAATGCGGTCTTTTTCTCTCAGTCGAGCATCGGTCTGCTCTGCCTCGGCGTCCCAACTGCCTCGCGCTGTCTGCAGTCGTTCCTGCAGGGCTTTGATCTCGCCATCCTTGTCAGCCAATTCGCGCTGAATGTTGCGCAGCTCATTATCCTTTTGTCGCAGCTCTGCTGTTTGGCTGGATTCCGCTGTTTGCAGACGCTTCTCTAACGCTCGTGTTTGATCTCTGAACTCGTCAAGCTCTTGATCCTTTTGTCGAAGCTTGTTCTCAAGGTCAACAACATCGCCACGTAGCTTCTTGGTCGATTTCTCGCGATCATACGAACTATTGACGCGTTCCTCGAGTTCAGCGATCCGAGCATTCTTTCTGTCCAACTCCTCGTCCTTCTCTTTGAGCTCGTTCTCCATGTCGTCGATGTCCTGCTGCATATGGTCCACGTTCGCATTGTCTTGTTGAAGCGCTTTGACCTGCTGCTGCAATTCCTCCAGCTTGTCGTCCTTCTCTTCGAGCTGTCGTTCGCGATCTCGAATGTCGGCCTCCAGATCACCAATATCGTCCCGCAGTTGTTGGATCTTGTCTGCATCGCCTTCCATTTGTTCAGCCGCTTGCAGCTTCTCTTGCAACTCTTCAAGCTTTGTGTCCTTCTCGTCCAGCTCACGTTCCCTGTCACGTACTTCTTGCTCTGCATCGAGTAGCTGATCCTTGAGACGCTGCACTTCGCTCTCGTCGCTCTGTAACTGCTCCGCTTGGTCAAGCTTCTCGCGTACTCGGTCCAACTCTTGCTCCCGTTCATCTGCAATCTTCTGCGACTCCTCGGCCATCCTTTGCAGACGCTCATACTCTTCCTGATCGCGTTCACTCGTATGTCGCTTCTTGACCTTCTCTTGATATTCTCGCAGGTGTAACTTGTATTCCTCTAATTGTTGCTCCGCATCTTGTAACCGCTTACGCTGCTTCTTTAAATCTACTTCCAGTTGCGCCTTGTTTGTCTTGAGCTCGACATTCTCCTTCAAAGTCTGCTGCTGGAATTCGGTGCCACTTTTGCGCATTGCATCTTCGAGGTAGTGGATCTTCAGCTTCAGACCAAAGTTGTCCTTCTGAATCTGGTCCAGCTTGGCTTCCTGGTCGCGTAGAGTCAAAACATTGCCCGTCTCGAGCACTCCATTCCTGTTCGTGGGCAGGTGCGGCATAGGCGTCGAGTCGTACATGGATGAGCTGACTGCTTGAGGTGCCACTGGCGTATTCTCGCGATCACCGGAACTACCAGTGAAATCGTCCAGCATCGACGCTTCGATCGGTAAGCCAGGCGTTGCTCTGCTGCCGAAGCTTTCACGCAGTCCAGCGGGCGTTTTCAAGTCGCCATTTATGGTGTTCTCCTTCTCCTCCATTATGCTCTGTCGCATCAGCTGGTTTCGTTTCGCGCTCTTGAGGAGCGGTGTGAATTCCTGCTTGCCCGTCGGATTGCGCTTGTCGACCAACGCTGTTCGAGGTCGCGGTGTTCGCGCAGATACTGGTCCTGGTCCACCGCGAAGTCCTCGCATACGACTTCGAATATCCTGGCCGGCATCTTTACTGGGCGACTGGAAAGGCTGGTTGAACGACATGTCCACGAGGCCATTCTTGCTGGGACTGAGAAACGTCTCGTTCCCTCGTTCAGTGCCCGGCGTGTTGATGTAGTGATGCGCCATGATGGGCAATCGATCGCGCACTGCCACTCAGCTGGAGTTAGTATGCGACATGCGCTGGGTGCATGTGTCGTCGACAATGCTGCCGTAAGAAGTGCTTGTCCCACGCGTAGCGAGCCCGCGCGTTCCAGTGTTTACGTTCGTCAACATCGGATTAAGTTTTTGCCGCGCGCCAAGACAAATCCCATCTTCACTTTGCCCTCGACTTGACATCAGGGCCCAACGTCACGGCTTCTCCGATAATTTGCTCTACTGGTTCGTCCTGAATCCTTCGACATGGAAGGTCAGCTGCCAGACGATGGTTTGAAATGGTTCGGTGAAGGCTTCGATGGCTTTCCCAAACGCCTTCCCGATGACTGTGTAGAGTACGTTATCCATGTCATTCACGGCGGGCTGAACTCCAATGCCGCTCTGCGAACAAGACTAAACGAGATATTGAAGGCGGCAAACGAGCTGAAGAAGAAGCTACTCAAGGACTACATCTGGCAAAGGCAAGACTTCAATCTCGCGTTACACCCCAAAATTGATGTCGCGACAGCCTCTGCAAAAAGTGCACCGAAAACAGTGTCACATTTACGAGGGCGAACAGACTTTGGTGACTCAATCGCGGATGAGTGGCTCATCGTATATTTGCTCACCGAGCTGAGCAAAGGAAATCCTGATGCCTGGATACGTGTCTACGATACCGACGGCGAATTCTTGCTCATCGAGGCAGCGAACGCTCTTCCCAAGTGGCTGAACCCCGAAATCTGTGAAAATCGTGTCTGGATCAACGATGGTCGAATCAAAATCATTCCGGTCGACAAAAGCTCGCTTCCGCGTAACTTGACCTCAGAGGAGGCTCTATCCTTCATCAAAAGAACGCCGAGTGATCTTCTTGTAGACCAGGATATTCAACAAGAAGCGTTTCATAGGCTCCGGGAGTATCCTTCAGCTATCTCTTCCTCATTCCACCATGCTCTCATCACGATCCCGCGAAAGCTAGCATACCTGCTACATCGCAACCCGGCCTACATTTCGCCAGCGATCGAGTCTTTCTACTTGCGTGACCCAGTGAGCTTGAAACCGCTTACGACGAAAGACACCAACACTCTTCGCTTTGCTCCCGAGGACTTTGTGACAGTAAGGGTCAAATTCACGAAAGTCGGGTTTGCTCAGCTCCGAAGTCAAATTTTCGATCCTCCACCAGCATGGACCGGTATAATCCCTCGTATGCAAGATGAGAAGGTGGCGCTGGGCATGAAACTTACATGCGGCTTCGAGATGCTGGTCACTGACAAGCAGTACCAGGACAAGCGGGCAGTGCAGGAGATGAACTTGTTATTGGAAGACCTGGAGAGTGGAGAAGAAGAGCTACCTGGCGATGATGAGATCGAGCTGTGGCCGCATGTGCAAGACGACGATAAGTGGCTGAACATCGACTTCAAAGACTTTGAGAAGGAGCTCGATGGCAAAGCCAACTCAAGTGGTGGCAAAGGTGGCTTCGGCGATCAAGGCGCTCAGGAAAATCTTCGGAAAATGGTGTCGCGCTTTGAGGACTTCTTAGAAGATGATGAGGCTGGCGTGGATGGTGTGGATGACATGGATGAAGACGATGATGACGATGATGCTCAGTCTTCCTCTCACGTAAAAGACGACCAAGAGAGCAAAGCCGAGAAACAAGAATCAGAGGAACCGAAAGTCAAGGACTTTGCTGCAACAGGGGATAAAAACGAGCATGAGGAGCCACAAACGAAATTCAATGCCCCTGAGGCACTTGAAGACATGGAGTTCGAACGAGCCATACATGACACTGCCGCAATGCCAGCCTGGCATATCGAAAAATCTGGTCTGCTAGATGAAGCTCGCCGGCTTGCCCTTGAGGACGACGCCGAAATGAGCGATGGCGTTGTGGATGAATCTGAAGAGCTACGCAAAGTCATGGAACTGATGGAGCAAGAGCTTAAAGGCCATGGTGCACTCAATCTGGAAAATGGGACATACAAGAAAGTCAAATCGAAAGGCAAGGCCGCAGCGGACGTGGCTTCGCACGGCAATATTAAGCCTGTCTTTGGACCACCACGACCGCCGCACATGCTTTCGACCTCCAGCGATCAGCCATCTAAGACAAATAGTAAATCCGTCAAATTTGCCTCAACGACAAGCACAAAAGAAGAGGAGGAGGAGGAGGACGAATCAGCCGATGAGGAGATCAATCCCTCGCGTAGTAAAAACGCCTCGATTCGACCCAAGCCGCCCGCTTTCGCCCGATCAGGTCCTTTTGATAATCAGTCAGAAGACATTGAAGAAGGCGCAGAGCTCTCTTCGGACGAGGACGACGGGTTTAACGATGTTGATCTGGGCCTTGCGAAGAATATGCTCGAAGCATTCAAAGGTCAGGCGGGAATGAGTGGGCCTGCTGGGAATTTGATGAAGGCATTAGGTGTGCAGATGCCGAGGGATGAGGAAGGCGAGGATTAATGGAGCACGATAATGTTGCACGGAACTTTTCAACATGAGAAGTTCCAGCGATGGGACTTGAAAGAGAGACTATCGCGCATAACATGGACTCCCAATAAGTCACATTCCGCATCATCTCCCGTATTCCAGCCAAGGCATGTCAGACGACCTTACCTGTACAAAGAGTTGTGCCACCTCCACTCCGACCATTCCAACCATTCAATGGCTTCTCCTCTGCACCCGGCCTTGAGGCTGCGACTCAATAATCCTCCCCGCGACTGATGATTTCCTTGCCAGCTCCGCCAATCAAGACAGTATGCTCGAACTGTGCCACATGGCTGCCCTCGACGTCGACCAGCGGAGCATAGGACTCCACAATCTCCTGATCGATCAGTTGCTTCATGCCGAAGTGATAGTTCTTGACTCCCAAGCGCTCTAGATATCGGCGGCAAAAGACCAAAGTCCCGAAACTCTCATCGATGGTCTTGAGAAGGGATCGAGCGCTTAATTGCAAGTGCTGGGGGTGGACCTTAACATTCTGTCGTCCGTAGCCGTAGACACCGATCTATTGGAAAATGTTAGCATGCGTCCATGTGTCAGTTTTGAAGCAGAATCGAAGCGCGAAGGGAACTCAACTCACGTCGTCTCGAGTGTGTCCTCTTCCAGTAGTTCCAAAAGTCTCAATCGCGAAGATGTCTCCCTCTTCCATCTTCTGCTCACTATCATTCTTCACGAACGGAACTTGTTTATCACCATGAATCTGGTATCGTAGGATGTCGTGTCCGGATAGATTCTTCATGGCTCTCACGCGTCGTGTTTTGCCATCTTGCTCTACGACCTCATAACTCTCCATCACCTCCTGCATCGCCGCTCCGAGGTCTTGCATCCTCGCATCGACACACGCAAGGGAAAGACCGGTGTTCGTCGTCTCTCCGACTGCTGCCAGCAATGGATCGTATCTCTCATTATGGTCGAGCGCAACTGTGAAAGCGGAGTCTACGATCCGACCATTGACGTGCACACCGAAGTCTACGCTCAAGACGTCGTTGGACTGCAGCGCAATGTCTTTACCGCCGGGGTTGGGAGTCCAGTGTGCTGCAACATTGTTAAGACAGAGACCTGTTGGAAATGCTAGACCGGCTTCGAGGGCAGAGCCTGGCGAAACGCCTTGCTGACCTGTCAGATTGCGAACTCCAGACTCGATGCTCTCGGCAATGGTCTGGAGTGTGACGCCAGGTTTGATGACGGATTTTCGGACATATTGACGCACTTGACGATGGATCTCGGCAGCCTTGCGGTAGGATGGAAGAAAAGTCTCATCTTGATCCTTGATTCGAGCGTTGTAGCGATTTTCGGCAGCGGTTGTGCGAGATGTATTGTCGTAAGTAATACGTTCGCCAGCAGGATAAGAGTCGGAGGGAAACAGGACAGAGAGCTCGATCGTCGGAGGTGAGGTCTGGACTCCAACGCTGTCATTGCCCTGTCCGATTTTGTTTTTCTTCTTGCGCGATTTGCGCTTCTTCTTGTTTTTCTTCTCTGGAATGTGCGATCAGCAAATTGGCTTTTCTCTCACCGTGTTTTCACGGTAACCGTGATCTTACCCAGAGTGCCAGCAATTTTCAACCCGGCTTCTCCATCGTCATCGTCGCCATCTTCATCCTCACCAACGACACCACGGTCCAGATCTCCAGAGCTGGAGCCATTTCGCGGTCGGGCAGCAGTCGAGTCGCACGGCTTCTCCACTTGGCCATTGCCATCTGGTCCTTGCTGATGTCCTTCTGGGGTTTTGGAGCCCATGACATTGATCTGCTACAGTCTGATCCACAGCAGGAAGCGGTTTTGAACGGGAAGAAGCTGTGACTGATGAGTAAACATTTTATAGATCGCAGCTTCTCCACTTTGCGCCCTTTGACACATGCACAAAGCACGGGCCGAACTTTAAATCTACCTCTCGTGATGTGAACCACCTGAAGCACTGATATCGATCTTGGAAGAAATTCATGCTATGATGATACAATCTCTGCTATGTATAGTCACCGGTTCTGCGAAATCGTACAGAGAGATATTATACACATGAATCTTGGACCTACTGCAATGTTCTTGCCAATGCTTCAAGGAAGGGAAGAATCCCTCGCATGACTGAATCCTCGGCGCCACTTCCTAATCGCCATTGATAATCGCCTCAGCAGCTTTTTCACTGATCATATAGATCGGCAACGAAATGAACGTGCCCGGTATCTTTGGGAATATCGAAGCATCCACAACCCTCAGACCTTCGACACCTCGTACCTTAAAATTGGAGTCGAGAACAGCATTGGGATCGCCGTCGGGGCCAATGGCAGCGGTGCAGCAAGCATGATGTCCCCATAGCTCATTCTTGATATACTCTTTCAGATCCGCCTCCGAGCTCACGTTGCGACCAGGGTTTGCCTCAGTGAAAGTTCCGTCGAGAGGAATCAGTTTATCGAAAGCTTCGCGCCCCCAGAGAAGGCCCTCGTAGAGTGCTTGCAGGTCTCGTTCATCACCGCCGCCGGTCGTGTTACCTGTGTCCAGCGATCGGAAGAGAATTTCAGGTACGTCGCGAGGATCTGTAGATCGGAGTTTGACTGTCCCGGCGTTGTTTTGGGGCTGCGCTTTGAGTGCTAGCCACGACCATTTCTTTCCGCTCTTGACGCTGTCGTATGCAAAGCCGGGATAGAAGCCGTTGAACACACCAGGTGTGCCGATGATGAAGATATCTGGGTGATCTTGAGCAACGGAGGTCTTCAGCACTACTCCTACAGCTGCTCCGCTAGTCGTGTATGGACCTCTGTCGAGAACACTCTTCCCGTTGATCCACTTCTCGAGGCATGGATCTGCTTGCCCGTCGTACCCGAAAGTGCAATCGGCGGAGATGGGGAACTTCTCGGCTGTTTCGGCGACGATAGCGGCTTCGTAGCGATCTTGCATGTTACTGCCGACCCCAGGAGCATCTTTGATGACTTTGATCCCGAACTGGTCGAGTTCATCCTTGGGGCCAATGCCGCTGAGTTTAAGAAGCTGTGGAGTGTTGAAGCTACCACCAGAGATGATCACATCCTTGCTTGCGGCCACGTATCCAGCTGTGCCATCGGACGCAGAAGGATACGGGTCTGCCTTGTAGAGACGCTCGCCTGAGAGATATTCGACGCCGATTGCTTTTGGCACGTCACCACTCTCATCAAAGCGGATCTTGGTGGCCAAAGTGTGCAGAGCGATGTCAAGGTGATATTTGCGGCTCCCATCGTCGTTCTTGGCGTTGGCAGTGTCGAGGATGAATGCGCGGGTACCGCTGCGCTTGGAGGTGTCAGCGTCAATCGAGAGTGGAACTTGATAAATGTTCTCCTCGGGGTCCGTATTGGCATTCACGTCGGTAAGAAGAACGTTGGTGAGCGAAGTGACTGTACTTAGGAGACTGCTTAGGAGACCATCCTGCAGCTTGTCAGTACGAAAGACATACGGTTCCAAGTGCATCGAGGTCTCACCTTGCCCATGGCTGCGGCCGCCGACAGTACGATAGAGAGCACCTTGAAGTCCTGGGCCACAAGCAGTAAGTTGGTCAAACTGGTCCGGAGCCAACCATCAGTGCCATGTCCCGCGCCCACTGGATATTGAGCTTTCTCAAGTTTCACAAAATGCTGACGCATCTCATCGGGTCCCCAAGAATCGTCTCCAGTGAGCTGCTGGATGTATGTCCAGTCAGCACGCCATGGGTACGTTGTAATCAACGCATGATGCTCAGAGCAGCCTCCAAGCGCGCCCGTTCGAGGGTACAAGATACCAAGCGGCTCTGCTCCTTCCGGAGGATACAACCCAACATAAAGCGACCCATCCGGGTTCCTGTATGTCATCTTGGTATCTTTCTGTTGCCTCTCCAAGTCCTCATAATGCCTGACCCAATAGTCCCATTTGATTGAGTCATCTTCGGCAGACTTCAAACTGTAAGTCGGAACCGACTGGTTGTAATTGTCGCCATAGTCGCCACCAGCTTCGATGAGCAAGACCTTGTGCCCAGCAATAGCAAGCCGAGACGCGAGCGGACCTCCTCCTGGCCCTGAACCGATGATTACATATTCGTAGTCCGTGGCATTATCGATCGCTCGACGTTGATGGAATTTGAGATGACTGCTGGGAATCGCGTTAACAGACGCTACGAGCGATAGAGCTGCAACGAAGGCTTTGGCCAGCATCTTGAAGTCCAGACGCTGAACGACTCGAATGCGATCAGAGCGTGCGGCCACGCTTTACGATACAGCTCGAGCTGCACATCGACATGGAGTTAATCGCGCATTGGGACCGTACGCGAACGCGCAATCGTCAGGGAGTCTCCCATGTCTGCGCACGATCCCACGAGCTGTCCGCCTCGCAAATTACTTGCTTAGGTGCTGCTTAAGCGAGCTCTTATAGAGACACTAGACGGTTCTAGTTGCTTGGGCATAGAGTAGTCGAAGGCTCGGCGGACCGGGGTCTCTCTGGGGCTTGTTCGGGTACCTGCCCAGGCGCAAGGACAAAGCTCTACCCGCACCTTAGTGCTTAGACTGGGGCAGTGAAACCTGATTCGTGATTTTATGAGCCCTGAACCGCGTCCATGGTTGTCCCTTGCATGTCACCTTGGGCAAAGTGATGCTCAGAAACTAGTGCACGATAGGCACACGCCTGGCTTCGGCGCATTCAGTGCGATCATTGACTTTTGTCGCGCCCTTTGACTCGTTTCAAGGATCGATCGTGCTTCGACAATGACTGATACGAGTAGGCCGAGGCAAATATCCATCAAGATTGATTTTTCGTGAGGCTCAGATGCAAAATATGTCATCGGTCGTGCTGAGGCTGTGGGTAGTTTGAATGCTCGTGCGCACGCTCGTGCGAGACATCCCGTGCGGTAGTTCTAACAACCGTCGGATCATGAACGGTTCCTTCTCCTGAATCTTATGCTGCGATCTTCCGTTGCTTCACTCTCGGCTCTGTCGCTGCCATTGCCTTCCGTGATACTGTGATTATGCCAGCCGGCCAACCTCAAGCTGGATATGCCGACTTTTGCTTCTTCTCTCCTTCCCATTGAATGGTCTCCAGCGGCGAGACTGGACGCGAAAAGTTCGTAGTTTGATTGCTGCTGCTGACTTGACGGGCGTGCGATGTGTGAACCTCCTGAGTGCTGATGTTCTCGAGTGGAATGAAGTGGCCATCGTCGCTGTGCCTGGGTCGCACGTAGATCTCAGCGCCATTTTTGTCGACGACACCACTGTTTACGGCCGTCCCTCCAGATAAGCCTCCAGATCCAGATTTGCCTCCAGTTCCGGCCGTACTCTGTCCCATCAGTCTAGGGAAAGCTCTTCGGATCAAGTTACGAATGCCAGGCATGCAAGCGCAAACCATTGCTGTGTCGACCTCGATGACGGTCCATGCTCCTACTTGCTTGTAGTCATCTGTCGCCATTCGTTAGTTGCAGCGCAACGCTCTTTCCTCCATGACTTACGTGTGAGATTCTGGGAGTTGCCGAACCTGACCAGAAGTCGAAGTCGCAGAATGGAGACGAAAGTGACGAAGGATCCGACGCCTGACAGAATCCATTGTTAGCATTCCCATCAACGCGATGGTTCCATGATTGACCCACTGAACATAAGCATGACCAAGATCTTCTTGCGAGTATTGAGATTCATCCTCCACAACATAGGCATTGGTAAGACGACGACAACTAGGTCCAGGGCGATATTGAAAGCGGCCGAGGCCCATGACTGGGCATTGATGTTGTTGCATTTGCCAGGGAGCGACTTGTCCCAATTGTCCCACGCCTGCACTTGTCGTAAGCCTTCTGTCTATCAATAAAGATCTGTAACCTGCACTCACCAAGTTGACCGGTGTGCACTGGAATGCTGTGATCAAAATGAAGGTGATGGCGTAGGCCACGTTGAGGGCGATGGCGATGTAGGCAAGCATTTTGAAGTTCTTGTGCTGGAAAATGCGAAGATAGGTGCAGCAGATTGCTATCTTGATCGTCGGCAGAGCGGTCAGGTAAAGAATCTCGTCGACATAGTAGACCTGCCCCAAGGTTAGCTATAGCTTTGCTGTACTATCCGCTGAGGAAGCGCACTTTGAGAATCTGTGGAAGCTTGTCGAACGGAATTGTCCAGACGTCCTTGCCCACACCTAATCCGGTCACTAGAACGCCGTCAGCGGTCTGTTTAGTATACCCGTGCACCAAACTTCCACTCACAGACGTTGGAAAGTGCAGTGATTGGAATCAGAAGTGCCATCGCGACGGTGATCGTGAAGTCGTCCCACCAGAAGTCGGTATCGATTCGAGCACCTCTCTCGCATGGAAAGCGCACCTTGGACAGAAGTCGCATGATGTATGCCACTGCAGCCAATGCAATACCGACGATACTGGCAATCGAAAAGCTCTCGGCATCGCGAACAGGTCGCTGACACAGCTGTTCCGTGAGGTTCTTTGCAACTGGGGATCCATTGTCAGCTGCACCTCTTGCAGATTCTGAACTTTCTGAAGTTTCATACCCAGCTGCTCTCGGATCTTGCAAGTCGACAAGGCGCATGCTTCAATGCCTGCCGTCGCTGTGGTGTTGCTACAGCTTGAAGCGATGTCGATGTTGCCAGCACTTTGACCAGAAGCTGCTACCGCTTCCACGAGACAAGTTCGCTACAGCAGGATGATTAGTGAAGCTCCAGTATGAGCAACCTGAAGTATACGCACGGCGCATTCTGGCATCTGCTGCACAATTCCCAGAGCACGCTGAAGGTCCGACTGCCCCGCATCTTGACTGGCACACAGGGTCGCAAAGAGAGCGACCAGAGCCCAGAAGAACCTCATACTTCGTGCCCAGAGAAACGAAGAGCGTGATTAGATCCGTAGAGCATGGAGGAGCGTATGTGGCCGGCAGTGATTCATAGAATAGATCTCGGAATCTCTCTGAGGACGAGATAGGGTCTTGAACCTCCGCAACACGGCCACGCGTGCACAAAGCGTAAGTGCGCAGAATAACGCTGATCGTCCAGGAGCCCTGTCCAGCATCGCAGATTTTCTAATCGCCTAGTGAGTGAAGAAGCGCGCACGCAAGCTGCCGGCGGCAGTCACGCTGACTGCAGAACAGCCGTGAAACCGCAGCCTTAACGCGTAGCCATTTTCCGATAGAAAGCACCGACAGTCGGGACGGCGTGTGAGGAGTCCCAGTTTGCAGGGCCATGCATGAGAGCAAGGAGGGCAGCAGCCGCGGGCCCGAGTTGCTAGAGAGCACCGGCGAAGTTAGCGTATGATGTGCCGATGTTTGACCTTTGAAGCGAGGAGCGGCTTTCAGGCCCGAAAAGGCTTGGTTCGTAGCAGGCAAGATCGCTCCATCAAAGAAATGATGGTGTGTGTCCACGGACCATAAGCTGACGGATCGCTGCAAGTCTCGGTGGGAGTGGAGGTGCGGCGAGGTTTGTAGGGCGGAAAGGGGCAATCCAGTCAAAACTAAGCTATTGATGACCGGTTGTTCCTATTACAGTGTTATGCATGCCAGTGCCTATACGCCATGTATCTATTCCGCGTGCAGCTATTGACGACACTCGTGAGCCTGCTTCCACGGAACGCGTGGGCCTTCTTAAATCTCCAGCACAATGGACACGTGCATGCTGGACTTCATGAAAAGCGCCTTCTCGGATTGTTAGAAGGCCTTGGTGGCCTAGGTGGCGGCGGTGGTCCTGGTGGCAGCGGAGCAGCAATCGAGGTTACTGGCGAGCATGAATGGCAAGCGCCAGGTCCAGGTGACCAGAGAGGTCCATGTCCAGGTCTGAATGGTGAGCATGCTCAACTCGGGTGCTGTTCACGAAGAGGCAGCTGACAGTAGTAGCAATGGCCAATCATGGCTACATCCCACGAGTGAGTGCACGCAACAGCCTGTACAGGCACGAACGAGAATGACGCTGACCCTCAGTCGCAGAATGGCGTCGTGTCTTTGCTTGGAGCAGTGAACGCCATAACCAGTGTCGTCAATATGAGCGTCGAGTTGGCGCTACTTCTGGCCGTGATGGGTGTGGTATGGACTGGCAATCCAGTCTCGCTCGACCCCTCCTTCTCCATCGGTGGCACAACACCAGAGGTGCAGAATCTGCTTGGAAACGCTCTCGGGCTTCTCGGTATGTCCCAGGCTCTTTCTGCTATCTTGGAGCTTATACTGACATGCAGTCAGGCGAGCCTCGTGGAATTGACCACTCCCACAACTTCATCGAAGCAGACTCATCACCGACGAGAGACGACCTATACGTTACCAACGATCCAGTGACCATGAACTTGACTAAGTTCGAGACATTGTATGATTTGATTCCGGAAGGGCAGGTATTTACTGCGGAGGTCATGACCGATTTCGCGATGATTCGCTGGAATGAGACGGTTGCGACCAATCCATACTTTTACTATGGGCCGGTCACTGGGATGATCGCTCGGAATACTGGATACTGCTTCATGAGGAACCTGTTCGCCAATTATTCCTCGGGCAAGCAAGAGTTCAGTGAGTACTGAAACCATCGGATTCGAGGTCCGCAGGCTAATGATACGCAGCACATGAGATCTTCAAGAGCTGGTACTCGGTGACGGGCGATCGAGACAACTTCACGTATACCAAGGGCCACGAGCGGATCCCAGCGAACCTGGTGCCCAATCCGGCTCCGTACGGCCTCGTAAATCTGAACCTGGATATCGTGGCCATGGTCCTGCGCTACCCGATCTTTGGCAGTGTTGGCGGCAACACCGGCGAGGTTAACTCTTTCACTGGCGTCAATCTCGGAGATCCTGTTGATGGCGTCCTCAATGTGCCCCGATTACTGGAAGGCAATAACCTGCTGTGCTTTGCCCTCGAAGTGGTCAACTTTGCAGCGCCGAACTACCTCAACAACCTCGTCAGCACGCTCGCGGCGCCTCTGAAGATGCTCACCGATGCCATCGCTGCGCCGCTTCTGAACATGAGCTGCCCACAGCTGGGCGAGATCACGCGTGACGGAAAGCCACTTTGGCAGTCGTTGGGCGAAGAATTCCCGGGGGCGAACAAGAGTGGCAGCGCGATGTAATACTGCGGCAGGTTGCAGAAGGAGGAACGCGACGCGTGCGTGTGAGAGTGGAAGGGAAAAATTGATGAATCAGCGCGAAAATGATGGGACGGAAACGCAGCAAAGCGCGTTTCGGGCAGAACAGCTTCAACTTCGTAGCCAGTTTCATGGCTTCATAATTCAACCACAACTCGATTTGTATCTCGCGAAGATGAGGCCAAGCGCACGGTGTCAGATTGACTTCCTTACTCGAAAGCCGCTTCTGTCCTCATGCGGAGCTACCAACACGTCTGGCAAACATCGTTTATCGACTAGCAATTCCGGTCGAAAACCGCTCGATAACAAAGATTCGATCTTGCGTCGAATAGTATTGACGATCCGTATCTCCCAGTTACCTGCGAAAAGCACCGAAACATTGGCAAGGGTCGTGAAGAACACCGACGCTAACAAACGCCATCTAAGACATTACCAGCAGGCAGACTACCAGGTTTGTGAATCTTGCTAAAGAATAGCTTCCAAACTTCGCGAATCGCTCGGTGTAGAATAGCATCCACTACAGTATAAGAGCCGTCGCAACGCGAAACAGGAACAGGACATCGGTCGAAGGGCCAGTACAGGCAACGTCTGCGAGACAGTAGCCCTGCCAATATTCCACTTCAAGGTAATGCACCACTCCATCTTACTGACGTCTTTGCCAGGACCTTGTCCCCAACATCTCATCGGCTCAGATATCCCCTTCGATTCCCACCTCTTCTTTTCTCTCCGCCACCTTATCCTTCTCCGTAGCATCCAAGATCATACCCCACAACTCCTTCCGAATCTTCTTCCTGTTCGCCACGATCTTTGCCCACTTCTTCCTCGCCGCAACAATCTGTACCTTCCTCTCCGGGTCTACAGGCTTGACTTTCCCACTCTTCAGTTTCGCCAACCTCTCTTGAAGTTCGACCTTTTCTTGCTCCAGCTTCTCGGCATTACTCCTCAGCTCTGCCGTCGTGACGATCGTAGATTCAGCTCGCAAAGCGAGGCGAAGCTCTTTCTCTTCGGTCTTCAGCGATATGATCTCAGTTCTGAGGCGTTCGGTCTCGGCTTCTTTGGCTTGCATCGTCTCCTCGAAGTGCTCGTCTACCTCGTCCTGAGGAATGGACCCAAGTCAGCGATGTATGTAGAGTGGTGAATGAAGGGACATGCCTGGATAGCAAAGTAGACGATCTGCTTGCCGGAAGCTTTGCCATCGATCTCGTTTCGCTCATGCATGTCCTTCAGCAGCTTCGTGGCAGCGGCTTTGGTAACTTTGTTGTTGAGATTGGTGCTGATGTCTGTGGCGGAGTACGGGCGGTTGGTCTTGCGTAGGTAATTGAGGATGAGCTTGGACGACTCATCGGGAGTCAGCTTCTTCTCCTTGACCTCCTTGGTGGCGCCCATCGTGACAGATTCCGGTCAGCGACCTGTATGAAAGACGATGTATCCGTTAGGTTGAAGTGAAGTGTTGCTGTGCGGAGGTCAAGTTGAAGTGGTGAGACTTGACGTGACCTTGGCATGAGGGTGCAGGCGACGACGCGCGTGCCTTCCTAGATCACGTCTCGCTGAGTCGCGACTGCCACATTCCCGCCATTCTGCTACGCGTCCCTCTTCATCATTAAATTGCTGCATTTCGATATTCTGCAGTGCTATCGCTTGGTGGTCACAGCACCGCTGACGAGCACAACTCCGGCTAACGTCCATCCAGGCCACCAGACGCACCACAGCACAAGGCAGCTCCATACGCCCTGCGCAGCCCAGCCTTTGGCAATCTCAAATAGTACCGCGCTGACGTCCATCTTGACAAACCAGCTGAATGCATAGACAGCAGTCGCAGGGGAGAGTGCCAGCCATAGCAATGCCGAGGGAATGCTCAGCGCGATAGCAAGAGTCCGCTGATTGTCACTGCTGCTGGTTGATCTCAAGGGCAATGGACGCACAAATCCAAGCGGACATGCCAACAGGCCCACTGTCAGCGCCAATGAAAAGTTGAGTGTAGCCCAAGTCGAGAAAGTTGCCCCAAGGAAGAGTAGCGAAAATGCCTGCATGGTCTGCAACTGTTGGGATGTCGCTTTGAGGTATCGTACCAGCAGGATCGAGATGTAGGCGGGAAGTACGTAGCTGCTCGTTGTCACAATACCAAACACATACGGCAAATTCTGCAACGATGTCAGCTGGAAAACTTGCGCTCAATCGATTTCACTTACTGCTTTACTCGTATGCGTGAGCAGGTAAAGTGGTACCAGACTGATAAGATGCACTGCCAAAGCCACGACCGCAGGTAGGAACATCTTTCTCTCAACACTTTGCAGCTCTTCCTTTGCGACAACTGCGACTTTGTCACCCTCCTTGATTTTGACCATCTTTTCGCCCTTCGGCTTCTGGCTACCTGCACTTTCCAGCTTCCCAGGCTTCTCCACAGGTCCTTTCCCACTCAAGATCCAGAGCGCAAGGGCATTGATCGTGAAGCTGCCAGCAACCAGCATAGCTGCTGGGAGATAGCTGCCAATGCTCACAAACCTGTGCGTGTTGAGCAGGATGTAGAAGAAGAAACTTTGATGCAGGTGCTCCAGCAAGTTGTTGATACTTCGGAAGATACTCTCAGTCACTCGCCCAAGACTCATCTCATCGTGCCAGCCATCTCCGACTGTCTTGAGAGTGATGGCATCGACATGATATGGCATGAATGCTGAATGAGGACCAGTGGCTACACCTTGGGCTTGAGATAGGATGCCAGAGGCAATCGTGCGGAGTCGGTCCGGATATTTGTCAGAGTGCTTTGTGAAGCCATGCAGAGAGCATCCCATGCCCATGTGGCCAGACGCGATTTGTACTGCCGTATTGATGAGGTCGAGGTTGGGCAGTGCGCCATTGATGCCATCATACAGCACATCCAACTTTTCGAAACGCTTTCCCCAAGGCCCAACAGGATAGTCCAGCGCAATAGCACCCTGAAGCGCACCAGCTTTGATAGGCAAATCGCTGACGTTCCGGCTCGATGTGGGGGTTGTGCCTGTGCTGTGGTATGCGCTGACCCATGCTTCGGACCCATAGGTGCTGTCCTCAGGTATGAGCAGAATGATATCCTTGGACCAGATGCTCCAACGCTTGAAGTATCGCGCCAGAGTCAATGCCAGCGCGACACCAGAATAGTTGAGCTCTCCTTCGAAGTTCTTCCAAGCTGCGATCAGAACCATTGCTTCCGTGGCATCTGCCCTCGGCCCTTGAAGCAACCCATAGACATTCTTGCCCTCGATCTTCTCGCCCGCGACCTCGAATGCATATTCCTGTGTCGCGCACTTGAGTTTTATTTCCTTAATGATCTGTTCTATGCCTGCCAGCCTCTCTTCTCTGCTCTTTTGACCAAGGTTGTAGACTTCCTGTCGATATGCGCGGAAGATGTTATGCTCGCTGCCGCCGAAGTATGTATGGACCTGTCCAGGTAGGATCGCGTTCTCGGAAATGTACGTCTGTCGCGAATAGTCGTTCAGCGGAAGAAGCAGGACCCATACTATGCCGACCAGGATGCATATGGCTGAAAGGTATGGGGGTAATTTGAGCAGAATGGGGGACCGCCGCAAGGTCAAAAGGCGCGCTGCTGTATGTATCTGTCAGTAACATAAGCTGTAGGTTTGTCTACTATGAATACCTACAGAGCGCCATGTTGTGTTATCGCATTGGGATGCCGTCAATGAACGGCGAGGAGACGTGTTCGTGACGCGCGAGATGAATTTGATGCTGCTCAATCAAACCCTTACTCGAAACTTGACACTACGCCAGTTACACCCCCTCGCTGACCTCGTCATAACCCTACCAACAACAATATCAATCGCTTGACATCGCATGGAGGACGGCACGCTCCACAGTCGCTCATCGTGTCGCGCGGAATGATACTGGTCTCAGTGAGAGGTAACACGGTCCAAGCAGAAATCTTGACCACGGCAGAGCACAAGGGCAAACGCGACCAATTCTGGCGGAGTATGTTTAAGGCACATGCACTCGACGACTCTTCTGGGTATATCGAGATTCTCTGCGCTGTGCTTAACCCATTTGTAGACATCATGGCCGCATTAGTTCCGGTCAACGAGCATCAGCGCACTCTTGTTGTCACGGGTCGCTTACTCCATCAACAGAAGTCTACAGAAATGCACACAGATAACTCTTGCTCTGTCCTCGCTATCTCTCCGTTCCCAGATGCACCAGCTACGCACTATGCGACCGATCCAGGACTATTTCGCCACGTACGCAATCTTGGCGACGCTATCACGAAATGCGCGTCCGGCATCCGTGAGCGAGTCGGTGAACGAGTCGGTCCTTGAATCAGTGCGGGCTTTTGGGACAGGCGGTGACCGCCTGCTGTAGCAGCCTAACAATGTGGCGGCCGACGCTGGTCTCGTCTTTGGCCTCATTGCTGGGCTTCCCATCTCGCCAGCCTTGGGATCCATACGTGTACGCTTGACGGGCGGCGAATCGGGAAGATCAGGATCGTCACTCTCTGGCAAGTTTATTGGCCCAACGTCAATTTCCGCGCGCTTGAGCTTCTTCCTTGTGTGATTCGGACAGCCCTCGCGGAATTCATGCTCGTGGTACAGGCATTGGTCGAGAGCAGGGCTGAGGAGTTGCTGGTCTCTGTCCACACTTTCAACAGCATCCAATGCAGCTCCTGCCAGATCAGCCACGAAATGGTGAGGCAAGGGGCCATCAATACGAATACCGCGAGCCTTGCGTACGTACAGGTCAACCATGAGTTGCCGCAGCTTCGATCCTGGCTCCGTGACGGCATACACTCTGGTGACAATGGTAGCTCCTGGTACACCCGTTGTGGTGTTGAGACCAGGCATGTCGAAGATCTCTACAAGACCGCTGACTGCTGCGTCCTTGCCTTGTCCATCGCCAAGGGTCGTACTCATGCTGTAGATCTCGATCAGGGCGACGCCGACGTCCTCCTTATGTTGACGCTGTTGCCGAATCGTAGTCTTGTATTGTCGCAGCGGGAAGTTGCCAACATGGAGGTAGTGCAGGTACAGCTCGCAGACTGATCTTGTAATATCCGGAAGAGCAATGAAGCGCTCATCGCCGGACAAAGACAAGACTGATTCATCAAAATTGCCTCCAGACCTCTCAAGGAGTGTCTTTCCATGGATGGAGTATCGAGATTCCTCCTTGCCGATGAGCAGGATGATGATGCTATCCTCAAGTCTGGAACAATGTCAGTGAGGTTGAGAAGTCGGCGCAAAGTGAGGCACGTACTTTGGCTGCTCGTCGCGAGCCACGATGAGGCGATCAGCGAGCGCCATGATGGTGGTGCTTTGTGACCGGTGTGGTACAGAGCCTCTGAGAGGTTGCCTGAAGGTCGCTGAAGATTGAGATGGAAGGAGCAGCAGGAGCGGCTAGCTCCTATTTCCACGCGAAACTAGAAAGTGAGCTCCTTCCGCTGGAGTGATGACAGCAGCGCCATTCGAGTAAGTGCCGCCGCGTGTCCACCTTCCTGTTGTCTGCTCGAACTCAGGCTGACACCACTTAAGATCGATGTTCAGAATTGCGAAGCCCCCCGCGAGGACACCATGGCCGCTTCGATGCGCTCTAATGCAGCGCGCATGTGTTGTTGTGCATGGTTGGACATTTACGTTCTTCTAGTGATAAGGAACTGTGGAGCAAGTCAGTGCAGAACTATTGTATGAGACGCTTCATCCGAACCCTTGAACTGCTAGTAGATAGTACAGTCGCACCTCCACAAAGAGCGCACGCAACGAACGCATTTGAAGAAGGGTGAAGAGGAGCGCCGTTAGGACATGAAATGAAATTGAGATCAATTGCCGCACTTCCGTATGCCATGACCTACATTGTAATGCAGATAGTGCTTTTTGCAGCCGAATAGCCATGCCTGAGATGCAAACTGCATCTTAGCTCGACGGGTCGCGCGAAATCTCTGTCTGGCCATACTGTTGATGAGGCTCCTGTTACCGTAGATGTGGGTGCCAAGAATTCTTCCTTTGTGAGAAGACGCATCTGCTCTTGCACATCTCCAGAAGTCCTTGAATCTCCAATCCTAGCATGCTTGGCCTCGAGCCGCTCTTCGCCATTCTGACGTTTGTGACCCAAGCCTGAGTCTGACGCATGACAGCGATCTTCGCAGTTCGCTCACTCATCAGCTTTGTCCCGTTTGCGCTTCCGGTTAGCACACGGTTCGCCTTTCTTATGCTGGTGATAGTCGCAGCACTTCATGCTCGCCGGCAAGAACTCGTTGCTAGAAACCTTGCGAACCTTCTTGATGGCAGTCGCAGCCAAGTCCCACAAAAATTCTTTTGGAAAGTCTGCTGGGTCGTCGGGGTCGTCGAGGTCGCAACGCCAGAGCCACAAGTCCACAAGCAGCTTTCGTAGCTTCGAGGATTTGTTCGTCTGCTTGTACGCGTTCTCAATGGCCTTAGCCGTTGGCAGCCAGTAATCTCCAGTTTCATGCTCCGTTCTGCCGATGCTCAAAATTGCGCTAAGTGCAGCGTCCATGAGGTCTTCATCTGATACCTTCTCTGCAAGGAGGTAAACATCGACAAATTCTTCGCAATCTCTGAGCGGAGAATTTTCCACGTACACTCCACAGCGGAACCTTCCGGTGTAAAGATACTCTGTGAAATACCTGAAGGTACTGATATCGAAGTTGGGCAGTGTGATGTCGCCGGTAGTCGTAGACAACTTTCGCAGTTCATCTTCGCGCCAATTAAGAGTCGCCGGATGCACGTGCATGATCTCTTTGCGAGGTCCGATGCGCAGCACCACAATGGTGCTGCAGTCGATTCTCCAAGAAGTCAATATTCGGTCATGAACCAAAAGAATGAGCTACATACTCAGCAAAATTTCCATCCTCAGTCTCGATGCGCCGGTCTTTGGCATCGGCCTTTTGGATAATTGTCGCGGACAAGCTGCTCTCGAGATTGCTGCTGTGTTGAGGAAGTAGTCCGGTGGCGAGACAATTGTTTCAGTGCCTTGTTGATGTTTATTGTGAGAATGACTTGTGTGGTACTGGATGACATTTCTGCATGTGGCTGGGCACACCATGTGCAGTGGGGCTGCATGTGAAAGCCATGCGGTCACTACATGCCGAAGAACGCACCGTCCAGCAAGGTGATGGTATGTAAGCTCAGTTGACTATGCTATGCAACACCATATGCAGCTCACGTGAGCATCTTTCAACGATCAGGATCTCAATACTCACAGTGTTTCCTCTTATGAGCTTCTCTGTGAACTTTGCTGTGCAACTGAGCCTGTGCAACGTCTGAGGACCCCCAGTCTGTTCTCTGCATGCTTTATCATATTCTTGATATTCACAAGTATCAAGGTCGGACATGTTCTCGTGCTCCATGACCCAAGGCAAGATGCTTGCCAATGTCAGACTAGAATGCGCCTCTCTGGTGTCCCTGTCACTCATTCGACACCGTCACGAGAGCCGGATTGATAGCTTTCCGAAGCGAATGCCTGAATTGTTGCATTCCCCAAGCAGATATTTCCGCCAAAGCGCGTCCAATTCGTGCTGGTCCTAACGACCCGACTGACGCTGTGGGTCCTCGCCAAGAAACGATGAGATCTCTCCAGCCATGGCATGGGCGCCTAGCACTTCTCTCAATCGAGAATCTTCGTCCTCTGCAACACCAGTCTTGTCATCGCCATCGAGTTGCATGTGTGTATCATCCTGTCCGGTCTGCCACATCAGTTGAGGATCAACGGGTCCGATGTCTCCATAGTTGGTATGAGAGCCGTCGTGATAATCGCCATTTCCGCCCATGCGTGCAGTCGGAGCGGATTGCTGGAGGAGATCTTGACCTAGCTGCTGGGAGAGTTGTTGGTCGTCAGAGTGGGAACGGCTTAGACTCTGCTCTGTTCGTCCCGTTTGTGCTGACGATGCTCCAACGATCGTGTTCGACATTGGTGAGTCGGGACTGGCAGTCACCACCTGTCGTGACGAGCTGGACGAAGACTTCGTGCTGCCGGGTACTGGTCCTCGACGGCCCGTAGTTGGCGGCATGATCCCAGGATTCTTTGGTCCAGAGGACTCCTTGCATTCCGTGCAATTACGTATGGCGGCACTTACGGTCTCCTTGATGCGCACCCAGTGATACTTCTCGGCAATGCCGGCTGTAGTCTTGTTGATGCCACCATGTGTCTGAGCATGCATCGCGCGTGCGATCTCGTACTGTTTGTGCGGATCAGAAACTACCTCCTTGCCTTTCAACATGAGTTTGTCGTCTTCGCCATTAGCGCCTGGAATCAACCTGTAGTGTGTCGCTGCCGATCGCAAACGAGATTTCTCAGCGCGATCAGAGCCTGCTGGATATGCACCTGACTTCAGATAGTATCGAATCTTGTCGAAACGCTCCTCGCTCTGGTACTCTTCATTCTCTCCACCAAGCTCTCGGCCGAAGATGATTGCGTCGATCATGGCATCTGGGTAGCTCTTGAGGTTGCCGCATCCCTTGACTCGACCGATTCTCTTGAAGCCGAGAGCGTCCCATATGCGAAGAGATGCGACATTCGTCTCATATACCAGATTGAAGACAGAGTAAGTGTAGCCGAGCTTCGGAGCCCACTCAAGATAGACTTCACCCATGAGCCTACCGACACCACGATTACGAGCAGCGTCTGTCACCAAGAATCCACCATTGCAGACGTGACTGCTGCGGCCTGGATAGTTTGGCTTGACGTAGAAACTGCCGAGACAAAGCTTCGCCCAATCTACGCCTCGCTCTTCCATTTGTGTAATCTCCTCTGGCGAAGAGATGTCGCCCATCACCATGATTGCTCCGAAGTTCGCGAACCAGTATGGTGCAAATGCAGAGAGTGCCAGCCCATCCATCATCGGGTACGTGTCACCTTTTTCAATCTCGCGGTTCAGAAGCTCGCATAGGTACGCAGTCAGATGTGGCGGCACTTGGCCGGGCGACGAGAAGGGGACTATCGTGGCGATAGTGGTTCTATCACGCAGTGTGACCTGCTTCGGCGTGATCTCGTAGGGAAGCGGGCCATATGGTTCAGGAAATGGCGGCTGGCCTGAGACTCTGTAAATCGCTGGAGAAGTTGGGTCGTCCAGCATCGCAGGCATCGTGGGTGGCTATGTGGTGGCTCTGTAAGCCTGGCGGGAGTGCTACGATATCTGCTTCGCGCCAGGTGGGCCTGTATCTATTCTGTCTCCCATGTCAGCGGCGATGCAAGTGAATCACGCCTAGTGCATGATCAAGCAAAAGATAAGACTGTCATCCGGCCAGCGCGCGGCGGCGTGAGGCGGCGGACATGCCTGCCACTTTGTATAGCCACTACCAGGGCAGATATGGAGGTGGAGGTGATGGAAGCGGACGTACTTTGATGAGATGAGGTCTGTCTTCCCGTGCCCGGTGCTCGGAAAACTGGTATGATGGACGCGCAAGGTGTGATCATGTCTGCGTCGCATACGATGGCACGCTAAGGGTCCGAGTCTTGGCACTCCGCCTGGCAGTATTTGTCCACTCACTGGCACCGTGCCACCGACATGGAAGATTGAACATCCTGATGATCATTCGTTCGAGAACCTCTCAATTCCATACATCTGATACTTCGCAGGCTCTCCTCCGCGTGTGTTGTGTAGGTAAATCAGAAAGAAAGTTGAGCCGGAGCGGAACAGAAAGAATCACCATTCACCTGTCCCCATCACGGACGTCAAAATACACGAGAACGATTGACGAGGCATCTCAATTGCTATGGCCTAGATCACTCACGTTCTCTTTAGACCCCAGCTTCGCTGCCCCGGAGGCTGCCACCCTCAATGCCTTGGCAAAAGTCCACCTCACTCCACCTTCCTCCAATGCCAACACCCCTTGGATAGTGGATCCTCCAGGAGATGTCACTCCGTGCCGCACAGCTCTCGTTGACCATCCTCCTTTAACCAGAGACGCAGTACCCATCATAGCATGAGAAACCATCTGCAACGCATCATCCGGCTTCAGCCCAGTCGCAATGGCTCCTTCAACCAGTCCTTCCAAGATGACTGTGAAGAACGCTGGAGTCGAACCACATAATGCCGTACAGGCATCCATAGTGGATGGCTCTGTGAAGAAGACTTTGTCCACGCACTCGAACAAGCGACTGACTATCTGGAGAACATCTTCGCCTACAGACCCTCGCTCTATGACCGTGGTTGACTGCCTGACGAAACAGTTGATGTTGGGCATTACCCTGACGACGGAGTACCCTGCCCTGGCATCCTTTGACTCCGAACCTCGCTCCAGTTTCGAGCGGATTTGTTGCACTGTTACACCCGCTATGACGCTTACGATGATTTTGTCACTTAGCGCCGCCCTCATGCCCGGTTCCTGGAAGAGCTGGTCCAGCAAATGTGGTTGAACGGCCAGAACGACAATATCAGCTCCTGTGACCCCTTCGACATTGCTGCGGACCTTGATGTCTATCTTTGACTGGTCGCAAAAGCCGGCTTCTGTTGCTTTCAGCTTGATTGAATCGGCGGCGGCCTCACGACTATTTTCATCAGCCATGAAGGGAGCGAATGTAGGACATGGTGCTCAGTCTCTCTCGTACCGGACACATGCTACGAAGCGCGTAGGTATACCAGCATCTTGATTCGCTTCGGCATTGCCATCTGGTTTCGAGGACTGTGATAGGAGACCGAGAAGGATCGAAGTTCCAAGCGCGCCTACAGATGTTAGACAAATGTTACAAACTGCACCTCCTGGCGTGCAAACCGCTCGTACCACATCCGAGAATTGCCAATGTGTTTGTTGCAGCCGAGATACGATGTTCGGTAGCCGAGGGACCGGAATCCATCATGATAGTCGCTGCACAGGATGTTCACGCCGTGAAGTCGAAATAGAGTACGCCAATCTTCACCTTGGCTGTATATGCTTATCCGTATGTGTTACAGGTCCAGGCACGGCACATTCTCGTATCATGTCAGCATGACTACAGCATGTCTTACGGCAGGACTATGCACTTAGCGGACGGACTCCGGCCCAACGTCCTCCAGCAGTACTGACGAGCCAGGGTTTCTCTGTTCTGCGGAGTTCGTCGTTTCCAACTATCATCAGATGTTTGTCTCCAAGGTAAATGTGCAGTACACAAGCAGTATGAAAGGCGATAAAGATCGTGTGGTCGAAGCCATTTCTTCGGCGAAAGATTCTCTCCAACTGGGTTTCACGGCTGCCCATCCAGAACATGCAGTCACTCGAGCCTTCGGCATTACACATGAGTTACGGATAGCGGTTTCAATACCTGAATAATGCTCTCAGTCAACATCTACAAGGACAAAATTTTGATACGAAGCAATGCGAACGACATACCAAGTGTCATCAAAGCCACCAGCCTCATCGAAATTCACGATGTCTAAGACCAGCATCAATACCAGCCTCGATCAGACGAGCTGCGGATGGCAGATCATGGTTCCCCCAGCCAGCGATGAGGACTTTGATTCTGCTTTCTTCATCGAGAGGCGGGTCACGAATGCGATGGTCTTGGTGATCAGCTGGCTGCGGTGCTCTCTTCATAACTTCTTCCACCATCTCAGTCTGCTCTTATCCAGGCTGACACTCGGGCAAAGACCTGTGTGGCGGGTAGCGTTCACAGAGTATCTTGGATCGTTGGTCAACATGCCTTGTCAGCACTCAGAATGGTACCACCGAACGTTCGGTCGAAGCAGCTTTCAATCAACAGGTTTCTTCACCCTGAACAATATCTGCTTCGACCGAGTGTTCGGTGGTGCCATTCGGAGTGCTGACAAAGGCATGTTCAACAACGATCCCAAAAGCCTTGCCCGAAGAGACTCGTAACTATTTGGACACTTGGACCGCTGCCTCCTCACAATACGCATGCTCGAAGAATAATCAGATCGCACGCCCCGGTCTGTTGAGAAGCGATCGGTCGTTCGAAGTCGGTGCGAAGATCAGGAAGGGTTGTGACAGCAGCCAGCAAGTGCCAGGCTCGTCAGTCATTTATATTCTTCGTCCAACAAAACTGCAGTTGCGGGGAACGAGACGAAGTTGTACTCGACCAGGATCTCCTAGCAAGAGAATCATCAAGCCTCATTTGAGTTCGTCAGGATCCCAAACTCATTCGAGATTTGAACACGGACCATGACATGGCAATCCTGGGGCGTCAGCAATTCCAACAGCAGCGAGTCCCCTCTCAGCACTTGACCACCCACATGCGGTCGAGATGTCAGCATTTCTGTGGTTGCTCCAAGAAATCGCAAACATCGTATTGCAGGTCGGACCGTTCTGGATTGTTGATTCTTCCGCCATCCAGGTCTTTATTCCTCTCGCGCCGATGATCATATATGCTCTTGATCATGATCTGACCTCAAGTGCGGCATATTTGGAGATCATCTTTCAGAATGCAGCTGGTGTCCACCATCTCAGCGATCTTGTTGGGCATCCAACTCACCATTCCATGCGCCCTTGCACACACTGGACATGATCTTACTGTCGAGTTGACGGAGCGCAAACGTTGGCTGGATACAGAACCAAGAAGCGTCAAGTCCTGCAGCAACGAACTTGAGCGACGCGGGCTCCTTTCAAACGCGATCGAGAGACGGAGAGATCTCTTCCAGCGTAATGCTCAGGATTCGCTTGTTGGAGTGCAGTCCGCCAAAAACTTTGCCTTCCCACCGAATCCGACTGATGAGCGACTTCTCTTCACCGATAACTCCAGCTGCATCCTCACTCCGGAAGTTCAGGGCTTAGGCCACTTCATTGCTGGCGAGCAAATACGATCGGACATCAGCGAAGGTCAACCCGGCGTGCCTCTCACACTCGAGATTCAGATCGTGGATGTTCGCAACTGTCAACCAATCCCAGGAGTCTTCGTTGAGGTCTACCAATGCAATGCCACAGGTGTCTACTCTGGTGTACAGGCGGAGGGTAACGGCAATGCAAACGATGCATCCAACCTGTACGCGACACATGGACGAGGCATCCAGCAAACTGATGGCGAAGGGTATGTGCTTGACGTTTCAAGGATAACTCTCAGTCTTCTCTAACATTAACAGCGTCGTAACATCCAAAGGCATATTTCCGGGCCACTACTACGGCGTCGCACCCCACATCCATATCCTCACGCACAGCTCAGCACAACCCGTCGCGCCCAGTGGAGAAGGCAGAAATTACGTGCAAGCGACACACAACGGGCGCATATTCTTCGAGCAGGATCTGATTTCTCAGGTGGAAGGAACATATCCTTACAACACGAACCAGCAACCGTTGACGCTGAACAGTCAGGACGTGGTGCTGAATCAGGAAGCACAAGTGACCGATCCTTATGCGAGATATGTTTGGATGGGACAAAGACCAGAAGACGGTGTGCTGGCATGGATAAGTGTGGGCATAGATCCGACAGTGATCCATCCAATGGAGTATGTTGGGAATGGAGCAGGTGGAAACGGAGGAGCGTTACCATAGTACACGTTCGACATGTCCATACAGGTGGGCTGCCTCTGTTGCTTCAGACTCACGGTGTGAAACAATCAAACTCATCTGTAGGCTCTGTTCCAGCTTTAATACCTCCACCCGGTGAATAAATCGTTCCATCGATTGCCGCAACTCCCCATCCATGTTTCGGCACTGGCATATCTGGCAACCTGCTCCACTGATTCGTCACAGTATTGTACGCTTCCACTTGCGGGAAGACTTGTGACTGAGTCTGCTGATCACCTTCTCCTCCCAAGCAGTAAATGATCACTCCAATAGCTGCACAAGCCAACCCGCCACGAGCTGTCGGCATTGGAGCCATCTCTCTCCACCCAGACATTGGATTGTTCAGATCGAGTGCGTAGACGTTGTTTTGTATTTTCTCTTGTCCGTTCGTTCTTCCTCCAAGTACGTAGAATATCGATCCGACGACAGCACCAGCTACATGTTGACGAGGCTGTGGCAGAGGAGGAAGATTGGTGTTCCATGAATTACTTGTTGTATCGTACGCAGTGACTGTAGACACAACATCTTGGTCGCCCGACTCCAGATCGAGGATCGTCATGCCGCCAGCGAGGTAGATTGTGGTTCCGTAGACTCCCACTGCACAAGCTCCACGCTGCGTGCCTTGCGGCATTGGAGCTCTTTGCTGCCAAGCGTTGGCAGCAGGAGAATATGCCAAAGAGATGCCTTGAGCGAGCCATTGTAGTCCTTCAGACAGGCCGCCAAGGATGTAGATGGTTTCGCCTACAGCTGCAGCGTTGAGATGGTTCAATGGCGTTCCAAAAGGTGCTGCTGTGTGCCAGTTGTTGTCTCTGAGGCTGTAGTATTCGACTGCGTCCACGGTTCGGAAGGGATCGATCATGGTCCCTCCAAGCACCCATACTGCGTCCGATGTTGCGACGACGGCATCCTCTTGACGAGGACCACCAGCGATCGAAGGAAGTGTTCTCCAACTTCCACTACCGGATTGGCCTTGTGGTACAGCGATAGAATAGACCAAGGTCCCGAATATGAGCAAGTAAATAAGATCGACCATGATATCCAATCGTCGTGGCTTCAATGACATGATTGTCCGACTAATCAGACATCTTGATCGATGCGAATTCTACTCATGTTAACGTTTCCGAGCAACGTGAGGCAGGGAAGTACAGAAAGATCGAGGCCCCCTTCGAGGCCTGAACGCCATGCTGTAAGAAATAGACCATGAATGCTTTGAACGCATGTATCCTTGAGTGAAGTCCATTTTTGGTAATTGGAAAGGCAAAAGTGTCCTGAGTCAGGATGAAATTTGTTGCGCTGGAGCGTCGTTCAAAGCCTGTAGCTATCCTCTGATCTGTGGAAGCGTAAAGTAATTAGTTCTGCCGTAATGGAACAAGGGAACCAGGGCATCATCAAGGATCGCGAAGCTTTCCAGCCGCGATGCCAAGCAAGCAGTCCGTGTTGTTGGCCATGCTTTCCTTGACTGACAAGAAACTTAAGCAGGAGCCTTCGGCAGTTCGACCTCCTCGAAAACGTCGCTGCTGCTCTAACAATCCAACAGCAGCTGTCCGCTACTCTTCTTGCTGGCCCTGAGGTCCACCACTCCATACAGCGACACCATGTGCCCCCAGACCTCATCTGAACGAGATATGCTGTATGGTAACTAGTTCTCTCAACGATATGTCTCATGTCATTGATAAATCTTCTGGTTTTCTGATGGACACTCCTGCAAGAAAATTCTCAGTTGCGACATTCGAGTCATTAACAATGGTTTGTCGCAACCTATTTTCTCCATCACGGTCATGCCTCAGTCGACACTCACGCAGGCGGCCGAAGAAATGTTTATCGCATATGCAGGAAGCTCAGCCCATAATAGCCAAGCGAGCGGAATCCTTCTGGCTTAAGAAACCCTACAATCCTTCAGCTCCACGCAGATTTGTCATCGTGTGTAACAGCCACATCGACATATAAACACCAGAGACCTTGACTCTCACAAGAAACCTGTCAGAGACAGATTTCTCCATCTTCGTCAAAATGTCCGACCTCCAATTCCCCGACCTAAACGGTTTCAGCCTCCACGTCACAGTCCACATCGCACCAGAAAATCTCGAAGCTTTCTATGCAGCAATGACACCAGTCTTCGATGCCGTAGCAGCAGAACCGGAATGTCTGTACTTCGAGCTTTATCAAGACCCAACGAGTCCGGGTACGATTTCTTGGGTCGAGAATTGGGATGCTACGACGCAGTGGTTTAAGGATGTAAGTCTCGAGAAATTCATGAGCAAAGCTTCGAAGTGTGTTGGTGTTGAGGTCCTTGTAGGTCCAGATGCAGAAAGATTATTATAAGCCGTACTTTGAGGCCACGATACCGATGTATATCAAAGATCGTCAATTCCGGATTTTGAAGCGATTGGGGCCGCGATATGTCGTGCAGAAGGAGGCGAATCTTAAATGAAACTCAGTCAGTAGCATATTTCCGTCGATCAGTCTTGGTTTGTCGGATGGAAGAAGTAGTACTGGCATGTCGGATTGGAATGAAAGAGCGTAAGACAAAAGGACGATGCAAAGTACAGCGCGGAAGCTCGGCTTTGTACAAGATTGCTTGGTTCTCGCTCTCCGTTTCTGCCAATATATCGGACGTCTAGTGTTCAATTTGAGGATCGGTAGTCGTATAGATTTTTCAGAACTTTGCCAAAGCAATTTTGGCTTCAGCTGCAGGCTCTTCCCGGAGCAATTCTCGCAGCTTATCACAAAGTACGCGACGTTGCGCTCGAAATCTCTGTCTCGCTGCCTCCCTCTCCTCTGGATCCTCAGCTAGTAGCGGAGCCCAAGTCTTCGAAAAGAAATCCAGACGACAGTTACTCAGCCATGCCACAGTCTTTGACTCCAAGCACCAGCGCAAAGCATTGAGATTGTCCTGATAGGACACGACGAGCATATCGATCGGTGCACTTGGCTGCAAGACTGGTCGACAAAGTTCATTCTTGACTTGTTCATCATCGTAAGCACTTTCCACATGAGCAATGAAAGCTGCTGAGAAGACTTGTTGACAGTAGCGGACGGGCTGTAATGTGATTCTTATAGGACTGAAGACTGCGACAGGTGGTCGTACTCCAGCGCCGTCTGCGGTGTAATCGACGAATACTATATCCTGTACAGTAGTATAGCTTCCGTGTTGCAGAGTGACTTTCTCGACGTCGATAGAGAGCACGCGGCCCAGCCGCACTATGTTCTTGATTCGTCGAAGCTCCTCAAGCTCAGCCCTAGATACCGTTGCGCATCGGAACATGGTCGGCCAGACTTCTTGATCCAGTCGCAGGAACTGTCCGCTGGCCTCGTAACGACGGAACATGTCATCCGGAGCGGTCGCAAGCATTGTAGCTTGAACTCGCTTCTTGATTGCTTCGGCATTGTCCTTTCCAAAGAAAGCTCGGTCGAAGAGCCAGGAATCACGAGGCATAATCCAGGTGACTCGATTTGGATCAACGCCATTCGTTAATAGCCAAATGCAGGTGTCCATTCCTGTTTTACCGGCTCCAACGACGGTGTAATTCGCATACGGGCGAGAGAGATTTACTAAGTCGTTCGGTGTTCTTACCGTCACCCCTTCTGCGACTTGATAAGGAGGTGGTCGCATAGAAGGCACTTCCAGTTTCATATACGTCGCATCGACGATTTTGGTCCTGCTGCCAACTTGGAACGCCTCACCAGTGAGGATGGACTGGAAGCTTGTGTCGCCCTTCCAGATACATCTGGCAAAATATTGCACTCTTCCCGAAGGTAAGAATGTTTCATGGAGGACTTGTGCATAGTAGGCGCTTACTTCGTCGCCGGTCGCAAGCTCATAATGTCCTCTGTTAAGGCCGATCTGGTCGATTTTGCCTGTTCCTAAATGCCTGGAGCTGACGCCGTAGAAACTCGAGGGCTGATGCAGGCGGACGAAGGGGTAGGCTGTTGTCCAATGACCCCCAGGGCGAGAGTTCCTACGTCACAGAGACCATAGTCAGCGAGTCTGGTGCGCGATTGCTGAGGTGATGTTCATTCAGTACGGCCATACCGGTCAATCAGCGCAACTGTCGCATTTACGCTCGAGGCCAGAATGGTATCAACGAAAGCCATGCCCATCGCTCCAGCACCAGCGACCAAATAGTCGACATCGATTCGCGTCGGCGATGCCATGGTCAGTGAGCGAGAAGAGGACTTCGAAAGAGTAGTTGAGTACCTGTAGATGTTCGAAAAGGATAGGTCAAGACAATGCCTTGCGTCCAGATTGGCATCCTCTTAAACATTGACTCCCACGGCATGGAGTGTAGGTGCCTCGGCTCACCTAGGCATTAGCTGACGAAGTGAGTGATATGCCATCACGCTTTCCACGTGAAGATCTTGGAGACCGAACGGAAGCAGTCGGCAGTCGGCAGCTGCAGGGAGCATGGTTGCTAGTATTATTCGTTGTTCGAGAGTATTCGTAAGCTCGGCGGTGTTAACGTCAAAGCAAATCCGGAGGCCCATGAGACATGAAGTATACAGCCAAGCAAGCTCTACGCAAATAGTACCAAAATGATACAGATCTTGTGTGTCACACTTCGTTCCACTTAGGTGTAAGCGGCCTCGAAGTTATATTTCTGGCTGTCATACGCAAGTCAGCAACATCAAGTTCGAAGACATGCGTTTGGGCGGCTGTACGCACGCATTTACATACGCGCAGCTTATTTACCGCGTGATGTTGAGCCCTGTGTCTAGCCGCGGGTCTCGTACTCTGCGTTCGAGCCTCCTTTCGAGATTTTGATCAGAATGTGTCTCTGCAGCAGTCTGGATGATTAGGACCTTCTGAACTGCGCGAGAATACTGGGTTCATGTTCATTCCGAGGTCGATGGACTTTCTGAGAGAGCTTGAGGGAGTATTTCTCGCAGGCATCCGCCCTGCTAAGGATAGCCAACTTCCAATCTTCGGCACTCTGTTGGTAATAAGATCAGTCGTTACAAAAAAAGCTGTAGGGTCTTTCTACAGCGACTGACTCGTGTATTGCCAATCAAGAAAGAAGCCTACAATTCCTTTTCATATAGTGCTTCTGTTCCTCACCAAAGAATCACGCCATCTGGAGCTGGCTTCTCGCCATGACCATAGCCAATTGTGGCTGGACGGTAGTTGCATGATTTGCGGGCCAGCACAAAGCTACAAGTAGCCGCATCCTGCAGAAGCATAAGTATATCTCTTCCCCAGAGACCTTGTTTACAAATTCTCCTCTCGTTACGGTTTCTTCAATTTGCGATCAGAGTCGCCAAGCCTCAACCGCGATGCATGCTGAGATTCGTCGAAGCGGCCAAAATCCATGCATCTTGGCCATGAGCGGGTTTTTTCCACAGTCTCTTGACTTGAGCTCGACGCTATGGGTCTCTAATGGCTTTCGGGGGAAGATGCTGGTGCTTTGAAGTCGTTGAACTGGCACGTCGGCTTCGAAGCGATGGCCCCGCGATGCGGGGTCCTTTGTCCCTCGATGCTCTCCGCGGCGAAACAACGGCCGAGCACGTCTTCAGCCGAGCTCGCGATGGCGCAATGGATCGTTATCGAGGCATATAAATGCATACGGATCTTAGGCGAGGCGCGTCTCCAGCGATTTCCTAGATCGAAATTGTGGTCGTTCGAAGTTTCATCCTTCCTTTCTGAGGAGAAAGTCGACAATGTCTCCCGCTCTCACGCAATCCGCAGCTCCGAGCACTGCCCACAATTTATCACAAGTCAGCAAAGCAATCTTTCCAGATGGCCACAAAACATCTGGCCAGCACAACCCGATACCGGAGCTGATTCGGCCATACGAGGAGTTTCCCAAAGAGATTGTCGGCCAAACCGTCTGGAAGGCTGAGGACTATCGCAACAATCCTGAGCGATGGACTCATGGCTTCAGCGAGGAAGAGATTGCAGAGCTTGGAAAAGCTGCAGATGAATACATTGCGGCGGGTCATCCACTGACCGGGATGAAGAAAGAGTTGTTCCCGCTGCCCAAGCTTGCTCCTTTCTTTGGAACTGTACGAAACGAGATCGTTAATGGCAAAGGATTCATTCTGTTCAAGAATGTGCCTGTGGAAGAGTGGGGTCTGCACAAGTCGGCGGTAGGGAGGATGTTTCGAGAGTAGCAAGCATAATCTGACAATCGGCAGGTCGCATATATGGGTCTCGGCGCCTACTTTGGCTATTTCGTCTCCCAGAATGGCAAAGGACACGTGCTTGGACACGTCAAGGACCTTGGCGAAGATCCCACGCAGAAAGACAGAGTTCGGATCTATCGCACAAACGCGAAGTAAGTTTGAAGGAGAAGTCGTGAGGGCAAGCTTCATACTGACGAACATGAAGGCAGTACTTTCACACGGACGGCGCCGACCTGGTCGGTCTGTTATGCATGGCCAAAGCGCTGGAAGGTGGTGAGAGCGACATTGTTAGCACCCACCATGTGTTCAACGTCCTCCAAAAGGAGCGACCGGATGTGGTTAAGACTCTGGTCACACCGAACTGGTATTTCGATCGCAAAGGAGAGGTCAGCGAAGGGCAAGATCCATGGTACAAGTCGGCCATTGTGTATCTCGAAAACGATCCGAGCGGCTCTCCTCGAGTCTGGGCCAAGTTCGACCCCAACAACGTGACGTCGTTGGCTCGCTTCAACTCTGGACCCGATGCGAGGATTCCACCGCTCTCAGAAGAGCAGAAGGAGGCGTTGAAAGTTTTTGAGGAGACATGTACACGGCTGTCGCTGCACATGATTCTGGATCCTGGAGATATCCAGCTGTTGGCCAACACACACGTCTTCCATGCGCGGACGGCATACAAAGACTATCCTCCGGGATCGGTTGATGAGAAGGGGCGTGAAAGAGTACGGAGACATTTGATGCGATTGTGGCTTGCCGTGCCTGAGGACGAGGGCGGATGGAAGCTCCCATTCCACGATAGCAACGAGAGGAAGAGGGGCGGCATTCAAGTGAATGATACTGCTCCGGTATGCCCGATAGATGCTGAGTAGTTGCATGAATGAACAATGGTGGACGCTTCTTTCCTGTCCGAAAGCACAAAGCTCGGCCGAATCCCGCTGCTAGCGTCGGCGCGCGTGCCGATCCGTTCACACTGCACGTGCGTGTGCGCTTTCGCTGTTGTGCCTCCACGCCTCGATATCTTTTTTGTCGCTTGCGCAACTGCCGCCGAAAATTGCCTTTGTACATCATCATCGTCAGACGGCCGCGTCTCAATCAGCAAGAAGTACTGCCTCCACGCGTCACGGCCGCGTATCGATTGTGCCTTATCAATCCCGGCGAAGCGATATGCACTGAGTGAACAGGTCCAGCGTCCGCTGTCGGCTCATCGCTTCACACCCTTCGTACCTTTCCGCCACTGCGACGCAATGGCTCCAGCCGCCGAACGACGTTCCAGCGACGCCAAATCCGCCCCGAGCATCCGGAAAGTGACCAGGTCCAGACATGGCTGCGAGACGTGTCGAGCGCGGAAAGTGCGATGCGATGAGCGACCCGGCAGGTGTGAGTTGCCCTTTGTTCTTTCCCTTCCTCGCCTACACTTCTTGGCACCCGCTCTGCACGGTAATATTCAGCAACCTCTGCACGAGTTTGCGGAGATCCACCACGATGGCGGCGGGGCCAGCAGTGTATTCAGACGTCTGGACGTGCGGCCTCGCCTCGCGCATCTTCAGCTTCCGCCGACCTTCGGCTTGCCTCATACTGACATGTCTTCGACAGGCTTCAATTGCGAGCGGCTGGGTCTGATATGTGCTCCTTGTGGTAAAGGCGCCGCCGAGAATGGCTCGTCGACGCAGAACTCACCGCAGCAGCCCGTGACGGCGGCGGTCGCTGTCAACAATGCCGCTGGTCTGAAGCGGAAACGGACATATCGCTCATGCAGCGACTGCCGAGCCTCGAAAACTCGATGCTCGGGCCACAAGCCGGTTTGCGTTCGATGTCGCGACAAGTCGTTGAAGTGCAGGTATGAGGACGAATCTGAACCCGCCTGGAAACAGCGAGTGGCGGCCACAGTTCTGCCCAAAGACCAAGCCACCCCCCAATCTGAATCGCTACGAAGCGACAGTGGCCTCACCCCAGAAAGTATCACCAGTCCGGTCAGGAGGCCGGAAGTCACGCCAGCGGGCAGTCTAGGCCTAGGATCCCCAGTGGTATCTGTCCACAACGCAACTACCACCCCAGCTGGCGACGATTTGTACTGGCTCGTTGCACCACATCTTCCTGATCGCCACAGGACAAGAGTGCTGGTTGAGCGTTACTTTGCCAATGTTCACCATCTTCGTTGCTTTGCCTTCCTTCACAAACCATCCTTCCTGCAGAAGCTGGACAACGATGGAGAGAAGATGCAGCAAGGCAATGCGTTGCTGCACATTGTGTGCGCATTAGGAGCGCTGTTTTACGCTGTCGAATACGAGACGTCCCGAAATATCGCCCTGCCCATCAATCCGCTGGACTCTGGAAAGCACTGGGCATTGCATGCCAACAACCTGATTCTTGCACGTCTGAACCGCATTTCGGTCGAGAATTTGATGGCGGCTGTTCTACTGCACGACTACGAGATTCGCATGGGCAATTACTCCAATGCTTTCATGTTGAGCGCAATCACCGCACGGATGGCACAAGCGCTGCAAATAAATCTGGAGCACTCGACAGATGTGCTTTGTCGAGAGCCTGGGAATGGCCCCTCGGCTAGCGTCAAGGAGTCTCGTCGCCGGCTCATGTGGGCGTGCTACATCACTGACGCACTCGTTGGAAGCGGTATTGATCAGCTAACGCTTATCGATGAGGCCGACATCAAAATACAACTACCATGTAACGAGCGAAATTTCGTGCTGGAGGAGCCCTGCATCACAGAGACTTTGGAAGAAGGTCATATGCTGAAGTTTCTTCCACCTGAGCTCCTGCCGACGTTTCCACAAGACTGCATGGGAATGACCGCATTTTATCTGCGGCATATTTCTACCAGACGAAAGGTGCTGAAATATATAAAGCACCTGGATAGCGCCAAACCGCCGTGGTTTCCAGATTCGGAGTTCGCTCAGCTCGATGCTGAATTGCGGCATTGGTACGATAACTTACCCGCAAATCTGCAATTCACTCCAACAACGCTGTACATTCGGCAAGAGACGTCACAGGTTGGTGCGCTATGCGCATTACACTACGCATATCATCAGACGATGTGTGATCTCTATCGCATAGGCACACCCAGCCTGTACAAGTTGCGCGCATCATTCACGTATGGACCCGAGCAGCAAGATTTCCATCGCCATCTTCAGAACACACTTTTTGGGCACGCCAGAAGCCTGGCGACAATCATGGCGGAGGCTTTGCGGCATGGTCCTCATGCCATAGCTGACTCTTGGTTGCCAACTATTCTCTACGACTCCTGCAAAATTATGCTGTTCTACCTAACGCAGATCATTGACCCAAAGCTAGAAAGCAGCAAGGCGCTACTTGCTGAGACAATCCCGCATGTGCAGAACAATGTCAGAGCTTTGAAAATCATGCGCTCCATGTACGCTGCCGCGATGCCACTTTCCAAGGCTGCAGAGACGATGGTCGAGAAAATCGGCATAGAGCTGGACAGCGAATCAAGGAATCCCGACTTCATTCAGGAAGACCCCTACGCCAACAACGACGCTGAAGAGCAAGAGCCTCCTGCTTCAGCCCCAGGCTCTCCGGCGCAGAGTGCGCCTGATTACATCCTGAACCCGCTTTCGATATACCGATTGGCACGCAAATCTATACCGGAGAAGCATGCACCTGAAAGGCAGCCGGCGCCGACATCTGCAGGTGTTCAGAGCCTGGCCTCGAGGCCCTTGTCCGCTGGTCAACACTATTCTTTGGTTGGAGCCGACTCACATATTGACCCAGGACTGCGAGCTGGGGGAGTGGCGTCTGACCAGATCAACCTCGAAGAGCTGCAATCACTCTTCTCAAGCGATCCTACCGGGTGGACTTGGCAGCCTGCGGAAACTGCTGTCGGATCGAGGACTGAGAGCGGCAGTCTGCCGCCCTGGGAGTCGCGAGCACTCGAAGTCGGACTGGACGCTTGGTTGCCGACCTTTGCTTTGGAACCTTGAGGAGGATTCTAGGACAAAATGTTGTCCGGGCACGTGTTTGGGTTCTGGTCACATCCGACCCGGAGGTACGCTGCGGGGACCTGTTGCTATCTACCAATCGCCGGCTCAGGTAGATGGCCGCACGTATCCTATCGCAGTGGCTGTCAATAAGCACTGCGTGCTCTGCGATAGGCGCGCAATTATACTCTCGTCCTCCCGTTGGTAATGCACTGGAGCTACCAAAGCTCATGGACCTCTGGGCTCCGATGAACTCCATCTGGTAGAGCGTCTCATCAGATTCTCAGGCTCTGCGACAGTCATACGAGCTCCTCTTCAGATGAGTTGTGGACATACCGAGTACCTGAAAGTGTAGGTAGCTACGCGCCAAATACAGAACGCCTACGCTTCAACATAGCCACAAATGTGTCGACGTATTCCCCATCAAAAGTGTGCAGCCAGTGAATTACCTTTCACGTTCCCTTGGCAGTGGCGACCTGAATTTTCCGTGGCTCTACTGAAAGTTGGTCATGAGAGGGATATATCTTGCCCGCTCGCCTCCTAGCAGCATCTTTCTTTCTTCTCAACATTCTGTACAACCGATACCTTTCGAGAAGAACTTTTTCCGCGTGGTACAGATGCTTCGTCCACCTGACACAACATGTTCAACAATCCATCAGGAATGTTGCCGAAGCAGCAATCATTTCCGAATCAGGCCAAATACCAGGATGACTGGCGCGGGGAAATGGAAGGGGATATGGACACAGGGCCCAGCTGGGGATATACATATGCTCAACAGTATCGAGACATGGCCCCAGCTCACAACCCATTCATGAATTCATTCGTATACCCTTCAGCACCCGTACACCCGCCAGCCCTGCAGTCTCCTTATCGGTATCCCCAGGTTCCACAAGCATCCGACCCTCCGCCACCGTTTAATTATGTCCCGCATTTTGGCATTTGTGCCAACGGACCCTCGCTATCAAGAATATCCCGATCAGGCCCCCCAATTCTCCCTAAAAGGACAGATTACACCTGCTGGGTGGGCAACTTACCGCCGAACGCAACTGTGGAGATGCTTAGAGATCACTTTGCCGACGGGGCGAAAGACGACATCGAGAGCATATTCTTGATGGTGCGCAATTGCGCCTTCGTCAACTATAAGACTGAGAGCGCATGCCATGCAGCCGTCCAACGCCTGAATGGAAAGCTCCTGGGCGGCAATCCTCTACTGTGCCGAGTGAAGAAAGAGCAATCGGACGAGGATGAAATGTTCCAGCGGCAGGGACATGGCCGACAGGATTCTGGGGCTGCCGATGTGGAAGCCAATGCGCTCAGCGATGCGGTGAAAGACCTCAAGGTCGACGAACCTGAGGCCTCGGAAGCGCAGGATACAGTCCCGGAAAACTTACCGCGTACGGACAGCGACCCAACTAAAACAACTCCTGAAAAATGGGAGGCACGTTACTTCATCCTGAAAGCGCTGAACACCGAAGATCTTCAGGAAAGCTATCGCACCGGGACCTGGACGACTCAACTACACGTTCAAAAGAAATTGCATAAGGCCTTCAAGACATCTGAGTCGGTCTTTCTCATCTTCTCAGTGAACAAGAGCGGCACTTATTTCGGCTACGCCAAAATGCTCAGCTCACCAGGCAAAGGTCAGCAGGCAACAAGAGAAATCTTTGATGGTAACCTGTTCGCAGGACTGCAAGTATTACAGACCCCAGAGACAGAAAGGGTCCCTGCCGGCAAGATCACTTATGATCCTGCTCGCAATACTAGATTCTGGGAAGCTGTTCGAGATCCCGATAGCGAGACAGAGGGCCCTGATGATTTGAGGCCATTCAGGGTCCAATGGATCACGAATTCTCCTTTGCCATTTGACAGGGTTAGGGGTCTCAGAAATTCGTGGAATTTGAACAAAGAGGTCAAGGTGGCGCGAGATGGGACTGAATTGGAGACGACTGCTGGTAGGCGTCTCCTGGCGCTGATGAATTCTGTTAGCGTAGACTACTCGAGACCCCACCGAAATTTCAGCTCGCATGCGATCTATAACGAAGCCGGCTGAACGTGCTTGGATGTGGTTTTGAAGACCACTTGGCACCGTATACTATTCACTCCTTTCTCTGCCATGAATTAATGCGCAGTCACAAGAACGGAGCGCGGACGACTGGGAAATGAGTCTCCGACTCATCCTCAACCCAGTCTAAGCAGCCTGTCTATGGCCGGAACTCTTAAGAGATGGAAGCCCGACTCATGCTGTCAGTCACCATACTGAAGCATGGGCAATAGAGCCGAGCCAAGACACGAGGGGACGGAGGCGGATGTTGTGCCTCATGGCGGAAGAGGTGGAAGACTGCACGAGAGTTTTGAGTTACAACAAACAAACTCAAATGCTCGAGATCAGGAGTGTCAGCAACACAACAAACCTCCGAAAAACATACAATTTCGAGGCAGCTCTGTGTCGGCGGTAGCTGTAGATTCGGCACTAGACGAGCACCTCCCAAATGTGACTAAAAAGTAACGTATAAGCCAATCGTGATCCGATTCTCCACTAACGGCAGTAGGCATCGCTCGTTCCAGAGCCAGATATAGCAATCGATCTGGCCACGAGAGACTCGCCGGTATGCCGAGATGTCCCACAACAAGGCTCAAGAATTGACCACAAAGGCCTCAAGACACGATCGATACCCATGGAAGAGCTTACATCCCGACTGAATCCCCACGCATCCCAAGGAAACATGTTCTACATATGAGAGAAGTATCCCCCAGGCCACCACGAGTACTTTGCACAACCAATTACAGGTGTTCAGCTGACATTCTAGATTTTACCATGACCATGCAGAGCCTGATCTCCCCCGAAGGTCGTACCAGAAACAAACTGGACCTGCAATCGGATCAAGAGCTGTAGATCACATTGAGTGCTTACAGAGGAGCTCGATCAACGGTAAGTGGAGCGATTACAAGAAAAGGTAAGATTATAGCACGTTCGAGAAACATTTGTTGCGTAGGGTTCCGTAGGACCTCAAATGGAATTCTCAATTGGAAACTACAAACATTCACATTCTTTCCTTTCCAGCTTCTCATACCGTATTTCTGCTCGCCTTCTACTTCCGTGATCGGGCAGTCGCGCACTTGAACCAAGGATCCTTGAACGAGGCCGCAGGTCCACAGCAGAGAGACTCCCATGGATCTGTAGAGATGAAACAGGCTATTGCCCTTTCTTACCAGCCTGAGTAGTCGCCCCCTGAGGACAAGTATCTCCCAGCGCCAATGCATGGTTGCTAACCTGTAGGTCTCGATCAAGTACGATTTGATTACTCAGCACTCTTATCACTGATGACATCCATCATCAACCTGCCCAGCCGAGCTCTCCGAGCCACCCATTCACTCTTCTCCAAACAACCTCCAATCCTTCACCTCCAACGACCCTACCACTCTCTCCCTCACCTTCCTCCCCACCTCCAACAACCCTTCCACCTCTGCCGCATCACCGCTCTCCCCCATAGCCCCCTCCCTCATAACCGGCAAATTCACACTCACAACAAAATCCGTCTCAACCCTCTCCAACCTCACCAAAATCACAAAAACCACAACCCCTCCCTTCGGCTCATTCGCTCTCCCTCTCATTTTCTCCCCAGCCGGAACCCTCGCCACAAGGCTCAGACATTTCGTCCCTGCCATCTTCCCCAATTGAAACTCCGACGCAGTTTCCAAAATTGTCGAACTCGCCGCATCAGGTTCCGAATCAATAATATCCGAAAGATGGAATTTCAACGCTTCGATGTCATCATTTGATGCATTCTCGACTCGTTCGAGGATATCGAATACGAGCGAAGAGAAGCCTTCAGTGTGGAGGAAGACTTCTTGGGTATCTGGGACTTGGCGGATTTGGCTGTGAAAGCGTCTTCCGTTAGTATCGGATGTGATCAATGTGAGAGGCAAGCTATTTCAAAAGCATTTCTCATAGTTGATGAAAGAGCCGAGGGATGATGAGCTTACCTGACATCTTCCCATCCAGTGGGAATTTCCGCTGTGATGGCTCCACCAAATAGTTCGACAGGCTTGAAACTCAGGTGACCAGCGGCAGAGGCCATTGCGTGAACTCTTGTTTTCTGGTTATTGTTCGGTCTTTTTTGCAAACGGTGGCTGCTTTGGCCTGAGGCAGGGAACTCCTTTCGTTCGCGCAAGTCTTTGACTTTTGCACACGCGCAGCTGGTCTTGTTATGTGAAACTCGAAACTGCGATTCGAATTTTCTGCCGTTGAAGGTCGTGATGTGTATCGTATTGATTCTGTGCGCTGCGTATTGGGCAAGGTGAAGGTGACGCACTTTTATGCAGCTTGCACAGCGTCAGGCAACATCAGGCATCAAACTACTTCTGCCTTCCTGTTGCCTAGGACATGAAAAACAGTCATATGCACCGGGAATGAAACATGCGAGAAGAGTGGACGGAAAGTGTTGATAGTGGTACATTTTGTTCATGTTCATTGCGTCGTCACGCACAGCTACGAAAGCCATGAGGTGAAGTCGGGGGATTAGTCAGCGGCTGTGCGGGCCTCCAAGGCGAAGGAGACAGCGCTGCAGTCATGGTTGTTGCGGTCACCTAACGTAACCTCAATGAATGAGCCTTGCACTCATGCTCTGCAACATGTGGACAAAACGATGCTTGTCGCACATCTCATCGATCTCCTGCTGGGAACTGCCTCTTGACGATCCGCCGTCCGAGGTGAAACCCAGTGCAGCCATGGCCGGTAGTCCTTGTGCGCTGCTTGTGGTATGCGTTTACGCACCATGCACAGATCGGCAGTGTTGGGCGTAATGGTCTCGGTCTAGCCCCAAACGTCTTGTCCGACGCCCTCGATCCAGTTGCCCAGCCTCTCAACTCCACTGTCCCACTCTTTCAGCCTCGAGCGCATGCCTTCGATGCCCGTCTTGTCCAGCACCTTCGGCTGCACCCATGTGATGCGCGCGACCTCTGCCACCTGATCGATACTGCCGCGCAGCAAGCCCAAACTCAATGCCTTCATGATGAGATGCTCAATCTCGTTGGGCTGTACCTTGGTCTCTTGACTAATGGTTGCAAAGGTCATGCTGCGGTCCTGTGGTGGACGGGAGAAGACGAGCTGAGTCAGCGCAGCCAGCGAGATCTTTTGGTAGAGGAATTGCTGATGTTGCTTAAGTAGCGCGTTCGCGTCGATGTGTTGTTGGAGGATGTTGTATGCGTGGAGGTCGCCACGGTTGAAAGCAAAGAGCAGGTCACGCAGCCATGAGTGCGGCGTCTTGCTCAAGCTGTCCAGAATGGGGTGAAGCAGAAGTTCTCCGAAATTGTAAATGGTCTCGCTGACGAGTGCGGCAATGGAAAGATCGTAGGCGATGCGTTGTCGGTCGCGCTCGGTCACGTCCTCTAGCTTGACGCACGCCAAGTAGAGCAGAGCAGTTCGGTAGTATTTGGCAAACTCGTGCTGATGTTGATGGTAGGTGGCGCTCACCCAGTAGAAGTTGGCGTGCACTTCGGTCTCGACGGAGTCGAAGGTATCCAGGACAGACTCGCACTTATCCAGGTCCTTGCGAGCTTCAGCAATCTGCTTCAAGCTGAGCCGTGTGTTGGCAACTGCTGTGAGGGCGTAGACGTGCGCGTCTGATGAGGCCGGCTTATCGACACGCTTCGCGAGAGCGGAGAGGAAGTTCAGACGCTGCTCATCATCTGCGACCCAAGTCAGTTCCATCTTCCCATTTCATTCATCGCTCTTGCTGTACCTTGATACTGATTGGCAGTACTCAGTCCTATGCGCACCAGCTTCAGTTGGTTGATCTTGTCAGCGAACTTGGTGACGAAGTTCTCGAAGATGGGTATCCGTGAAGGCTTGCTGTCGGCTTCGTTGTAGTATGTGACGAGGATGTCGGTCAACTCGTGCCACAGCTTGCGCTCCCAGTAATCCTCGAAGCTCAGAAAGTAGTGCTGCAAATCATCGGGAGCATTATCGCGCGCCTCCTGCAGAAAGTCGGCGATCTTCTCGTTGTCCGTCGCCATCGTGTTTGTCCCGCCGTGCCGCTGTCGTGATCGTTTGGTGCCTGCTGCCACACAACTCCAATTCTGTCGCTGATGGCCCTTGGTTGTAGTGGAGTGGAATCGTACGCCGGACAGATAGAAACAAAGTGGTGACGCTGCGTGATTGTTGATTGAAGATGGAGCTGTGATGGCAGCAGCTGTCGGCATACGTGATGCTCCGGCAGAGCCTCATTTCTTGGCGTGGATGAGAGAGCGACAGAGCTCCTTCCAATCACAACCTCCGCAACTCAGCAACGCCAGCAACGACCTCACGCTCACGCCCTGACACCACCGCCGCCGGCCCATGGAGTGATCTCCTCCGCCGCCACCCTTCCACCGAACATCCCTCTCCGCTCTGTGGCCATGGCGGGCCTTCCCACCAACGCAATGGCTCTGCAACGCCAACTCTGCCGCCCGACTGCATCCTCCCTCACCACCAAACTCACAAAGTCCGCCATCGCGCCCACGCAATGTCGAAGGAACCTGCAGGACATTGTCATCACACGTACTGGCAAGCCAATCATCAGGCTACCGGGTGGACGAAGCTCCCTCGGCGGCCATACCGCCACCGTCTTCGGCGCAACGGGCTTCCTGGGCAGATATATCGTGAATCGGCTGGCGAAGAATGGAAACACGGTCGTGGTTCCCTTCCGTGAGGAGATGGCAAAGCGACATCTCAAAGTTACGGGCGATCTGGGTAGAGTGGTTTTCATTGAATATGACCTGCGCAACAAGGCCTCCATTGACGAGGCCGTGCGACACTCGGATATCGTGATCAACATGGTCGGTCGCGACTACCCAACGAAGAACTTCGACCTTGCAGACGTCCACGAAGAAGGCACTCGCCGAATCGCAAACGCAGTGGCCAAATACGACATCGACCGCTTCATTCACGTCTCATCCCACTCGGTCTCGCCCAACTCACCCTCAGAATTCTACCGCACGAAATGGAACAGTGAGCAGATTGCACGCGAGATCTTCCCCGAAACCACCATTGTCCGACCGGCTCCCGCGTTTGGCTTTGAGGATCGCCTGTTGCACCGCTTGGCCAAGGCTACCAACATTCTCACTGCCAACAACATGGAAGAAACCTTCCGACCTGTCCACTCCATTGATATCGGCCGTGCCCTGGAAGTCATGTGCGAGGACGACAGCACTGCTGGTCAGACATACGAGTTGTATGGACCAAAAGAGTATACAATGAAGGAAGTGTCAGAGCTTGTGGACCGTGAAATGATCAAGAAGCGAAGACACATCAACTTGCCCAAGGCTTTCCTCAAGCCATTCTTCGGCACACTCAACAAGCTTCTCTGGTGGCCTGTTGGAAGCACTGACGAAGTCGAGCGCGAGTTCTTGGACCAAGTCATTGACAAGAACGCCAAGACATTCAAGGACCTGGGCATTGAACCTGGTGACATTGCCAACTTCACTTACCAATATCTGGTGCGTCCTTCTTCTCACTTTCACATTCGCATTGTACTGACTTGATTGCAGCAACACTACCGAAGCTCATCATACTACGACTTGCCACCAATGACGGAGAAGGAGAAGCGCGAGGAAAAGAAATATGTGCACGTTCTTGATGACCAATAGCGGTTGTACTGGTGAGTTGATGTGAACGATTAGACTCGCCTGGGCTCTGTTTCCGAGACAGGCGCTGTATATATGATACTATCGACGGAGAAAAAGATTTCATTTGTCGCAGTCCCCTACCTCTTCCGGTACGCCGTTATCGACAAGTGAGAGACTGAATTCTCTGGACGAAACTACCAAGCTGGCGTGAGTAGTCGAGAGTGCATGCGAAAGACCTAGCCATCCAGCACAGCCTACCAGGACGGCAACGAGGCAGTTCCGGTCAATCCGAGTTTCCGAATGACGTGCCTGAGTTGAATGCAGCGAACGACCTAGGATCGACTCCAGCGTGGTTCTAGCTCACTTGCTTGGCCTTCAGACTGTTGTTGAGGACCGGAGGATCTCCACTTAGGTCCATCCTCTCCTTGTAACTTGGAAAAAGCTTAGAAATGCCCAGAGCGAAGAGCAAGAGCCCAGCCGCCTTTTGAAAGCCCTCACCGTGGATCACACGCCAGTTGCTATACAAGGGATCAGATCCACTGTGAACGAGCAGAGCAGAACGCGTAATCGAAGAAGCCTCAAACCGCGCGGATTCCGTGGTCTTCTTATAAATGATTCGAAACACCGGGCCCGAGATTCGCCCGATGCTTTACGAGTGCGAGGTCGTTCTCTGTTTCTCGAATGCGCTATCTTTTGTCGTCATTCCGCGACGATACGGTCCCGGTCGCCCCGGCGAAGAGGTTTGCTGCTCGTATATGCGGGCAACGGACCCTTTTGGTGCCCGATGCTATGCTAAGTATTAATTGTAGTGGATGCCCTAGCTTCTGTTCGCGTGGCAGTCTGGGACGAGGGATCGAGTTTGCATTCTACTTCTGTTCTAGACTTTCATATTGTACAGTGCCTTTCTGTAGTACAGCGCGATCGACAGCTTTAGCCGCGAACTGTCTGAGCTATTTGGTTCTATCGAGGTGCGGTTGGCGTCTGTGTTTTGGAGCGCGCGGGACTGACTGCCGATAGTATCGAACAAAAGTTCTACAAGCTGCAAATCAAGCCCTGTCCTGGGTAGTCTACCATGTCACGAGCCTCGTTTCCAGAGGCATACATTGGCTGCAATGCCACTATCACGGACAAGAACCTATGCACATTGGAGACATGCTGTTTAGCACAGTCCTCTTTCCTCTACATACCAGACTATGCCGGGAACCTCTTCTACACTATATTCTTCGCGTTCTTTGTGCTTCCGCAATTGGTTTTGGGGTTCAAGTACAAGACATGGACCTACATGGCCGCCGTCATTCTAGGGCTCGGGGTGGAAGTTGGAGGATATGTGGGCAGGCTGGAGTTGAACGACAACCCTTTCAACAACGATGCATTCTTGGTGTAAGAAACATCCCAATTTGCCTATCATCGATTTGCGAACGAGTAACGCTGACCTCTCGAACAGATACCTCATCATGCTCACCATCGCTCCCGTCTTCCTTACAGCCGCAATCTACGTCTGCCTCTCCCGCATCATCATCTTATACGGCGAGCATCTGTCTCCGATCAAAGCTCGAACCGTGGCGATCTCCTTCATGTGCTCTGACTTCCTATCACTCGTGCTCCAAGCCGCCGGAGGTGCTGTAGCAGAGACCGCAGACGATGGATCGGACGAACAACAGACAGGTACGGATATCATGATAGCAGGTCTCCTTCTCCAAGCCATCTCGCTCTGCGTCTTCGCAGCGGCATGGGCATTCTTCCAACTCCGGGTCCTCAAAGGCCCGACAGATCAGAGACCGGATCGAGTTGCTACGCGTTCGCGGACGTTGTTCAAGGCTTTCCAGTGCGGACTCTTACTGTCGACTGTGCTCATCATCATTCGGTCAATTTACAGAGTGATCGAGCTTTGGGGAGGCTTCAGCGGCGACCTATGGAACGATGAAGTCGATTTCATGGTGCTTGACGGGGCGATGATTAGTTTGTCTGTTGTGATTATGACAGCCCTGCATCCGGGACCCGCGTTCAAAGAGCAATGGGTCGAATCAAGCTGGTCGAACAAAAGCAAGCATGATGACAACGGAATCGAGCTTTCGCAGAGAGCCGGGACTTCCGTTGCACGTGGGAAATCATTCGAGGATGAGGATGACCAGAGCCGTAGAGACTGATGGAACTGGACTCGGATGCACGACGTGACGATCTGGCCAACGCGGGCTGGAGGCCGAGAGAGATGCTGGCGATCAGCGAAACAATCCAGGCAATACTTGCCTGCAGCTTCGACTCATGGGCCATGGAGCCCCACCTGATATAGACGATAGAGAATTAGAATGAGTAATGAACTCCGAAGGTATCGAACTTTCTTCGATTGGCTGAACGACACATTGTCTTCCTTCGACGAGCCTCGGCATTCTGCAGTGTTACTGACACATCTAGACCTTCTTCGGGTCACTGCTAACGCCAGCTTCGACCAACTTCGCGTCAACCTTCTTCCTCCATTCCTGCAATTTGCCCATGAAACCACTGTGCTCTCCAGTCTTGTTCGGTTCGTGGTCCCATTCTTCCTCGTGATGCCTGATAAAGCCATCCTTGTCCAACAGCAAAGTCACTTTGCTATTCAGTGTCTTCTCGGGTGTCTTGTCCCCTTTGAAGACGTAGTGTTGTGTCAAGTCCAATACAATTACTGATCCGCCATTTTCGGGCCCGGCAACAGAAGTTGTGGGAATCCCGTCCGAGTTGTTGATCGACGCGATGGAAGAGGTTGTGCTCGGAAGGAGTTCACATTTTTGAGTCGTCGAAGAGGAGAACAATTTCGGCATGCCGTTGAATTGAGACATTATGCTTTCTTTGCCTTTGGCGATTGACACCGGGTCATGGAAGATTGCTGTGGGGTGGTAGTGGGTGTATGATTCGTCTGCAGGGCTGGTCAGCTGTGGGGATTGATAGTGTGGTAATACGGGAACGAGTCTACCAGTTGGGTTGATTTGGTACAATGAGAGGACTTCGTTGATGATGGTCTGTTCTGAGGCGCTGGGCTGGCGGCCCGTGATGTTTGTGGAAGTCATGGTTGAGCTGGTGTAGGTGTTCGTGGAAGGCAGGAAAGGGAACTCTTGATAAATCTTATGGGTCTTTGAGACTGGCGACGCTCTTCAGATTTGATGGCATATGTACAGACATGAGCTGATGTGATTGGCACCACGGGTCTGTTATGATGCACATATGACCGCTGCATCCAGTTTCTTGCATGATGGTGCAGATCGACCCTGGAGATTCTTGGTCGGTCATGCTCGCACGCTCCACGGGCCTCATATGTGCATTGTAGTAGTATCCTCATCGTCAGCGGCACTGGGCGCGACCCTCCTCACACTTATCGCAATGCTCCGCTCTCCATGGTCCTTGCGACATCCAAAAAGCCTCGTTGGCCTTGGCACCGAAGCACGATCTGCTCGGGGAGATACCCCTGGACATTCGTTACAACCAGACATAGCCGATTGAGTGAATCGAGCGCACATGTTGTGGAACGGGTCGTGGACTCCTCGAACAGGTAGGAGCAAATACGATGTTGTCAAGCACGAGCCCTTTGGGCGGAGAATCTATTGTTCCGCCACGCCAAGCATTTTCAGATGCACTCCGCGTGCAAGTTCTACCGAGGCATTTAAGCTTCACTCTAGTTCGTTGTCGATCTCCTTCGTATTGACTACGAGACACATTCTTCGACCTATTGAAGACGACGTGAGGCTCGCATTACCTCGTTCTCCAGCTTTCCTCCGGATCTCAGAAAGTATAGCACCCACAATCTGCAAGCGAAGGAGAGACGCTCAGTCCGACCTCAACGAACGTTCCTATCAAGAGAACGATCATCTGGACTATCAGCTGAAGAAAACCAAATGGATCTCGGCTACAGCCAGGAGCATTGTCCGGAATGCGGGACATCCTTGCAACCGTACGAGCAGAGGCATACGACTCGTGAGCACGAGGACAAATGCATGCAGGAACGTTTCCTAGACCTCCTCCGCAATATTGGTACCTGAGCCGGAGTACTTGCGGATTTGGGAAAGTAATGGAATCTGTACGACGTATAAAGATGCATAGACATGGTCTATATCCCAACATAGCTTTGGACTCACCTTGCTATTGCAGTGCAGAGTCGAGTTCTGCTGTTCTTCATGATGCTCTCGTTTGGGAAGAAATGGCTTCATGTCATTGCGCTGCTGGCATTGACCTTCGTTTTGGCTACTGGCCATCCTCAGAAGAGAGCAATCATTCCTGCGATTGATCCTTTCTACAAGCCGCCTGCTGGAATCGAATCCGCAGCTCCAGGAGAGATCCTACGCACCCGCCGTATTATTCCTGCGACATTTGGCCTCATTCCAACACTGGGAGTCGAAGCACATCAATTGCTGTATCGAACAACAGCGATCGATGGTGAGTGATGACAGCCTCTCGCAACTGAGCATGACACTCACAACAATATGCAGGCTCTGCTATTGCCGCCGTCACGACTGTCTTCAGACCGCTCGTAGCCAAGGCGGACCGGTTCGTGTCTTTTCACACAGCCTACGATGCTGCTGCAACAATCTGCAATCCCAGCTACACTTACCAACTTGGCGCAATTCCGTTCAACTTGATCACCAGCGTCGAATACCTGCTCCTGCAAGCTTTCCTCGCGTCGGGCTACATCGTATCCAGCCCGGACTACGAAGGACCAGACGCAGCATTCAGCGCGGGGCGGCTCTCTGGTACAGCCGTTCTGGACAGCATGCGAGCTGTGAAGAACTTCCGTACCACACTGCGGTTGTCGACTTCTAACCCCAAGATCGTCGGATATGGCTACTCCGGAGGTTCCATTGCTTCCGGCTGGGCTGCGCAACTCAATCCCACTTACGCTCCAGACGTGAAAGTCTCAGGCTGGGCTGCAGGCGGAATCGTGGCAAACCTGACAGGCACTGCAGTCTTCATCGACAACACCTTGTTCAGCGGTTTCCTCCCTGTCGCTTTCGCAGGCTTGAATAAGCCTAGCTCCTATGCCGCACGACTTGACCCTGTCATCGACCGGATCATCACACCAGCTGGACAAGCTCAGCTCGATTCCGTCAACCAGAATTGCGCCACCCAGCTGTTCACTTTTGCCGAGCAATCCGTCTTGAGCACAAACTTCCAATCCCTCGGTGACCAGGTCCTCTACCAAGCAGATATCGCATCTGTCCTCGCTCAACAAACCATGGGCCAAAGCAACACCGAGAAACCAATCGCCCCAGTCTACGTTTTCCACGCCTCCAACGACGAGATCATTCCCTACGCTGACGCTACTACCCTCGTCAACTCTTGGTGTTCCAAAGGCGTGTCGGTCGACTATGTCACCTACGCGGCTGGTGGTCACGCCACAACGGAAATTGTTGGCTTTGTGGGCGCGTTCCAATTTCTCGAGAAGGCCTTTGCTGGCACTTTGGGGTCGGGTTGCACGACTTCGACGAAGCTGGATGAGACTCTGAATCCTTTAGCGCTGGGACTGAACTTGGAGCCGATCTTGGTTCGCCTAATCGATGCTCTGGCGGCGCTGGGTAGAGGGGACGCGAATCTTAGGCAGGACTTGCGAGTATTGGACACAAAGATTGAGACTTGAGGCGTGCTGATCGGTCATGGTACAAGTGTTTGGCTGAGTTCGCCGAGATAACGATGGAAGGGCCAAAAAGTGCAGATGTAGATCACCGAAGGTCTTGCAAAGACAGGAGTTCAACATTGACATGTCGAAATTGTTCGCGACATGGCAGCCTTCTTTGTGATTATCACTTATCACTTGATACTGTCCTCCCTATGTACAGCCATGCTCTTTTCCATCTTCGTCTCATCACTTCCATCAGCGACGAACCCAGCATTGCTACTCAAGCATGCCCAAGGAAAATCTAGTGGCAGTAATGTTCGTACTTGTACTTGTCATCTGCACACTCCTTCTTCTGCTTCTGCCACTCTTTGTACTCGTCGTCGCACTCATTCTTCTGGTGCTGCCACTTCTTGTAGTCCTTCTTGCCTGTAGGAAGATGTGATCAATATCTGGACATTTCAAGACGTGAGACACGAGAGTCAACTTACACTGATCATCCTTGTCCTTGCAGGCCTTCTCCTCCTTCGTGCACTTGCTCTTGTGCTGGTGACCCCACTTGGTCTTGCAGTTCTGTAGCAGGTCAGTGTGTGAGATGAGAAAAGGGGATAGATGTTAATAGAACTCACATCCCAGTTCTTCTTGTTGTAGCTGTTGTCCTTCTCGCATTGATCATAGCCGTGCTTGTAGTGGTCCTCCTCTGTAAATCTAGTCAGCGATGAAATGGTTACACAGTCCTAGGACTCTGCTCGCCCTTCTTGCACTCCTTGTACTCGTGCTCCTCCTCGTACTCCTCCTTCTGGCACTTCTCCCACTTGCTCTTGTAGTGGGAGCACTTGTTCCAGGTGCGCTCGACAAGGTCGACGGAGGCATCCGCCTCTGGAGCTGGGGCGGCGATGACACCGACGGCCAGGGTGGCCATAGCGATGATGGAGAACTTCATGATGAAGGATGTGTTTGGAGGGGTGAGCTGTGCTGGAAAGCTATGGATGTGATGATGGTAGGATGGATGAGGACTTCAGTATGGAAAGTTGTTGCCCTTTATACAATGTGCTGCTCCTACATTCATCGTCGATGGCTACTTTGCTTCAGAGCGTCGATTCTTACCCCGCATGAACGACTCCAGTCTCGAGATCATGACAAGACGCCAGAGATCTTGCTTGTTCGCACCGTCTTCGCAACTTGGCCTTCTTGCCGTACGCCTGCTGCGTTGTTCATGCGATGGCGGGAGCTCGTCGCCTGGTCTACCGCTATCTAAGAGCGCGAGTGGTCCAGTAGAAACGAACGCGAGAGACAAGGGCCCGCGGATAAGGCTTAGTCGGCTTGCTCGATGAGATGCAGACGGCAGGATGCAGCTATATCGCGCGTGAAGAAGGAAAGGAGAAGTGAAAAAGAGTCGTTGATCGTCTTGGCAGCCTCTCTGACTAGGTACCAAAACAGCCACACGTGGTCGCAGATCGGCCATATCGGGATGTAGTGAGCTTGATGAGGAAGTGAGCCAAGAAGGGCATGACTGGATTGACTTCCATGGCACAGCTAGCTGTCCTGACGCGGAGCATAGTGAGCAATCCGCTGTTTTTGGACACTCGTATTCGGGCCAGATCGTTTCATGCCGCGATTCGCAATCTTGCACAGGGTGGAGAGGTCTTCTTTGAGAGGGAGGTCGGTCCCTAGATCTTGTGTAGTCAATTGATACGTCGCCATTTCCAAGAAGACATGGCTGTGCAGAGCTGCCACCACAACTTGATTTACAATGAACAGAAGCTCCAGCAAAGTGATGACGTGTGAATTACCTTTGGAAAGACAACGACAGGAAATCTGCGCAAGGCTGAAGCTACGGCAGGAACACGCATGCTGCCGAACTGCCGCTATTGGGTGCTGCAAAGATGTGCCGTGTCTTGTGTACAGGTTCGGGCCATGCGCGCTTGTCACACAGTTTCCCCGGACCGATTTGGCGAGGCATGGCAAGAAGAAGCGCAGTTAGCTCATCTCCTAGACACAGTCGGGCGAAGCTGAGGCTTCCGCTTGCGTGAATGCAAATCAATTCTCTGACAATGTTGCGCGTCTGCCCTAGACACGCCATCTTCTCTATGCCGCGAGGCTAGTTCGGATCGAGCGTTTGCGCATTATGATCACATCCATGCTGTAGCTTCGAGACCATGTATCGCTGCGGCTTGCATGCAGAGACATGACTCTGTAGTTTCCCAGGAAGGCTAGGGCATTTGTTGTCAATGCATATACAGCCCGTGTTAGGATAGCCCGTCTCACGTGGGTTGATGTGTTCCCTTGTGGCTGCAGCTTCTCGGTGGCTGATGATCAGGCCAGAGTGCAGGTCCTCGGAGCTAGAGTGCTGGCGTATTTTATGTGTTAGCCTAAGATCGCTCGGCGGCACCGTACGATATTTTAGAAGTAGTTGGCGATTACCACACGTCCACGTAGCGCTGGCATCCTATTGTCCGCTCTTGCAAAGCTCTTGTGCACTGACACTTTTGCTGACACGTTGTCACAATGTTATCCCATCCTAGTAATGAAGCTGCACCACCCCTCAACAGGTGGATCGAACGAGAAGTCTCATTAAGGTTTCTCCTTCCGACGCCAGCGGCAAGGCGGTTCCAAAAGAACTGCCGGCCAAGAGATCGTGACGATCTCGAACTTCCGGCTTGTCTCGGTGCCAGATTTGGACGTACCAGGCACAGTAGTCAGGTGAGGAGAACTGTGGAGGAGTGGTCAATGGCCTCCAACCTTCTTCCATGCTCATCATGCTGTTGGTCAGAAATGCCAAGGGCCTACTTCATAACACGCCGCTGATTCATGTGCATCGTCCAACAATCGTTCTTACTTTGCATCGTTTCGTGGCAGACGCAGTAAATGTATGGTATCGTCAGATCATGTGTTTTCAAAACCACTGTGGCTTCCCTCAACGCTATGAGCTCGGGCTTCGTTGTGACCGCAGTACCCATCAGCGAACACCCGAAGAGCAAGTGAAGTTGGTGTGGTAAGATAAGGCGCACGGCCACAGTTGTGCAAACGTGATCAAATCCACTGACACAGTCCCTAATCGGTACTCTGTCCCAGGCAAAAGGAATATGGCCTGGGTAAATCACAAGCTTTTTCCTCACCGTCAATCCAAGTCCTTTTGCGAAAGCGACATTGCAGTAGCGGCGATCTGGTAGAGATTGGTCATCGGAAGATGCAGCGTCGCGCCACATGCACGTACCAAAGTCAATGGCCTCGGCGTCTTGCGGCAGACGAGTTCCAAGGGCCAATTTTGCTTCTTGGCACGCCATGCGAATGCTCGGAGGATTGAGCTCAATTTGGCGGACCAGCGAGACGTATTTGTAGATGAGCAGTCAGGTTGTCTGCGTGCATCGTCAGGGGAAGACGCGATTGAAGAAATGCCAAGAGTCTCGCCCGGCGAGGTCAGCAGTGGTCATTTGCAGTCTTTCCCGGTATCTCGATATTTAAGTTGTTATCTTGCAAGTCGATGGCATGATCTCAGACGCACAGGATTGTTGTAGAGGCGGAAGGTGGGCACATGTGGGCAACTCAGTCGGAGGACGAGTTCAAGTTGCTGGCGGAGAATCACGGCCCGAGCCAAGCACCGTCACAATTTCCCGCCGTCCTTTCCTCTCCTTCTCCTCCCGAAAGCGAGAAGACGACAACGAATCTCGCACCTCACCTTCACCAAGAAAAGGGCACTTTCGGCAATAGTTGTGGGTAAAGCTGTTCGACGAAAGTCATCATCGCATTCTGCAATGACGGCATAGAAAGTGGTCGCCAGCTTCGTGCACATTAGTCCATTCCTGCTGGGGTCCAGTCCTAAACTCCAGCGACCGCGATGCGTCGTCATTGCTTTGGAATTGAGCATCGGCAGCATCGAGGCCATCGACAGAAATGACGCTCTCAGAACGTTCTGGTTACACAATGCGGCCCGTCATCCTAAGTTGGCAAAGATCGAGCCGCAATTTACGGCGAAAATTCACCGCAAACAGGCAATCAGGAAACAGCTTATGATAGAGTGACCTGCGCTACGCTACTAATGAGTGAAGGAACATGAAGCTAATCACTTAGTAAAGCTTGTCTCTATACTACATTATGGCTCCGATCAATGTCCTCATCGTTGGCGGCGGCATAGCTGGCCCAGCCGCAGCATTCTGGCTAGCGAAAGCTGGTCACAATGTCACCATTATCGAGCGCGCTCCTGGTCTCCTTAAAGCTGGACAAGGAATCGATATCGAAGGCCCAGCTAGAGACATCGTTGAGAAGATGGGGCTCCTGGAAGAGATGAAGGCCAGAGCCACGAACGAAGGAGGCTTTGCGTTTGCAGACGATGACGGCAAACCTATCGCAGCGATTGCAGGAGGTCTCACGCAGGAAATTGAGATCATGCGCGGAGACATGTGCGAGGTCTTGTGCAATGCTGCGGACAAATTCGAAAATGTCTCATTTCGATACAAGACCAAGATCACCGAGCTTCAACAAACCGAAAACCAGGTCGAAGTGTTCTTTGATGATGGGACCCAGGGCATGTATGATGCAGTGATCGGAGCTGATGGCATGAGATCGAGAACTCGTGATCTGGCATTCGACGAGAAGACGAAAGCCAATGCCTTCAGAGCTCGCGACCACTATTGTGCATATTTCTCCATCCCGGCAGAGGAAAGTGACAGGCCCAACTCACGCTGGCAGCATGCAACCCGCGGACGAAGCATTCTTCTTCGACCTCACACCGACACAATATCTTCAGCGTATCTGATGCAGATGGACAAGTCCGATGAGCTAGCAGCAGCATGTCGTGCCCCCAAAGACGTGCAGAAGAAAGCAATAGCCAAGACCTTTGAAGGTGTAGGCGGCTTGGCACCACGACTTGTCAAAGGCATGCTCGAGAGCGAGAACTTCTACTACGATTCGATATCGCAGATCAAACTGGACAAATGGTCGGAAGGTCGCGTGGCTCTGGTTGGCGATGCAGCGTACGCCCCTTCCGCAATCTCTGGACAAGGAGTCATTCTCTCAGTCTTGGGAGCGTACACGATTGCAGGCGAGCTATCTGAGAACCCTCAGGATTCAGTCGCAGCCTTCAGGGCGTATGAGGCCAGGCTTCGGACGCATGTGGAAAAGATGCAATACATTCCATTGAATGGAAAGGCTCCCAGGCTAGCTAATCCACTTACCAGTCTCGGGATCTGGGGCGCACGTTTAGCTTTCAGGATCATTGCCTGGACTGGAATTTGGAAGCTCTTCAATCTCAAGGGGCGGAAGTATACCCTGCCTGAGTATCCGAACATGACCAAAGTAGGTTCTCAAAAGACATGATTTGAGAGCTGTGATACCGGTCTCTGTATTTCCTTCCATTTGCGGCAGCTGCTCTCACATTGAGCGTACATTCGCCCTGGATTTATCGACAAATGGGGACAAATGGATAATTTGGTAGGGTCTTGGGCCCTTCAATGCCACATTGGAATCCACATGCGGTAGATGTGCTCGAGGAACATGTGACATTGCACCTCATTCACTTGCATACCTGGTGACACATGAAGAAAACGGCCATGCAGCGTTCCTTCACCACGCCTCATTCACTGCGCGAAACGTCTTCCCAGCCACTTAAGAGACATTGCTCCCTCATTGAACTCACCCACGAACATCAACCTACACCAACGTCAACATCGCCTTCGAACTGTCTACACAACACAATCCGCAATTACAACATCGCAAACTCTTCACAATGCGAGTCAGCCTCGATCGCTCCACTGGTCAGTATGTTCCATTCCCTTCCCCTGCAAGCGAGAATCGGGCGGGCGCGGCGGCGGCGGGAAGCACGGAGTATGAATCATCGCATCAGCGATACCGCGACGCGGTAAAGAAGGCGGGCACTCCGCAGGAGATCGAATTCGCAAAGAAGAGATTCGAGTATGAGATCAACACCCCGGTACCATATCCATACCGCAGCTGGACCGCATTCCGCAACAACAATGTAAGTCAAGGAATCTGTTGAGCAACTAGACAGCCGCTCACTGCTCCATAGGCATCGTACAGAGCCACAACATGGCAAGGCGCCATGTACAACGAACGCCAGAACCCCATTGCACTACCTGAATCGCAGCCTACTGGATTGCGGCCCACTGGAGTCCAGACGGCAGTGTCGATGAGACAGAATGAGGCCGCCACAGAGGCGGAAATCAACGAGGCCATCGGCACCGACGACGAAGAGGATGGCGCGTACGAAGCCGACGAAGAAGAGACCGACCGTGACATCGCCCGTACCGACTCGCGCCTCAACTTGAGAACGACCGGACCAAAGAACTCGCGCTCGCGTTTTGCCACCGCTTCGAAGCGCCTGCCATCACAAGGTCAAGGTCAGTCGCCACAAGGCATTCGCAAGCAGGCAACTCCGCGCCGCGCAATACGCTCGCGCACCGCAACACCCTCACTCACCGGCTCGCCTGCACGTGGCCCTCGCGGTGGATACACCCGCCCCGCTCCGCCAACCTCACCTCCATCAAACGCCACCTTCACTGCCGGCAGTGAGCCCATTCCAGCCACAGTTCTCTGCTCAGTCAACGAAATCAAGGCTGTACCGCCACACAACGGCTACCCGAGCATCAAGCCACTCGGCAAGGTGCCGATGCTTGACGGCAGGTACGGCTACATTGAGCGCGGTTCGGAACTGATGGAGTTTTACGGCGATACGCGCCTCTTTACTGAGAAGTGGTGGAAGTTCTTGGCGGTGGGTGGTCAGGGCAGGAAGGATCTAGTGAAGCAGATGGGGCTTGGCGATGTGCAGCCATGAGAAGTGAGGGGCACGTGCATGAAGTGATGGCGATATTGGGTGGCTGGAGGGTTAAATGAAGGCAAATAGAATGGTATTGGAAGGTACGATTTGCACATGATTCTTCACTTTCAGCCCTCTTTTTGCAAACTGATACCGGCGTTGCGGGGTAGGTGAAGTGAAGTGAAGGCCGAACTGGCTGGGCCAGCTGGATTTGGCAGGAACGGTTTGACTCATAATTTACATGAAAACGCTCACTTCTTATGCAAAAATTTCGCTAAGTCCTTTTGTGCTAGCCCTCTCTCTGATTCCAGTTCGCTCTGCTCGCCAATGGATGTCAATATGCCGTCCAGTTCAGGTCAGTCCATTTGCTCGAGACACCCTTTTTGCTGGTGTTTCTCCGCTCATAATCACTCTCCGAAGCTATCGAATATCAAAGAGCTGCCCACGTCAGGTCGGTAAATTTACTAGAAACATACCCAACTCTGGGCCTTTCTCCAGTCAGCGTCGCCCTTCGAAGCCACTGAATGTCAACCCGCCGGCCAGTCCACGTCAGTCCATTTGTCTGAGATGTCTCATATGCGACCACTCTCTCCGATTGCTTCCACTCTTCAGAGCCAACAAATATCAACAAGCGGCCCAACTCAGGTCAGTACGTTTGCCTGAGAGACGCCATTTGCTATCACCCTCTCCGATTGCATTTACTCTTCCGCGCCAACGGGTCTCAATACGCGGTCCAGCTCAGATCAGTTCATCCGCCGGAGTCGTCCCTTCTGCTAACCCTTTCTCCGATGCCAATAAATCTTCGAAGTCAACGAATATCAACACGCAGCCCAGCTCAGCCCAGTCCATTCGCCGGAGTGACCCCTAATGCTAGCTCTGACTCTGATCATCGTCGCCCTACCAAGCCACTGAAGACCAACACGCGGCCCAGCTTAGGTCGATTCGCTGGTTTGAGATGATGTCTCTGCCAACCCTTTCTCCGAGTGCAGTCACCCTTTCAAGCCAATGAATCTCGACATGCGAGCCACTTCAGGTCAGTCAAGTTGTCGGAGTCATCCGCCTTGCTCGGCATTTCTCTGAATACATTTACTCTGCGCAGCCAACATGTGTGAAGAAGCTATGAAGCAGCACACAGGGCCCAAAAGAAGAGAAGATTCCATGTGGAGTTCGCTTCTCAATGAACAGCGCCAACAGCCAAATACCTTCGGTAGTGCTAGTGCTCAAGATTGCTCGGACCGCTGACGCCCAGTATTCTTCCATCGTCGTCGAGAATCCACAAAACAACCCGTTATCGGCGATGACGAACAGACCTGCCGCAAAAGATTCAAAGCATGTTGAGGAGAAGATGAAGCGCAAAGCCGAGTATCTCGAGCGGGAGGCCAAGCGACAGCAGCAGGAGGCTGAAGATGCTGCTCAATCCAAGGATGACGGCGGAGAAGAAGCGGCTGCCGAAGAAGAGAATGCAACGCACGTTTGAAAGGTAAGTATACCTACCACTCGCCAGGACTTCCTCTGCGCTGACCCTGTCTCAGATCATTTCCACCCCACGGAGCCATTGGGTGTAGATATGCGGTGCAGATCAGGGCATTCCATTCGCCTCACTGGTTTGTCTGCAGATGTTCATATGCCTCTCTCTCGTCCGCCCCTTGTCGTTCGTCCGCTGCGTTGTCCGAACAAGTAGCACCTGGTTACTACCCACCTCGCTTCTAGCAGGTGTGGTTTCGCACATCACAGCATACGACTGCGAAGTTCACACCAAAGTGACTTCAAGGCGACACGACGACACCCAGCTATCGCACAACGACGACTACGGCACCTGCGTCCACACTCGATACTCTGGTCGCTGTACCCGCTCTTCTCCGATGATCTTGGCCCCGCAAAGCTGAAGGATGCAGACACGACATGCAACCCAGCTACCTTTTCTTGCTGGAGGCGAGCTGTAATTCTACTCCTCTCTGATGTCAGTGCACTCTGCGTAGCCAAAAAGAATTAACACGATACGCAGCTCAGCCATAATCAGCTACTGGAGACAGTCGCTGTGCTAGCCTCTCTCTGATTCAATTCACTCTGCCACGGCAACGAACGCAAAACCGAGCTCCAGTCCATTTACTTGCTGCTATTGAAGACACTCTCCCTTCCCCATATCTTCCCGGCGTGGCAACACCTCCCGAACAGCCATGGTCTTGCTTATGCTCCTTATCTAGCTCCAATTACTGCGTTGACGCCAACGAGAGTGAACACGATCTCCAATCGGGCTGCTTCCTTCTGCTGGAGACAATTTACGTCCCTAACTTTCTCCAATTTCAATCTTGTCATCGAAGCCAATGAAGGACGACAAGAGCTCCTACATAACTACTTCTTTCTGCCACAGAAAGCTCATTTTTCTGCCTATCTCTAATTTCAATTTACTCTACAATGCCAAATGGAGGTAACCAGGAGGTCCATTTTGGCAACTCTATTCTGGAGGATATTTTGCTTTCTCTGCTTGCAGTTCACTGTGCGAAGCCACTGGGTCCAAAGTTACAATGCATTTCAGCTACTGTCCTCTACAAGAAACGGAATGCCAATCTCTCCCTTCCACGCCAACTCCTTCTTCCGACACCAATTCCTTCCTTTGACAACACCGATCCCCTCCGCAAGCCCACAGAACACCAGCACGTAATGGCTTTCACTAGCATCATCTGGCAGAAACGGTTCACTAGTGTTGTAAGAACGCACTGCTTGCCTTTCTAGAACCCCTCACATGTGATTGTAGTCTACTCTCGTGCTAGCTCTTTCTCCAATTCCATTCACTCTACGTAGCCAATAGATATAACCACAGCCTCAACCCCAATCTCCTCCCATCTACACAAGACACAAACCGTGAAGCCTTCGCAAGTACCCCATACCACACTCAGTCAATCCATTCCATCCAAAAACCCCACTCCCTGCCCCCAGATGTCCCGTTCCAACCCTCCCCCTCCCTCTCAAAATCCCAGAGACAACAATGCCCCCAAACCACCGTCCCTCTCCATCCAAGAAGCTCTCGCCAAAATCAACAAAGAACGCCTCGCAAATCTCAACAGCACTGGGCTTCCAAGACCAACACTTCAACCCAGCGCTTCCAGCAACGCACCGTACAGATTCGTGAACCCTCGCGACGTGGAACAAGTAGACACAACCGAATTCTGGCGAGCTGGAGGAGAAACCGAAGACGAGCAAGATGGTGAATTTTTCAGGGAGAGGAGTCGTCAGGAGCAGAAGCAGAAGGAGGAGGCGAAAAGGGCTGCCGATGAAAAGAGGGGAAAGGAGAACGCAAGCGCAGAGAAGGACGTGCAGGGTGAGGTTGATGAGCAAGTCGATGATGAAAATGGCGAGCTTCAACCAGAACCAGCGAGTCCCAAACCAGAAAAGAAGGGTGAGAACGAGTGGAAGTACTTGAAAAAGATCGCGGGCCTTCCACCGAAGAGGAGGTCGGCTGCCAGGAGAGACACAGACAGCAACGCGGGATGAAGTGCCGCTTGGGTTGTTATTCATCAAGCGCTCTGATATACGGCAAGGCTCGGTTCGTCAATTACAGTTTCTATTGCTCCGCATCGATTAGGATCGTATGCTAGAGAGCAGTATGGGCTATTTATGTCGTGATGGCTCGTCAATGCACACAGTCATCAGTCTCATACTTCTTTCCGTCATTTTTCAGCCTCACTCAAAGGCCCTTGGCAAGCCAGAGTAGCTGCCGAGAGTAGTGACCTTGTAACGATCCAGCTCTCGTAAAGCCGCACCAGCAGCGATGTACTTGAAGCTCTGCAGCTTTCCCACTCGCAGGTCCTGGTAGCCTGACTCCGTGACAGCGACTTCGAGACAGGCAAGTGCGCGAGGAAGAGCTTCGATCTCGCGATCACTGTACTCTTCGCCGTACAAGTCGTCAAGGTCCTCGACTTGCTCCATCAGGTCATCGCCATGCGTGATGCGGAGATTGCAGTAGTCGACGATATGCTTGAAGCGGTTGCGCATGGTCTCGCCGAGTTCGCGAAGTTGCTTGCCATCGGGTCCATTGTGGCGTCCCAGGATCTCGCCGGCGAAGACTTCGCTTTCAGTAAGTGCCTTTTGGGGAGTGGGCTCGCAGTCGTACATCAGATTCGCGAGACTTTCTTCGTAGCTAGCACGTGGGTTAGCGCTTGGCCGCAGAAAAGGAATGGGTTACTCACCTGGCACGGATATCTCGCGCCAGATCTTTGTGCTGTGTGTACAGATTGCCACCGAAAGTGACTGTAGCAGTGTGCACAGCGTATTGTAACACCTGAGGCATTAGATCTCTGCGAGAGCGAGCGCCGTTGGCGACCCGAAAATCTTTTTGCATGTCTGCCAGGAACTGGCGCTCGTCGATCCGCCGGTACAACTTGCCGAGCGCCTTCTGGCTTTCGTAGTACCGCATTGGGCGGCGTTCTGCGTCGATTCTATCGAAGGCTTCGTCCTGCCCATCGTCTTCCTCCTCGAGAGCGAGTAGACCTTCTGTGGACACCGTAACGCGAGGATTCGGAGCCTGGGATTCGTCAACATCGGAACCACCCCAACTGATTCGCTTTCACTCACCATGAAATCAGGCTTGAACCTGGGAAATTTTGGTGCACCCTGCATGTTAGCTGGTTCACCAGTCTTGCTGTAGTCCACTGCCGTAGATGCCAACGCGGCAAGCTTGATGCAGTCCGGATCCAGTGTGCCTCGTTGGCGCTGGTCTGCAAGCTGCAGGTGTTGGTTGGAAATTACGCCCAATTTATCGTTCTCCATGCTGCACACACGTCAGCAGATGTAAAAGTTTCGAGAATCTAGACGTACAATGTCACAAAGAAGTCGCTCATGTCTTTTCGTGTCACGTCTCTCGCTAATTCGACCGGCGGAACTCGTGGGTAATCTGCAGGCATGTAGGTTACGCGAGGGATCAACGAGGGATCCCAGATGACATTGTAGAGATCTCCGTCGAGATCTCCGCCGCTGAGCATGCTGGGCAGGTCGCGCGTTCCCCACTTGCTGAAGACAACGACATTGGACAGCTGCCGGTTGGGGTTGTTGACTGGGACGTCAACGGCGTTAACGAGCTGGATATCACCAGGGTGCAGTGCCGGCGATCGAGTGATGGCGATGTTGTCCCTCACGAGCACCTGCTTTCCCCCTTCAGGCGCCTTCTCGGTAATGACGAAGATTTCACCCTCTTTCAAGTATCCGGTCTCATCTGGCAGACCGTAAAGTGTGACACCTTTCTCGACTGGGATCCGGCCGCGGCTGCGAGATGTCAGTATATTACTATGCATATTGGTGCCGTATTGCACTGCTTTCATAATTGCCGGCGGAGGAAGGGCAATTGGGTATCAGAGGGGCTTTTGCAGCGGACTTTTGCTCGAGGTCAAGCCTTTGAGCGGCCGACCATCTGTAGTTGCGGATGAAAGAATGCCTTGCAGCGATGATTCTGAGATGCACTTACTGCTTGATGTCACGAAGTTCAGCGATCACTGCGAGCTCCACGGCCTTGTACAAGAATTCGTCGGTGTGGTAGTCGAGTCCGATCTGGCCCAGGTATCGAATCAACATGGGCAAGCCACTGGCCTTGCTGTGCGAGACCTCATCCAAGAAGTGGCCGGTATTGATTGAAGACTGCGTCATCATTTTCAGTCGCCGCATTGCTGCGTCTTGTAGCGTCGTGAACGCTTCCAGTGGCACCAGAAGATCTGTCATCACTGTGTCAATACAACTGGTTGAGTGGTGCGTGTGGAGCACTCACCTTCAAGGATCTTGATGAACTGTCGGTTGAGAATCATAGGAAGCGGACGAAATGCCGCGCCGCAGATCTCAAAATCCCACACTGACTCGGTGATGTATTTTGTCATGTTGTCCCGTAGCATCAGGCGTTTGCCACGCAGCCGGGAGTCCAGAGCGACCATGCCCTTTGCGCCTTGAAACCGAATTTGCAAAGCTGTAGGCTTCAGCATCCGCTTCGTACCATAACGCTGCCACACCTCTCGCAGCAGGTCCAATGAGATTGTGCCTGCGCCATCTGCAAAATCACGACCATTCCGTACAACCATATCGAGTTTGAAGACTTGCTCCTGCTCTATGCGCACACTCGTGTTGGTATCGGTGAAGTTCTGGCCAATACGGGCGGCACATTTCGCGGGAGTACGGATCTTCGAAAAGTCCCCGAGCGCTTTGAGGACATGCTCCGCGAGCATGAGAGTGCCATCTCTGACGAAGGGAGCCATGAACCAACATGACTGACTGCGCAATGACGAGTGCGAGAAACCCAAAAAAGAGAAAGCCTTGCCAGCGATGAGGATACTGTTATCAAGGATGCCTTTGACGCGTTCGTGATAAATTCGACTGTAATTGCTGTTCCAGTCGTGGCTTACTCTGCCACCAGACTCTTCTTGAAACAGGACTCTGACGAAGTGATCCGTCTTGTCGGAATACTGTCGCAAGACGCGATTGGTTGGTTCCGGTTCAGGCCCTGCTAGTCGAATAGACGTTGGTGTGATGATGACCTTGTGGATGAGGTTGATATGACTGTAGCGCTTTGCCAATTCGTAGGGGTTGTCAGGCGCATACGCATCATAGCCGGCGACACAGGTTTCCAGCATTTCTTCGAGAGCACCGATAGAGAAGTCTTGAGCTTGAGACTCTGGGCCTGGCATCGGTAGATTTCGAGCGAACAGACGCAGTCCAGAAACAGTCTCGTGCAAGCCGTGCGCCCTGTGGATTCTGGATATGCGTGGCAGCAGATCTGCGACTTTGTCCGGTGGCAGAAATCCGTTTCGCGCCAGCCGGTCGATCTGGAAGAGGAGTTGAAAAGGTCGGTTACCATATCTGCTCTGGTCAGAAAGCTCGTGATTGAGGCGAGTGAAAGCTGCATCCATGGTCTCCCGTGGGATGTCCACGGCCGTCTTCAGGCCGAGGACAGCGCACTTCTCACTGCGGGACACGATCGTTCGGATGTTGGACAGCTTGGTTCTATCACGCAGTCCGATCCTGTAGACGAAACAATGGCCGACGGCGCGTGCATGTGCGGGGTTCAGAGAGGAGATACGGTGCTTTCTTGCTGGCTGGTTGGTCTGCTGTGGCGTGCGGTTCCCGAGATTGGCTGCGGCCATCTGTGCGAGCAGAGTACCAAGGCCATCGTGGTCGTCGAACATGTCGAATTCATACATCTTTGGTGCAGTATAGCAGGTGAAGGTCACAGAGGGAAAATCGGACGTGCCAAGCACGATGTCGTGGCAGTCCTGGTAAGGAATATCGACGCGGTGTTTGAGGGTGCCTGTAACATCCAAGATGATACGTGCTTCTCGACGACCAAAGATGACCTTGCCGGAGACGTGATGAGAGGCGTGGGTGATGAAGATGAGCTTTGGTTGGCTTCGGAGACGAGCGTCTTTGGAGGATTCCCAGTTGCCGCATTGCAGAACATCGCAGAGGAACTCGTTGCTGGCCTTGGGCTGGGCGGCTTCTGGGGCTGGTTTGGGCTTCTGCAGCTGTATTGTCTGCTCATGCATCAGAGCACGCAGAGAGAAGTCGCTTGGCTCATTGCGACTCTTTGCAATGTGCAACTGCTTGTTGCCATAGCGAAGAGGGAGCAGAGGACGTCGATTGCGATTGGTCCCAAAGGCCTTGAGAAAGGCTTCGCCCGCATTGACATCGAGGACAGTGATATTGGCACTCGGTTTGCCTCGGAATTTCTCGATGTGGAACTGATGTACGCCGCACTGCTTCAGCGGCCTGTCGAAAGTGCGTTCCAGCTCGCGATGAGTGATGGTGCTGGGGAGACTGGACACGTAGATGTCCATGAGGGGCGATGTCAGTTGCGGTGCGTGAAGGTGGAAGTGGAGTGGAGGGCGCCTCGCTTGTACAGCCAATCAGCAGCCGCGACCAACTTTCACACCTCCAAGCTGTCAACATGTGAAGACGGCAGTCCTTTTGAAACACTGACGCTGGTGAATTGGCTGGCACCATGGACGCCGACACTCGAGTGCAGGACTACCTGGATGACAAGTTGCAGTCAGCTGCTGATCTCGACTCGCTGGATGCGTTGCTGGCCACGGTCCAGGAACAGCAGGACTTGTTGAAGCGCCAGCTCGAAGATGCGAAGCGAGACCACGACGAGGCCACGCGGACCTACGAATCCCACAAGTCGTCCCTTCATGCTTCGGTGCAGACATTCCAGCAAGAGCAGAGCGATATCGATCTCCGACTACAGATCATCACCCAGTCGGACACCAGCGACGATGCTGTCGTCACATTCGAGGCGACTATGGCCAAGCTGCGAAAGTTGGACATGGCGGCAGGATACGTGGAGTTGCTGAACGAAGTCGACCGATTGAAGGGTGAATGTCTGGCACAACTCGGAAAGGACGATGATGCCGCACTCGCGCCGTATAAGCAGCTGCAGCAGCTGGCGGCAGGTCTGGAAGCACTACACGATGCCACGGAAGGTGCAGCCCCGCATCTGATCGATCACATTCAGCGTGCAGTCAAAGACCTACGAGGCACCGTTCGCACGGCCATTGCGGCCAACCTGGAGAAAACGCTGCAGAAGATGAACTGGCCGAAGACCAAAGGCCACGTGCCTCTCGCGTTGGAGCAGGAGTGGCAGACTATCATCGGCAGGTTGCTGGATCTGCAGAAGCCCGAACTGGAAGCCCGAGAGCAGAAGCAGCAAAAGGACGATCCGCCTCCACTCCTGCCGTTCGAAGTGCTCGTCCACCCTCTTGAGCAACGCTTCGATTACCACTTCTCCGGCAACCGGCCCACGAACCGACTTGACAAGCCTGAAATCTTCCTGAACCACGTCCTCGAACTGATCGCTGAATGCTCGAGCTTTGTTCAAGACAACCTGCAACCCCTCTTGCTCAAGCACTTTGGCCGCACGGACCTTGCCTTCACGCCTGCGTATATCGATGCCATCTCCGCCTTGATCACCGCTCTTCTTCCCATGCTGCAGGACAAGCTGGAAAATGTAGCCCGCCAATCCACCTCCCAGCCCGGCCTCTTCAGCAATCTGGTGCAAGAAGTGATCCGCTTTGACAACGTCATTAAAGACGACTACTCATACTCTCCCTCTTCGCCGGCGCTGATCTGGCGTGGCCTGTCCTACTTCCTTCTCGAGACCTGCAACTACTTCGATCAGTGGCTTTCCTTCGAACGCGATTTCGCCTTGACCCGCTACCAGAACATTATTGACTCTTCTGACGCTGGCGAGCTCGACCATGATGCAGTGAGCGCGGGAGCAACCACACCCAGCAAGGCCGCCGTCCGTCTCAATGATCTTCTCGAAACAATCACTGGCCGCTATCGTTATCTCTCTAGCTACAGTCAACGCGTACGTTTCCTCATCGATATCCAGATCCACATTTTCGATACCTACCACGGCCGCTTGCAGCAAGCCTTGGATGCATATTCCAGCATGACTTCCACTCTCGGTCGTACTATGGCCAACGTGTCTAAGGAGCAGCTGGCAGATCTCCAAGGTGTCAAGGGTCTCGACCGACTTTGTAGAATTTTCGGCTCTGCAGATTACCTGGAACGCGCCATGCGTGACTGGAGCGACGATCTCTTCTTTCTGGAGCTCTGGGACGAGATGAACAATCGCCACAAGAGCACCGAGACTGCCAATAACAGGATCGGTAGCTGGTCTGAACTCCAGCAGAAGACGAGCTCCGCACTCGGCGCCGAAAACGAAGGTGGCCTAGAAGGAGCTCTGTTCGATGAAACTGCCTCGAGCTACCACCGCCTTCGTGCCAGAAGCGAAAACGTCCTCATTGAGACACTGAAGTATGATGTCCAACAAGCACTCAAACCTTACAGTGCAGTCAACACGTGGGCATCCTTGTCTAGCTCTACCAGCTCTGCTTCTTCCGCCGAACTGGACCCTGCGCTCAACCTGTTAACTGAGTACTTTGCTTTCCTGCGCAAAGCTCTTGGCAAAGCGCCTCTACGACGAATCGGACGACAAGTTTGCCATGCCATCGAGACTTATATCTGGGGTTACGTCTTACAGGGCAAATCTGCGTTCTCAACTGCCGGCGCGACCCAACTCACAACAGACCTCGGAGCATTATGCAATGTCATTGATCGATACATGGGCACCGGACAAGCGCAAATCGGCCTGCGGAGATTGCTCGAAGGTGTGACATTATTGAGTTTACCCGTCAGAGGGGAGATACCGCGTGTACAGATCGCTTCTCCTGAGGGCAACATTGATGATGCCGATGATGACGAGACTGCTGCTTGGGGCGATGACGACAATGCCGATGGCGTTGATGGCACTCCATCTTCCCCAAGGGATGCGGCGGATGGCTCGAAATCGATGAGTCTCTTCCAAGCGGAGAGACTAGTGTTCATGAACAACGAGAGCGCAAGACTCGTGTTGGAGCAGTTGGGCTTAGACACATTGAGTGAACAGGATGCGCGAGCGATTCTGAGGCAGAGAGTGGAGATATCGAGTTAGACAAAACCTGCCTTCTACATATTAGGTAGATAGAGGAGCGAAAGACATCGAGTGCTCTCAAGCATTCTCTTTTCCTATATCTCTCAACTTGATGATCTGCTTGAGCCGCTTCTGAAACCCTACAATCCTCGCCCGTCCTCATTTCATATCGTCCTTCACGGTGCTCGAAGGTCGCTCACTGGCTAGCATTGAATGATACACTTTAGCCATCGTCATTGCCTCTTCAACTATAGTTGATGCTCTACACCTGGCATGAACAAGGAAAAAACCAAAAGGGACGAGAGTGGGAAAGAGACCAAGAGTAGACGCAACCGCCATCACACCAGATCATGCCGAAAGGAAGAAGAAAGTGGAAGGGTGGTACTCCATTGTTTAAACCATTCAAATTTGCCATCCAAACTCCGTGCCCTATGCAACCGACCAGTCCATGAACTCCGAATCCATGCAAATACAATCCACAACCTCCGTGCCCGTCCATGCGACCAGTCATTACATTCCTTCGTGCCAATTCATTACCATTCATCCCATCACTCCACCTCTTTTGTCGTTTTATCGTCGCTCATACCATAACACTCATCGTTCATCATACATCGTTGTCCCTTCATTCATACATCATATCATCATACTCAAGCCCTCCAAGTCATCTGCATCCTCCTCCCATCTTCCCATCTCGCACTACCATCCGGATACTCATTCCACACACCATTAGGTCCAACAGCCACAGGCGAAGCCGCAGGAGCAGCAACAGTCTCAGCCACAGCCACGGCATTCGGATCAGCCGCGTTCACGGGAGCTGCAGCAGCGCCGGCAGCGAGGGTCGGGGTCGAAGCGGGGGAAATAGAAAGGGGAACTGCAAGGTTAGTATTAGATGCGACCAGAACATTATTCGGGGAGGTCGCGGTAGCATCGGCGGCGTCAAAGTATTCGGTGTAAGTCGCTCCAGCGACAACCGCATAACCACTGTATGTGGCTCCCGCGGCATCGACAAATTCGGTCTGGGTTGCTCCTGCGGTATCGACGTATTCTCGGTAAGTAGATCCGCCAGCGACGTATTCGGTAAAAGTAGCTCCTGTCACTACAGAAGCGGTAAAAGTTGTTCCGTATGCGACGTACTCCGTGATCGATGCGGCTGTGGCGCCAGCTGCGAGGACTTGCGTTTGGGTTGCTCCAGCAGCATCGACAGACTGTCTGTACGTTGACCCATCGGCGACGTAATCAGTATAGGATGCTCCAGCTACGACGGACGCCGTATATGTCTGACCATTCGCAACATATTCCGTGAGTGTCGCAGCTGAAGCTGTCGCTACCGAGGCGGTCGCCGCTGTACCATTCACTGCAGCAACGTTGGCTGATGTAGCTGTGGCCGCAGCATCGGTGGCGGCAGCCGGGTTGTAATCCGTCTGTGTTACTCCAGCGGCGTCGACGGAGACTCTATAGGTTGCTCCGTTGGCGACATAGTCGGTGTACGAGGCTCCAGCCACGACGGATGCCGTGTACGTTTGACCATTAGTGACATACTCCGTTAGAGTCGCTGCTGAAGCCGTTGCCGCCAAAGCATTCGCTGCTGTACCATTCGCTGCGGACGCGTTGGTTGCGGTGGCATTCGCTGCCGAAGCATTTGCCACTGTGCCATTCAACGCTGCATCGTTTGCCGATGTAGCTGTTGCTGCAGAGTCTGTAGCAGCAGTTGGGTTGAAGTCCGTCTGTGTTGCTCCGGCGGCGTCCACAGAAACTCTGTAGGTCGAACCATCCACGAGGTAATCCGTGTACGATGCTCCAGCTACGACAGAAGCCGTGTATGTCGCTCCATATGCGACGTATTCAGTGAGAGTTGCCGATGCAGCTGTGGCGGCCAAGTCCGAGGCGGTGCTGGCAGCGGCGGAATCGTTGGAAGCGGCATTGTCGGTTGGAAAAGCACTTGGTGTGGCCGCTGTACCATCAGCAGCAGAGGCAACCAAAGCTGAGGTACTGGCGGCGGCGGCCAGATCTGTTGCTGCCGCATTGACAGAGTCTGTATTCGCAGCTGCATCAGCACCCGCAGAAGTTGAAGCATTGGCACCCGAGACGTCAGCAGAATCCAGAGATCCAGACGAGGACGCAGAATCATCGGCTTCAGACGCGTCGGTGCTCTCGTCGCTAGATGTAGCAACAGTCGAGTTTGCCAAGTTCGATGACAACGCTGCGCTGGCAGACTCCGTGGTGGCAGCGTCGGTAGCAGAAGAGGCCAAGGACTGGGTGGAATTGGATGCCTGTCCGTTGATAGCCGTACCATTTATGGCATCCATGCGGCCATTAGGATTGTTGACCAGGAGTTGCTTCACGCCAGGCAACCACTTCTCGTTCGCCTTCGCTTGCGTGATGTCCCACACCATTACACCGCCGAAACTCTTAAACCTCTGCGAGTATTCGATAACGGGCGTCAACTGCTCAATAGTAGCATAGCCTGATCCAGCTCCAGTCACACCGCCCGGCACGCCGAGGAAGACCTTGACTGATGCAGGAGCGGCGGACGACTGTCTCTTGGTCAGGCTAGTGCTGTTGGCAGCATAACGCGATGTAGCATTCTTAGCCCAGGTATCCCAGGCGTCGAAGTTGAAATTGGCCTGAGCGTCGGAGGTGTTGGTGTAGGATTGCACGCCGCAGTAGTTGTTGTAGAACTGCACAAAAACAGCGTCGAACCTGACTTCGCTATCGAGAAGATCTGAGACGGCGGCATCTGGGTAAGGACACTGTGGTGCAGCTGTCAAGTAGAACTGCTTGCTGGCATCGGCGTCCATCAGCTCGCGAAGGCGTCGGACAAATGGCAAGAAGTTTTGCGTTGCAGACTCGATATCAATGTCGAAGCCGTCAACAGCTGCGTTGCCGAATGGTCGGAGAACTGGAGCGGCTTGTCGGCGTCTCAGGCGGGCAGTAGTGACATTAGCGAAGGAGTTTGATGCGACAGTGCTCGAGGAAACATTGGCATTGGCGACGGCGTTGACCTCGCCGGTAGCTGCAGCTCCGCTCGCGAATTCCGTCGTGGTAGAGGTGCGGTACACAGTCGAAGTCACAAAAGACAGCAGAGACGCGTCTTGAGCAGCAGCAGATTCTGAGGCGGCAGCGGAATTCGAGGAGGCGGCGGAGTCTGTTGGGTCTGCCTCTGCCTCCGCATTGGTTGGGTTGACAGTTGGAATGGTGTTTGTATCCATTGCATCGTTGCCTGTCGACGTTGCCGTAGCGGAGGGGTTGAGCGCTGAGCCAGGATTCTCGTCCCCAGTCACAAATTCAACGCCGCTGCCTGCAGGTTGCTGTTGGCCTGTGGCATTCGCGCTGGAAGAGGCCGCTTGAGCACTGGATGCCTGCGCTGTGCCAGTCTCGGCGGCAGCATCAATGGTATCGGATGACAGCGAACTGTCATCGAGGTCATTCTGGGTCTGAGTGCCGGTGGTGGCTTGAGCATCGGATGCGGACAGAGAGGTTGTAAGGGCATCGGCTTGAACAGCAACGGGAGATGCAGATTCTGCGCCATCAGCAGTTGGACCGAAAGTCCTCCAGACCATTTCTGCGGCTGATATGGCAGCATCTTCACTCGCGAATCCACCCTCCGTGTACGTGGCGCCACCGATGCTCAGCAGAATCGTCTTGTTGTACTGTTCCTGGCAAGTTGTTATGTCTTGGCCAATGGTTTCTCCACAGTCGAGGAGTCCGGTTCCTGAAAAGATGCTGCAGTTGTTCCCTGTGTTAGCGAAGTTCACGACCATTCTTTGCTCACCTGATGCTGTCGTATCGTCAGACCCATTCGCCACGACCGTCTGGTTCAGCCCAAAGTATGAGTTGATAGATGTGTTGTATCGTGAGTTGTAGCCCCCCGTCATTTGTATCATGAAAGCTAGGGGGATGATATCAACGTCAGTATCAGCACAATACGTTGCAAGGCTTTGTTGCGCTTGAGGTCCATTGGCTTGTCCGTAAGAATTTTGACCCTATCATGACATCGATTAGTGAGTTAGTGATGAGCATCAAAGGAGAAGTAATACCCAATAAGCAGCTATGTTGGTCGACGAGTCAAAGCCAGCTCCGAGAACGCCACTCGCCATGAGGAGGCCGGTAGAAGCCGCCAGGCTCGAAGCACGCGTCTTCGTCGGCCGTAGTGGCGGCATCGCATATAAAGTTCTGTTTGCTTGGGTAGGTAAAGTGGGGGCACAGCTTGTTCCACACGAGAGAGGAACAGCAAAGGTTGTGTCGGGGAGGTAGTGAGGGAGAAGGAGTTGTGAATGTGGAGGAGATTCGAGATGAGCAGGCATGTAGGGTGCAGCATTGCCTGCACAAGATATAGAAGACATGGCAGCGGATGTAGAGCTGTGCTTCTATACCGTTAGTGGAGTCGCATGTAGGCTAGACAACAGTTGCTCCGGCAGAGCATAGGACGATTTTCATAGTGTCTAAGAAAAGCAATGCCACAGTCAAAGGCCACCATCTGATGGTTCGCCGAGGGCGACAGTAACTTCTTGTGGTAATTGCCAAAGTGGCGATGCTTGTTGTGGTGGCTCGTCGCTAGAGATACCCCAACGTCGAGGCCTGGACAGGTGGTAGCCTTCAGAAGGCGTTGGACGGAGCGTCCTATAAGCCAGGCTTCTGCGCATGGTCGCGTGCGTTGCCTCTTGCGCCCCTCTCTTGTGATGAACTGTTGACAATACCGAATTGCGCTTGGCTTGATCGAATTAGCTGGGAACGGCCGACCATCACGGGACTCGGCAGCATCGAGTGACCATCGGACCGAGTTGAGTCAAAGAGGAGCTTGCAGGCTCAGATGGATGGGACATGATGAGGGACGGTACACAGGTCGTGCATAGGGGACACCAAACAGACGTGCCGGCACTTCAGACGCGGGCGTAACTTCGCATGACAACCATTCGGCTTGCAACGGCGTTCCAGGCTTCGCTCGGGCCCGGTACTTCTCTGATATGTAGCCGCAACCTGATCGACTGAGATGTGGCCCATCGGAGGAGTGAGTTTGGGTACTGTCACAATCGAAAATCGCGTTCAAACGCGTGGTGCAGTGCTGTGTTCCTGTCATCGACCCCAAAGCTCGCCGGATGCGCGTGTTCTTGGGATAACAATCGTTCGTCCCAACGGCGGCGTGCCCAGACGAATCTCCGCCGCTGCGCGGGAGCTCCGACATTACAAAAGTCGACTATATGGACGCGGAGTGCTGCTGTCATGTCGGTGGTAGTGAGTGAGTGTGTTGTTGGACGAGTGAGGTTGTGATTGTGACGGAGAAGACTGAGACGCGTCGCGTAGTGCCAAGAAAAGATCGCGGGCCCCGCGGAAGCTACGGTTACGTCATCAATATGGATCACAAGGCAGCGGCGGAGCAGCAGCAATGCCTCGTTGCCACCCTTCGTCAGACTATAACATTTTCTCCATCCTACGACATTCCGGATCAACAGCACCATCACGACCACAATCATGGCCGACGCACCTCCACCATCCTACGAACAAGCCACGGGTTCCTCGTCGGCATCATCGCGCCCCGCCGCTTCATCAAACACCACCCACGATGATCATCTCAAAGTTCCAGGCGCTTCAGGCAAGGATGGCATGTCTGCCGCCTACCGCAGATCCATGGAAGACGAGGGCCGCCCACTGCCAAAAGGTTGGGTTCGCAGCTACGATCCTCAAAACCAACACCAATTCTTCGTCGACACCACCAAAGAACCACCCCGATCCATCTGGCACCACCCCCACGACGACGACGAATACCTGAACAGCCTATCTGGGGAAGAGCGCGAGCAAGCAGAACAAGAAAGCCTCTCGTACAAACGTAGCCACCCTCCGACCAAGGAAGACTACATCCACGCTCCTTCCGATGACGAAGACGACTATCTTCCGCAGCATTACCAGAAACAGACTGGCAATCATACTTCCTCCTCGGCGTCCAATGCGGAACTCCCGCCACGACCAGACGGGAAAGACGGTGGAAAAGGGAAAGAGAAAGTCTCCTTCGGTCGCAAACTCAAAGACAAGGTAACGGGAATGTCGCACGAGGAACGCGAAGCTGCGCGTCGCCAGCGCGAGGAGGAAGAACGACAGGCTTATGAGATGCACGTCAAAGTCCGCGCTGCGATGCAGCGTGCTGCAGAAACTGGGCAGCCGCAACTCATAGGAAGAGATCGCGAAGGAAGGGACATCTACATGGAGCCTCCGAGACCGCCGTACGCGGGAGGCCATGGAATGGGTGGAGGATACGGTTACAACCCTTACCAGCCGTACAACAGTCAGGGCATTTACACGACACCAAATGCGAGGTACATCCGGCCTGCGGTGCCGTACGGGAGACCGTATGGAGGATATGGTTATGGCAGGCCGTACGGTGGTGGTATGGCGATGCCCCTGGCGGGTGGCTTGCTCGGTGGTGCGCTTCTTGGAGGACTCCTTTTCTAGGAAGCGACAGTGGATGTTCTGAAGCATGGGACGAGTATCCGAAACAGAACACAAGCACTCGGGAGAACAGGAGAAACAGCGCCTGCAGCATATGTATCACGACGGCACGACATTATGAAAGCATGGAGACAACCCCAGATATAGTACTTGTATCACCAATCGATCGAATCATCCAACTCGACATAGCACAAGTCAGGTATTACATCCATAGACAGTCCCAAGGCTCCTAGAATTCCAAAGCTCAGATCCGGCGTTATTAGCCCTGATCGATCCGCGTCGGCCGGCCTCGCTTGACGGACGAGCAGGCGCGTCATTGCAGGTCGATTCGTTCTGTCTTTGAAACAAGACATTGCGTTCCACTTGCTGTCCAGAGATGGAGCTATTGAGGATCAACCAAGACCTTACCTGACTCAAGACTAATCTGAGCAACAAAGTTTCTCTGTAGCCAGCATTTGCCATCATCGATCCTATCAAGCTCGAACCCTGGCAGCGCTTGTTTTTATAGTAATTTACCGAACATCAACCTCACCCCGCGCAGTCCTCGGGCTCGCACTTTTGTGCCTTGCCACTGGTGCTTTCGGTGACAGATTTGCCTCTTTGGGAAGGTCAAGGTATGGATGCCATCTGAAGAGCAATGCCTGCGTGTGGTGAAGGCCCGCCCTCCGGAGGTGGGCTGGATTCTGGAGGTGGGCTGATGCTCATCAGGCTCATTGCGTTTGCTTCTTCAAACGGCACATTAAATCACGAGCATCAAAAGAATGTCAACAGTGCTGGAGTCCTGAGGACCGCTCGTTTCTACAGCATGTGGGTGGCGAATGGATCTCTCGATAGCTCGTCTACATCTGCTGCAATCACTTGCGCAGCACGCAGGTTCCATCATGCCACCAAACTTTGCATGTTAAGCGGCCGCGCGCCGCGCCTATTTGCTTCCGTGAAGATCCGAGCATTGACTTCTTCGGTACTGTACTTTGTACCGTGCTGTTTGTTTAGATGCCGAGAAGGGCATCCTTGTTGGTCTTGAGCTTCAGGACTGGAGTGGACGTCGCTTTGCATACGAAGAATACGGCATACTCTTCGGCGAGCTGAACGACCACACTTTTATTTAGCTTGCAAGCTTCAGCTTGCTCTCTTGGCTACCGCCTCGATCGAAAAGACTATGGCATGGACTTCCAATACCAACAGTGTCCGCTCTATACCAAAGAGGCAAGTGCTGAGAGGCCCAGGCAGAGTCATGATGATAACAGTTCTTGTTCTGCGTGAATCAATGATGAAGGAACTGGACGACCTGGAGGGCGGTAGCCCATTGCGCTTTCGTTGCCAATTTCTACTTTCTCTCGGGACTCACATCACTGCAATCGTCCCGACTGCACGGTCCAGAACTTCTTGACGCTCCATGATGGACGATCGTCGAACGACCTCAATGTGGACTACGCATCGAAGGTCAATTTGCCTGGTTGACAAGCTTTGACAACCTTTGTTGGACCGCACAAGAATTGGACTGGCTACGAAGCTTAACACAAGCTCTATAATCCATGCATTGCTGCTCACAGGCCCATCAGGTCGGAGACGAAACTTGATTGGATCTTTGGCCAAATTGTTGCGGAGAATTAGATCCGACCTTGCTCGCGCCGGAAAATACGGCAGTTAGTCTCGACAGCGTAGACGATTTATCCCGTCGTCCCACGTGTATCGACAACCGTGGCTCGACGACCAAAAGTGGCTCGTCGAGCAGTGAGGGCTGGTGTTGGTCTTTATGGTTGACAAGGAATCCGAAAAGATCATTGTTGCTGGGAGAGAGAATGACTGCGTATATAAAGACTGGCTCTTAAAGGAGCTCGAAATGTCAAGTCCTCACTTCCTGACAGACCGATCCAGAAAGCTGATTTCAAGCCTCATCCAACAGCCATGCGTGTTGCTTTTCTCCTTTGCGCTACGCTCGCAGCCTTCACCCGCGCTGATGACCCGCCGGAGACCACAGAGGCCGATTTGGGAGAAGAGATCAATCTTGACGACGTAGCGAGCCTTGCCGAGGACTCAGATGGCCAAACATACGCCAAAGACTGCGGCACGCTAGAGGCCTTGAAAGCTAATGTAAGAAGGGAGCCCCAAATACCCCTACTCAGGCAATAACTTGGAGCGAGTAGTGTCCCACCAAGTATGGCTAAGACTGCATCGACTTAAACTACTCCTTTTACAAGGGCGCAGCTTGTTGTTACGACTATCCAAGAGGATGCTATGGGCCCCCCAACAATGGACCTGATGATTATCGTCCATGCGACGACGATGACGATCCAGATCGCGATACAGTGAGTATCACTTTTGTGTCACAACGATAATGACCCGGTTCTAATGCAAAGACAATTCAGTGCTCCAAGGAGACGACGGATACACAATGCTGCGTCTACGTCTATACCGAATTTTTCAGTCGTGTTTCTGAACCAAAGTGCTGTGATCCAAACGCAGATGATTGCTGCAATAATGCGACTTAGTTGGACTGTCGGCGCTCCTGTTAGCTTCCAACGAGGGTACGGAACGGCATTGCAATGAGGATGAATCCGATGTATCAACTTGGCGTACAAGAAGTTACCGAAATGCACATTGGCGATGTGCTGTTCACTTCCGACAAACCGATTCTCCTATAATCTGAGTGTGGACTCTCAATTCACAGAGCTTATTGCGTTGCAATCCGGAAGTCCATGCCTCTAGGGAAAGTGGCATTGGGCAGTAGTGTAATGAGCCTATATCGGCGTGAGCTGCGATTGCACTAGTACGCTCGCTTTCACGTATGTAGACGTTGATTGTTATATGACAAGGATGGGGATTCGGTACAGTCGTTCATGGCCAAAAGGAGAACTTACCACGCGCCACCACCTTTGTATGCAGTTGTTACCTCCACTGCTACGCAGCCCTACATCGACAATCATCAGACCTATCACTTCTGTACAATCCGCCGAGGGAACGGAAGGGATACCCTTGCCGCTCCCATGCCTTTGAATGAAAGTTAGCTACGACTTCACTTGATCAGACTAACACTTCTTGTAGTCAGCAAATCGATACCAAGGTCCTGTTGACTGCCATGTCGATGGGAAAGGTAGGGTTGCAGCATGTACTGCCCAAGTATGGCCTTGTTGGTTCATGTCAACGTACAACCGCCTGAAGCTCTGGGAAAAGATCCACGAGAGGAATCATCGCATTATGGCTACCTGTAGCGATCACGATTCCCAGATATGGTCTACATGGTATCAGCTACAAAGCCTCATCGAGTGGCAAGCCGGCATCCGGTTGAAGGCAGACAACGAGAGCATTGAGTGCGAGCATAGTGAGCTTGTGACCGACTGTGCAGGCTTTTTTTGATTGAACGATCAACAACCGCACTACTAGTATCGTTCAGGCCATTGGCCTGAGCACTTTCTTGAAGGTCAGAAGTGGTTTGCATCTATCGTCAACATGGAAGATGCAGGCAGAACAAATCTGTCAGGCAAACAAGCTTCTACAAGATATATTGCTTGTTGGACATCGTGTAGCCTTTTGACTTTTGCAACTGTTGACCATGAACAGACCAGGCCCAAAGCTTGCGTTCAGAGCAGTCCTGCAGATCTTGCTGTTCATGTGTACACAGCAGGCTTGACAGAGCGCGTTTGCGGCCGCTGTGGTTTGATAAACTCCCCTCTGGCCCACCGATTCTAGTATGTATATGGATATGGAGACAAAGCAGTGTCGAAAAAGACGCATGCAGAGACTGCTTTTCTGGGCGTACATCCAGACCTGTCAAAGGATTGAGAGTACTGACGCTTCTTGTTAACTCACCATGCGTGTGTAAAAACGGAACCTGCCTAAAAAGCCAAATCTAGCGGATCTCGCGGAGTGCTAATGTTGGTTCTACGATTGCCCAAGGATACGAACGGATAGGACTGCCCAACAGGGGCAGTGGAATGACTATATAATGACCGTCTAAGGACGGACTTACAACAGTTTCACCAGCAACCCAACAATCCACCTATTCGGATACAATCATCACTCCTGAATCATGCATGCTCTTGCCCTGTTCACCGCTGCACTCGTATCGTTCGCTAGCGCTCAAGCTCTTTTCGAGGAGGAAGACCTCCAGTCGTCCGACACCATCAGCCGGGACTGCGAACCAGAGGAAGTATGCGTAGCCAATGTGAGTACGAATCCAAGCAACTCCATCAAAACGTCGCTGACACTATACAAAGTGTAGCAACGGCAAGGTATGCGTGTACGCAGATATCCCAGGACTGTACGAAGGCAAGGCCTGTTGCAACGGTGACTGCGATCCTGCTCCGAACGACGGCAAGCCTTGTCCCGATAATGGAGGGGAAGGAGGCGGCGGCGGTGGTGGTGGTGGTGGTGGTGGTGGTGGTGGTGATGATGGCGACTCTTATTCACCATGCGACGAATCTTACGTGAGTCTCCACCCTGATTCCACCTATCCCCTACGCACAGGACGTTGAACTAATCTGTAATGGTTCTCAGTGTTATGGTAATCCTAACGGATCCCAATGCTGTATCAAAGATGAACCTCAGGACATCAGTATCATCGTCGTCATTGGCAATCAACCTAAGCCATTCTGCTGCGACCCAGACACGGACGATGTTTGCTGTTAGTCAATCCCATCGGACGTTTCGAGTCTTAGGGACACATGGACAGGGCGGCTGCTCTGCAGATAGCTCTTGGTATCTAGAGCAATGGACCGCGTCAGCTTTCCTGGACAGACGCCAAAGACGTCAAATTGGAACTAGCAAGCTTGAAATCTTCGATCATTGGAATTTCGGCCAGGTACACACAAGTAGGAGTAATTCGAAAAGGATGCAATTGGGGAACCTTCGGTCGTTCTGTCTGTCGATCCGATGGCGACTGACGTTGTGCTGTACACTCGCGATCAACTCTCATAACCGGACATTCATTTGGTAGAACCGGTAGTCGAATATGATATATTGTCATTTGTGCTCAGTACCAATACTTGAAGTTAAGTGAAACATATCCTACTCTCACAGCAGGACGGCAGAATAGAAGAGACCATGCCAGGCCGTAATGCCGTAAAATGGCAAGTCTCGAAGCCACGAGCTTCAAACCATGCTTCCTAGCGCCAAGAAGAAGGCGTAAGTATCTCTTCGACAAAGTGTCTCCATCGGGACACATGTAAACCGAGAGTGTTGAGAACGAAGTGCTCATGTCTGCTGGAATCAAAGCTTGATGAGCAACCCGCAGATGCAGAGCTTTTCTCAAGGTGCGCCACTGGTATATCCAGATATCATTCGCCTGGTATCGCGTGAGCGAGCGACTCTATTTCCCGCAATTGTGGCTCATAATGGCCCGCCCACTGGGCATGGGTGAGAGAATCGAATCGGTTCCACACCGACACGCCTTGATCTTGAAAGGGCATATATATAATGTCCACAGCTGCTCTGCGCATCAGCTTCAGGAGTAATCTGATGACGTGCCGGCTGGATTGCCTTGAGCCCTCACTGATACCTCTGGATGTGGCAGTATCGAAGGCTTCCGCCGAGGGCTCCTCTTGTACCCATCTCTCAGCATCTGCTGGACTGAAGATCTGCGAGCACTTCAAGCGGACCTGAGCTCGACAGTGCCTCACTCCGGCCTCAAAGCCGTCCGTCATGGCGTCCAACACGGTCAAGATGCTCAAAGCGTCGGGAAGTGCCTTGTCGCTGAGAGCGTTCCCAGAGGCCAGAAGATTGAGTAATTTGTTGTAAACCGTGGCTTTCAGCGCGGTGTACTCCTTAGAAACCTTTATTGGTGGATTGGGAGGCTCTGCGAAATTGATCCAGCGATTGTTCTGTGTTCCCCAGGGATTGAATTTGACAAATGCCCACGCAATCAGCTGTACCGGATCAGCGATCGCGTCAAGACAATTTGGCGTTGGGGCGCGCTCAGCGAATGCTCGCAAGTATTCGATGGTGGCGTGCCGAATTTCTGCAGCCACATATTGTGCGGCCACATGTTGCGCGTTCTTGTGCTTTGTACCGAGCCGGTGTGCTGGAAGACTCCTCGGTCGTACATGCTTGTTACAAACCACGCATAACACCTGGGAAGCTTTCTCCTCATGCTGACTTTGTATGTGGCGCTTGAGAATATCCTGCCGGGCAAAGCTCAGCTCGCATTGTGCGGGCACGGGAATCCTGCGACCACGCCGTGAAGATGCTTCATTCTCATGTGTCGATAGAGGCTTTTGCGTTTCGAGAACCTACACGGACATTCGGGCCAGAGATCACACTTGAATGGCTGGTTGGAACGATATCCCAACACAAGCGCCGTTTCGAGGTCTCCCGGCATTGCATAGCCGGTGGTATCACTAATGCAAGATCGACTGCCGCTGAAGACATTCAGCATGATGGCATTTGCCGGCAGGATCTCCGCAGAAATTACCAAGTCGTCTAGCGCCTCCTGGTCATCGTCCGTGTTGTACATGCGCGATGCATAGCCCGCAATACCACTAGTGGGCGGCGCAAGCAAGTAGCCACCGCCAACGTAGTTGTTCATGATGGAATGTGTCGGAAAGCTGTTTGGAGGAGCCAAGAGCCTCTGTAAAGCCTCTGAGATCCCGTCAGTGTTGTGCAGGCGAAACTGGAGAGCTAGCTCGCGAGTCGTGATTTTGGAGTCGTGATAGTTGATGGAACCGCCAGGATTGGCGGCAGGAGGTTCGGCTATCGGAGCCTTAGATATAGTCTAAAGATTGTTGCACGAGAGCTTTGGTGTGAGCGACCTCATCAGGTATGCGAGCGCCGCCTCCGCCTCACTTTCGCTCCGCAGAGACGTGTGAAGGCAATGCGAAAATGTTCGAGGCACGCTTCGGCAGCCGTGGCTGACTCTGGGCGTTGGCGGTTCCGGACATGGCTGCAGCAGGTCCAGGCGTGGAGATCGATTCCAAACGACTTCTATGTTACACGCAGTGCGGGTGCCGGGCGGCGTGCGGAGCTAAAACATAGCTGCATACCGTAGACACCTGATACATATCTGGCGGTAGGATTGCTCCTGTTGGCTGTTCTCGCATCTCACGTCGAGTGCGAAGACAACGCATGCGAGCAGACATGCGCAAACAGATTGGTAGCAACGCTGCGTTTCGTGAGACCAGATCGAGATCCGGACTCCGCCAAGGCATGCGTCCACTTCCCAGCGGGACAATGTGGCGTTGGTCCAGAGGCGTGTGACTGCGTAGATGCAGAGCCCCGCGGGCCAGGCTGTAGACAAGGCTGAAGGATGCCCTCGCACTCTTCCAACGATGCGGTCCGCAATAATTTCTCGCCGCTCTACAGCACCGAACGCCCTCTATTCTTCGTACTCTCGGCAAATCAGATGCGTCGCACAGCAACACGTGAGTTGTTGTCAGAATATGGAGCGAATGCCGCGATGTCGTTAATTCCAGAGCAACACTCGCCGTCCTTGGGAGATTCGGCCCCGCGTTCACGTTCGAAGCGCCTGCTTAGGAAGTTCGTCCAGAGTAGAGTCTTCCACACTGCCACTGCCACCGGCCCAGTCAGATCGCTCGTCTCCATGCTGCAACACGGCTGCGCCCTTTGCTCTGTGCCTACCACGACGCGTGAGCTGAAAGTCAGATTTGGAAGCGATTTAGCACACTCACTTCCTCTCCATCTCCATAAGATACCTGGTCTCCGCCATGACCGCCTCCGAATGTGTCAAGGGCGCGCTGCGAACTGCGTCCTCAGGAGCTTCCGTAGACGCGCCGTCATAGAACGCAGCCAACGCGGTATATCGCACAGGAATCTTCGGCAGCGCACCACATGACGCTGTCGTAAGAAAGAGTCCTAGAAGTAAGTGGTCGCGAAGCTGCATTTCGAGATGAGTCGCAGCTCGAATAAAACAGGAAAATCGATGTCGAAGAGAAGTCCTCGTTCTCACTCACGAAAAAGTGAACTCACGCTCCTGAGGGGGAAGTTCTAGAATACGAGGAAGTCGCATACTTTACCGGAAGCAAGGTTTGGTTCTCTACGCCACTGGTCCCTGGTTAAGTTTGGTTCGGTTCCACGGCTTGGATGTGCTTCTCGTCATTTTGGCGGAGATCGCAGTTTGTTCATCATGTGTCACGGTGATCGCAATGTTGTCAGGGGACAATTTGATGATGTGAAATGGCGACAATGATGGGCAAATGTGTCCAAGACTGATGTTGATGGAAGAAAGGTGAAGCTGGCAGTTGTGGGTCGCCAACAAAAGGCAGGAAGCTCATCCTGGGAAGCCACGTGCGAAGAAATTGGATTTTGACCTTTTTCGGACAACACAACAAGTGTCGACATGGTTCTTTACCGGGGTATCGACAATGACTTTGCATGACGCTTTTCGTCTTGCAGAGGGTGGTCGAATTCCGTGGTATCCAGCAACGATCAAATATACTTTAGACTATCAACAATGTTTTGAAGAACGAGACTGAATGCCGCAAGGAGAAGAATCAATGCTTGCAAAGATTGCGATCGATGTTGTCAGTCTCATCATCTTACTGACAAACGCACAAGCAATCCTTCCTGCTTGTGAAACCACCAATCGCTCTTCTTCAGCGGCTTCTCTGGATATGCCAATTCCAGTTTAAACTTGAGCAACAGATGCGGGAGCATCTTGTAGATTTCCGACAAAGATATGTTCTTGCCGATGCAAGTTCTGCGAGAGTACGATTAGTCAAGAGAGTTCCTGCGATCTATTAACAACAATACATACCTGCTGCCTCCGCCAAAGGTCAAAAGATATCGCTGTTGTAAGTATCAGCGAATGTCCTGCAGATGCAATCTGCAACATACCTCCATGTTTGCCGCACCAGGAGCCAGCCATCTTTCAGGAGAGAAGCCTGCAGCATCAGAGCCGAATACGTCTGTGTCGTAGTGGAGTACAGCAGCATTGATCGCGACACGAACGCTTTTCGATCCCGAGAAGTACCTTCCGGCGATTTCACATCCTTCGGGAAGAGGGTGTCTTTGCAAGCCCAGTCCAACACTGGGATGGAGTCGCATGGCCTCTTTAACGCAAGCGCTGTAGTACGGAAGCTTTAAAGCGTCCGAAAATTTGACTGGCAGCGAGATCCTGCCAGCATGCAATGCCTCTTCCAATTCTTGCATGAGCTTGTTCAACGCGGCAGGGTGTGTCAAGAGCTGATGGATGATGGCACGCATGGCGATCGCGGTCGTATCTGAGCCGGCTAAAATGTTGACATAACCCTCTTGTTGGATATCTGCGATGCCAAAGTCTTCCTTTTCGCCTCTGTGGGCTCTGAGCTCAAACAACTTGGTCAGAATATCGCGACGTTTATTGCTTGCCGAGGCTTCGATATCCTCGCTTTTCATCATGTCCTCGCGCCTACCAACGTAATTCTTGGCAGTGGTCGCAACGCCTTCGAAGTCCTTCAGCGATGCTCTCGTCGAAGCGAACATGATGCAGAAGATGAGATAGAATGGGCGGAAGGCATTGGGTAGCATCGCAACCACGATCAGTACTGGCATCAAACGGTCCAGCGTGCCAATCCAACGGCCAAAATCAGATCCCGTCTCCAAGAAGCCGAAAGCCTGGCCGAAGAAAAGTTCTCCGATGATATCGAATGCGTACATTTGCAGCCAGGTGCCAAGGTCCAAGACTTTCCCGTTTGCTGCAAACTCCGAGAGCCTCGCCATGAAAAGCTCTGTGCATGCATCCACATGGGCCTCGGATTCGAGGACGCTAGACATGGAGTATATGTTGCTCAACAGCCGTCTGCGAGCTGAATGATGGGCTTCATCGAGGTCTGTGAACTGATCGGCATGTTTCGTGGCAAACGCATCTGGCTTCCAAATTGGATAGAAGTTTGTTTTGGTGAATTTCGACTTGATTCCGTATATCAACGTCACAGCCTCTGGATCACTGACGCTGACTTCGTTGGGAGCAATGCGGACCAATCTTCCATACTTTCGATGCAGATCACGATTGACTTCGTCGAAGGAACCCTCCCTGATCTTCCATACATACCACAAGCGCGTGAGGGATGGCAAGAGCGGGCCCGGAACACCGGCGAGAGGATGGAGGAAGCGCACGTAAAGCACCCATCCAATGGAGCCAAGCAACACGACCCATGGAAGGTACGACAGTGTCTGAAGAGGTAACATGGACATCGTGGCTGAGGTGCTGGAGGTTTGCAGAACGATGCGGACCTAGGCTTTTGTGTTCACAGCATTGAGGTCAACTGCCGATATTGTCAGTGGTTGCCGGCGGGCTGCGAGTGGTTGCTGAAGCTCGCAGCGTATGGGTAAGCTTCACAATCTCGTGCTACAGTCTACTTAGCGGGGAGGGGTCTACTGCTGGGCGCTCATCCCCACCCCGGCACTTGATATGCTCATGAATTCGAATTCTGTCGTGCAACTTGAATTGAGAGGTCATGTCGGGTTACCCGCGGCTGTTGGTTTTGGGGGCCGCGCTCTGAGAGTGGTGCTGGCAGAACAATCGCAGTCACAGCGCAGTCATTTGCAAGCGCGAGAACAGTATCACTCTCAAAGGGACACGGGACGTGAATGTTTTGCCAGTCAGATCGAGGAGACCCTAAGTGCTCGAAGTGATCTCCATGTCGCCGTACTTTCATGCTTGCTGAGTTCAGCCACTCCGGCGAAGACAGGCGATATGCCGGATAAGGCAGCGACAGTAATCGCGTCGGGCAGATATTCAGCGGGCTCCGCTGGCGCTCTGGCAAGATCTTGTAACAGTATTGGGCAACCATGGCAGGCTTTTCGACGCTTTCGCTGCGATACGCCTGGTTTCGCGTGATCGTTGCAGGATCGGACGAGCTTCAGCCTCCTGGCTTGGATGCGGCGGTGAGGATCGGTCGGCAGCCTGGAAACAGCGCAGAAAAAACGAAGGTCTGAATACTCCGGGCGAGGAGCGACGTTCGTCAAAGGGAGCCTGTGACTGGGAAGATGCTGACAGCATCCTTGCTTATATTTCACGTGCCAGGAACGTGTCTTGGCTCGGTGAGCTTGTTGTGAGATCGCGCGGGAGTTTGTGAGTTCGATGAACTTCTTGACACAGACCAACGACGTTTGTTTGCCGATCGTGACGAGGAAACACCATGCACCACTCAGCTCCACAATCTACGTTTCACGATTGACCACTGACCACCCTCTCCACTCTTCCGCCCGCCGCCATGTCCACCGACACCGCACACCGCGATTCCTCCTCCTCCGCTCCCTCTGACCCTCCTCGCCCTCCGACACATGCTCCTAATAATTTCAACCGTCTCTCCAATCCGCTTCTCTCTACGCTTTCCTACTTCGCCGAGCCCGTCCGATACACCACCTCATCTCTCTTCCGCAGGATCAGCGAGGACGAAGCCCCCACTCCGCTGGCCAAAGCTCTCAGCGCAAATTACAACGGCTCCATGACTGATCCCACGACCGGTGTCTACCACCCGCCACAGCAACCCATTCGCAAGCGATCGCCCTTTCAACCTCCGCCTCTTACTCCCTTGACATTAGAAGGCTACAAACATGGCACCAGCCACAAGGCGAAGCTCTTACGCAAAGCTGTAGCCGAGGAGATCCGCTTACTGATCCCTCCACGATTGCAATTGCAAGAGAAATGGCACCTCATATACTCCATTGACCAGAATGGCAGCACACTATCAACTGTGTACAACCTCTGCGACCCATACCGAGGCAAGCGCGGAGGCTTCGTTGTGGTGGTGCGTGATGCATCAGGCGGTGTTTTCGGCGCATACCTCTCCGACCCACCTAAACCTCAATCTCACTACTATGGCAATGGCGAGTGCTTCCTCTGGCGAGCAATGACCTTGCCCGCTCTGCCCGATCTCATGGATCTCCCACCACCGCCGAGCGAAGACACGACACACGCGCAGCGCATGACCACCATCGGCGTGCCGAGGACAGATAGTAGTGCATCCCTTGCCTCACTGAAAGTGCCAGGAACAAACGGACACAAGAATGGGACTACAACACCTGAAAGAATACGCTTCAAAGCGTTTCCTTACACTGGCGAGAACGACTTCACCATCTTCTGCCAGCAGGACTATTTCAGCGTGGGCGGAGGAGATGGACACTACGGGCTGTGGCTGGACCAAAGCTTGGGTAATGGCGTGAGTGCGACGTGTCCCACCTTTGGCAATGAGCCTTTGAGTGAAGAAGGGAGCAAATTCGATATCATGGGAGTCGAAATTTGGTATGTGGGATCATAGAATACAGAACTCGATCGGGAAGAGACGAAAACAGTTCAAATGAGAAGATACGGTGAAGAAAATATATGCTGCAATACCAAAGGCATGGCGAGGCGTTTTGCTGGGATCGCAGGTGGCGTTTTGATGTGCGTGATGAATAGAAGATACCCAGGATCAAAATGAAATGATTGGCTATTGCTTGGACATGAATATCAAGCATGCGATTGCATCAAAGTTCCAGAATCAGGACTGGCTGCTCAAGTGAATGTGGTAGGGGTTTGAGTGGTGGCCTGGCAAAAGTGCAAAAGTGCAAAAAGAGAGCTGGAAGCGGATTCGAACTCATGGGCAGCACGAAGCAGCGACAGCGAAGACCAAAAGGGAAGGGCCTGCTAGGCAGACGGATTTTGCTGGCAATTGCAAGAATTCTGTTCGAGCTACTTCCCTGAGTCATCAGCATTTCGTTTGCTACATGAAGGTCATGCGCGGGAGAGACGGGAGGCAGCGGCTGGCGACAGGCGAGAGTCAAGAGGCAGCCACGCTCAAAATCCCTATCGGCGACACCATACAATACGTCCCCAGAAAGAAAGCTACTTAAGATGCTGCCGCGCTCATTCGTACTAGAGAAGCAAAAGTTCGAGACGAGTACTGAGTGTGCTTGACAAATTCACCAAGTGGTCACTGGAAGATGGAATCGAACCCACGAATACCGCGAAATCGACAACGAGGAACAAAAAGGGAAGGGCCTGCTAGGCAGACGGGTGTCGCCCTAAGGTGACAAGTTACTCTTTGACAGAGCTACTTCCCTGAATCAGCAGGATTTTGACTGCTATGTTATGGTCGCCGACGGGAGCGGCTGGCGACAGGAGGTCTCCGTTCGGAATTCCTGACGTGGAGCGGCGATGGGTCACAAAAAGAAAGACAGATCGCATCAAAGCTGTGGCACTCATCTCTACTGGAATGGCAAAAGAACGAGACGTGGCCTTCAACGGGGATCGAACGGTCGAGCGGTGAATCGATGACAATTCCCAAAAAGGGAAGGGCCTGCTGAGCAGGCGGCATGGCTTTCTGGCATGTGTCTCTGATAGTACAGCTACTTCCCTGAGTCAGCAGAATTCTGTTCACTACATCAATGTCAATGCGAGCCCTGAACCTCCCGGCGGCGACTCGATACGTATCAAAAAGTGCAGAGAATACATCACAATCGCAGCACTCATTCCCGCTAGAAGGACAAAAATACAAGACATGAACCTCAACAGGAATCGAATACAAGGAACAGCGCAATCGACGACAGGCCAAAAAAGGGAAGAGCCTACTAACGCAGACGGGTGTTGGTGATCAGGCAACCTCAATATGTGATAACAGAGCTACTTCCCTGAATAAGCAGGGTTTCTGTTTGCCATATGATGGCTACTCATGATCGGGATTGGCGGAGAAGGACGGCTGGCAACAGGTGTTCCACTTCTAGTCCGATAATGTGTGACACGTCGGCGAGCACAAGAGGCGGTATCCTGCAGCGGCGGGTAACGACAATTGATCATTGCGGCAGATTTTCTTCATCGGACTGGACCACTGGACTGGCTCAGAGAAACGAGGCTTCCGCCATTGCCGTGCTTCATTTATGCTATACAACATCATTCGTTACTAGGTATGACCAGGTCCTCTGTGTCCCCGCAATCAACACCCAGGCCGCTGTTCTCGCCATTCCGTACCCGGCTCCAAGAAACCACCTCAAATCGACACAGCATTCGGCTTCTATCCGTACACCGGTTGACCTTGATTTTGATACTGCATCGGCTGCTGACCATACTGCTGAGGCATCCCACCTTGGTTCGTGGGAAGGTTGTGATCTGGCGCGAAGATCTGTGCTTCCTTATTGTATGGACGATGTGTGACTTGTTTGCCGCAGCCTGTGCAGTACTGGTCCCAGTCTGGCGAATGCAAGAGTCAGTCTCGTTTGCCACACTGGCTCACTGGGTGGAAGATGATGGATTTTGAAACTCACCTTGCAACATTCCATCTCCACAGCATCCCTTCAATGGGATACATGCGACACATGGACAAATGAGGCAGATTCCAATCACTGCGAACCAGGTTTTGTCGGAATCTTTGCTGTCGGGCCGGGTTTGGCAGACTCTGCCCGTGGCTGGGCACCAGATGAACTCGGGTTGGTCGCGCAGGAGGTTCAGTTGAGTCGCTGCTTGCTGAGAGGAGTTAGAACCTGAGATCGGCAATGTGTCTCCGAACGAGAAGGGATCTGTCTGGCATACCTGCTGTGGAGGAGCAACATTCGGCACCATAACCATTTGTGGACCTGGGGACGCTGCTGGCCCGCGATTGATGGTCTCCATCGGCACAGGACTTGAGTGGTGATATTCTGGTTTGTGGCCAGGCGCTTCGTACGCCGGCGCGGGCGTGTGGTCTTTCTCCGCTGTCGTCATGTTCGATGCCATTGTGTGAAGGATAATGTGGTTGAGCGCGAACTGTGTCGGCTTGAGCTGTATTTCGGAGGTCTTCTTGATGATGATCAAGGTGTCACCTGTGGTCGATGTTCCAGGAATCAAGGTGTGACTGCGAATGCGCCTGACTTGATGTGATCGCGTCTTCCAACGAGAAGTGAAGACGGAAGGAAAGGTCAGCCCTTTCAAAGCAGCCTCTCTCACCTCGGGGTTCTGGTCCAAAGTTCTGCGCCTCAATGATCGCCCACAGAATTGGATCCTTCGTCATTTAGTGTTTCTCGCCTAACAACAACAACTGCATGAAAGGGGCCGGCAGCAAACACGGGCACTCCCGCGCGTCTATGATCTGCCATTTATGGTCAATTGTCACACGCCGGTTTCCTGGTTTCTTCATCACTCATCTCCAGCGATTGAGCCTCTTCCGCGCGAATGGCAAGCGAACGGAAGATGCATTGTGGTGTTTGGACGCTCGAGTCTTGGCAAACTGATCTGCGCCACAGCTGAATCCTTCATCTAGGAGTTGATCTTCAATTGGCCAGACGTGCCGCCTACAAAGTTCACCTCGCATGTGGGTTGCACAAATACTTCAGCCGCACCTCATTTAGCTCTCGCAGGATAAGCGCTAAAACCAGCGAGCGTCTCGACACAATGGAAGGAAGGGACGATTGTGTTCATCTGATCATGCTATCCGGTGCCGAGCAGCGCTCATCTCCAGTCTCGCAATGTAATCGTTCGCCTGCATCTTCACGAAACGTTTCACTATGCGCCTGCTCAATACCAAGAACCTGGAAGTGAGAAGATTTCCCGATGCAGATGGCCATACACCTCCATACGCCATCTTGAGCCATTGCTGGAGTGCGAACGAAGACGATGAAGTGCTGCTCGTGGACATTCAGAATGGCACTGCGGAGACCAAGAAGGCGTATCCGAAGCTCGCGGCCGCCATGAAACGAGCACGAGAATGGAAAGGACGGGAATTCGAATGGATCTGGTGTGATACCTGCTGCATCAACAAAGACAGCAGTGCAGAGCTCTCCGAAGCCATCAATTCGATGTATACGTGGTATGCGGAGTCGGAAGTGTGCTTCGCATATCTTGAAGACGTAGACTTCGAATCGCCACGGAAGCTTCAAGAATCGAAATGGTTTACGAGAGGTTGGACCTTGCAAGAACTTATCGCGCCTTCGGAGCTCATTTTTTACGACAAGAACTGGAATCGTGTGGGCAGCAAAACGTTCTCTGCCATTTGCAGCATGGTCTCCGAAAGAACTGGCATTTCTGAAGATATACTGATCGCTCCTGGAAGTCTGCAGTCCGTGTCGATTGCCCAGCGTATGTCCTGGGCGGCTGATCGCAGGACGACCCGACCAGAGGATAAAGCATATTGTCTCATGGGAATATTCCAGGTCAACATGCCTATGTTGTACGGAGAAGGTGCTGTCAATGCATTCCATCGACTCCAGGAGCAAATTATGAAGGAGAGCAATGACCACAGCATATTTGCCTGGACTGCTAATGTCGGCAGTGATTCTACAGGCCGTCATGGGTTGCTGGCTGATAGTCCAGATGCATTCGCGGAAAGGTCCAACATTATCGGGTATGCTGACTGGGAAGACGAACAGCCGTTCCAGCCCAGCAATCGTGGACTCCGGATCAACTTTCATCTCACGCCCGTGGGTGACGGCACATACTACGCAGCTCTCAATTGTCCTATTCCATCTCCTCAAAGGGGATACTTCGGCTTCACTTGTATCAAACTGGAGAAGCTCGACTCTGGTATCAATCAGTACTCACGAGTGCAGTGCGACCAGATCTTTGGGCTTGAAGTCCGTTCGAACAGACCGAGTATCGTTTACGTTCGGCAAAAGATATCTGGTCAAGACGCGGATGCGCTCATGCCCTGGCATTTCTTCCAGCCTCGAGATCTGCACTTTTCATCAGACATTTATGACCTGATGCACTTAGCACATTTCCCTCTCGATCCGGCAGATCAGCAACATGCTCCCCGGCCAACTGTCAAGCCTTGGATCGCAGCAGCACAAGCGAGTGCTTTCCAGATCATCAAGCGAGCTGGTAGACTTTCAGCTGTCATGTTCCTGCAACGGAGAACAGATAACTCTCGCCTGGCAATCTTACTTGGTAGCATCGGAGATACCCAAGTCGGGTTTGACATCGCGCCGATTCAAGATATGAGCATGAGCATCACAGAAATCGAACAAACCATGCGACTACAACCCGCAGGAACCCACATGGAGGCAGGGTCCCATAAGGTACGCATCGATGTTACTGTTCGCATCGATGTGCCGCGGAAACTGTACTTGCTCGACATTGTGGTGGATGGGAAGGCAGAGCCCGTTGATCTCATTGACTTCAGACCGCCGCCGTGTACTGTTCCTGACGCGGTGCATGAGGTTGTCAATGACATCGTGTCGGATGTGCAGTACGTTGCTACAGATGTTTCGCTCCGGCCTAGGTCGGTCTTTCGACGAGTCACGAAGTCATCGAAGCGGTGAAGCATGATTGCGGAATGTTCTTTCTTCTTTCATTATATTCGTCTATGGAGACTCATGCTGCCACTATTCATTGTGGCGTGTACACCATCTTGCAAGCCAGATGTCCGGCTGCTGTCCTCCGTCGCGCATGGATGTTTCCTTGCTTGGCATTCTCGCTTGCCATTCTTCGTCACTGGTCAAGCATGCCTAAAGCTTCCGAAGCCTCTAGTTGAAGCTGATGTGGACGTGGTCCCTATGTACGATTAGCGCGATTCTGGAGCAGTAGCAATATTAAGTTCATCTTACCAGTGGTTGGCGGTGATGGATCCACGATCTCCCTGGGTGCGCCAGTTGTTCCATCCAGTCACAGCATCCCGACCTGGAGTCCAGATGCGCTGGCCCCAAATGACATACTTCATGTTCAGCGAGCCACGGTTGTTCATGGCCCACTCAGCGATCTGGCGACCAGAGATGGAGGCTTGCTGTGATCGATATCAGTAAAAGCAACGAAGGAAGACTGGCACTGAAGACTTACACCACCACCATCGCTCAACATATAATCAATAGCCTTTCCGCAGCAGTGATCACTGCCACTTCCGCAAGCGCAATCACGGATACAGAAGATCTCTCGAATGCGGCCTGGGAAAGCGTTGATCACTGTATTGGCACCAGTGACAGCAACCTGTTTGCAGGCGCCCACACCAGGAACAGATGGCCTGTTGTAACCTCCCCAGCCTTGAGCATTGGAAGAGCAGCATTGCATCTGAGCTGGTCCTGGGCATTGTCCCGAAACACTGCTGCCAGCGCAGTCACTTCGCCAGCGGCAGTTGCCTGAAGAGCCATTGGCGCAGCTAGGCTTGAAACAGCACCGAACATTGGCAGCATCTGCTGGACAGGCGCCAGCGATCGATGTGCCTCCTCCGCTGGTGCAAGCACCGGAGTCTATACAGACACCGGCGATGCCGTTGGGTCCATAGCAAGGATCGTTGACTGCTGCAGAGGCTACAGCTGCCAGGGCGGAAATGAAGAAAGTGGAACGCATATTAGCTGATTTAATTGGTTGATATGAGTGAGTGCTCAAGTGAATCTCCATCAAGGTGGCATCGCCACAGCTCATATATATATTCCCTCCCCCATGTCCTCACTCGGCTCTTTCCTCCCAACTTTCATGCTCCTACCGTATCTCACCAACAAAACCGAGCTCAGCTACTGTACTACCATGCGCTCTCACGCTAAGGATCATCATGCGACCATACCATGTGTGGTCATTTCTCGCTAAATTTCTGCGACCAACATGCAACTCTGCATACCAGTCCGCATGACGTCTGCCTCTTTGTACGACGATCAAGATAGCAACGTGCTTCAGGAACGAAAGGAAGTTGGCTTCGCCAAGTGCCGTGCCATGTGGCGCTGCTTGGGACCTGGCAAGCTATGGACTTTTGCGGAAGGACCCTGCTTGATCAACATTGGCTGTGCGGAGGACGCCGCTAAAGAGCTGGAGATGATTCGTGGAGGGGTTGCAGACCTGTTTCCTAGAGCTTGAATGTAGCGCGGGTGGTTGCGTTGTTCTTGGCTCGGGAGAATACGTGGTGGCTGGACGTACAGTAGCTGTGGTAGTGAGTTCGTATAAAGTAATAGTACGCTTGGATTAGCGGGTGCGACAATCAGAGGGGAAGCTTTTGTGCTGATCTTGAGTTAGTCGCTCAGGGCATCGTTTTCTGATGAAGCTCTCTTCACTAGATGCTTTCTTTTCGCTAGGTGGGAACAACCAGGCAAGAGTTCATACGTGCTCGTTCTTCGTGCTACCTTCAGCTGAATCAACATTGGCAACGAATCCTCCCTTTGCTCTTATGCGCACAGGCTGGAGAGCTCTTCGAGTTGTCCGCAGACAGGTGCCCACGGCCAACCGTAGTACCACGAGAGCCAACATTATTCGGAGTGCAGTACACTGCCAATGCTGACGGGAACCCGGATGGGCCTCCTCTGTTTATGCCAATTGAAACACAAGTCATCCATGCTCACTTGTCTAGTGCTCGTCAGCAATGCAGTTCGCATCGATGAATGCTCTGAACGGTGTGGTGCAAGGTTACAAACAAACCATTGCAGCCCATTCGCTCATCAGAGCTCATGTAGGACTTACCCGCTCCTTCATACCATAGCTGAGACGCCAACAGACTGCGATGGGTCATATTCGACGATGGGAAGCGTCAAGCCAAGCCCAAGGACTTGCGGAGTATTTGCATGACCGCTTGGGCGAAGGTTTGATCTTGGAGCTCCAGCTCAATAACATCAATGGCTTCCTTCCTGTCAGATCCCTTCCTCGCAGCGTGCATATCCCGCACCACTGGCTTCAGGGCCTTGGCCATTGTTCGAGGTGTTTGGAAATTGCGGTAGAAGCCCACCGTGGCACGAACAGTGTCTAAGTCCGGAAATTTCCGCAGCAGGTCGAGCAAACGCATTGCAATGACTTGATTCTGACTTCTGCCGAGGTGAACCTTGCGCATTGCTTGCACGGGAGTAGGAAGCTGCCGAGGGTCATTGCCTAGTGGAAACTGGGATCTATAACCTGCCGAATGAAGGTAGAATGCATTGTTGCCGTAGAGCACTGGCATCGCTTCTTGGTAGACTTGTTTGCAGGTCGAAAGTAAATTTGTCACCAGTCCGGGTGGCGTGTCCCAGCCGGACATATCGGATGTGACTTTGCCCAGGTCGAGACGCAAGTACCCGGCGCAACGGATGGAGGAGTCAGCAATCAAGCAGAGCTTGTAGATTCTATTGCGGAGCTCCGGCGGAAGATCGAGAAAGCCCACAGCGCCAGAAGCTTCTAGCTTGGAAGGCGACGGCGCCATCTTTGCGAAAGTGTTGCTCTGCGTCACGGTCAGCAAGAACGACCAAGAAGATCAAGCCAGCTTGGTACACCAACCTGGTGGACTCGCGAGCTTTCGCGGACGACTTCGCGAGTAACGTCGATATGTTGCTGCAGATGTCAGAAGTCAAGCGGGAATCAACTTTGACGGAAAGAGACGGCGTCACGCGCTAGCAGGGGTCCGGCCGCGCCTTCACTTCCTCTCTGCACCTTCCGAAGATGTCGGGGAAGGCACGGCGCACCTCCAGTGCAGCGGTGGTGTCTCCAATGTGCCCAGCCGAAAGTGTATCATTCCTTACACGTCAGGCACGAATGCGCGCAGTACGATCTACGTCCAGCAAGCATTGCTTCCTCATTGAGCGTCTATTGCGATTCACTGAAGCAGCTTCTTCGTGCCATCTCATGGAATCCTGGTCTCAAGGCAGCTTGGATCGGGGACCGAGACTTATGTTTGGCGCGGAGTGTTGTTGTCAAACACTTGGGGCTATTGAAAGCAGTTGCGCGTCTTCGACAATCCGTTCACTTAGCATCTGCTCGCTTGTTACGCCTTCCAGCTCAGTACGAGTGACGTCTCGTCCGTGTGGTAGCGCATTGGGAGGACCATGTCTTGTCTGCGTGTAAATTATAGAAGCACTGCCGCCATTTCTTGAAGCTGGCATCACAAGATGCGCGCAATCCCTATAGCTCAAGCTGTAGAGGTCTTCGTCAAGACCGCGAAGAACAAAGGCCCCCAGCGTCCTCCACCAGGATGGTCAGGCAGCACAATCCAGCCATATTTTGTACGCTCAGCCCAACTCTTCTCTAGCTCAGTCTCAAGCGCTACATCTCCATGTCCGGCACCAAAGCCGACTCTCACAGTCCACTTTAACATTCCCTTTTTGCGCTCCTTCTCGACCTGCGACAGCATCTTCTCGATGACTCCATCGTTTTCCGTCGGCTCAATGGAACACGTGGCATACATGATCGTAGCTTCGACTTTAGCTGCCCGTAGACCTGTCATCAGAAGCTTTACCTGGGTCTCAGCCAGGCGCTTCGACGAGCCCGGCCGCCAATTGACCATTTCTGGCGCTTCACCGCCACCGAGCCTTGCATTTGCATGAGCGTGGATGATGTGACGTTCTGATGAACATGGCGCATCAATCAAAACTTTGTCATATCCGACAGTCCCATTAGGTGTCTTCACGACGAGTTCGTAGTGAGCCTTTGGGTATGTTCCGTCTATTCGCAAGGTCGAGATCCGTTGAGCATCGAATAATGCCTTTGGCAGGTAGCTGCGCAAGTTATCGGCCAGTCGCCTCTGTCGCGGTGCATCGACCTCGTTGGAGTGCAAGGTGCCGATCTGAAGTGGTCTCTGCTCGGAAACCTTGGCTCTGGCCTCCGAATCGTCGGCGTGGTGCTGAACCCAGATATTCTGTGCCAAACTGATCGATTTCCCTCCTGGTGCAGCGCACAGGTCGAGAACGTTGTCACCATGCTTGACGTCAAGTAGTTGTGCTACCAGCGCTGATGCGGCATCCAAGTTCCAATGCGAGCATAGCTGGCCGGGCGCTGAGACGGGCGCGGGAAATGGTTCACTGGAAGGGGCCGGAGAGCCATCTTCTGCAGACTTGGTTTGCCTCACGACCAGATTGAGCGGGAGATTCAAAGCAGCATCTGACCCACTAGGCTGAGGAAGCTTCAAAGGCACTTCTTCCGTGTTAGGGCTGCTGATTTTCTCCTTGGTCGCGTCCAGAGGGGCGTAACGATTCAGCAAACACGCATATCTCGTTGGTTGCTCAAGAGCTGGTCTCAAACTGTTCTGCCATCTCGCTTCGCCCCAAATGGCAGCATAATGTCGATCGAATGCGTCTGCAGCGCTCGAAGCTGCTTTTCTTTGGGTCTTTGTCATGCTTGCTAGATGTCAGGCACGAGAAGAAACTTTTGACCTCACCTTGGCACTGAGGAAGACGCAATCAGACTACTCTTCACTGTCAGCTATGTGATGTGGCGAGCTCGACTCCAGTGGACCAGCGGCATCACAGCATATAATCGATAGCGACCAGGAACGGAGCGACGTGAAGTCGAGAAATCTCGAAGCAATGCCAAGACGTGTCGGCGGAAAGAAATGCCGATCTCCATCGCATCGCAAAATTATCCAGAGCTTCAACCTCACGAAGCAAGCTCCCTTGCAACCACCTTCACTTTCACCACACACGATTCGCTAGACCGTGGCAGCTACTGAAAGGTAGCTCGTCATATCTGCGCATTCGAAGCGCAGGCTGAGAACAGGGTCGATCGAATAAGAGGGAGCAGGCGAAAAGAGCTGCGAAAATGTCGTTCCGCGGACGAGGTGGAGACCGCGGTGGTCGCGGTGGATTCAGAGGCGGTGCGCGCGGTGGCAGAGGAGGTTTCCAGCAGTCATACGGTCCTCCAGACCAAGTCTACGGTATGTACCAGTCTTGCGACATTTCACGGCACCAGAATCTGATAAATGAACCACAGAAATGGGCAGCTTCCTGCACGCAACCGAGGGCGAAATGGTCTGCGAATCCATCAACGTTAAAATTCCCTACTTCAACGCCCCCATCTACCTCGAGAACAAGACGCCCGTGGGAAAAGTCGATGAAATCCTCGGACCACTGAACCAGGTCTTCTTCACGATCAAGCCGCAAGAAGGCATCCAGGCCACGAGCTTCAAGAGCGGAGACAAATTCTACATTGGAGGCGATAAGCTATTACCGCTGGAGAAGTTCTTGCCAAAGCCCAAGCCACCGCCAGGAGCACCAAAAGTGAAGAAGCCAAGAGGTGCAGGCGGTGCCGGACGCGGTGGACGAGGCGCGCCAAGAGGTCGCGGAGCACCAAGAGGGCGGGGCGGTGACCGCGGAGGTTTCAGCCGAGGTGGTGCACGAGGTGGTGGTCGCGGGTTCTCTGGATCTGGCGGTTTCAGCCGAGGTGGCAGCAGAGGTGCGCCTCGAGGCAGAGGTCGGGGATATTAGGAAAAGACGCGATTCACGAGACATTGGCTAGGCGTTTGGCGTTTCAAGAGAGAAGGGAGTCCGAGGCGCGAAAATGCCAGTATTGATTGTTTTGACGCAATATGGGCTGGCAGCTACGTCCTCTGCGCGTTCACAAAAGCTGACGAGACCAGGGAGTATGGGCTCGTAGTGTGTCGCTATTGTAGCTATACGACTTGTACAATTCTACAACCCAGCCCCATTTCCCACTCAATTCTTACTCAATTGTCCTTCAGTTCTATGCGGCCTTCACAGAGCGCGTCCACAAGGGAGGAAACCCGGACGCTACGCTCCGCGAACGACTCTTCCCTCGAAGACATGCGGAAACAGAGACCTTCATAGCTGTTGTACATCTACGGGTACCAGAACTAAAGTTATATGCCTCTCAACAATCATTCCTACACGATCCGGGACTCATTTTGCACCCAGAGAGGTCTAAGCACATTCCCGAATTTCGAGAGGAAAAGGCTTCGTGACACTGAACATTGGACAAATCTTTACAGTTCGATCCTTTGTCATTATTAAGTACTCATGCGATCGTCATTCATTCCATGCACTCGTCCCCATAAGGTGAGCGATTACATGCATAAGCACGTCCATCCAATCACTTAATAGCCAGCCCACAATGCGTAATTCCCGGTGATCCTCATACCAAGAGCAGCAGTCTCGACGCCAAGAAGGTCAGATTGCTCACCACCGTCTCCTTTCCCACCACGACACCCACAGAGCCCGCAATCTTCTCGCTGAAAGCTTGACTGCAACCTACAGCTCGGAGCTGCCCAAGCACACTTGGTACATCTGGCTTGACGTTGAGTTTCTCGACGAAAGTGGAGAGGATAGCAGCGTAGACTTTGCCATCAGCGAAGGATGTCGACAGGTTGTCGACGTGAAGGCCAGCTTGGGTGGCATAGGCTGCCGCCCATTGCTGAAGCAGCTCCTCTTGTTCTGCTGGAGAGACTGGTAGGTTCGCAAGTGCATGTCCGGCAACGCGATCGATGTCCGCGGCAAGCTTCTTCCAGTCTACGAGGTATGAGAGGCCGTAGTTGCTCACGAGAGACCAAAGGAGGCTGAGGGTCTTCTCGCGATGACCGTTGACGATATCCTCAGTGGCGATATCAGCGACCATGTTGGCAGTGGAGACATCGTAGGCGGACAAGGCTCTTAAGGCAACCTGGACGTTGTAGCTGCGTTGCGAGGAGTTTTCACCAGGAAGCTTCAGGAACTGTGACAAAGTGTTCTCCGATTTCTGATACGGCGTTAGCAGAGCCACATGTGAGAAGATCATGCGACGTACCTTGAGATCCATATGTTCATACAGAAACGTCTCAACAAGGCGTGTGAGGAAGACGCCATCGCGGAAGTCCGTCGCAATGTTCGTGACATGGTAGACGACCTCCTTGAGAGGATCTTGGCGGTACTGTACATCGTACTGCAGATGCTTGAGCGTACGTATGATGTCTCCGCAAGCTGGAAACATATGACGACCAAGTGTCTGTAGAACGGATTCAGTCGTCTTGATGCTTGAGTCGCGGGTGATGAGGCAGCCACCGTCGACAATACCAACCTCAGCAGACTGGTCGAGGAGCCAGGCGAGCATCAAGCTTCGAAGCATGGTCTTCTGCCAACGCAGAGTGTCGAGACTCTCGTCGCTGGTGGCATGTGGATCGGCATCAACATCGACTACGCAGACGAAGAAGTCTTCGAGAAAAGCGGTCTGGGCACGCTTGCCAGATCTTGGATCCAGGGATGAGCCAGGTGAGGTGTTCAAAGGCTGAAGTACTTGTCTGCCAGCAACGACCTGAGCAGCTTCGATCAGAATCTGGTTGTTGTATACTTCCAGCCACATCTTCATGAGGCGCTTCCGCAGTCCTAGATCCTGTGTGGGCTGGTGCGTTCCAATCGAATGCTGCGGATGAGCAAGTGCGCCGTATTTGAGCGAAGCCTGAAGACGGCTATGCAAGCTAGCCACTTCCGGGCGATTATACAGGTTGACGAGTTGCTCTCTCAAAGACTCGCCAGCCGCTGAGGCGTGAATAGCTGGAGCCGGCGAAGTGAGTTGAAAGATCCCGTTGATAACTTCGGAGAGTGCCACTTCCTGGAAGCTCAACCACTTGTCCTCGTAAAGAGCCGGCTGCGAGAGATTGCCTTCGAGTATTGGGTACTGCTGGAGCTTGGCAAGTTGTTGCTCGTTGCGCTTGCTGGCAACGAATTCACGAATCCTCTGCTTCTCTTCATCCAACTTCGAGCCAGCCTTCAAGGGCGGGGAATGGTCGTCAGCGTGCACTGGTGCAGTAGGCCGACAAGTAGTCTCCCCGGTAGTGTTGAGCGTATGCGCAAAAGCATCACGCTCATCGATAGGCATGAATGTGATGGTCTTGCGCGGCTTGTCTTTTGGGCGGTCTTTACGAAAGTCTATAGTTGTATGCATCTTCATGCCCGGTGGGATTTGCGAGGGCGCCGATGTGAGTTGGGCGTGTGCCCGTGGCACGATCGATTGCCTACTGCGAGAGGCCTGCGTTGGTGCGTAGAGACTGCGTGGCAGAGTACGTGTCTCAGTGGGCTCGACAATGCCAAAAGATTTCACGGCCTTTTGTGCAAGCACTTGTCCGGCTGGTGGCAGGTTCTCCTTGCCAGTATCGCTTCAGATAGAGTCAGTGAGGTACGTTTACAGTGATAGACGGAGTGACCTACGCTCCAGCCACGTCCCATCCAGGTATGTTCTCCGTGGAGGGTGTCTCGCGCAGAGGCAATCGCTTCGGTGCCACCAACAGTGACGATCTCGACTTGCGTACGGGCTTCTGGGTGACGCCAGAGTTCTCTTCGCTCTGTAACTCTCGGTGTCCAGTGAGGCTTGGGAGGTGGAACGTGTCCTCGATCCGATGAGTGTCATCGCGAGCTCCGGGGTGTATGGTCATGACCGTAGTATCTTCCGGCACGAAGATGGTCTGTCGTCGCGGGGGCTTCCTGACGGTGGAACCAAGTCCCAGTGATGCACCTCCACTACCGCGCGGTAACTCCTCACTGACATTGGTGCGCCCTGGATGCAGTCTATTCCCTCCCATTCCGATCATGCGTCGGGATTCCCAGCTTGCATTGCCGCCAACTGGTCCGCCACATCCACCAATGCTCATTCTCCCTCCAGCAGAGATGCGACCTTGTGACCCATCGTTCCCTCCGTTACAACCAGTTCTGCTATCTTGGATGCGAAGACTGGCCATTCCCAAGCCAATGCTGCTCGCCGTACCAGAGGTGCTGCCGCCGCCCGCCATGCCATGAGGGCGCTTCGCGGGTGGTTTACCCAGCAAAGTGCTGTGACTTACCTGGTGGTTGTTTCCAAGCACCGGCTTCTTCACTTCTCCAGCAGTAATCTCGCTCTCCTCACTAACATCCTCGAAGATGGTGACGGGTGCTGCCTTCTTTCTCGCCGGGCCCCCCATCATGCTTCGCCTTCGTGGTTTAATGCCAGTGAGCGGTTGATCGATGGCGCGTGTATAGTCGATATTGGTTGTGTCGTCTCCAAAGAGCTCAAAAGAAGAGATGCGCCGGTGCGAAGGATCGAGAGCCGCAGGTGCAGGACAAGGCGTCTGCGAAGTAATGGAGATTCGAGACATGGCGGCCAGAAAGTGGGGTGGGTTCCCAGATATTAGATAAGCAGTCCCGAAGCGATCGCAGTGGCTCCCATCAAGCAGCAGCGACAAACGGAGATGCGACTGCTGCGCGTTTGCTCAAGATGCGCTGGGTCTGTTGCGCCCGTTTGTACGTGAAGTTGAAAGTGACGTGCAGCCACGCAGCTCTGAACCCATGCATCGCCCATGTTTATCGCGGTTGCCTTGGTGATTTGACGAAGTCGCGTTCTGATTGGCTGCAGAAGCGAGGACAGTGAACTTCACATTCGCGACCGTTGCGAACATGTCCGAACGAGAAGTATCTTGTGCAAAAGGGTGCGACTGAAGTGCGAATCGGAGCCTGCACAGGTGCGCGCATGTGCACGTCGAGTTGCAGGCGACGATGAGACATCGCGACCACAACTCGGCGGACGCTGCGAATGGCCGTGATTGTGGCGAGCTTGTGTCAATTTTCGCACGTGTTACACCTCTGGTAAATGATGCTCGGAAGCATTTGATATGGCTGCTGATGCTTATAGTCGGTGGTAGGATGAAGGTGTGGCAAGGCGGCAAGGAGAAGGAAGAAGGTAGGCATGTAATGTTGAGCCAATGTGAAAGTGAAGTAAATTGCGAAGTGGCAATCTTCACTTGGTGCGATGAAGATCTTTCTGTAACAAGAAGCCACCAGCACTTCCAAGAACTCCGAAAATCATTCCGACTTGAGTTGCTGGGCCAGATAGAGGTGCACGCGGTCGCATAAATGGATTGAAATAGCTTCAATTCGCGGTCTGATGCCTTTGGCCTGCTTCGAGGCTTGCAGCCCATTAGAATGTGGTCCGATCGCAACTTGCTTCTCTGCAGTGGAGGCATTTCACAAGATAAGAGCAACTTGCGAGCTTGACAGCTTCAGTTGTCGACATAGTTCTGAGCCTTTTCCAGAGCCAGGACCGCTTTCAGGCTCTTCAAGTCCTTGACTATCACCATGACATCGTCCTCGATGCCTAGCTTGTATATGAGATAGTCTCTCTCGGACTCCTCGCATAGCTTCGTCAGGTCAAACTTTGGTATACCAGTCCACTTATCAGTGACCCAGTTCTCTGCGGAGCAGTTCACAGTCCCGCCTTCCAATTCTGTCCCTTTAAATCTCACGACGGCAGATGCATCTTTGATTTCGACCTCGTCGAGCCTCTTGATAAGGCCATGTGGGTGCGCGTACTTGAGACCGGAGACGACATTTCCTCTCAAGATCTCCAGGACCTTTTCCGGCATCTGCGTATCCCACTGCCACTCAGCTACAGGCTTCACATTACCTCCTCCAGACTTGTTCGTCAACGTCGCATAGTCGTCTCTCGTTTTCTGATCGGCAAGTCTCACCCAAGATCCACCACCTTTGCCTCGACCTTTCTTAGCCCCCAAAGCTTGCAGCACCGAATTCTTCGCGAGCACCCAGGATACGTGTCCTATCAGACCTGGTGGAGGAACAGTACGATACCCGTATCCTTTGAGCGGTCTGAAATAAGGCTTTGTGGGACCTGGTTCGCTACCGCCTTGTCGTGGCATAAACAGGCCAAAAGGAAGAAGGAGATCGCTGGGCAGTCTTGTTCTGGTCAAAGCACATTGCCGAATAGGCGTTTCTAGAGCTCGCGCATATGGGTTGAGTGCAAGTTCTTGCTGAAAGGGTGTCACACTTCGTGGCTCGGAGGTACCGCTCGTCTGGGCAGTCTGCCCATCCTTGGGCTGTCTGTACTTGTGACGTGCTTTCAGGTATAGAGGATCCAGAATTTCTGGAATTGGAAGTGCTCTACTGCCATTCTTGCGGGTTCGCAGTGTTCGCGTGCCATCCTCGGAGATGATCGTAGGCTCACTTGCAGAGATGGCTGGCGGGGCTTCGCGGTACCCTTTCCGATGGCCAGTGGACGCATTGGATGAAGCATGACGCCGAGGCCATAGTAAACGTGTTGTTCCGTGTGCCACAGCTACTGAACGTAGACTGGGCTTCTTCGAATGTAGCATCACATGTTGCATGAGGAGTGTGAGAAGGTGTAGCATGCGTCGAGTGCAGGTGGGTGGAGCTTGCGGCTTCGGAAGTGCCACTGACTTCAGCTTTCACCTCGTCCACAGACACGTCCGTACAGCATCATTATCTCCGTTCAACATGGAATTTCTCGCGCGTCCTGGCCTGAGGGCTACACGAGCACACATTCTGCGCCAAATGCGCCAGACGCGTCGGAACTTCACCATCCCGCCATTTCCACCACCACCTGCAGTCAATGCCGCCCAACAGCAGTCTGCGGCTCCTCAGACTCCCCGCTCCGCCATGCCCATGCCCTTCGTCACCGACATGACCAATGGAGCCTGGCACACGTCCGACATATTCTCGCGACTCCTCAAAGAACGCATCATCTGCCTCAATGGCGAAGTGGAAGAAACCATCTCCGCCTCCATCGTCGCCCAGCTCCTCTTCCTCGAAGCCGACAATCCCTCAAAGCCCATAAACCTCTACATCAACTCGCCTGGTGGCAGTGTCACAGCAGGTCTCGCAATCTACGACACAATGCAATACATCCAATCCCCGGTCACCACAATCTGTCTCGGACAAGCTGCAAGCATGGGCAGCTTACTACTATGCGGAGGCGCAAAAGGAAGGAGATACTGTTTACCGCACTCGCGTATTATGGTACATCAGGTCAGCGGAGGATACAGCGGGCAAGCTTCCGATATCGCGATCCACGCAAAGGAAATCCTGCGGGTGAGGGAGCAGTTGAATAAGATTTATCAGGCGCATCTCCCGAAGCACAAGTCGTTGGAGGAGATTGCAAGCGTGATGGAGAGAGATTTCTTCATGAGCGCGGAGGAGGCAAAGGAGTGGGGCATTGTGGATGAGGTGCTCGATCGAAGGGCAAAGAAAGAGGAAGAGGCCAAATGAATGACAAGTGCTGGGACGTCAAAACGACCGGAACTTTGTGGTCCGCTTCGTACGCACCGAGGTAGGGAAACTTTTGAGCCAGACACTCACTGTGAAGCTTTGGTCGCAAAGCGATAGCTATCGATCGCGCGAAGCGATAGCGCCTGGTGCCAAAACCCTTCGCAAAAAATTATGGAGCAGGCCAGACTCGAACTGGCATCCCTGAACCACGACGCGACTGGTATGCTGCGGATGACGCCTTCTATCAGGTTCAAAACGCCATTCGGTGTTTCTTACAAGACTGGAGGTCGCCACGCGACAACCACGATCGGTGCAGGTTCGGTATCTTACCATTGGACCACAGCCCCTTCGATGACAGACCTATCTTTCGTGGCGTACAAGTACGTACAGAAAAGAGGCGAAGTTTCCCGAAAAGCAAAAGGTGCAGCAAATGCGCACACGAAGCAAAAAGAGTTTGGAGCAGGCCAGACTTGAACTGGCATCACTCGAGCCGAAGTCAACTATCACGACCGCGAATGGAGCTCTGTCGCTCGACTAGTGTGCTATGGTGTTTTTGAGGCACTATAGCATGCTGTGAATCTAGACAGAGCGCCATTTCAAACGGACTTTCCCCTAGTCTCAGACAGCGCGGTATCTTACCATTGGACCACAGCCCCTGTGATGACAAAGCTGCCTTTCGCGACCTACAAGTACGCACAGAAAGGAGGCAAAGCTTTCTGAAAGCCAAGGGCAGCAGCAAACGCACACACGAAGCAAAAGGATTTGGAGCAGGCCACCACGAGCCGCGTTGCGATCTGGAGTCGCGGTTGATGCTCTCATCAGACTAACGTGCGTGACTGTATCGAGGACGCTACATCATTGCTTCTTAGAAGAAGATGGCCAACCCTGCGTCACCAGCTTGCTCGGAATCACACAATTGGTCACAATTACTCAGAATCGCCTTACACAGCTACGCACAGCACGGTAGCAAGCTTGCGAAAAGCCAAGAGATGCAGCAAACGTTTCGACATTCAGCAAAAAGATGTTGGAGAAGGCCAGAATCGAACTGGCATCCCTCGCACCATTCAATATCGTGGCTCTCCCAGGTGTACTGCTTACTCTTGAGGTCCCCAGCGCAGCGAATACCGGTCTACTCACATACACTCCACCCCACCTCAAGTGTTTGAATCCCCCTGGGAGCATGAACACTACTAGAGTGAGCGCGAGGATCTTTCCATTGGACCACATCCCCTGTGACGACTGAGCAACGTTCTACGCAGTACACATAAATCAGAGAACAAATACGATTGTGCAAAAGCCAAGAGACGCAGCAAACACGTACACTTCACGCAAAAAGTATTGGAGAAGGCCAGAATCGAACTGGCATCCCTTCGCACCGATTCAACGGCTCACAATCAGGCTCCTTTGACTTTCAGGCTTGTTCGCCCACTGAGGCCCTTCTTGCGACATGTATTGGTGTATACACGCGCTCCCACCCGGCCTCGAGTGTCTAGTCGGCCTGCGAGCTTGGACACTACGAGAGTGAACGCGAGGATCTTACCATTGGACCACATCCCCTGTGATGACAGTACACTTTTGCGAAGGCATGTATAGGCAACCGTAGCGTAAGCAACGGATTGCTCCTTCTGGCAAACTGAGACAATCAGCAAACGTGCGTAGACAATGCGGACAAAGTAGACAACAACTTCAGCCAACACTCGATGCCTTACCTAGGGTTTCCGTCATGTGATACCCGCTGTTGAGGCCGCAATTTGCTCGGAACGACAAAGCTAGAACGAATTGCATGCATCACCTGGCAATTGCGTTTCTCCCGCGTACTGGGTGACGACTTCGCACAGGCTTCCGCTTGGATCAAATGAACGCCTTGCACCAGCTTGCTTTGATGCAGCTAGATTGGATCGGGCTATAGATGTTGACAGCGCACAACTTCCAAAAGTGGTGGCCTCATCTTCCTGCCATTTAGTGGGTCAGGAATCAGATATCGAAAAATTTGTAAGCACGTGGAATAAGCTTCTGCGGAAGAATATTCATTCAAATTTGAGAGCGTGCGCCCAACTCAGATGCACAAATATCCACTTCATCCTTTTCCCTTCTAGCAGCACCGTTGAAAGCACTCTTACCCAAATGGCGCGGCAATCAAGAACGCTGCTGAATGTCGAAGAGTGCTCTGCCGAGCTTAGGGCAATGTGAGTATCACCCGGTGTGCATTTTTTACAGCCGCTACAGATCTGACCTTTGCAACAGCTCATGTCGCAATGCCAGCGAGTCCACTTTCCTCTCATTGCCAGCCGAGATCCGCAATCGGATTTACGAGTATGCGTTTGGCGGCGACACGCAGAGAGTTCGAGTTTCTAGCAAACCTGGTCGTTACCCTGTGCTGAGCGCCCGCAGATGCAAATGCGAGCTGTCCGAGCAGCAGATGATCGAGCGCTACAAAATGAACGGCGATATCGAAATTTTCCCCGATCACTTCTATGGCGAGGAAAAGGAGCTTACGGATTGTCACATATGCTGCAAAGATCGCCAACACGACTGCCTCAATCTCGCACTATTGCGAGTTTGTAGGCAGGTGTATCACGAGGCAGCGCTCATCCCGTACTCCAGCAACGAGTTCATTCTCGATGCGACTCAGTACGCTTTCTCTGCCTTTACCTCAGCTCTTCTGCCAGCGCAGCGAAAAGCTATCACGCGCGTCGCTCTGGTCGGCGACTCTTTGCCGAACGTCCAATTGGGCTACGCCGGAACTCTGGTGGGCGTCAAATCTCTTAGCGTGCGCATATCCTTGGCGCATGCTCTAACCTGGACTGCTCCTCAAGGCCCATTGTGGGAGCGGCCACCGAAGCCGACCAAGAAGGCTTTACTGGAGGGCATAAGACCTCTAGCTCGTTTCCCGGTTGACAGAGCCAGCGTACTCGTGACTTGGTGTCGGAATCGGTACGAATCCCACCAGAGCGCGGAAAGTGAGCTCGAGATATCTTTCAAGCGCTCCTTCGACGAGATCCAAGCCGAGGTTCGAGCTGCGAAGGCGAAAGCGATACTCAAAAGGAGGAATATTGAAATTGCAGCGGAACGGGCCAAGCGAGAGTCGGAAGAGAGGACAAGGTTGGGAGATAAGACCTCCTCCAAAGTCACAGAGCAACAGATGGCGGATTGGGACGCGCGCCGCACAGCTGCGCAATCACGTCGTTCGAGGAAGATACATTTGCGCACCTCGCAAAATATGCATTGATGAAAGCTATCCTTGACATAGCTTGCATCAGACACTGCGAGATGAGCGAACACGATCACGACGGAACATCAGACACAGTATTATTGTCAGGGTCAAACGAAGAACGCAGAACGCTCTCTAACAAAATGACTGTGCCTCACCGACACTCTGGAATGCGCTTCGTTGAATCCTTGCTGCTTCCGATTTGTTCTATTCTACTGCTGAGTGAGCTTTACCCCGGGAATCATCGACGTATCTAGGATTTTCTGCCACGAAGCCACAAGGACAACTTTCCAAAATCAACGTTCGGGGGCCATGTGCGATTAAGAACCACTGGGACTGAGCAAACTATCAAGGGCCAAGATGCAATTGGGTAGTTTACCGCGATCCACTTGCTGGGTCGCTCAAGATGGAAGCTTCCTTGGGCCTCAAAGTCTATCAAAAAAAAATTGCTATGTAGCTTGGCGACGGTGCACTCCTTGGAGACACTATTCTGACATACAGATGCTACTCTCTCGACTCACTAGGATAATCTATCAGCAAGCTATCAGGACTCCAAAGCCGGCTGCACCAGACCCAGTCTAGTCACTACTCCGGTTTTTCACAAAAAGCCGAACGCTCGCTTACGCTCTTTCAACAAGATCATGGATAGCCAGGACGAGCTACATCACGCGCTGGCAACAGCTGAGCAATTTTGGGCGGTCGCGATAATCTTGCTGATATTCATCTTGGGACCTGATGTCACACAGCGCGGCGATATATTTCCACGATACTACATCAAGTCTACTCGATGGCCAGGAATGGTGACTGTGCTATTCGGACCTGTACTCGCCAGTATCATCATATATCTCTGGCTAAGGTTTCGCTTCACGTATTCAGAGCTCCTACCTGGGTGTCGGCCTCTTGAATACTCGGCGTCAGTGGTGGGCCTTAGCCCAGTAGCTTGGGCATGCAATTTGGAGAGGCTATCGCAGTGGGCAGCGATCGTTGCGAAAGAAGGCATCACAGCTCAGTCGCTGCTATCATTGTGGAAGATGGCTTTCGTGCAGGACGTGGTTGCAGGCGTCGGCTTTGTGGCATTCACTACCTGGCTGAAGATATATTACCCATACCATCTTCACAAGCTGAATACTCGGGAGAGCGATCACGGAGATGACAAGACTTCCACCTCCCCTGCAGATTCTGGCCCGCGTGATGGAGAGTCTCTTGTATGAACCAAGTCGAAAGACAGAACATGCTGCTGCACGCAAGTGGTCGAGGTGTTCAGAACTAGCACAGAAGAGCAACAGGAGTCATAGTCATGGTGGAATAATGGTCCGAGACGAAATTTTCAGTGCCTCGGGAATCACTGAACTTCTTACTTCCCACGCTGTACATACACAATTACTATCGCCTGCCTAATACTGGTAGCGGAAGGTAGCATTCTCCTTATCAGTCAAATCCTCAAACGCATGGGTAGTGTCCTTGTCGTTCGCCTCATCGATACCTTCAGCCGCGATCTTATTCCTCTTCGCATTGCGCCTCATCAGCGTGAGCCTTAGGACGATCAACGTGAGGATGAGCAGAGTATAGCATCCGATGTGGGTCGCAAAAGCGATGAAGTAGCGCGGAGCATCCCATGCGAGGAAGACTTGTGGTCCTGCTTCTTATTAGTACGCTGACGTGAGGCGCGGGGCGGAAATTCAGCTTACCAATAGCGTTACCGACAGCCCATGCGATGAAGTTCATCGTCACTGCGACACTCTTCTTGGTTTGACCAGCGACGTTCCGAGAGAGCAGACTCATTCCCAAACCTTGTGCTGCCCAGAAGGACAGAACGATGTAGTAGGAGAACAGGAGTCCAGCTTCTGTCGCTACGCTTGTGTTTTCGACCGTCATGAGGACGATGGTACCGGCGAATGATCTGCCGGCAGTGTTAGCATCTTGCCACGGTGCGAGTATGCTCGATTGTACTCACGGCAAACAGAACAAAGCCATGATTAGAATGTTCTGTCCAGTCTTTTTGACCAGCCACGCAGAGCTGAAAAGAACAATAATGATGTAAGCACCAAGAACCATGGCCAACAATTGCACTTCCAAAGTCGTGAATCCGAGACCTTTGATAATGATGTTGGCGAAAGCTCCAAGACCACCAGTTGGCAAAGTCGTGCAAATCTGAATCAAGCAGTAGCACCAACACTGAACATCAGTCAATGCCTCCCACAAGTGCTCCTTTCGGAACGTCTTGTTCTGCAGACCAGTCTGGTTGCTTCGCACACGCTCGACCATCAGTCGCTTGTCTTCCTCAGTGAAACACTTGGCTCGCATGGGAGAATCTGGCAAGAACCAGATGACGAACACTCCCCAGCCTACAGAGAAGACTCCGTATGCGATGAAAATGGCTTGCCATGACTTCACGGCACCCTCGTTACCGATCAAGGAGAAGCAGTATGCCAGCAGACCACCGACGATTTGTTGCGCACCGTTCATGGCGTACCAGCAGCTGACGATGAGAGCTTGTTCTTCTCGCTTGTACCACATGGAACTCATGATGAGGAACGTCGGTTGGCAGACGGCTTCGAAGATACCCAGCAGAGTCCGTAGCGCGACCATGCCTGCGAAGTTGCTTCCTGCAGCATGGAGAGCGAGGATTGTGCCCCAGACAATGATGCAGGTTCCGAGGAATTTGGCAATGGGCAGGCGTTGCACGAGCCAGTTGATGGGGTATTCGACGATCAAGATGGCGATGTAAATACATGTTGTGAGCCAGGAGAATTGTTGTCCGACAAGGTTGAGGTCCTCGCGAAGACCCATGATCGAGGTGAAGGAGAGTGTGCCTTTGTCCAGAGCTTGCAGGAAGTATGTGAAGACCATGATGGTCAGAACACGCTTGTCGATGAGCTTCTTCAATCTCTTGTTTTCTGAGTCGCTGATCACGACGGCTTCGGCATTGGCATATTTCGCGACTTCAGCCTGCGCAGACAATTGTTAGCATAGTCTTCCAGGCTCTGTCTGAGGCGGTACTTACATCCATACGGCTGTAGTCTTGCTTTCGCAGATCATCGTGGCTCAGTACTCTCTCGACCTCTGCTGCATTGTAGTCGTTCTTCTTCTCATCGGGATACTGTGGTGCAGTGGCAGCGGCCACGCCATCCTTGCTGTTCCTGATGCTGCCCATGATGGATGTCGTACCGGCGGAGAGTGCTTTGGAGATCCAGAGAAAGGAGAGCTGCAACCCCGGATCAGTTCCACCTCGTGGTCTTATGCACTATCTCGGATCATCTAAGTACGGCACAGTGGTCTGGGCACAGCACGTGGAGAAGCATGCCGACAGCCTGCGAAAGGCAAAGCAATTGGAGGGAACGCATGTTTGCAGTGCCAAGTCCTGCAACCCCAAGCGCCCTGTGACCCCCAAAGTGCTATTATGGCCCGAAGTGGCTTGGCCGAGCTGTAACGCTTGCATTGTTTGTGGAGTCTCCGCATATTTCACGCTGGGGAAGGATTTCGAATGTGGAGTGGACACCGAGCTCGCTTGGGTAACCTTCGGTCTTCGGGCTGATTCCCAGCGAGTGGAGTAGACTTGCAAAGCTCAAGTATTGCTGCTGATGACTCTGCGAGAAGGAATCGCAACCACTAGGTTTAAAGAGCCAATCAAGATGCCGCAGCAATCCGTGAGTGTAGATGGCTTGTACGCGAAGGACATCCGATCACAAGTTGACCTGTTGATCAACAACCTGGTCAACATCAAGGATGAGGCTGGTGAATTTTTGTTGAGACTACCGGACGGGAGAGTGATTGATACCAAAGGATGGAACGACTGGGAGTGGACGCACGGCATAGGTAAGCTCATTGAAGCTTTCAGGAGTGAATCCTGCTGACTTCATACCAGGCCTCTATGGCGTGTGGCAATACCACACATTGACTGGTTCAAAGCAAGCTCTAGAAGTCGTTGAGTCGTGGTTCACAGGCCAATTGGCCACTGGAACGACGAAAAACATCAACACAATGGCTGTCTTTCTCACATTAGCATATCTTTATGAGAAGAATGGCGAGCAAACGTACCTTCCTTGGCTCGACTCGTGGGCTGAATGGGCCATGTACGAGCTAGAGAGGACGCCTTTTGGCGGCATGCAGCACGTCACGTACCTCACCTACAACCATTACGAGCTGTGGGATGATACGCTCATGATGACTGTCCTCCCGTTGGCCAAGATTGGCAAACTGCTGAACCGGCCGCACTACATCGAAGAGGCCAAGCGACAAGTCTTGCTGCACATCAAATATCTGTTCGATCCCACGACTGGCCTGTTTTTCCACGGCTGGAAATTCGACGAGTCTGCACCTGGTGGTTTTGGGCACAACTTTGCGCGGGCAAGATGGGCTCGCGGTAATTGCTGGCTGACCGTCTTCATCCCGGATTTTATCGAATTGCTGGACTTGCCGCCGGGAGATGGCCTTCGGACGCACCTTATCGACACACTAGAAGCTCAATGCATAGCTTTGAAGAAGTTACAAGATGATGAGGGTATGTGGCGAACGCTCCTGGACGTGCCTCAAAACGAAGGCAGCTATGTCGAAGCCTCGGCGACCGCAGGTTTCGCCTACGGCATCCTAAAGGCGATCCGAAAGCGGTATATCAGCAAAGATTTCGAGCCTATTGCCACCAAAGCTGTTAAGGCCGTGCTGAGCCGTATTGCGCCTGATGGAGAGCTGAGAGACACCAGTTTTGGGACAGGCATGGGCCACGACTTGCAGCATTATAAAGACATTCCAGTCACAAGTATGCCGTATGGACAGAGTCTGGCGATGATGTGTCTTGTAGAATATCTGCGAAAGTTCGTGTGATCTGTAAAGATTTGTAACAAGAGATAGACTGTACAGACCCTCAGTGGCTTGAAACAAAGTGAGAAGATTGGCATCCGATATGTCAACGTAAGGCGACGAGTATGCACAATTCGAACTCCGAGCCCGGCAGGTTCGTATCCAGAATGTCATGGACTTGAGCAAAAGGGAAGACTGTTGCCAGCATTTGCCAGAAATGACCGCAAGCGATCACCTCCCGCTAAGCATTGTTCTTGAGCCACTTCCCTGAGTAATCACTATTTCCAAGCAACATATGATAGCCAGCTGGACGCGGAAAGCAGGATCCCAGCTGCAGGTCCCTCATCGGCGGTGTCCAGATCTGATCAGAGGTGGCGTTTCGTGGTAAGCAAGCAAGCCGGCTTGTACAGCTTTTCTTTGTTTCCAAGGCCGTTCAGTGTGTTGTGGCGAGGCCAGAGTATGTGAGTGCTTTTTGATAGACCCGTCTCCAGAGATGATGGAGTGCAGAAGGTAAAAGAGGAGGAAAGAGGAGAGTCGTTAGAATGAGAGTCGTCGACGAATTACATAAAGTCTTGGCATCTGACAAGCTTGTGAGCCTATTAGGGTGCCTTGTTAATTCAAAGGATAAAGAATCTACGTATGCAGTGCTATCTAAGGTACCTAAATCGTGCCTATATATACTAGAATCGCTTATTATAGCCTAATATTATAATTAGCCTCTAATATTAGTATAGTACCTAATAATATTAATAGTTCTATTATAATATTAGTAAAGTTATTAGCTTATAAATTAATTCTATAGTTACCGGCTTAGCTAATTCTTAATACTCTCTCTTAGATAGCTAGTAATTATCGCCTAATTAGGTAGATTTACTTATTATAAAGTAAATAATCTAAGAGCTTATATTAGATAGTATTAAACTTTAATAAAATAGCTAAAAACATAAACGCGCTCTAGTAGGCGATAACGATAATAGCGGGAGGCCTCGAGACCTTCTAAAACGCAATAATACCTCTCGACTAATACTATAATACTATAAGTAGAGAAAAGAGCTTAGAAGAAGGAAGTTATAACTCTAACTCCTAGGCGGCCTAAATCTGCCTATAACTACCTCTCTCTAG